CACTAAAGGAGAAATTGATGAAACAGATTTGGACAAAGGAATCATAATAGCAGGGAGGCCTTCCTACCGATTTTTTTGACAATAAGCTTGATCAAAGTGGAAATGCGGTTACAAACAATACAACAACTCGCCGGATAGCAGATGCGTCAACCAAAAGCATCCGCGAACCACCGTTTCAATGGCACCAACACCTAAAGCTGTCAGCAAAGGTGTGAGATCCGGCATCCGACTTTTCCAGCGCATGGCTGAAATAAAGCAGCAGACAACGATGCATTTCGATTGGCAATCCAGCGGGCACACTAGGTGGATGACATTAATTATTTAGTGTTGGCCTGGACGTAGAGTGTGGAGCAACCATCTTTGAAACACCGGAGAGAAAGCTTTTGCCAAGGTTGGGGATGTTGGGAGTATCATGATAAGGAGTGGAGATCCGTTTATATGTGCACTATCGATTACTACGGTACAACATGCATCAAGCAAGGGAGGAGTCAGCAATCAACTTTACGGTCGGACGTGAGAATATCTATAATGACTAGCACCAAGGTAAAATGGGTCGACTTAGAAGCCACTTGATCGCCCTATGGGTCTTGTTGGTGTCGGCGCGAGCAAGTGAAACCGAACTGGTCGAGACCATAATGGACGAGAGCGGCGTGGACAACAGCCGGGAGTACGGATACGAGTATTTAGCGCCAGAACCATCAGAAGTTAACATGGTCAAGGTCACTGTTGCTCAGAAGTTTGTGCCGATACATATATTCAAGAAGAACAAAGATGACAACAGGCGGCTAGAACTTAGGTTCTTCACCATTCAGTGTGACTGTCAAACTGAGTCTGGTCAGATAAGGTCGCTGTGGACCAAAGCTTGTTCAGGACATGCGCTTAGTGACACAGTCTGCACTCCGTGGAGGCATGGCGCATCTAAACTAGTCGTAGTGTTTGTTGGTGATCCAGAGGAAGTGTCCTGTTGGTGTCATATCGGCGACGACGATCGGGAGCGCAGGCTTGAGCTCACTCTTAGACGAGAAGGGAACACGATTGGAAGTATATCGGCGAGTGGGAGACAAGCATAGTTTAGCAGATTGGGCGTTACACAAACGATGTGAGTGATGGACTGGCGGACGGGTAGTCGAACCGCGGGTTTAACACTCACTGTAGGAAAATTGATTCGCAGCTAACAATAGCCGTATTTGTACATTAGCTATCCTGCTTCTATGAAATGATCTGGTCTCATCTATTTTTTGTCTGATCTCAGTCATGCCACAATCAACAGGTGCTGTTGGAACCGTTTCCGTCAGATTGCCGTTTGGGATGCACAGAGGGCCCAATATGCAGAGATCGCCGAGCTCGTCCAGTGTCGATTATGCTCTATTGATTTCGCCGTTTTACGAACGAGAATTGCTCACGAACGAGTACAGGTTTTCGACTGGTACAGGTACCGTGTTAGTGTGGTATGCGTAGACACTAGTGCAAAGAGCCGGCTTAAACGAGTAACGTATGGTAAGAGAAACCAGTAAATGATTTCGAACAAGGGGGAGGATGAAGCGAACTGACGGAAAATCTTTATGATGTCGTTTCAGACACTTGATCGCTGAGAGCCTATGGATTGATGATCACTGCTGTGAGCAAGCTCCGGTAGTGAATGTCAAGGAAGTTTCTCCCAAAGATCAAAGTCAAGTATACACCAGCTACTACTCTGATCTATGTTGGATTCTGATAATCAACGCCAGGGTCATTCTGACTCTGCCGGGTATGGTCTTCCCCCAAGTATTCGCTATGTATCCCAAGCTAGCATAAATCGGCAATTCAACGATTATTTATTATTTGTACACCAATCAGTGTACCCAACGATATTGAACTCGAGAAAAGATGAAAGATTGGACTCAAGAAGCCACACGTGCGAATGCGCGACATCCATGTCTTGCGTTGGTTGGAGCACACGTCAGCCAATTGAACTTGAAGAACAAATGGAACGAATGAAGAACCAAACGAGGTCAGTTGAATCAATCATTACGAGGTCTAGAGTTGAAGTGTGATGGAAGCTGATTGGCTAATTTTTAGTCAACGAATCAATTTATGAATCAATCGAATGACATCGTGGCCGTCCAATGCAAATCCTCACAAATTACCAGCTGTCACAAATCAAAACGACAGTAGTTCATACGCTCTCGCGCCTTGCACTTTCACACCGACGACACAATTCCAAGACAATGATGCAATCTACCTTCTCTCGCTTTGCTAGAACGGCCACCCGTTCAACGTTTGTTGCCAGTCCCCCAGCCACATCTTTCATTTTCTCAAATGTTCGATGGTTGTCCTCGTCCGCTGACAGTTTGGCCGATAAGATTGCCTTTATTGGAACAGGCAAAATGGCTCAGGCCATGCTTCGTCCCTTGATCAACAAGGGGTATCAACCACAAGAAAAGATTGCTATCTATGATGTTCATACACCTTCTATTAAGGCAATGAAGAAGGAGTTTGAGGACATTCAAACGGCCGAAACCATTGCCGAGTTGGTGGAAGATGCTGACATTATTGTCTGTGCTGTCAAGCCCCAAAATATTAACGACAAATTCTGGTCACAGTTTCCAGAAAAAATGAGAGACGACGCCACCTTTGTCAGTATTCTGGCAGGAATCCCTATTCGGGAATTCGAGCCATCGGGTATTAAAAAAATTGTGCGAGCCATGCCCAACACACCAGCTCAAATTGGGCAGGGAATGACAGTGTGGTCATGTACTCCAAACTTGACAGTGGGAGAGCGAGAGTCTGTCAGGAAGGTTTTGAATACGTTTGGAAAATCGGTAAGTCTGGCATTTGCATATGGAACTTGTTGTCGTTCGGCCATGTATGTGGTCGTTGTCATTGTCAAGTGGCCACTTTGCCTTGTCGTTGGCTTTTTTTCTCACACTGCAATTTGTTGATTTCTTTGTTTTCTTCCATGACAGATTTATGTCGATGACGAAAAGTTTGTCGACATGAGCACATCAATCAGTGGTAGTGGACCAGCTTATATTTTCATGTTGATGGAAGCCATGATTGATGCTGGTGTCCACATGGGATTCTCAAGAGAAGTCGCCACCAAGTTGTGTCACCAAACAATCATGGGATCAACAATGTATGCCATTGAAACTGGAGAGCATCCAGCTATTTTGAGAAACATGGTGACTTCTCCTGCTGGAACGACCGCTTCCGCAATTTACGAATTGGAAAACGGAAAGTTCCGAGTCGTCATCAAGGATGCCATCTGGGCTTGCTACAGAAGAAGTTTGGAAATGGGTGGAAAGGAATCTGATGTCGGTCCAGGACGATCACATACGTCAGAAGACCCCGTCGCAAAGCAAATCATTCACCATCACTACCCCAGCGGTGAAATGACTGGAGATACCGACGTCGATACCGACAGTGACGACGAGTCGCCAAGAAAGTCGTCGGCTTAAGCTTGCTACGTAGCATACTATAACATAATATTGTAAATCTGAATTGATGCAGAATATGCCGCTGTATCTTGTCGTCGTATCTGCAGATGACTTGGGAATGGAAGCGTTGGTGTATATATCCATGAGTGCCACTTGGCAAAGTAGAGCCGTCTAGAAGCTATCTTTTGAGTGTCAAAATGATCGTAAGGAATTCCATGGAATGATTGATTCGAGTCTAAATTGATTCATTATACATAAAAATACCTTTATCACTGGTGCTTTCAGTGTTGTTGAGCCGTGTAGGCTGTTTCGGTCTATCTCTCTATCTGTCAAGCGAGGCGTGCCCGTAGTCGAGCACTGTCAACGATTGCCGCCCATGTTCAGATAGTGGCTTAGCGACGACTGGCGCTACCGGCGGAAAGTCTGTGGTCCATCTTGGTGTCGCCCGAAGAACTGGACGACTTCTTGGCTCCCTTTCCACCCTTTCCGCCCTTGCCCTTGCTAGAGCCAGATCCGCTCTTGGAGGATCCGCCCTTGCCCTTGCTAGAGCCAGAACTAGATCCAGATCCAGATCCAGATCCAGAACCCCCCTTGCCCTTGCCCTTGCTAGAACCAGAACCAGATTCAGATCCACCCTTTCCAGAAGAAGATCCGCCCTTGCCGGATGACCCACCCTTGCCAGAAGACATACCAGATCCGGATCCACCCTTGCCGGATGATCCACCCTTTCCGGAAGACATACCAGAGTCAGATCCACCCTTTCCAGAAGACATGCCAGAGTCAGATCCACCCTTGCCGGAGCCTCCCTTTCCTGAAGACATGCCAGATGATCCACCCTTACCGGAACCTCCCTTTCCAGAAGACATACCAGAGTCAGATCCACCCTTGCCAGAGCCACCCTTTCCAGAACTCATATCGGAAGATCCACCCTTGCCGGATGATCCACCCTTACCAGAGCCTCCCTTACCAGAGCCTCCCTTGCCCGATGATCCACCCTTGCCAGAGCCTCCCTTTCCAGAACTCATATCGGAAGACCCTCCTTTTCCAGAAGACCCACCCTTGCCAGAGCCTCCTTTTCCACTTCCTTTGGATGAACCAAGTTCATCGTCATTTCCACTTCCCTTTGACGAACCAAGTTCATCGTCATCGACTGGTCGGGGACCAACGCCAAGCATACGGGCAGCATGGGTTCGGATTCCACCACGAATGTTACCTCCAAGGTTGCGTGCAGGGGCTTGTTCGTTCTGTGCCACCACAATGGAGATGAGGGCAAGGAGAAGCACAAGTGCAAGGTTTCTGGAAGAGAGCATCATTTTGGGTTTAGAGTTTTAATGGTTGAAGACCAGTTGAAATTGTGAGAGGAAGATGTGATGGATTTGAGATGGATTGGATCAAAGTTTCGTACGTGTATAGGTAATGTACAAGATTGCTTGCTCGCCAATATTTTTACAAGAGTGCAACTCGCAGAATTTTTTACGCGATGAAACACGTTCCTCGGACAAAAGATTTGTTTACCACGTGCAAAAGTCAAGTTGATCGAACTCGGCAGCTGTTTTAGAACATTTTAACTAAAAAGGCGATCAAAAATGGTGTGCTAAAACAGATTTTCAGAGATTTCAGCTTCCTTGCAATTCCGTTTCCATGGCTTCTATAGCGGCTACCTGCTATGAAGATGGACTGATGCATTTGTTGGAATGAAAGCTCTTTTTCCGCTTGTGAGGTGATAAGCCCATAGTAGAATGAACGGTTCGTATTGTTAAATATGTTGCTACTGTCGAAATGATGAGATGGAGTTCTCTGGAAATATTGATTCGAGTCTAAATTGATTCATTTTATACATATACATCTTTATCACTGTGATTGAAATCTTGCTGTGCTGTGTAGCTTTTTCTGTCTATCTGCCAAGCGGAGGGTGCCCGTAGTCGAGCACTGTCAACGATTGTCGCTCAGATTCAGATTGTAGCTTAGCGGCGGCTGGCACTTCCGGCGGAAAGTCTGTGGTCCATTTTGGTGTCACTCGACGAGCTGTGGGACTTCTTGGCCCCCTTTCCACCCTTTCCACCCTTGCCCTTGCTAGAACCAGATCCGCTCTTGGAGGAGCCGCCCTTTCCCTTTCCATTTCCCTTGCTAGAGCTAGAGCTAGAGCCAGAGTCAGATCCTCCCTTGCCCTTGCTAGAACCAGAACCAGACCCAGATCCAGATCTACCCTTTCCAGAAGAAGATCCGCCCTTGCCGGAAGACATACCAGATCCAGATCCACCCTTTCCAGAAGAAGATCCGCCCTTGCCAGAAGACATACCAGATCCAGATCCACCCTTGCCGGATGATCCACCAGATCCAGATCCGCCCTTTCCAGAAGACATGCCCGAGCCAGATCCGCCCTTGCCGGATGATCCACCCTTGCCGGAGCCTCCCTTTCCAGAAGACATGCCGGATGATCCACCCTTGCCGGATGATCCACCCTTTCCAGAGCCTCCCTTTCCAGAACTCATATCGGAAGACCCTCCTTTTCCAGACGATCCACCCTTGCCAGAGCCTCCTTTGCCGGATGATCCACCCTTGCCGGATGATCCACCCTTGCCAGAGCCACCCTTGCCGCTTCCCTTGGACGATGAAAGTTCATCGTCATCATCCATTGGTCGGTCAAAAAGGACACGTCCGAGCGCACGTTTGCGAATGTTACCTCCAACGACGTTGCGTGCTTGTTCGTTGTTTTGTGCCACAACAATGGAGATGAGGGCAAGGAGAAGCACAAGTGCAAGGTTTCTGGATGAGAACATCATATTTATTGTTTTGTGGGTTGTGATGTTTGATGATTGAAGACCAGTTAAAATTGTGAGAGGAAGATGTGATGGATTTGATGGATTGGATCCAGACTCACTCGTACACTGTACTCGTACTGTACACGAATGGTCGCCATTATTTTTACAAGAGTGCAACTCGCAGAATTTTTTACGCGATGAAACACGTTCCTCGGACAAAAGATTTGTTTACCACGTGCAAAAGTCAAGTTGATCGAACTCGGCAGCTGTTTTAGAACATTAGCTAAAAAGGCGATCAAAAATGGTGTGCTAAAACAGATTTTCAGAGATTTCAGCTTCCTTGGAATTCCGTTTCCATGGCTTCTATAGCGGCTACCTGCTATACGAAGATGGATTGATGCATTTGATGGAATGAAAGCTCTTTTTCCGCTCGTGAGGTGATAAGCCCATAGTAGAATGAACGGTTCGTATTGTTAAATATGTTGCTACTGTCGAAATGATGAGATGGAGTTCTCTGGAAATATTGATTCGAGTCTAAATTGATTCATTTTATACATATACATCTTTATCACTGTGATTGAAATCTTGCTGTGCTGTGTAGCTTTTTCTGTCTATCTGCCAAGCGGAGGGTGCCCGTAGTCGAGCACTGTCAACGATTGTCGCTCAGATTCAGATTGTAGCTTAGCGGCGGCTGGCACTTCCGGCGGAAAGTCTGTGGTCCATTTTGGTGTCACTCGACGAGCTGTGGGACTTCTTGGCTCCCTTTCCACCCTTTCCACCCTTGCCCTTGCTAGAACCAGATCCGCTCTTGGAGGAGCCGCCCTTTCCCTTTCCATTTCCCTTGCTAGAGCTAGAGCTAGAGCCAGAGCCAGAGCCAGATCCTCCTTTGCCCTTGCTAGAACCAGAACCAGACCCAGAACCAGACCCAGATCCAGATCCACCCTTTCCAGAAGAAGATCCGCCCTTGCCAGAAGACATACCAGATCCAGATCCACCCTTTCCAGAAGAAGATCCGCCCTTGCCAGAAGACATACCAGATCCAGATCCACCCTTGCCGGATGATCCACCAGATCCAGATCCGCCCTTTCCAGAAGACATGCCCGAGCCAGATCCGCCCTTGCCGGATGATCCACCCTTGCCGGAGCCTCCCTTTCCAGAAGACATGCCGGATGATCCACCCTTGCCGGATGATCCACCCTTTCCAGAGCCTCCCTTTCCAGAACTCATATCGGAAGACCCTCCTTTTCCAGACGATCCACCCTTGCCAGAGCCTCCTTTGCCGGATGATCCACCCTTGCCGGATGATCCACCCTTGCCAGAGCCACCCTTGCCGCTTCCCTTGGACGATGAAAGTTCATCGTCATCATCCATTGGTCGGTCAAAAAGGACACGTCCGAGCGCACGTTTGCGAATGTTACCTCCAACGACGTTGCGTGCTTGTTCGTTGTTTTGTGCCACAACAATGGAGATGAGGGCAAGGAGAAGCACAAGTGCAAGGTTTCTGGATGAGAACATCATATTTATTGTTTTGTGGGTTGTGATGTTTGATGATTGAAGACCAGTTGAAATTGTGAGAGGAAGATGTGATGGATTTGATGGATTGGATCCAGACTCACTCGTACACTGTACTCGTACTGTACACGAATGGTCGCCATTATTTTTACAAGAGTGCAACTCGCAGAATTTTTACGCGATGAAACACGTTCCTCGGACAAAAGATTTGTTTACCACGTGCAAAAGTCAAGTTGATCGAACTCAGCTGTTTTAGAACATTAGCTAAAAAGGCGATCAAAAATGGTGTTGTAACAAAACTCAATCGATATGACTCAATAAAAGTTATGGGGCAATAAACGATTGTGATTGTAATGTATTGATTGATTAAGATTAGTTGAGATTGATATCAAGTTTGTTTTAGATTGGATTGAATTGAATTTGTTGTTGTTTGTTGTTGTGAGCTCTGATCTGATGAAATCTCTCAGATCGGCTCTAGTCGTACAGTAGCATTCTGATCTTGCTTGATCATGCAATGACCTTCATTCAAGATCAGTTACTTATATTCTGGCATACATCCAAGATCAATCATATGGCAATCCAAGATAATCATAAGCCTCCTTGCTGACATCGGACTTCTCAATTTAGAATTCGTTATCCCGGTCAGTGTATTTCCAATGACCGTTGAGTCCACGGAGTCGATTCATGATTCAACCATTCATGATTTGGTTCAAATACCGTATATCTGTACACTCCCTCTTTTGCTCCAAATCTTGATCTTCTCATTACCAACCAAGTACCAATTTTCTGAACTTGACAAAACTCGCTTCATTCAATGGCTTTGTTAGTATGTCTGCAATTTGATCCAGTGTGTGTATCTTGTGAATACTTATCATGCAAGGTCCATCACCAATGTATGATCTGAAGTGGTGTAGTCTGTTGTTCAAATGTTTTGTCCTTGGTCGAAACTTGTGCACTTTCGCAATTTCCAATGCCCCACTGTTGTCCTCAAAAACTTTACAATGCACCTTCGCTTTTGAAGTTTCCAGAGGTATCCCATTATCAATCATTTCTTGAAAAAGGTTCATGATAGGAATTGCTTCTCTGAGTGCATAAGATAGTCCAGTGTATTCTGATTCGGTCGATGAGAGTGCTACCTCTGTTTGCATCTGGGATTTCCAAACAATGGGACATCCAGCGTAGGTGATGTAATATCCATGTCTTGATCTTGCAGTATCGCGATCCTCATATTCATTTGGATCCCAATTTCCTGCAAAGTCAGCATCAACATATACTTCAATACCTTTCTCTTTGTCTGGTTTCAATATAGTCCCTTTGTCCTTCGTGCCTTTCAGATATCGACCTAACCATCGAATGGCCTCTCCATGTTCCTTCTTTGGACAACTCGAGAATCTCGCACATTGATGAGTAATGTACGCAATATCAGATCGAGATCCCTTCTCGAGATAATTCAATTTTCCTATCACTGATCGATAGTTGAATGATCCATCGAAGTCTGGAGAGTCAGAATGCCTTGACAGTAGTTTGGATGACGGAGCTGGAATCGATCTTGGTTTGGCATTGTCTTCCAACCGTAGATCTTCAAGAATCTGGTCAATAAGATGTGGTTGTGTGAGATGGATTGTACCATCTTCTTTTCGTTCAATGTTAACACCAAGGAAATCTTGGATGTCTCCTTCAATCGTAATGTCCAGTTTGGCGGCTTTAATGTCTTCAATTGCCTGCTCAACTTCCTTCAAATCAGGACCTGCCAATAATGAATCGTCTGTGTACAATACATACATCACAGATCCTCGATAGAACACACATTCATCAACTTCGGATTGCTTGAAACCGACTTCGTCAATGAGTTTGCGTGACAGAAACTTGAAAAACACACGAGAGGATTGTTTTCCGCCGTATACATTTCGATGGAGTTTCAACACGTAATCTTTTGTGTTCCCCTTGGACACTTCGAATCCACCAGGTATTTTCATGTAAATTTCACGTTCAACTGGTGCTTGTGGAAACGCCAAGACGTAATCAATTTGCCTTGTATGCCAACCAAGAAGAGCTGATAGGACCAACAAAGTTCGGATTGAGTTCCAGCTCGCAACTGGAGCATATGTTTGATCATAATGTTTTCCATATTGCATCTTTGAGCCGTCAATGTTCAATCTCGCTTTGTACTTCTTGATCGTTCTTGTCTTGATATCTCTTTTTCTTTTCATTTGCCACACCGCTGGTAGTATTGTGCCTCCCTCTGGAACCTGCGATCGATGTACCACACTGAAATTTCCATTGTTGATTTGATCTTCCCATTCTTTCTTCATTGCTTTCTTGAATTCATGGGCATCCTTTTCTCGCATGGCTTCATGCATGTACATTGTGTCTGGGTCCGAGGTTGCTTTATAAATACTTAGCGGGTCCTGCTCCATTTCTCCTGCATAATTGGGGAACATTGCTTGGAGGCAGAATATTTCTCCTTCAACGTCATGCACAGTGGCTCTCGATAGTTCTGCCTTCATTGCTTTAATGATATCCTCAGCCGGATGAGGATGCTGCGCTGACTTGGGATCCCTTTGGCTTTCGGGAACTCGCTCCTTCTCTTTCTCCTCCTCGAAAATTGAAGGGCGACCAGTGTCTGCATCGCTGACTGCTCCTGGATTTGATGGTGGGTCATTGTTATTTGTTGGTTCATCCATTTGACTATCATTGGATGGGGATGGCTGCAGCCCATTGTCGAGGCCATCAGGGGTCGGCATCTCGAACTGTGTGTGTTTTTCCGGCTTTGATACTTCATCATCCATTCTCGCTTTCTTCTTTGGCGGTTGGACTCCCTCTGAAACTGGCAAAACTTCCTGTGTTTTAGGATCGACTGACTCCATTGTCGAGGCTTGCTTTCGCTTTGAATTGTCCGGTTTATCATGCTGGACTAAGCCTGCCTTTCGTTGCCATTGAGTATCAAATTTGTCTTCTTTGACGGTTTGAAATCTTCGATCGAATATCACATGGAACTGAGGTGACACTAGCCCAGTTGTCCTATCAAGGACCAATGCAATGTTTCGACCATGGTTTGGAGATCGCCCAAGATATATGCCCACTTTGGATCGATACTCCCATTTGTTGTGAATCCCTTTTCCACTCTGCAATGCAGTATTCAGAACATAGACTGGGCAACCAAAAGGCACCCAATGCTTCTCATTCAATTGTACTTGAGAGTTGCTGAACAGTTGCAATGGCGAGCGTCCTTGCTTGTCCTTGAGGTTCGGCGATTCATTGATTGCGTCATTTGCCATTCTCAGAGCATAAGGCCATAGATGAACGGTACCTGCCATGCTCCACCTTCTATGTTGGTGTATCAGCATTGATCGAGCAAGATCCTGTAGTGATCGGATTCTTCTCTCAGCAAGTCCATTGGAATGGTGTGCATTTACTCCAGCGAAAGAAAGTCCTTGCTCCATCTTCCGGCATTCGTCAACCCATTTATGTGCTCTGAAAATTCCGTTGTCGGCATGGTAGTGTTGAACTCTCACGCCATGTTGCTTGCAATAGGCTTCAAATGCTTTCTTGCCTTCAATGGTCTCATCCGCAGTTGCTGTTTTCTGCAAGTAAACAAAGCTCAATCCTGAATATTGGTCGACATAAACAGTAGCGTACTTGTATCGCTTCTTAGTCAATGTGCCAGATATTTGGGCAATCAATCCAGGTGAAGGCGAGACAAGTTGATCAACTGAAATGACTTCTCCAGGTCTTGTTACAGTTCGTTCCTTTGTCCAATGCTTTCTCCTCTTCTCCCGCCATTGTCGTCTTGTAGCTTTGGCAAAACAACAGGCAGTGCATCTTGGAATATCAGCATTGGCCAACCTTCGTGGAATGATATTTTGCTTTGCCATGCTTTGCAGTTTCGCAAAAGAGATGTGACCCATTTGGTGGTGTAGCCGTAGTAGTTGCTGGCTATCTGTTGTTGGTTGTTTCTCCTCCTCCTCGGCTATCACCGCCGGTTTGGGTGCACCATCTGTAGTTGGTCCATCCAAGTCAAAAGCTGCTTCGCGAGCTTGAGTTTGAGGGGCCTTGGCCTTGTGGTTCGGACGGCGAAATTTGGTAGTCAGTCGGGACCAAAAGGTAGTGGCTGTAGTTGGAGGGGGGTCTGGTGGAAGAACATCATCATCATCGTCGTCGTCTTCTTCGTTATCACTGACAACACCGGCTGGAGAGATAATAATCGGCTCCTCCTCACTCTTGTCATAGTCGAAATTGCATTCTTGACAAAAGAGGTCAAATCGTTTGAAGCCAGGTGCCAAATAGAAGGTGGCAACATTGTCGGTGCGACCAAGGGGTACATCCAAAGAATACTTCTTTCGATCCCAAAATAGAACACACTTGTCAAAAGTGGTTGTCTCACCAATTCCATATTGTGTGATTGATGATACCCCCCTTCCAAGCTGCGACTTAGCCCAATGTTGGGGACTGAGAAGTCGACAGTTTCCTTTGGGGACATAGTAAGAGTTGGGAATTCGAAATCGATGCAATCGCCCATCATTGTCCTGCCATTTCCACACAATGGTGCCTTGATAGACATTCATGACACGTTCTCCACCAAAACCTTTGATAGATCGGTTAACCTTTACCAAAGGACCAACAAAGTCTTTAATTCTGTGAGAGATGCAAGCACTCGCGCGATTATCAATACCAACTTGGCAAGAGTCAGTATCAAATGATGCACGATTGGAATAAATCCGTTCTCCTTCAGAATTGGTACTTTCATGAATGTGCAATGGAGATTCAACTGCAGTCATAGCCATGATCTTGCGCTTGAAATGATTGTATCTCCGTTTGCGTTTCTTCACTTTAGCAGTTTGGCGATCCAACCAGCTTGACCTAGTGATTTGATCAGTACTGTCTTGCAATGAATTCGCCACTGCAATCATTCTTCGAATTTCAAATCGGATTTCCTTTGGAGTCCATAGTCCCATGGCAAAAGTCCAGCGAATCACCACGTTAAAAACATAGTAATCCAAATCCACGATATAATTCCACATAAAACGCCTGATTTTGCGTGCACGATTCCATCGTTTGCGTTTGGGCACGTATTCAGGGAAAGTAGCATTTTTGATTGTTTTGATTGGGCCAAGGATCACACTCAGGTACGTGATGAAATATAGGAGCATAAAACATCCTAAGTAGCTTATTTTGCCACAAAGGAATTTCCAGATTCCGTTCACATTGATACCGTTGAGTGCATCCCAGCACCATCATTCAGAGTAGTATCCACCAACCAAATCGTCAATAGCCTCTTTGGCAACAATGGTTGGTTCCTTTTCATCATCGTGTTTTGGTTTGGACTTGCAATTCTTTGGGAGATGGACACGCCAGACACCACCACAGTTTCCACCTGTCTCCTTGCAACAATAATGCCATTGTTTGTTGTTCCAAGATCGAGGCTTGTTTAGTTCGGTTTTGGGAGGTGGCTTGGACATCCAGTCAGGTTTTTCCTTCATTTGTTTCTTTCCTTTTCCTTTTTCGAACTTCACCTTTTTCTTGGGTGAACCATTATCAGCACCAAGTTCTTTTCTCTTGCGTTGCTTTCCATCCTTTGTCTTGGCTGCTAGCTTATCCGAGAGCTTGTTCAGGCGCGTTTGCATAGCGAGTATTTCCTCTTGGGCAGCTGAAGGTGCTTCCCATGTCTTCGTCGTCACCATGATGCGGTACTTCTTCTCAGCGAGACTCATAAGTGTACGGGAATCGATCGCTTTCGTTCCCATATCATGATCGGTTTGAAGATCGCCAATGTACTTGACAAAGTTCTCGTCTTTGCAAGCATTGTAGGCCCTGAACAGATAGGTCAAAAGATCCAAAGTCTTCTCACCACGCGCATGAAGTGCCATCAACAGCATCTTGACATGATTATTGAACCGATTGATGTCATGGTCCACAGTTGGGATAAATGCATCCAGCGTTGAAAGCTGCTCACGAATCATACCAGTAGTCGCGTTTGAATCCAAGTATGCCTCACGGATAAATGTTTTGAGCAAGCATAGACCGGAAGGAAGCTTGTTCGGTCCAAGTTGAAAGTCTTCCCAGTGAATGTTGAGCTTAGATTTTGCATCGCGAGTAAGCGAATTCATGATGCATTCATAGAGCATTCTGTCATCTTGACTCTTGCGGTTTCCACTGTCCCAATAGGTGCGCTCATAACGTTGGATTCGTGGCAATGAAACTGACCCATAGCTATGTAGCAAGTTGACAGGTTGTCTTCCTGGTGTTAGTACCCAGAAGAGCCCACCAGTGTCGTTCCATCCAAAGTTATTTCCTCGATGTTCCAAAGCCTTCATGATTTGAAGGAATTGGTCTGAAGTACAGTCGAAGCCTTCGTCGTCAAGCTTTGATGTTGCCTTGTTGAAGATGCTCTTATCTGACTTCTTTTCATAGCGAAGGATCCTACCCATACTAGCCAATCCTGGTGTTAGAGATCCAGGTGCTTCACCATCGGTTTCCTCCTTCTCGTCATCAGTATCTTCTTCGTTGCTATCATCATCTCCGCTGTCATCTGGATCCTCATTCTCGTCAGGATCATCACCATCATCAGGATCATCTTGTGGATCCTGGTCTTCATCGGCGTCTCCTCGTTCTCCAAGATCGGAGTCGTTCTCTTGGACTTCTTCTTCGGCTCTGAAGGAGTCCTGTGCTTCATCATCACTTGAAGCATATCGTTGAGGTCTCCAACGACGACGAGCTTGACGTCTGGTTCTAGCCATCTTGAATCAGTTGAAAGAAAAGTTAAATCGTTCTTTGCGCAGAGGGAGCGTGTAACAAAACTCAATCGATATGACTCAATAAAAGTTATGGGGCAATAAACGATTGTGATTGTAATGTATTGATTGATTAAGATTAGTTGAGATTGATATCAAGTTTGTTTTAGATTGGATTGAATTGAATTTGTTGTTGTTTGTTGTTGTGAGCTCTGATCTGATGAAATCTCTCAGATCGGCTCTAGTCGTACAGTAGCATTCTGATCTTGCTTGATCATGCAATGACCTTCATTCAAGATCAGTTACTTATATTCTGGCATACATCCAAGATCAATCATATGGCAATCCAAGATAATCATAAGCCTCCTTGCTGACATCGGACTTCTCAATTTAGAATTCGTTATCCCGGTCAGTGTATTTCCAATGACCGTTGAGTCCACGGAGTCGATTCATGATTCAACCATTCATGATTTGGTTCAAATACCGTATATCTGTACATGGTGTGCTAAAACAGATTTTCAGAGATTTCGGCTTCCTTGGAATTCCGTTTCCATGGCTTCTATAGCGGCTACCTGCTATACGAAGATGGATTGATGCATTTGATGGAATGAAAGCTCTTTTTCCGCTCGTGAGGTGATAAGCCCATAGTAGAATGAACGGTTCGTATTGTTAAATATGTTGCTACTGTCGAAATGATGAGATGGAGTTCTCTGGAAATATTGATTCGAGTCTAAATTGATTCATTTTATACATATACATCTTTATCACTGTGATTGAAATCTTGCTGTGCTGTGTAGCTTTTTCTGTCTATCTGCCAAGCGGAGGGTGCCCGTAGTCGAGCACTGTCAACGATTGTCGCTCAGATTCAGATTGTAGCTTAGCGGCGGCTGGCACTTCCGGCGGAAAGTCTGTGGTCCATTTTGGTGTCACTCGACGAGCTGTGGGACTTCTTGGCCCCCTTTCCACCCTTTCCACCCTTGCCCTTGCTAGAACCAGATCCGCTCTTGGAGGAGCCGCCCTTTCCCTTTCCATTTCCCTTGCTAGAGCTAGAGCTAGAGCCAGAGTCAGATCCTCCCTTGCCCTTGCTAGAACCAGAACCAGACCCAGATCCAGATCTACCCTTTCCAGAAGAAGATCCGCCCTTGCCGGAAGACATACCAGATCCAGATCCACCCTTTCCAGAAGAAGATCCGCCCTTGCCAGAAGACATACCAGATCCAGATCCACCCTTGCCGGATGATCCACCAGATCCAGATCCGCCCTTTCCAGAAGACATGCCCGAGCCAGATCCGCCCTTGCCGGATGATCCACCCTTGCCGGAGCCTCCCTTTCCAGAAGACATGCCGGATGATCCACCCTTGCCGGATGATCCACCCTTTCCAGAGCCTCCCTTTCCAGAACTCATATCGGAAGACCCTCCTTTTCCAGACGATCCACCCTTGCCAGAGCCTCCTTTGCCGGATGATCCACCCTTGCCGGATGATCCACCCTTGCCAGAGCCACCCTTGCCGCTTCCCTTGGACGATGAAAGTTCATCGTCATCATCCATTGGTCGGTCAAAAAGGACACGTCCGAGCGCACGTTTGCGAATGTTACCTCCAACGACGTTGCGTGCTTGTTCGTTGTTTTGTGCCACAACAATGGAGATGAGGGCAAGGAGAAGCACAAGTGCAAGGTTTCTGGATGAGAACATCATATTTATTGTTTTGTGGGTTGTGATGTTTGATGATTGAAGACCAGTTGAAATTGTGAGAGGAAGATGTGATGGATTTGATGGATTGGATCCAGACTCACTCGTACACTGTACTCGTACTGTACACGAATGGTCGCCATTATTTTTACAAGAGTGCAACTCGCAGAATTTTTACGCGATGAAACACGTTCCTCGGACAAAAGATTTGTTTACCACGTGCAAAAGTCAAGTTGATCGAACTCAGCTGTTTTAGAACATTAGCTAAAAAGGCGATCAAAAATGGTGTGCTAAAACAGATTTTCAGAGATTTCGGCTTCCTTGGAATTCCGTTTCCATGGCTTCTATAGCGGCTACCTGCTATACGAAGATGGATTGATGCATTTGATGGAATGAAAGCTCTTTTTCCGCTCGTGAGGTGATAAGCCCATAGTAGAATGAACGGTTCGTATTGTTAAATATGTTGCTACTGTCGAAATGATGAGATGGAGTTCTCTGGAAATATTGATTCGAGTCTAAATTGATTCATTTTATACATATACATCTTTATCACTGTGATTGAAATCTTGCTGTGCTGTGTAGCTTTTTCTGTCTATCTGCCAAGCGGAGGGTGCCCGTAGTCGAGCACTGTCAACGATTGTCGCTCAGATTCAGATTGTAGCTTAGCGGCGGCTGGCACTTCCGGCGGAAAGTCTGTGGTCCATTTTGGTGTCACTCGACGAGCTGTGGGACTTCTTGGCTCCCTTTCCACCCTTTCCACCCTTGCCCTTGCTAGAACCAGATCCGCTCTTGGAGGAGCCGCCCTTTCCCTTTCCATTTCCCTTGCTAGAGCTAGAGCTAGAGCCAGAGCCAGAGCCAGATCCTCCTTTGCCCTTGCTAGAACCAGAACCAGACCCAGAACCAGACCCAGATCCAGATCCACCCTTTCCAGAAGAAGATCCGCCCTTGCCAGAAGACATACCAGATCCAGATCCACCCTTTCCAGAAGAAGATCCGCCCTTGCCAGAAGACATACCAGATCCAGATCCACCCTTGCCGGATGATCCACCAGATCCAGATCCGCCCTTTCCAGAAGACATGCCCGAGCCAGATCCGCCCTTGCCGGATGATCCACCCTTGCCGGAGCCTCCCTTTCCAGAAGACATGCCGGATGATCCACCCTTGCCGGATGATCCACCCTTTCCAGAGCCTCCCTTTCCAGAACTCATATCGGAAGACCCTCCTTTTCCAGACGATCCACCCTTGCCAGAGCCTCCTTTGCCGGATGATCCACCCTTGCCGGATGATCCACCCTTGCCAGAGCCACCCTTGCCGCTTCCCTTGGACGATGAAAGTTCATCGTCATCATCCATTGGTCGGTCAAAAAGGACACGTCCGAGCGCACGTTTGCGAATGTTACCTCCAACGACGTTGCGTGCTTGTTCGTTGTTTTGTGCCACAACAATGGAGATGAGGGCAAGGAGAAGCACAAGTGCAAGGTTTCTGGAAGAGAACATCATATTTATTGTTTTGTGGGTTGTGATGTTTGATGATTGAAGACCAGTTAAAATTGTGAGAGGAAGATGTGATGGATTTGAGATGGATTGGATCCAGACTCACTCGTACATTGTACTCGTACACGAATGGTCGCCATTATTTTTACAAGAGTGCAACTCGCAGAATTTTTACGCGATGAAACACGTTCCTCGGACAAAAGATTTGTTTACCACGTGCAAAAGTCAAGTTGATCGAACTCAGCTGTTTTAGAACATTAGCTAAAAAGGCGATCAAAAATGGTGTGCTAAAACAGATTTTCAGAGATTTCGGCTTCCTTGGAATTCCGTTTCCATGGCTTCTATAGCGGCTACCTGCTATACGAAGATGGATTGATGCATTTGATGGAATGAAAGCTCTTTTTCCGCTCGTGAGGTGATAAGCCCATAGTAGAATGAACGGTTCGTATTGTTAAATATGTTGCTACTGTCGAAATGATGAGATGGAGTTCTCTGGAAATATTGATTCGAGTCTAAATTGATTCATTTTATACATATACATCTTTATCACTGTGATTGAAATCTTGCTGTGCTGTGTAGCTTTTTCTGTCTATCTGCCAAGCGGAGGGTGCCCGTAGTCGAGCACTGTCAACGATTGTCGCTCAGATTCAGATTGTAGCTTAGCGGCGGCTGGCACTTCCGGCGGAAAGTCTGTGGTCCATTTTGGTGTCACTCGACGAGCTGTGGGACTTCTTGGCTCCCTTTCCACCCTTTCCACCCTTGCCCTTGCTAGAACCAGATCCGCTCTTGGAGGAGCCGCCCTTTCCCTTTCCATTTCCCTTGCTAGAGCTAGAGCTAGAGCCAGAGCCAGAGCCAGATCCTCCTTTGCCCTTGCTAGAACCAGAACCAGACCCAGAACCAGACCCAGATCCAGATCCACCCTTTCCAGAAGAAGATCCGCCCTTGCCAGAAGACATACCAGATCCAGATCCACCCTTTCCAGAAGAAGATCCGCCCTTGCCAGAAGACATACCAGATCCAGATCCACCCTTGCCGGATGATCCACCAGATCCAGATCCGCCCTTTCCAGAAGACATGCCCGAGCCAGATCCGCCCTTGCCGGATGATCCACCCTTGCCGGAGCCTCCCTTTCCAGAAGACATGCCGGATGATCCACCCTTGCCGGATGATCCACCCTTTCCAGAGCCTCCCTTTCCAGAACTCATATCGGAAGACCCTCCTTTTCCAGACGATCCACCCTTGCCAGAGCCTCCTTTGCCGGATGATCCACCCTTGCCGGATGATCCACCCTTGCCAGAGCCACCCTTGCCGCTTCCCTTGGACGATGAAAGTTCATCGTCATCATCCATTGGTCGGTCAAAAAGGACACGTCCGAGCGCACGTTTGCGAATGTTACCTCCAACGACGTTGCGTGCTTGTTCGTTGTTTTGTGCCACAACAATGGAGATGAGGGCAAGGAGAAGCACAAGTGCAAGGTTTCTGGATGAGAACATCATATTTATTGTTTTGTGGGCTGTGATGTTTGATGATTGAAGACCAGTTAAAATTGTGAGAGGAAGATGTGATGGATTTGAGATGGATTGGATCCAGACTCACTCGTACATTGTACTCGTACACGAATGGTCGCCATTATTTTTACAAGAGTGCAACTCGCAGAATTTTTACGCGATGAAACACGTTCCTCGGACAAAAGATTTGTTTACCACGTGCAAAAGTCAAGTTGATCGAACTCAGCTGTTTTAGAACATTAGCTAAAAAGGCGATCAAAAATGGTGTGCTAAAACAGATTTTCAGAGATTTCGGCTTCCTTGGAATTCCGTTTCCATGGCTTCTATAGCGGCTACCTGCTATACGAAGATGGATTGATGCATTTGATGGAATGAAAGCTCTTTTTCCGCTCGTGAGGTGATAAGCCCATAGTAGAATGAACGGTTCGTATTGTTAAATATGTTGCTACTGTCGAAATGATGAGATGGAGTTCTCTGGAAATATTGATTCGAGTCTAAATTGATTCATTTTATACATATACATCTTTATCACTGTGATTGAAATCTTGCTGTGCTGTGTAGCTTTTTCTGTCTATCTGCCAAGCGGAGGGTGCCCGTAGTCGAGCACTGTCAACGATTGTCGCTCAGATTCAGATTGTAGCTTAGCGGCGGCTGGCACTTCCGGCGGAAAGTCTGTGGTCCATTTTGGTGTCACTCGACGAGCTGTGGGACTTCTTGGCTCCCTTTCCACCCTTTCCACCCTTGCCCTTGCTAGAACCAGATCCGCTCTTGGAGGAGCCGCCCTTTCCCTTTCCATTTCCCTTGCTAGAGCTAGAGCTAGAGCCAGAGCCAGAGCCAGATCCTCCTTTGCCCTTGCTAGAACCAGAACCAGACCCAGAACCAGACCCAGATCCAGATCCACCCTTTCCAGAAGAAGATCCGCCCTTGCCAGAAGACATACCAGATCCAGATCCACCCTTTCCAGAAGAAGATCCGCCCTTGCCAGAAGACATACCAGATCCAGATCCACCCTTGCCGGATGATCCACCAGATCCAGATCCGCCCTTTCCAGAAGACATGCCCGAGCCAGATCCGCCCTTGCCGGATGATCCACCCTTGCCGGAGCCTCCCTTTCCAGAAGACATGCCGGATGATCCACCCTTGCCGGATGATCCACCCTTTCCAGAGCCTCCCTTTCCAGAACTCATATCGGAAGACCCTCCTTTTCCAGACGATCCACCCTTGCCAGAGCCTCCTTTGCCGGATGATCCACCCTTGCCGGATGATCCACCCTTGCCAGAGCCACCCTTGCCGCTTCCCTTGGACGATGAAAGTTCATCGTCATCATCCATTGGTCGGTCAAAAAGGACACGTCCGAGCGCACGTTTGCGAATGTTACCTCCAACGACGTTGCGTGCTTGTTCGTTGTTTTGTGCCACAACAATGGAGATGAGGGCAAGGAGAAGCACAAGTGCAAGGTTTCTGGAAGAGAACATCATATTTATTGTTTTGTGGGTTGTGATGTTTGATGATTGAAGACCAGTTAAAATTGTGAGAGGAAGATGTGATGGATTTGAGATGGATTGGATCTAGATTTTCTGGTTCGCACAAGAATGCTCGCCATATTTTCTGACACGAATAGTGTTATCCGAATTTTACTTGACGAAACAAGTTTCATCGGACAAATGATGCGATTTTTACCACGTGCCAAAATCAAGTCGATGACATCGAAAACAGTGAATCTGGGTTCTTCACCGTGTAAAAAGTCAAACGCGGACGGAGTTGCAATAGTCCCGCAAAAACACATCATTGGCCAATGAGGCAGTGGGAATCCCCGGATTTCTCCCCTAGTTGCGAGATTTTCCCACAGCTCAATTTTTCCCACAACTCAATTTTTCCCACAACTCAATTTTGCTTCCCACAACTAGTTGTGGGAATTCCCTCAACAGTTGTGGGAAAACTGTCATTTCTACACAGAAAACCACGTAGGATATGTACTGAGACAAATTTGAAGTTTCCCACAACTCTAATTGTAGTTGTGGGAAGTTTCCCACAACTCTAATTGTTTTATTGGGAATTATGGGAAAACTGTCCGTTCTACGGAAAACTGTCCGTTCTACACACAAAACAACGTTTGATATGTACTGACTAGAAATTAGACAACTACATATGATGTTTCCCAAAAACTCTAATTGTTTTCGTGATATTTCGTGATACATTTAAGGCAAAAAAACGGACAGCTGCGCAACGGAAATTCCCACAACTAGTTGTGGGAAATTCCCACAACTAGTTGTAGGAATTTCCCACAACTATTTTTTAAGATTCCTACAACTAGTTGTGGGAATTTTTGGCAAAAATCTGTTCCCACAACTAGTTGTGGGAAATCGCGTTAAATATCGCGGGGACGAAATAAAATGAAAAGGGGGAATCCCACTGCCTCAATGGACACGTCAAGAATTTTGCAACATTGAAGCAAGTCAATTTTCAAAATAACGAAAAAAGCGATCACCCTTATCCATCCATCCTTCCATCACCACCACCATGGGCTTGCTAAAGGGAATAGATCCTATTCTTACTGCCGACCTGCTATGGGTCTTGCGGGCAATGGGCCACGGAGATCGGTTGGCCATTGTGGACTGCAACTTTCCAGCGGCGCAAGTCGCCAAGAGCACTGTCACAGGCAAAGATCCCATTATTTTGACCGTGCCACTTCCACAAGCCGTGTCGGCCATTTGTGAATTGTTGCCACTTGATTATTTTGAAGAGTCATCCGTATTTTATATGGCCCCACAAGATGGAGTAGCCATGCCACCAGAGGGGAACGCGGTGATTGACGAACTCAAGTCTGCCATTGCCACAGTATCCTCCCCGGATGTTTCGATTGCTCCTGTCGAACGGTTTCAATTCTACGAAGAAGCCAAAAAGTGTTTTGCTATTGTTCAAACCTTGGAGCGACGACCCTATGGTAATGCAATTCTAGTCAAGGGTGTCATTGGGCCTGACGGCAAGGACTTGAAACCGAATTGAGCGGCCGCTCTTTGATTTCTGACTTTCGGAGTAGCCGGAGAGCTCTAGTTCTACACTGCCTTGTGACAAGCATTGATTTTTTATATATCTTCTCCTACTCTAGGTTGTCCCTATCTTATAGTAGGGTATTTGTGGTGGATGGATGCCATGAGGCTGATAGATGATGGTCATGATCAGATAAAAGAGATGATTGAGCGCTCTTGTTTGTTTTCGAAATTGAGGAGTGCGTAAGCTGTATACTAACTAGTATCAGTTGTGGTAGTTTTGCACTATAAAAAGGAGCGATTATAAATAGAGTGCCTGTTTTTTAATACGGTACGATGATGATCATTATTATATATCTTCATTTCATGTTAGCAACAGTAACAGATGCGATGTGACGAGTTACGAATCAATCATCGAGTGCGACGTGGACATGATGGATTGATTCATTCGAACCAATTCGAGGCATAGCTAACTTTTTCAAAGTGGTTCCCTCCAAGCACTATCGGCTCGCGCTCCATGCACATTTACTCCAAAGGCGCGAATCCCGTGGGCACGGACAAAACTCCTTGCCGGCTCCAAGCCTGCACCTCCCCAAGTCCATGATAGGAAGAAAAGTTGGTGCCTCAAAACCGACATTCAAACACAACCAAGAGTAACAATCGATCTACAATTGAGCGATTGATTGCAGCAGCACTCTGTCCCATCACGCAACACGATTAGAAGTTCAGTTTCATCAAGCCCATTCTACTCAACTACAAAGTCACGTTTGCAATTAATCCGGAACTCTTTGACTAAATATCGTCGTTGCACCATTGCCTTCACAAAATTCTAAACCAGTTGCATTTCAAACACAACCCGCATCTTACACACACACAAAGCACAAAGCACACAAAGCAAAATTCAACATGGCAAAATCCAAAAAGACGCTCAAAGAAGCCATGGAAGCCAAACCCAAAATGTCCAATTTGAGCATTGAAGGACCAACTCCAACCGTCCACGAAGACGTCGAACAAGCCACCAATTACCGGGCATTGAATGATCTTCCTTCTCCCGCCACGAGCATTTTGTCCACGGATTCTCGGCAATCGGTGGGATCCGAACAACTCAAGGCCAAATGGAAGAAAAAGTTTGGTCGATTCAGCAAACCAAAGCGAGAGTCTTCCATCAATTCCGTGGGCAGCTTTTCGCAATCGGAAGATTTCAAGAAACTCTTTGACGAGGATGGCAATGCAGAGCCAACCGAAAAGCCAGAAGACGAAGTATACGTCGTCAAACAACGATGGGGATACTGCAGCTATGCCTTTTCTCTAGGTCAAGTGCTGGTGTTGATTATCATGATGAGTGGCTGTGGGATTGCCCCTATGAACATTAACCCCATGATTGGTCCCTACCCGGATGCCCTGAGTTATTGGGGTGGCAAGAATGCGGTCAATATCATTGACGATGGGGAATGGTATCGATTAATCACTCCCATTATGCTGCACGCGGGTGTCATTCACTTACTTTGTAATGTGGCCGTCCAGGTGGAAACAGGGGCCTTTTTCGAACGCGAATGGGGGAGTCTCCGGTGGATGATTGTGTACCTTACTTCCGCAGTTGGATCCTCTGCTCTCAGTGTCATTAAAATGCCGGGCGCCATTAGTGTGGGATCTTCGGGAGCGGTCATGGGACTCTTTGGGGCCAAGCTGGCCGAAGTCATGGTTCGATGGTTGGAGCGCGACAAATCGACGCAAGGACGGGTTGCCCATCAAGTGCGGAAGGAACAATGTGCCGGTGTGACTTGCAGTGTGGTGGTGGTGATGCTTTTTTCCTTTATTCCATACGGTACGTTTTATTATGTTCATTGTATACTGTGTCATGGATACAAGTAATGAAACCAGATGTTCACATTCTAATCCAACCTGCGTGCCTCTTTCTCTTCCACAGTGGATTGGTCCGCTCACTTGGGTGGTCTCATTGCCGGATTCTGCGTGGGAATGGTCATTTTTGCTCTCAATTTGAAAAATAAAAAGGCAGCGATTGGGTGGACGATAGTGGGTACTATCATTACGTGTGTCTACTTTACCATTGTATTTAAGGAACTGTATTCAGGAGATGTCGATCCTCCAGAAGAATTGAGAGATGTTTGTGGATATTACAAGCAATTCTTTGATGATTATGAATGCAAATGTATGCGAGGGCAACAGAATTAGGATGGGAATGAAGGCAATGAACAGCATGGTTGCATTAAGCGCTACGATTGCTGTCTGCATTCAGTGGGGGGCTACAATATATCTTCTATCTTCTTGTCTACTACATGTGAGAGACGAGGGAAAAGCTACAATATTCAAATGGGGAGAATCATTTGCTTGGATGGGGATGTTATGCTGAACTTTTTCCAACAGTCATCATTATCATTGCAAGTGGAGATAAAGAAATACACTTTGTACCCCCTACAAGCACTTTCCAATTCTGTCCTATTACAACAAATAATTAAACAAACAAACACAACCATGAAGCAAAACTTGTATTCTTTTTATTCTACACACTAAGCTCTTTTTTTATATCTCGTACTCAATTGAGCTCTTGGCTGCTTGGTATTCAGCTTTTTCAACCGCTGGGGTTTCTACCTCCTGAGTCGTCACTTTGACTGTAGGGTCAACAGATTTTTGAGGCATTGCAATCGGTTCCTCACGAGTGATTTGGACTGGTTGGTCTTCAGTTTTTGGAGGCATTGCGATACGTTCCAAGACGTTCTTGACTGCTTGGTATTCAGCTTCTTGAACCAGTGGGATTTTTTCCTCCCGAGTGGCTTCGACTGCTTCGTCTTTAGCTTTTGGAACCACTGCGGTGTCTTCCTCTGGAGTCGTCGCTTTGTCTGCTTGGTCTTTAGCGTTTTGAAGCATTGCGGTGCGTTCCTCCCGAGTGGCTTCCAACCATGTTGCAATTGAATTGGCCACCTGGTCAGGGACCTCATCGTGAGGACAGTGACCGGCTTGCAATGGATCGACGGTGATCCCACTACGGAGTTTTTTCAAGGCTTCGGCACGGCCCTTGGCATCGTTCAGTGGATCCAAGATACCTTGTGCTACAAGAATGGGACCAATGAAGGTGGACTCTTTCAAAGTTTCAGTGTCCGACGCTTGACCAAAGTCCGCTGCAATTACTTCATTGTAGGTGCGGGGAGTGGGAAGTTTAGAGCCGGAAATCATAACGTTAATGGCTCCAGGATCGAGAGAATCTCGTAAAATGTTTTCGCACAGGAATATATCCACCGCACCGGGGTTGGTGGGATACAGCTTGATGCAAATTTCGCGAATTTGGGGTCGCAAGTACGCCAAGAGGCCAGTGCCAAAGGCTCGGGCGACTGGTCGGGGAAGGGGTCTGAAAACAGAAAAAGAGGAACCAAGTGAGTAAATAATTTGCAATGTTGCGGCAAAAGCCCAGCAGTCACTTACTTGCAGGGTGGCAATCCATCCGTTGCTGTAACTTGAGCCACAGATTGAAGTGGGATACCGTTACTTGCTTGCTCCATGGCCACGACATCTTCCTTGGCTTGAATAACACCAGCAGGATTCATTAGGATGACTCCATTACACTTTCCAGTTCCAGGGGATCCTCCTCCCGAGATTGCTGTAGGGTCGATAGAGGCGTCATTGGCGGCAGCGCACATGCTGATAAATCCACCAATACTGTTGCCTCCAATGACAAAGGAATCCATTTGACATCTGGTGGTGGCCACGTCCTTGATAAAATCACCCAAGAAGGACTCCCACATGTACCCAGTGTAGGTAACGGGAGGCTTTTCCGACTCCCCGAATCCAATAATATCGGGTGCCACGCACTTTCCAACGGTGGTCGATCCAGACAATTTTTCGGACAAGCAATCGATAGTCTTGGTCAGCTGTGCTCCAGAAGCACCGAATCCATGAACCAGGACAACTCCCTCGGATCCTGGGTTAGCTCCTTTCGCCAAGTCAGCCTCGGCATATCGACACAATAAACCATGCCACCTCCAGTATTTGTATTTCGTGCTTTCATTCGATTCCTCCTGATATTGTGAGTCTGTTTGAATGTTTCGTGCTGCAAGAAGCTTGTGCCATTCCCTGGTCTCCACCAGTGTCTTGACGGGACTCTTGAACAAGATTGAACCTTTTTTCATGGAATGCCAGAGCCTTCTGGGAGATACCGTTCCCAACATAAGTGGTGCCAAGAGTTGCCGGTTCATTCGCTCCCCTGCAATCATATTGTTGGGTACCGGCTGGTCTTCGGATTCACCTCCACCTCGCATATTCCAACACATGCTTGCATGTTCCAGAGATTGTGGATTTCGGGTACAGAGAACTGGGATCTTGGCATATACTTCATCGTCTTCCTGACATTTCTCGACATATGTTTGGATGGTATCTTGAATCTTGGATTCTACTACAGTGCTGCTCTCCAAACCTCCCCAATGAGTCGCATACATTCCGCTGTTTCGTTCTGCTTCACAGCGATCATCGTCAAGTGAAAGCTTTGTCTGTAGTAGTTTGTAAATATCTTCAGCAGTTGGAATGCCAGTTAATTCCGCAATACTAACTCCCCTTCCATTGACCGTCGAACCATTGAAGCTGACCGGTTTCATTGGGGGATCCTTTCGTTGGTCCTCAAAGTCAGGGTATCGCTTTGATACGCTCGCAACATTAGACCATGGCTGCACCCATAAATGGCAAGACCAGGGCTTGACAATAACGTTCTCTGGAAGACCATCCAGATTCGAAATTGGTGCATATCCCATGACGTTGTCCGCATCTCCAGCGTCACAGACATGAAGTCGGATGACGGCTTCTGCTGGAAAGTTTTCAAGAATCTTTATAAGTTGTTCCGAGAGTGAAGGTCCACCGACTGAAACTTGGAGATCAAGCTTGCTCCTTGCCAAAGTGACCTTCAGATCGTTTACAGTCTCTGCAATCATCGATGCCGTATCAAAGGTATGTGAAACAACGCCAGGAACTTTCGATATGCTTTCTTCATCCAACACTACCAGAGGTAGGATTCTAGAGAAGGAGGAGGATTCTGTGGCTTGAATCAAACCAAGGTGATCGTCGGTACGCAAATCACCAATCCCAAATAGAACAACGTCCAAGGCAGTAATGTCGTCAGTCGACGTCGACGCTGCAAATATACTCGACAAATGATGACCACTCTCTTCCCGTCTCGGATGAACCGAAACAAAGGCTTGTGATATATTCACTATCAGCGAGAATAAAGATAGCACATGGACGATGTCATGGTGTTTCATTTTTGGAAGGTCGGTTGGCTTCGTTGTGTGGATGGAAAAATGAAAAGCTGGAAAACGAATATGAATATGGAACGTGAGTCAGTCAACGTCATGCATGAAACCCCCAACCAATACCCCCGATATTGCCATCCCTTCCCCACCCCCAATGGGCAAACCCATCATGGAAGTATCGTACACGTGTACGTATCGTGTATTCAGTATGTTCAATGTTTTATGGTCTGTTGGAGTGGCAGTACAGTACCTGGTACAAGTATCATCGCTTGAATTTGAATATTCCCTTGAAAAGATGCAGCATAATTCGTCCATGCACAGAACGAAGAGTATTTGCCTGAAGAAAGCGTTCTGATGGATGTGATCCATGCAACAAGTTAGTCTTAGCTTCGGCCTTCTATGCTTGTCACGAATCGCCTACCAATGTCCACCAGTAGTCTGACATCGCGGATCCAATGGTCAGGCATTTGTCGATGCATGGTGGCTTTCCTTGCGCTCATTTTCGCACGTGTTTATCGAGAGAACAATACAATGAAGTTGGTCGGCATCGGTCGCATCAAAACGCGTTTCATCGAGACAGAGCCCAAATCATCCCTAGTATCTGCTGATGATGATTCCAGGGAACATCATTTTGGAGGTTGTCAGCCGCTGACCGGGAGATGGGTACATGTAGGGCGTAATCGAACATTCCATGCCCCTGTTTGCTGTGGGTGGGATCGAGGCGCATTTAGACGTTTTCCTAAAGAATGCGGGTACCAAAAGAGGAAACCAATAGAGGGTTTCTATAGAGGTTCCGCTGCAAATGATGTTTATACGCAAATGGGAGGCAATGCTTGCCGAGATGCTAGTTTCTTGGACGAATGGGAATGGCAAGATCCAGCTTTGCTTCCATTTAAATCACAACTAACGTGTCAAAAATTAGCCAATCGAACAGTGCTACTCCTAGGAGATAGTACCATGTTGCAAACAGCAACCACACTGATGAATGCCTTAAAATCTGGAGGATGTGCCCCACAAATAATGGTTCAGAAAGCCGATACATTGATCAAGGAAGATTTGGGTAGATTGAATCGCGGTTTGTATTGGATGGACGCAGTCCGCTCGTACGAACCAGACATTGTGATTGTCAACTCGTGCCATCACATTGCAAGAAATGCGATGGATGACTACCAGAAAGTGCTTCATCAAGTGCAGGCAGACATTCTTGATTGGAATCGAAATACTACGAGCAAACACAACAAAAAGACTGCATTCGTTTGGAAAACGGCCAATCCAGGAGGCTGCAGTGACAAGCCTTTATTTCCAGACGATCCTTTGTTGGCGGCAAGGACACGCAACTTTTCGTTTGCCCCCGACTACACCCGACATTATCATCATGTGACATTTGAACGAGACCAGTATGCATGTAATCATTGGACCGGGAGCAAGCAGGAGATGGCAAACACGTTTGTGCTCGACATGCGCATGTTGTATAGCCGCTCTGACGCTCATCCTGGAAAGAACGGGTTTATTGGGGATTGCCTTCACTATAAATCTCCTGGTCCACTAGATGTGATTGCGCCGCTGTTTCAACAACTTTTGGATAGAATCGACAGCATGAATTCCAAATAGTCGCTTGTCTAGTAGATGAAAGACTAATTTACAACTATTGAATGATTACACTCGAATGATTGCTTTCAAGTAAAGAGGCGGAGATGATAGTTCACATGTTTTTATCGACCATACGAATCCAGAGACTGACCATGGTAGAGCGGGCTTGGCTTCAGTTCCTAATCTCGTCGGCGACACTAGTCCAGAGCTTCAACATAGGAATGAAGGAGTGGCTTCAATTCGCTAATCAGATGTCGAGGCAAACGAACAGGTCGCCCATGTTTCTGATACTCTAGTGCTTCGTTATAAGCTTCAAACAAAGCAAGGGCGTCAGGGTCATTCAGCTTCTTATCAGAATTGTCGGCGATGTCCTTGGCAAGGTTGTAGAGAGCCCCAATGAGATTTTTAGATTCAAATCGGAGATTGTCAATCATGACATCCTGAGCGTCATGGAACCACTCTTTATTAGCCGGGACGGTGGCCAACTGGCCATCATCTTCTGCTTCCTGTTCCTCTAGTGGGAGTGCGGTCAAGGAATTTACTACTTCCTTGTCCCAGCACACCAAATACAGGTCTCCATCAAGGTCTCCATTGGCAATACGCTCCGGAATCGATTTCATACCTTCTCGAGGATTCGAGAAGATGACTACTCCAAAGTTGAGCTCGTTGTTCAGCCAATCCCAGTTATCTGTAGACATACCTGGTGGCTTCTCAGTGAAAGACCGAAATTTTCTACCGTGCTCATGAGCATAACAAGGAAATCTCGTCACAAAAAAGTCATAGGGTCCCTGATTCTTGATGCCTGGGACAAAAACGGTATCAGGTGGCAGGCAACCCGTTGGATCGGGAACACCGACTACCCAGGCATGGTTGCGGCGAGAAGGAAGAAGGCTCTCCTTTTTGTATCTGTCGCACAATTCCTTGGGGACGCCCATTGTTTCCCAAAGTCTGAAAAGCATCGTTGATAAAGGTTTCTTGATCTTTTCAGTAAACGACTTTAACGGGGGAGGATTGGCTCCATCGAAGTTTCGCCCGATGTACTCATTGGCAGATCCAGGTGAAGGATGCACTTTGTTTCGGCAAATCAAAATACAAGCACCATCGAAACGTTGCGGATGGGTTGACTTTAATACCTTTTGCATTGAGCAAGGTAACTCGATTGGTGCGCCGTTCCTGACACGCTTCTTCACCAACATACCTTTGAAAACACCCATTGATGGAATGAAGAGGCGAACTTGGATCGCAGCAACTCGACGAGCCGGAGTGGGTTTCATTCCAGCCCTCCTCAGCAACTCGAACAAAGTGTCTTCATGGATGAATCCGCCCCCAACGTAGCCAAGGTCTGGGATTTGTTGAAACCAAGAATCCTCGTTAAATACCAGTCTCATACTTGATGGGGACTGGAATAGCTCTAATCGAGCTGCTATCTTCCGCGGTGGAAGTGTTGTAAAGTCACCAACGCGGCGAAGGAAATCATTGGCAGCAAATGGCTCTAATCCGGGACCTTCAGTCTGCGCATAGATCACCTTAGCAAATTTTCGTTTCACAAACTTGGACCCCGTGGCCTCCTCATAGGTCTTACAAGACAATAATTCGTAAACCTTGCCGCTTGAATCTTTCACTCGCCTCTCAATGAGCTCCGAAGATAAGCTGGTAGAAAGTGGGACTTCAACGATGAGCTTTCGCTGCATCAGCAGTTTGTTTAGGAATGTTGTCTCACCCTTTTCACCCTGTCCGACGACCAATTTCTCAATATGGAAACCACCAAACTTCGGCATCACTTCGGGGTTCTGTGGAGCAATCCAAGCTTTGCCTAGATCGGATTCAGGATATTCTTCTCCCTTTGATAATTTTCGGGATGTATGTTGCCAAGCTCTCGTTTTTGGCTTGTTAGACGCATCACATTTCGAGGTGCTGCATCTTGGGGTCCGTCTCATCGGTGTGCTTACTGTCCCAAGCCTTGGCTCCTCACTGGTGTTACCTTGAGGTGCATGGCCATTGGCGAAGTCAATGTTATTCAACCTGACACCAAATCTAGTGCCCTCATCACATTGTACCTCCACAACGCTCTTGTTTTTCCAACTAACAACATTTCCAAATTTGCCGCGTTTTTTGCTATCGCGAAGGGACTCCCTTACTTTTACTCTCTTCCCAATAATAAATCCATCCTTAGCAGGAACTAATGTAGGCTCCTTGTAGCGAGAATTTTGAAACGAATCATTGGAGGTGAAAGATTCTTGATTGGTGGGCGCTTTTGTCAACGTTGCTGTCGGTACTATAAGTTGGTCTAGCACTTCGTCTTCCTCGTCAATCTCGGTATAAGCTGACATGTATGCAATCGGTTCATCAATACCCCCGGCTGAATTTGAATCATTCGAACCGTTGACAGAGTCCATTCGCGCCGTCACAAATTCTTCAGTAGATTGAGATTTGACACTCTTGAAGGATTCGGGGCTGCATTGTGCTGAACTTTCATTTGGAAATTCCTCTTGTGCTCGATCCAGGTCTTCCTCGTCAATCTCGGTGTAAGATGGCATGTGAGCAGTCGATTCATCAATACCCGTTCTTGAATTGGAATCATTCGAAGAATTGCTAGAGTCCATTCGCGCCGTCACAAATGTTTCGTTAGATTGAGATTTCACACTCTTGAAAGATTCAGGGCTGCAGGGTGATGAAGATTCATCTAGAAATTCCTCTTGTGCTCGATCCATTTCATTGGGTCTCGATTGAGGCTGCTGATTCACAAAATCAATACTGGAGACACGAACTCCAAATGTTTGGCCGTCCTCGCATTTCAAGCTGACCGTGTTCTTTGTTTTCCATTCAACAATCTCGCCAACTCTGCCACGTTTTTTCGAATCGCTTAAGGAATCTCTGACCTTGACTTTCAATCCAAGAATGGAAGAACACTTTGCAGGAGCTTCCATCGGACTTGCGAAAGGAAAGTCACTTTTGGAATTCATACCCGATGGCAAATCTGGGGCCTCTTGCTTGTTTGCAAGATTGATCGATTGAAGTTTGGGTTGCCGTTCCTTCATTCCTACAAACTCGATACTGGAAAGACGAACACCACAAATACCGCCGTCGTCACATTTCATGGTTACAGTAATCCTATCCTTCCAGTCAATGATGTGCCCAATCTTGCCACGTTTGTGAGCATCGTTTAATGATTCTCGGACCTTTACTCGTTTACCAATCATTCCAGGGTATTTTGATGGGACTTCCGTTGGCTTTGTGTACGGAAAGACCAACTCAGAATTTAGAGCAGCTTGCTTTCCTTCGGACTCACGCGAATTCGACTGCTTCCAATTCTTTGAGGGGCAGTGTTCTGTTGTCGATGCCGTCCCAACTGCGAACGAGGGCTCTTCGTGTCCCCCTCCAGCTCTGGTATCTTCATCTTCAATGAATGATGGCATTGATAGCCGGGAGATCTCATCGTCCAATGACACTTGCCGACTGGATTGCTCGGGTATCTCATTTTGCTGTATCTCTTCAATCTGCAGGATGCTGGAAGGAGAGTTTGGAGGCTCAATTTTCTCTTTGTTTTTGCGGCTGCTGTTCGATCGTGGGTTGGTAGACTTTCGACGACGAAACTTATGCCGGAGTTTCTTCAAGAGTGAAGGCATTGTGGCTGCTACTGCATGTAGCTGGGGTTGTTTTCTATTCATACACTTTCTGTTTGTTCTTTCAACTGAGATGCTCTGCTGGTTCGGCGATTTTTGACACGGCAAATCAGCCAAGCTGCATTAATTAAATATTTCGACGTCTCCAACGGTAAAATAAGATCACGCCGGAAATCCAAAACCTAAAGCAAACAATTACTGTAAACGATAGTATTAAAATATATTATGGGACAACCAAGAAGCACATTTGGACTCTCGCAGGAAAGAAAGAACATCTTGATTAAAGATCACTATCTTCTACTTGGCACTCATAGAAAAACTCCTCTCAGGAGCATCAGACGGGTGGCTACTACCCTCCATTAACGTAGTAACTTTCTTTGCCAGAAAATGAAGGAGGATACCAGCAGATAGAACCAAGTATGCCACGCTTAGTTTCTTTCGCCCTTGCAATAAAGACGCGCCCAATATGCCGCCCAATATGGACCAACGTTGAGTTTTACGTGCTCGTCTCAACACAGCACGGCATTTCGAACATGTTGATGTGTGTATTCTCCACGGGTTCTGCATTTCAGCAAAGTTCATCGGAACCAAATTCTCCTTTGATGCCGTTCCAAAGGTGTGTGCTGGCGAATCAGAGAATCCATATTGTTGCATCCATTTGTTCCAGGCACGCGGCCCGGTATCACTAGTTGTCGGCTCCACATATTTTAGATTCTTTTCTACCCTATTGAGTTCGGCTTGATGGACGAAATAGTCACCTTCAAATAATCGCCGTGTGGCCAAATGAGTGACCCAAGCAGGTAGGTAAGATTTCGAAACCTTTTCCACAGACGTTATGATACGTGTGCGACCCTCACGTATTGGCACTAGGAAGAACAAGACAGCAGGGAGCCACGTTGACTTATCCTCTTGATTTGAACTCGGCACCTTTTCCTTGTTATACAACAGACATGGCCTCTGATAGGAATAGATTCTTTCACGGGATTCCCCATTTCTCTTGTAGGTAGTATAGATATCCAAGTTTGTAAAATTCGACGAAACGACCTTCATATCCGGCATCGGAGCAGCATCGTCTCTTCTTGCAATGACTCCACAGTGCGCAAAGGAAAAATGAGCAGGATCAAGACCATTCTCCACTATCATATGGAACGAAGATGGCATCTCCTGAACATAATAGGTGGCGTCCCGAGCCATGTCCATCTTCAGACCGGGAAAGTAGTAGTCTTCATGAAGCAGTGTTTTGGGAAATGACTCACCATGAAGGTTTGTGGGTAGGAATGCCCATAGAAGGTCTCCCGTTTCGTGCACGGCAAATGAGGTTGCTGGTTTCACCTTTTCGACTGAACTTTTGCCTTTGTCCATCTGTGGAATCACCGACACGGTACCATCATTCTGAAATTGCCATCCGTGATAGCCACATTCCACACAACCCGTTTCTTCATTAATTCGCCCTTGGGAGAGTGGCGCCAACCGATGAGGACAAACATCCGACATTACAGACCAACTATTTGTCATTGGATTCTTCCATACTGCAAATGGCTCCCCCATGATTTCGATTTTCGTCGGAGACAAGCCCTCCAAAGAAGATACCGATCCTATTGGAATCCATGCTCCCAGTGAATCTGAGTGGCCATCGACCTGATATGAAAACAACGGTGTCGACCGACGGGGGAGTAGACATTGATATTTGATGGAGGGTTTTCTTCTGCTGAAGAAAGATGGAGAGTTGAACGCCGTCGTTGAAGTGCAGAAAGATGATAGCAGGAGACCAGTTACGGCCAACTCCAATCTGAAAGTCTTGGCATTTTTCTGTAGGTTTGTCATGACTTACTAATGACGGCTTCAGTGACATATAGCCATGATATCTAAAAGTTTAATGGTCGGATGAGTCGGAAACCTTTCCCGCCAATAAGTTGAAAGTGCGATTGATTTGAAATCCTAAGGTCGTCGTCATCCACGATCAGTTTGTGAGTTGAATCCACTGAACCATACAGTACAGTAGTTCTTGACCATGCCCGATCCGTTGGAATACGACGACAAGTTTGAGTTTCTCTTTCAGTCAGAAGTTCTGACCTATCTTTCGTTGAAGGATGATATTCAACCTGGTGTGCGCATTGTTTCAAAATCCTGGCGATTGGCGTGTGAAGCTTACAAGACTGCTTGGATTGAAGCTCTTGATGCGAAGCACTCGGTAGTCGTGCTCGAACTCATGTCAGCTAAGGGTAAAATGCTGAATAGTAACACAGCCAAGATCACCGGAAAACGGGATGCAAAGTCACATCGCTACCCAATTCTTGTCAACAACTGGCTTACGGGCGAATCTGATATTTTGACTATTAAAATATGCAATTTGAATCCCACTGCCACTCATCGAGCTGATCCTGAAGCAGACGCTCCTGATTTGCTTCAATATTCAAGGAATGCGAAACTCAGAAGATCGCATGGGATGATGCTGTAAGAATTGACGACCCCGCTTGAGTGCGACTTTCTGATTGAGATGCTCACTCATTTCCTTCTCATGTTCTTCACCAGTGATCAGATGCTCATGCTCGCTAGATATGAAACTAATACAATCAATGGAAATCTGGTCCCGGGAGAGTTCAGGGACTTTATCAATCTACCTAGAGGTCATCCAGCTCTTGCACAGTTAAATGCCAATATGTGGACGTACTGGACAGTGCCTCCAAAGCTAGCTGGACTTTACGGCCGTGGAACAGTTTCAGACTTGGTTAGCATGGCTCTAATGAACAATGATCCTAGCCTGGTTATGGCCAAAGAAGATAAGCTATGGCCGCAAGATGGTGAGAAGGGTGTTCACTTGGTGCGAAACATGGTTCGGTTCATGAGGACTTGGTCTGATCAGCGTGTATATGGAACATTTTGGGTGAGCCACAAGTTCAAGACTGGAAGCATTATGACAGAGTATCGAGATGGCAACTTTGGCCAAGTATACTTGGTCAAGGGTCACAACAGTGTGATTGCGGAGCTAGGACCTCAGTTGCCTTTTTGTTGCAGAACAACTCTCTTGCCTATGTACGATTTATGGACCTATGCTGGCATCATCACTGCTATGTCCGTGCGTCCATCTGCAAAGCAACTAAAAGATCTTGAAGCTCATGTGAAGAAAGCTATTTTGGAAAAGACGGTTAGTTGGCGGAGTCCGAACGCTGAGCATTGGCGGTATCCACCGCCTCCTTTCCCCACGAACAAGAACACTTCAGGTGAAGAAGCTGATTTGGATTGGAGTAATCATGAAGATGTCTACAGTAATCCAAATATAAATACTGAAGAATCCGAGGAAGTCACCGAAGAACACATGGAGATTGGTCGCAGGATTGTAAAAGCTGCGCTATCAAAAGGTGGCATCAATCCAGATCCTTCACCAGAAAACCGTTGGGTGATACGGCGATGGGGATATTCCTACGAAGAAAATCCAAATGGCATGGCCATGTTTATGGGAGGCGGTGGACCTCTCCCGGTATCGCCAGTCATGTTTGAAGTAGACCATGAACGTGGTAAAGACCCCAACGACAAATACATTCCCACGTACACTCTGAGAGATATTTTGCATGGCGTACTTGACGCAGCAACACGGTGGCGGCTTCCTGGAGTTATCCAACCAGACGACCTTGGCGTAGTGCGTCCACTCGAAAAGGTTTTGAAGGAATGTTTCGAGGAAGAGGATGTAAATGCAATTTCCGTCCAGTGGGTAAGTCTTTGCGTGGAATCTGCCTTCCCGTAGTCCACAATACAAGAATTTGGCTCACATTGATCCTTTTTCGTTTTCGCTCTCTTAGTATCCACCTCCCTCTGAAGAAGAATCTGACTATGCAACTGCCTTTGGCAATGATAACCCATTCTGATGATAAGAAGAGATACAAAAAGAAATATGTCGCTTCCCTACACCACTATCCCAATGTCCTGTAGAAGGCTGCTACCCACTTGCTCCGACGCTGGTACTAGAGAATAATACAGATATAAATACTTGCTTTTACAATTTCCCTATGAGTTGGATGAAAAGATACTCACAACAATTGGATCATTGACTAGGAGCAACCATGACGCACTAGAAGCTGTCCTAGCTCGAGATGTGTTTACGCCACTCCTTGAATCAGACCTGCTCGGTCTTATTTCTAGGCATCAACAGGCCCACCTTCGCTGCTAGAGCTCGCGGAAGTATTCCTTTTTGTGGAAAGGAGAGCGGCCGATTATTGTTCTTCAGTCCCCTCCAAGACCTTGTTCAGCTTACCAAATACCATGAATACAAGTGCCATGGTGACACAGCCAATGAACATTACGACTGCTAACAATCCAATAAAGACAGTGTCCCTATCATCATCGTCGTCGGCATACCTGGAGGCAGCAGATTCGGCGGTAGATGTTCCCAAAGCTTGATCATCTTCGGTGTTTCCAGCACTACTACCATTCTGCTCGGCTGTATCCAAGACGCATGCTTGAGTCAAAGTATTTTCGCCAAGCTGCTGACAAGAGTACCCTTCTGGACAACCATGACCACTCAAGCCACAACGTTCAAGTCCATTGTGAGTAATTTTGTGGTAGGCCTTGCCAAACTCTTCGGCCAGCACGTCAGGATAGGAAGCAAAAGTTTCCGCATACGGCATCATGGCCTCATTGGCCTTTAGAAAAAAGTCACTCTTGAGGCGCATTTGCAGCAAGTTGACATCACAAGGAGATGCATCAATGGCGTAAATATCGTCCTCAAAATCGCAACCACGCATGGCCTGTTCTTCACAAAGCATGGCCTCGCCACTAGAGGCCACAAGACAAGCATCGACCTCGCCCCCAGGTGCTTCTTCTGCTTCTGGAAGTCCGTTGGCAAACGGATCCTCAACGCTGGCATAACTGACCGTGTCGTTGGCATAGGTGCAAACCTTGTACCATCTCCAATCCTCTTTCAGCAAATCTGAAAAGAAGGATGGGTCGCTTCTATCTGGTCCGAACCAACTGAGTGGAGTGGCGGTCCATTGCCCAACGTATCCACTGCAGTCACCATGGGCCGATCCGAAATTGTGGGAACCTCCGATCAAGGCCACCGTTTGACTGACGGTCAAGTCGTATTGTTTTGTGAACCGGGTCAATGGATCGTCATCAGCCGAAGGCAAACGATCGCGATTGGCGACATTAGAAATAGTGTCACGACCACCCGTGATCGAGAGCAAATCCATACGAGGAAACTGTGAAGATGGAAGAGGAGGGAGGCAAGGGATGTGAGACAAAAGAAACATTTGACATTTGATCAAGATTTAGTTTTCCTTTTACTCACATCCATAGAATCCAAGGCAACCACTCCAGCAATTACCATCGTGTCCGCAAGAGGGACATCCTTCTGTCCATGAAAGAGAACACCCAGTTCGGTTGTGGCACCGGCGATGCATCCATTTTGTGCATCGGCCAACTCGGCATGATTGAAAATGGTGCCTCCATTGCTTCCTCCGGTACCCGTTGCATGGGTGTAAGTGCCGGCTCCATGAAAGCTGGCTCGCAAGAGAAGGGGTGCGAAGCCAATATAGGAATCATTTGGACTACTGTCCTTGTTGGTGGCAAGAAAATCGTAGATTTGTTGGGCAGAGTAGGCATAGGATATGCGCTTGTCTTCATCAATCTCATTTTCAAACCAATTTGATTCAAACAACGATGCCAACTTTCTTTGTTGGGCCTCGGGCAAAGACTCCCACCAACTGGCATCTCCTTCTTGGCAATGGATTGCTACATCACGCAAGCATATGGATGCAAGGAAAGCAAAAGCACCAGTAGAAAATTTCATGTCAAAGAGGAAGATCAGGTTGCGCTTGGAAAAAATGAGATTACCATTAGTCGCAGTTTTAAGTTCCTCCTGTAATAAGCGGATTGCTTGGAGTACGAAGTTCCGATGTTCAGTTCAGAACTTTGCCAGCTTCATTCACGGATGGCTTCAGCCCATATTATGGAATCTTTCAAAGCTGTTTTAAAGCAACGGACTGACTCCTATTGACAGATATAGTAGTTGTGCCAAGCGATGCAAGATCCCAACGAGACATCAATCTTGTCTAGCATCAATAGAATGAGGTTGACGGAAAATTGGTTCGGGACCAAGACTGTTGATTGAATTCAATCGATCTTTGCTTCGCTTTTGGGATTGAGGACTCGACTCAATCGAATTGCGAGAAGGAGAAGGTCACCTGGTACACGTACCAGGTACCGGTAATGGTATTGTATTTTAATATCGGGTGTACGTATCGGTTCAGAACTTCAACAGCGATGTCACACTTTCAGATACCCTACTGGTATCTTACGGGTACCGGTATCTTACCGGTGCTACACAAAATTCCAAAATTGGCCGGTCCACATTTTACGGTCAACGAAAACGAAAAATCCAGTTTCCGAACCTTGTGTACGTGTACAAGATACCGGTGTTAAAGTGGTACCGCTACCTGAAGCATCAGCCTTGTCGCGGATACAGGTACAGTAAGGGTACCCTTTTAAGAGAGTATTGTGCGATAGCGCAAAATGTCTCTGAAGGCGGTTCCCCTCTTATTAAAGGGGGGTCTGGGGGCCTAGCCCCCAGTGTATTGGGGGTATGGGGGCTACCCCCAGCCAGTCAAGGCGGAGCCTTGCGGGGAGTATCTAGGGGGGCAGAGCCCCCTTTGGAGAAGAAAATTTGCAGTTTCAGGTAACAATTGAACCAAATTTGATAAGAAAACTACCACAATCTTTAAGGTACATTTTAGATCTGATGCTACGCTGGCCGCTTTATACATTCAATGCTTCCTAAGCAGTTTTTCGAGCCTGCTGTTAGCATTGAAGCATCTAGTTCCAAAGGACGACACAACACCTCTTCCTCAGCGTCCGAATCATCTGGATCATTAGGGGAACCACCTGTTGGAGCAAGAATAGCCTCAACTATGATATCTTTCTCGCCACTCTGCAGTAACAAATCCTTCTGCTGCATCTCCCCCAGAAAGGCTGGTTTGCAGACGAAGGACAGACATATGGGCATGAAATGGTACGGGTGACAGATGGACCGTGAAATTTGTGTCTCGTCAAAATTTGTCTCTAATAAGGGGGTGTTTCTCTTAAAAAATACCCTCTTAACAGGGTACCCTTACTGTAGGATGACAGTCGTCAATCCGATTTCGAAACGACACAGGTAGCTGAGTCAGTCTACTGTTGTATGTCAGAAGATTGACCATTCGGTCAACGGCCCTCTGTACTACTGAGGGTGGTAGGGAAACTAAGGAAACATGTGCAGCTAATCTGTCAGAAAGTGAAGATGCTCTCATCATCTGGTCGTACCACTCACTCGTATGGAAAAGTCACGATGATGAGGGGAAACCCCGCGGGACGACAGGAGGCGGGTCAAAGGTATCGATCATCAAACCCTCCTACTCCTATCCTATATCAAACAACTTTGAAGGCATGAACCAATTATTCAACAATGAACTCGATCACTCGTGTGTAAAGGTGTATGCTCAAGGTGCGTGTTCAAGGTGCCTGTGCTCAAGATACAAGGAAGCCACATGTAGACAATCTCGTCGTCGAGCGAAGAATCAATCTAGTACCAGAAAAGCTACTTTGTAGACTGACAGAGACTTTACTTCAGTGCCAGAGGCGTCACTGGGATTCGGTAGATTTGTTTTATATATTTATTGTAATGTTTTCCCTCAGTGATGAAAAGATAATCACAAGAAGTTGGTTTTGTGGAATTTATTGGCCTCATTCTGTCGCGCTTCGAATAAAGCAAGAGAAAACGCCTGGAGCTGAAGATCACTCAACATCTGGTATAACCTTAAGTCTGTTGCTGAAATGTTTGGTACTCAGAGTTCTTACTACTCAGAAGTTTCTGTGCATCATCGGGATCGAGCTCCGAACTCGGTTGCTTTTCATTTGGAACCTTTTTTGAAAATATGGATTTGATACCGAAACAGAGACAGAGAAACGCCAAGCATTTCAAAACAAGGAGGCTTGTAGTTGCAGGCGACCATGATTGGTACGATGGTATCTTGCTGACTGGTAGCAAGTCAATATCGCAACAACTGGAAAGAGCTGCGCTGGCCGGGGATGAATCTGGACAGAAATCTGTAATACTATGAGTTGTATTCGTTCCGCTCGTATGGTTTGAAACACCATGGTACTCGTATTTGATATCGAGAGCATCCAACTCATTCACATAGTTTTCCATGTCTTTAGAAAACTCCAAGGTATTATTTCCATCCCAGCGACCCCCAAGAGTCATTTTAAAATCGAGCGGCCCATCATATGCATAAGCTACAAAGCCAGACCATCTGTCAATCATGTCCGAACCAAGAATGCTGTGAACTTGCTTCCAGTCGCGATAGCCTTTTTCCAGTTCATTATCACGGTTGAAATCATCCTTTGAGCAGCCAAGTTCCGAAAAGAAGAGTGGGATTTTAGAGTGATTCAAATGCTGGTACAACTCTTTGTAGGTTCCAATGGATCCGTCTGGGTTGTGATCAAATGTCTGTTTTGAGGAACACCAAGATTCAATATTGACACCCAAGGCATCAATAGAGGCTTCAGGGCATTCACTCATGTAGTCTAAAGTCAGTTTGACAGCTTCTGATGGCTCCCCTGCAGCCCCAATACCAGCATGCTGCATAGCGTACATCAATGTAACCTCTGGGTATTCCCTTTTCAGATCTCTGGCATAGGCCAAAATACAGGGCGCGGTCTCCCAGCTCTCCAGAGAGTTCATAACTTCATTTCCAAGAACATATCCTAAAATGTTTGGGAACTTACCAAAGTCCCGAATCACAGATGACCCATAGTTGAAAAGTTTTCTTCTGTAACATTTTGGAGCGGCCTTCTCACGACTCAGGACGCCACGGCCGTTCATAGAAGTCAAAGGGACAATCAGATAGAAACCCATATCGGCAGCTGCTTGCAGAAACTCGGAATAATCCAGGCTTGGCCATATTTGGTAAATTCGAATGGTATTGATTTCTGGTGAAGCCTCCCGAAGCTGGTGAAGGATATCAATCCAACCCAGGATGATGTCCTCAGCATTTACACCAGGTGCCACAGGGAATGCAATGCCTTTAATGTAGAATCGTTCGGAAGGATTGCTTCGGAACACAAAGAAGTTGCCATTGACAGACAATTGATCCTTCCAAGTGATGGGAGATGCTTGTATATTCATGGTTCGGTTGGGATTATGAGAGAACGCCCCTCTTAACGTTGAAAATGCGATGAAAAATGCTAAAACAGAACAAGAATTTCGAAGATTACTGACGTCAAAGATACGATACCGCCGATAAGAACTACTCGACTAGGTCGTGTTTTGAATTAGGACTTCCAAAGTCCCTTTTCTCCATAACCATCAACGCCCAAAACTGACTGCAGAATCAATCACGCAGCCAAAAACAACTATCTCAACAACTCATGTCGTCCATTACTGCGGATCCTTCCATTCTCTCTTCGAAACGAGCAATATATGTCGGTGGACTTGCCAAAGGTGTCAATCCACAAATACTGCGAGCTGCAATGATTCCATTTGGCAACATCAAAAGTCTCGACATTCCAATGAATTACAGCGAGGGAACACACAGGGGGTTTGGGTTTGTTGAGTTTGAAGATGCCGAAGACGCTTCAGAAGCTATTTTCAATATGGATGGGGCTGATTTGATGGGTCGAACGATATCTGTTGATATGGCACAGGCCAATCAGTTATCGAAACTCTCCAATACCAGGACACAAGCCATTTGGAGTTCGGATGAGTGGTTTCAACAGCATGCCTCGGGGGAAATGACGGCAGAAGAGAAAGAGAAGCTCAATCAACAGAATGAAGATCAGACAGAATTGAGAAACTAGGTCGTGTGCTCTGGATAGTGAAATCGATGATGACATAGATTCAAATGGTACTGCCACGGGTCTATTCATCAAACGTCCTTACATCATACAGCAGGTGGTGTTTCGTGGTGGATTGAATGATGAGCTTTCACTTGGCGAGGTGCCTTCTACTTTCTACTAGGCACTTGTTCTTACATTGTTTTGTCGGCGGAGACTAGTGTTTGCTTGGCAAAGGCATTGAAATTATGGGACTATCCGCAGCATATTTTGTTAGTAATAGCTCAGCACCGTTCGAAGACTTTGTACAATGTAGATAGCTTTGTCAATACTGTGAAGTATCCCTGTGTTTTCACGCTTTTTGGTGGAATGAGCAGATACGAGATCGCTGGGATCAAAGTGTGCTGCACGTAGTTCTCACGGCCTTCAGTTGGCACACCGGCGTAGTAGTTGCCAAGCTCCTCGCAAATCTTTTGAAAACAAGGACGTTCTTCGGCCCAATCAACTTCGGTCGCTAGCCGAAACAGGAAAGTGGGAAGGCCATGAGGTTCAGGAATGTGCCCTTCCAAGAGTTCCGGAAGACCAGTCAACATAGCATCGTCGCAATTCTTGACAAGTCGAATGCCGAAATACTCTTCCAACATTTCTGCCTTGTCCAATAGGCACAAAGTGGTTTCTTGGGCATACTTTTTATTCATTTCTGATACTTCCAATAATCCAGTCGAACTTTGTAGTTCTTCCCCGGTTTCGTCATTCGCATCTTCATTCGACAATAGCTCTTTCATTTGTAGCGTTTGACCGATCAATGTCAGTACACTGATCCCTGGACTACCCTCCCCACCCAGCCGTGCCATTCTCGCTTCTCCAAACCGTGCCAGCGCCAACTGATAAAAGAGCAGCTTGCCCATCTCCAAATGATTGATCATGATCAGCTCTTCCCCACATTGGATCAAGGATCGCTGATCGGACAAGGATCCGACAAAATAGGCATCGCGTAGCTGTTTGGTCAAATCTTCGTCCTTGTCCTTGTTGACTCGTTTCCGCAATTTTTGAATGGAAGAGTAGGAACATTTGCTTGGAACAACTCTTTTCGGACGAACCAAGGTTTTTCGGATCATGACAGTCTTGCGAGCATCTGCCGATCGACATATGCATGTGAGCTGAGCAAAGGCTCCAGGTTGTGTCATGTCAACGGCATAATTTTTGTTGTTGCTGGTGGTCGCAAATGGGCATCCATCCAAATGTTTGAATGTAGAAAAAGCCGAAGGTGATTGAGATTCTTGAGAGAGTGCAATGTCCGTTCTGTCGCCCTCTCTCATCAGAGACTGGGACTGTGACTGAGTCTGGGACTGGGGCTGAGTGTGGGACTGAGACTGAGACATTCGAGGATCGTTCTGCGAAGGTTGTGTCCTGACAACAAATGGTTCAATGGCACCGACTGGGTTTGCATGTGCGGTCCTGACAAACTTGTTGGGTGGAGTTTTCTTGACTGGCTCTGCTTTGCGCTTTAGTGATGGTACCCCTGGCACCTTTTGGTTGCTGCCTGGAGCAGGTGTGGAAGCCGTTTTCGTTCCAGCAGTGACTGATTTTGGAGATAATGGAGACCCTGGAGATGGGGAAACCGTCGTTTGATCATCTGACGGTTGTCGCTTCTTGCGGTAGGGATTGTCGATTATCTTCGGAGCCACGGATTTGGCTTTAAAGGTTTGACCCCCTTGTTGCAATGCTTCGCTCATTTTTTCACAAATAGCATCGCAAAGGTCTTCCTGATATGTCAGCGCAACTTGTTTCTTGGATGGATGTACATTGACGTCCACTTGGGATCCGGGTACTCGCACTTGAACGACGAGAATCGGTTTCGTCTTTGAAAAATTAGCATAGACATCCTCCATGGCCCGTTTTAGTGGTGGCAAGTCGATTATTCGATCGTTCAGAAAGAGGACAAACTTGGAGGATTTGATATCATACGACAAGTGGGTGTAGTAGACCTGGCAACTATACGCAAAGTCGGTCGGATCTGCACCTTCTTTCGATGCTCTGAAATGAGAGACGTGATTTTCTAGGTTGGATTCGAAGACATGGGCCATGATTTGTTTTGTTGCGCTGATTGAATCCTCATTGCTGTCGTTTTCATCATCGTCGTCACTTCGCGTTGAAGCGCTTTCCATGGCGTCGTCTCGTTTTTGTATCAGTGTCTTGACATGACTCAATTGACTGGTATTCAAATCCACCAAAACCGTCTTCTGCTTCCCAGCCATCCGGACTCGTTCGCAAACGAACCCACAACGCGGGTAATGAATGGAATAGTATTGAACAATTGTTAGTATTCGGTTGTATTCGTCTGCCTCTCGTTTTGAAAAGGTCTTCAGCCGATATGGAATGTTGTGAAACAAATCTTGTACGGTTATTGTCGTCCCTTGTTTTCGAGCACATGGTTTCGGATTTTTGGACTTGCTGCCAGTGTTGGAAGTAGGTTCTCCATTCCGATAGGTTTGAGTAAACCCGACGGTACTTTCTCGGGTACGGGTTGTGATGGTGAGTTTGGCGCACATGCTGATCGACGACAGTGCCTCTCCTCGAAATCCAAAGGTCCGCAAGTGAGCGAAATCGTCTATCTTTTCAAATTTACTTGTTGCATGTCGAGTGGCTGCCAAGGTCATATCCGATTTTGAAATCCCGGAACCATTGTCACTTATGCTGAGTTTGGACAACCCCCCTTTCTCCACATGGACTACAATGTGGGTGCTCCCTGCATCCAACGAATTCTCAATCAACTCTTTGATTACCGAGGCAGGACGCTGAACAACCTCTCCGGCCGCAATTAGGTCCACCACCTCTTGTGGTAAGACTTGAATCGACTGGTGATCTCGCTTCGTCTTGTCACTGTTACTGCTGGATTTTGAAGCATTTCCTATATTTTTAAAAGGAGACTGAGCCACAGCATTAGAAACTTCGGTTGTTTTGCTTGGGCCGTTCTTTGCGTCGCCGCTGTTTTGATCGCCAACGGTCGCTTTAGGTGACACGTTTGTGGTGGACATGTCGCAAGTTGGCTTCAATCCCCAAGTTGGCTTCAATCCCCCAGCTCTTGTCTTCCTTCTTGACAATCGCCAATCTATCACAAAGTAGACCCTCTATTGCACTAAAGCAACATGTGTCGACAGCTCGTATCCCGTAAAATATCTTGGTATTAGGTTGCGCTTTGTCCGAACACTATACTTCAGTGTTTTTGCATTCCATATCCCAAGAATGCGAGAAATTGTTGCGTTGCGCGCGAAAATACAGTAAAACTTGGGGAGCTGACTCGTACGACTCATTAGAGAAAAAGAATTCGCTCATAGAGGTACTTTCAGCTTTCACCATTCTACACTAAATACAGTAACGGTCGGCATTTCTACAGTACTACCAGGTACTTCCCAATGAGGGAGTATAAACATAAAATGTATTTTATACCAGTTGGTAAATAGAGCAGACAAAGACAGAGTAGCGACTTGCAAAAATAGTGTTCTCCGAGACGGGGAATCGAACCCCGGTCTCCCGCGTGACAGGCGGGGATACTAGCCACTATACTATCTCGGAATGAACAGTTCTATGAAATATTGCTTTTTTGAACATTTCACCAGTCACTATAATGAACATACTGTAGAGTCGAAATTTTGGCTTACATCTAACAGATCCTATTGTTCGTACAGTACCTCCGGTACCGGTACTTACGAGTATTCAGTGAAGTGACATCGCTCATTTCCTTTGCGCTAAAAGATGTTTTACTCGAAATTCATAATATTATCAATGTAACTAGTATGCAGCGAACGAATGAATCAATCCTAAAATTTGCCTCCGGAAAGGAATACCTTCAACATCTCAAGAGAGTTTTCAGGTTGATCGCTAGGCACCATGTGTCCGCCATCGTATACCTGCAAGAAGGTGAATCCGTTAGAAGTGCGGGCCAAGCCGGCTTTCTTCCACTCATGCACTTCGGCCGCGTTGAACTCATCCTTGTGCTTCCAGTCCAAGCCAAGAGTCCAGGCCTTGTTTCCGAGGTAGTTGCAGATAAAATCGAGGTCACCAGCATAAATCAAAGCCGGGAATCCAGCGTCCAAAAGATCACTGACGTAGCCACTGAAATCGGTCATCCAGTCGTGGTGGAACTTCATGTTGATGCCATAGTTGCAAGAATCCCAGTGATGCGAGTGCTTTTCATCGACGTTCAAAGTCTTCTTGGTTGATTCCAAATTCAAGAACTTGCCCACTTGTGAGAAATCATAGCAAAGTGGAGGGTGTTCGCACTTCTTGCTGATATCGTAGGGGTTCAATCCTGTGGCTTGGTAAGGACTAGTCAATCCAAGGTTGCATGCAATAAAAGCACCTTGGCAAGCGAAATCAGCAATTGGTCCATCCCCGCTGTTGCACTTGTGAATTAAGGCGGTGCACTTTGGAACGGCGGCCTTCATAGCTTCGTAAACACTCTCACTCACTACCGTAATGTTATGAGAGTTATGGTAGACCATCTCTGGATACCACTTGTACTGTTCTTCAGGGTTGGTGAGCCCATTTCCAATAGCGAGACCGCCAAAGTTCAGTTCAATCGTGTTCTTAACCTTCTCTTGGTTGCCCTTCCAGACACGGTGAGAAATGGCTGGTACATAATGGCCACCATAAGACTCTCCGATAATGAAGAGAGGACTCTTGGCATATTCGGGATGTGATTGGAAGAAGGCTTGCAAAAAGTAGTAGGCATCTTCGGCTACCATCTCTTCTCCAGTATCACTTTCGGTTCCGTACGAGTATCCCACACCAGCAGGTTGGTCTAGCCACAAGACGTGAGCGGCCTCGGTCCAACTGTAGGGGTTAGTCGTGGTGGATTCGCCATCGGAGTTGACAGAGCAAGGTCCGTTTTCGGTGAGCAAAGCAAGAGTGCTTGAGCAACCTGGCCCACCTAAATTTTAAAAATAGAGCGCTGGTGAGATACATTCTTTAGATCTACAACGGTTTGTGAATTGGAACACCGCAATCTTTCGTTGAAACTAAAAGGAATGCAACGTGGCAAATACTGCATCTCGATGGAACATATTCGGTTCAGTCTTACCTGTGAGCCAAACCACGAAAGGAATCTCTTCCTTGGATTCTATCAAGTTAGCATTACGCTTTTCAAACATCCAGAAGAAAAGGTGCTTGTTTTCTCCGTTTTCATCGTACTTGCTTCCAGAGATGTCCATGTATCCAGAAATCGATTTAGATGCTGGGTCACAGAAATCAGAACCTTTTTCCATGGGATTTTCCTTCAAATGGTGCACCTTGTCCTCAACAAAATAGAATTCACCATCCGGGGAAGAGCATTCGAAGACACCAGGTGGCAAGGAATCCGCCTGATCCTTGGAAACGCAGACCGAAGGCACAGCTTGACATTCGCACCAAACACAAGATTCATCTCCGTCTTTAGAACTGACGCATTCTCCTTTGTCCTTGATGGAGTTACAGTCATCCTTGGTGCTTAGGATGGATAGATCGGCTGCTACGACGGTCGCAGCGCCAAGAAAAGCGAGGGCAGAGAACTTCATTGTCAACTTTGATGTGACCGTTGGGAGATTTGTGGGATTCACTTCGCGGAACGAATACAGTAATATCCGGATCGTGAATCATCGACACGAACGTGTGCGAAACGAAGAATTGTCCGTCGCACTGACCCGCGGGCAGAACATGACTCTGTCATATCACCCGCGTGAACAACGAGCTTTGCCGTTACTACTGCACTCACTTGTCATCCACATTTGATAAACTAATGATCAGCAGTACTGGTACTAGTACAATGTTGTAACCAGAGGGCTACCAGGATTGCAACATTTGCGCACAATCGATGGCAAAAGATTTGGTTTCTAGCAAAAGTTGCTCCGAGACGGGGAATCGAACCCCGGTCTCCCGCGTGACAGGCGGGGATACTAGCCACTATACTATCTCGGATTGACAACAGAAGTCAAAAATTTGGCTTTTAAAGCTTCTGATTAGAGTTGCATATGTCTACGTACATCATTGCTATCTGTCTCCTACTGTAGAAGTTTCTGTGGTCTAATATGCTACTCAGATTTAGGAAATTGTCTAACTGTATGCCATGTCATTATTATGTTCTCACTACGATTGCTGAGTGCTTTGTTGCGCAGCCTGGGCTCGCAGGGCAGCTGCAGCTTGGAAAATCTTTTGACAGTTTGCAGCTGCCTCTGGGGACATCGCAGTCTGTATTTGTTGGTATGCCTGAGGAAAAAGGATGTGAGGAAAGGAGATGAAATTGAGCGATTCGAAAGCAGATCCAAACTAACCTCTGGCTCTCTCTGGAAAGCCGTAGTCAAAATATCGCTCAAGAACAAAAGTTCATCGATACTGTTGTCCGTAAGAGGAGAGGTAAAGTCCTCGTCAACATCCTCGCGGTCTTCGTCCCAATCGCCACCGAGCAGGAACCTGGCCATGTCGTCGTCCCAGCTCGTGACTCCTTGCAATGCCTTTCGGTAGGACTCGTCAACCTCATTTGTGACATCCTCGTCTTCTCCAAATCCCTGGTCGACGTCCCCAATATCAGCAGGAAGACCACCTCCAGATCCTGTGACATCGTCATCTCCTCCATCACCCCCTGTCTTATTCTCGTCTTCCTTAAGGGAGATGCACATTCGAACGACACCGTCAATCAACTGTGGTATTGATGATTGTAATGACGGTGGCAACGAAGACACGGGAAGCGAAAGAATCGATGACATGCCAAGGATGGTGAGCTTCCTCGGAAGCCAACGATCCATAGTCTCTACATCCTTCATCCACTTGCCGAACACTTGTTGCGTTACACCCCGTTTTTCCAACTCAACAAGTTCCAACTGAGGATTGTAGTAGAGCGCAGATCCCAAAATTTGGTAAATCGAGATTCGCGTCAAGGGAATATCCGCATTGACTTGCTGACCAAGCTTTCCAAGGGAAATTTCATTAATGATCGTAAGGTACATGTCGATCTTTCCTCCGCAGTTGTGAAGCAAGCTCATGAAAAGAGAAAGAGCGTAGCGACATTCGGACTCTGATGCCTTGTCATTGGTGACAGTCTTCGCAACCATACTGACGATAAGATCGATGTACGGTATGTTTCCTTCAGGAAGCTGGGCTTGACCTTGAAGGAAGAAATCTGGGGCCTTCGCAATGTAACTCTGCAAACATGGGACCATCATGTTAAGGTAATCATATGCCCATTGGTCGAATGCGACATAGATCAAGGGGAACGCCTGCCATAATTCTGGAGAGATAGTGTCTGGGAAGTACGTCAGGAATGTCAGGATGTCCAATGCACACTCAAGATATTCAATGTATTCTCCATCATTTCCCATGATCTTCAGGATAAGTGGGATCAGCAAAGGTTCAAGATTTTTCATGATACTAGGCTGATCACAGATACCCTTCAACACTGTAGCGATACACTCCAAACATTGGGCGGCAGCCATAGCAGCGTCGTCGTCATCGTCGTCCTCACCAGCGGTACAGTATTGGTTGAATGCATTACTCAACTGGGTAACAAGCTGATGAGCGTGTGGCTCGATGTGGTCACCGAATTTATCCAAAAGGACTTGGAGTGCGCTAACAACTTCATCGTTACCAATTTCATTCATAATCCTGAAGTACTCTGTCAACAGTTGTGGCAGGACGGGGAGAAGAGTTTGATCTGCACCATCTGCTTCAATCAAATAGCGGAGACTCTTACTTGCTTCAATTTGAACTGGTAGAGCAGGGTCACTCAGTCGTTGCAAGTTTAATTGAAGCAGGTTTCTCAAATTCGACCCGTCATCTGACCAACTAACTGTTGAAAACTGTTGCACCATCCAGCATGCCCGATAGCGGAGGAAAGCAACAGGGGAATTGAAGTCTGGGAAGACAGAGGTGACCAACAATCCTTCCAATTCTTTGGCGTATTTATCCTTTGCAAGAAGGAACTTTGACAAGGACCCAAATGTCAAAAGAGCTCCATCCTTTTCTACATGATTCCTGTTTTCAGGAGGCGACGCATTATAACGCTGAAGAATCTCGGTCATACGCCCGAGCAAGTTTTGGGTCACGTCCTGGCCACGGTGCTTGACCAAATCAGTCACCAAAGTGATGGCTGACATACGAGGGTCGTAGAAGTCTGCTAGTGGGCTGTTCTGCCTGTGAACAAATTCATGAGGATCGTTCTCAAAAACTTCAACATCTTCCTGGGTCAAGCACATAGTTGGGAAGCACACTTGGTACAACAGAAAGTCCAAGTGAGGCTTCAAGAGCTTGTAGGTGGAAGAGAGTTCCACTGCCAAGTCCACATAAGTCAAACACAAGTGCACCACACGGTCGGTGCAAAACTGACCGCTTGGACGAAGGTTCAGTGTTTCACAAACAGGACCCAAGAACTGCGTTGCAACATTTTGCGAGAAATATTTTGCGAATTCCTTGGCGTCGTCTTCCGCATAGCTTGGAATTCCATAGCGCGAGAAAAGTCGGCTCATGATTTGAACTGCCCACTTCTTCACCTTCCACCATGGCCATGCGTTTCTCTCATCAACAGTCGTTGGTTGATTCTTTGGTTCCAGGCCAGTGCTAGCTTCAGGAAGAGGCTTTACGAGTGCCCGTTGAAGAATGTCAAGCCATGGTTGCATGGATTGTGGGTTCGCAAGCGCTGGAGATGGTCCATTCCCATCTGAACCAGGAAGGTAAAATTGGGTAGAAGACCAGAATATCTTCAGGATTTGCTTCAGCATCATGGCAGCTTCCAATGCATGCTCTTCTGGAGCCGAAAGACGCTGGGCTAGCGGCAGTAGCAAGGGAAAGGCTTGGTTGACAATTTCATTTAGAGGCCCCCTTTGGTCTTTGCTCTTGTATTCATAACGCTTGCACACTTTACGAAGAGCCAAAAGAGCGTTGTGTACTCTCAAAGCCTGAGCAGGATCATTGGCTCCTTGTTGAATTGTAGTGAGAAGGGTAGGAATTAGGTCAGGCCAACTTTGGGGAAAGTCATGGATGACAATTGTATGTAGTGTTTCCGCAAGCAAGTCTCGCAGACTCTTTTCCGCCTCTGCCAACAATGCGGCTACAAGGCCAGGACGAATTCTAGCCTTGTCCTCTTCGTCTAGCAGAGGAGCCTTCTTTCCATCGGCCGTCAGTGGGACACCAGCAAAGTTAAGCCGCTCGGCCCAGCATTCTCTGCAGATATTTTTCAGCTGAATAGAAGCAGCTTGTCGAACTTCAAATTGAACCTGGAATTTAAAATTCAGAAGCCATGTCAGTCATTTATAGTACAACGCTATAGAAAGTTCCAAAAAGAGATAAAACCAAACATTGCTGCACTCCAATTTCAACAGCATCGCACCAGGAAAGTGCAAAAATGAGACTCACCTGAGCCTCTGCGGCAACTTGCAATAGCAGCGTTGTTGACCCCTTTACATGCTTCAAATTACGGACCGTCTCCTCCGCAGGAACACGAAGGTTGGCATCTGGACTAAAAGATTGTTGCAAGACGATGTGAAGCTGCTCCACGTCCATGATGATGGGTGGTCTTTGGGTACGAGTATTTGTTCAACAGAAAGGTCACTGAGAAACGTTGTCGCCGATACCTTCGATTGGAGACTACTGTACGAGGAGGCGGCTACACGCTCCTTGCCACATCATTTTTCAATCAGTCTGGACCTTTTAGGAAATCGAAGTAGTCAACTGAAGGTTTATTTTTTTAAGTAGCACGAGAAAAAGGTAACGCAGGATGAGTCAATTGTTGCACCACACGTATTCGATTTCTCGTCTTGTCCTTTTTATTAAGATTATTTTGCAACTAACAAGTGGTGCATGCTATGATGAAAGACATTCATGGCAGCATGACTTGACCAGTATTTTGTGGTCAATGTATAAAATGACGTTGGTCAATAACAAGTAGTAGTACCTGCTCTAGCAATACTATCTTGTTTGCAGCCTATCCCACCTACCGGTATCGTATCTATAGTTCCAACAATATTGATATTCATCGACTATCAGCTGAAGCTTACTTTTTGCCCGCTTCTTCTGGAGTGTTTGCTTGTATTTGCAAGGCATGAATTTGGGGCATAATCTCGCCAAGCATCATGTATACCAGTTGATGTCGTTTGACCAAATTCAAACCTTCAAAGGCTTCGGCAACAATTTCCAAATTAAAATGAGATTCTCCATCAATGTCGTTTCCTGCGTGGCCCGCATGTTGGTCCGAATTGTCGATGAGATTCAAAGTGGTGGGCTTCAACAGTTGCAAGGCGGCGACAATAGCATTGTACTTTGGACCATGGCCATTGTCAGCAGTTGCGTCCTCAGACGATTCCTCGGCATTGTCACTCTTGGTTTGTGTGGCAGTCTCGCTCTTTCCTTCGCGTGCAGCAGCATCCAATTCGGTTGCCTTTTGTTTAATGACTCGAACCATATTCAGGAATCCATTGTTTCGACCAGGTGTCAACGATTGTTCAATCTGGGCCTCCTTGATGAATTGTGGGTCAACCTTTTGAATCGCTTCCGCAGTGTTTCCAGACAGACATCTACGTTGCAAACAGTCGAGGAACAAAGTTATGAGCACAATAATCTCGGGACGGAAACATTCTGCGATCATCATTATTATCATGTTGTCAAAGCTTGAATTTATCTCACCTGACCAATAGTGCTACCAAACCTCGAGTCAACAAACCATCCGAATCACCAATGAAGTTCAGTACGTAATCACCAACTTCTTCATTGTACTCGGCAGTCCCATCAATGAAGACTGTCGACAAACATCCTGGAACCTTGTTTTCGGGAATCTTGGAAGATTCTGGCATGTTGTTGGCCTCGGCAGTATTCTGGGCCATGTAAAGCAGTTGCTTGTATCGAGTTTGTTCATCCCCAATTGTTTTGAAAGCCTTTGTAACCTTTTCCAATTCGGGTGTCAACCCCAAGTCGATCTCTTTCTCTGTCGAAAACATTTTCGTTGTCAATCGTTGTTCTGTGGTGATGGAAGGAGTAGTGAAGGCAGTTGTGGAGGTGGCCAAAAGAAGGATGGAAAGTGCTTGGCGGAAAATCATTGTTGTTTGTTGTTTTGTTGTTTTGTATGAAGTTGGATTGGGAAGAGGTAGTGTACCAGTACTTTACTGTAGCTTGCTTTGTTCGTGTCAACTATATGGGCGTTTTCAACTTGTTTCTTTTATGGTCGGTTCGAGCGGAAGTTGCTTGTTTTGTGAAGATGATGCGCTATATATGCTTACGTCATCATTGCGCACAGATGGCAAGACCTCGAAATCTTGGGAACTGGACTCACTCCACCTCTTGCGTCGGCGCGCCAAGTACCGGAAGCACGAAAATTTCTGTAGAAATCCTAAACTGATGGTTGTGAAATTGAGAGTCTGTCAGTTCCTTGTTCGCTTTGTATGATTGGTGGTGATGTGTCTTGGAGAGGTGTCGCATGCAACATGACATGTTCACGATACAAAGTGTTGCGCAATTGTAGATGTTACTAGACTCCTCTTTCCTAAGATAAAAGTGCCAACGATAGACACTGCCTTGCTCTTGCTGAAACCACGAGACCTCTGCCATGGTCAGTACAGAGTGTTTCACGACCACAGATAGCAATAATGATGGTTCTCTGCCAACAACAGATGTTCGACAGAGTAGTTTACAGGTGGAAGAATCTATGGATCTTGGTGAAGCTGTACCACACGAGAAGCAGTCTAGCAGCGAAGAAAATATCAAAGTCACTAGCAATACAGTCAAACCACAACCACATCCATTATCGATATCTTCATCAGCAACCCCAACATCACCTTTAGTTTCATCATCCCCTTCGGCACCATCTTTGGTTTCCGGGTCAGGATCGACATCACCATCGGCATCAGTTGCAACTGCAGCACCAGTTGCAGTGCCACAACGCCCGTTGAATAGCACAGGACCGTCACCGTCACCACCAACGCAACATCATCCTACTCAGAATGCGATCCAGATTCCTGCGATGCAAGTAAAAAGTCAATCACCACAACCACCTACTCACCCTCCGATGCAAGCACAGGCCCACCCACTACACCCACAAGGCCATCCACCAGCAATCCATCATCCATCCGCATTACCACCTCATCCCTATCACCAAGCTCATATGTTTCATCCTCATTATCCACCACCGCCACATCCACATATGTATCACCCAGCAGCAATGTGGCATCATCCTCATGCTCATGCTCATGCTCATCCTCCTCCCCCTCACCCAAGCAATTCCTCAGCTGCCTATATGAAGCCTTATTCGGCGGTAATGCGATCTCAACCCCCGGTCAAGCGCACTTCCAAATATATGCTCAAGGAACAGGGAGTTCCAGTTCCAAGCCCCATCATGAAGGGATCCCACAGAACGCCAAATCAAGTGGAATCATCGTCCCAACCAAATGCCGAAACAGAGGAATCAAAGGAACAGGGCACGGTCAAACGTCCAGCCTCGGAAATGGGCGATTCGTCCGAAAAGGAACAGAAAGACGTCCCCCAAGATTTGCGCAACAAGAAAATGAAGCCGACCGATTGTCTTTTGTTTGCTGCGTCCTTGTTGGCGACGGAGAAGAAGACAGGAGAGGAACAATACACGGATGAAAATGTGGGAGCCAATGGCGAGAATGCCCCTGATGCTTCGGCACTGGACGAATCGGAATACACCACCACTGGGGTCAAGCCTGCAAAGAAAATCTTTCAAGCGCCCATCATGTCGGTAGACGAGGAGCAAGAGCAAGAAAATGATGAAAACTGGCCCAAAGACGTTGATGTGTTGTGTGGTCGTGGAGGCCTCATCAACAAACATCCCGGAAATGTGGTATACCGCAAGATTGTGGATTACAACAAACCGTATTACCAAAGTGTACATAAGAAGCATCGGATTTTAGTCAGTCAGTCGATTGTACAATCGATCTTGAACTTTGGAGGCCGATTCATGACTATGGAACGGAAAGAGTGGACTGAGATTGAATTTAAACGAGCAGTCCAAAAGACCAGTCAAGCACTGCGGGAGCGCATTACCGAAGAAGAAAAGAATAAGGAAAAAGAGCGAAAAGAGAACGGCGAGTCCAAGAATAGCGAAGATGATGAGGGAATAGAGGCAGCAGAAGGGGAAGATGACGACGACGACGACGACGAAGGGGTCGAAGAGGGGGCTGTCGTCAAGAGCCAGAATATTTCTGACAACATGAATGGGGTTGCCAAGGGGACTCTCGCCATTTGATTGAAATCTCATGTTTTTGCATACATACAACGAAAAGTGTTCATATACCAATGATAATAAAACTAAGACAACGTCATGTCTTTGATCCAAATTCAATCTCAAACTCAAACTAGTCTACATTCACTACATATTAGTGTAGAAAGCAGTGTTCCGTTATTTGGTCTTTCCAAGGTGTGCATCTGCTGCTTCATACGCCCGTTGTGCTGATACGATGGCCGAGTCCATGTGACCAGACCCGTAGGCAACTTCGCATCCAGCAAAAAAAAGAGGACCAACATTTTGTTGCAATTTCTTATCTCCATAACTTGTTTGATAGTAACTAGATGACTCTTGTCTTTGTGGTTTGACATATGGATCCTCCTTCCAGCTGCAGATTTGACAACCGACAAATGATGAGACGCTGGAGTGGTACTGGCCAATTATTCAAATCGTTCACGTTCAAACGAACTTACCTCTTGTACGATACTGTAATGCCACCCTTGGAAACAATCAATCCATCTTCGCCAGGGCTTCCTGATATTTCTGTATTTGAACAAGTCGCTTCATCGAATCCTAGCTTCTTCTTGTCCACAGCATAGACCTGCATGATTGCTCCCAAAATGTGATCAAACAATTCATCGGATTTGCTGTTCGTGACGAAATTCCCCAAACTACTAGCACCTTTGGCAGTCACGAATCCGGCAAGGGTGGGCCTAGAACCATCTCCATCATCTCCACTACATGCTTCCCACCATGTTTGTACGTCCCCTAGCTGATCAATGGAAATGGCACTCATGTCCAGATCCCGCCACCAATTGGATGGGAAGGATATGGAAACTTTGCCATAATCTTCCATCCAAGTGGGAGTTGCCTTCATGCTGTCCAATTTTTCTTGTGGCAACGGAGGAATAAACTCAATGGTATCGGCCAATACTTTGGGAGGTCCAGCCAAAATGACAGTACGGCAGTGAACGGTACTAGTCTCGCCACCACTGGTGGACGACGAATCTTGATAATGCACTTGGGCTCCATCGTCGTCGTATTCAATCTTGACCACTTTTTTGCCTAATTCCACCTTTAGTTTGGGTTTCTCCTCCAACAGTTTTTCTACAAACGTTGAGGCCCCACCAGCCACTCGGACCGCACCAGTGCCACAGGCCGCATAATTGCCCGCGTAGTCGTCAACCAAATGATGTTGCCCATTTTGCACTCGGACATTGACTGAACCTTCGTACCACATGGGAACCGTCCGGATGTTAAATTCTTGTAAGGCCGTCTTGATGGTGTATTCGGATCGGGGCCAGATCCAAGCACCGCCAAGATCTCCTCCACCTTCTGGCGTCAGCAGACGACCGCCAATTCGATGACGGGCATCCAAGACGGTCACACTCCGATTGGCAGCAAGCAATCGATTGGCAGCGTAGGCGCCACTGAGGCCAGCACCGACAATGAGTGCATCGACAGCAGATCCTGGTATATTCATGTTTGTGGTTATTGTGCTGTCAATGTAAACTTTGCGCAGTTGGTTTGCTTTTTTGTGAGCGTTTCGTTTGTACCGGTATAATGATGACAAGGATCAAGGATGACGACTGTCCGACGATGAGGCCGTTTTTTATTTCTCGGACATGGAATTCGATTGTGTTCGTTCAATATAGAGTCGAACCATTGGATTCAATATCCTGCAAACGACTGAGAATGGAGAAAATGAATGAATATGGGAATGGCAAACGACAAAATTGAAAATACGAAAAACGACCTTTCAGAAACCATGAACTCTCCTCTGCAAGAGGTACTGTCGCAAGGAGGTGTGAATACATCTGCCGCTACTACAAATGAAGAGTTGCTGTCTACGTTAGAGTCCTGGCTGGGTCTCCCAGAAAGTAAAAAGTGGGAAGGTGATACAATGGAGGATGTCGCCCCGTTGGATCCCTCCTTTTACCAAGCATTGGAGCGATGGTTAATCTCAGAGTGGCAACCGCAAAGCGACTCGGACATTGCATTGAAGCATTCCAACGCATTGCTGGAAATGGAGTGTGAACCACATGACATGTCAATCTACGACGCCTTTCCAGTGGTGCGAGTGACTCGTGTTTTACGTTTGTGGCTGGAATTGAATTGTACAGGGGGTTCCATGATGGCGGTGGATGGCGGAAAGCAAGGGGTCACCACTCCACTCTTGGAACATTGTAATGCCCTTGAGAATGGAGGTGGTGGAAAATACAATATCTATCCTTTGATTGCAGCACTCTTTCATCACCTCGAACAATTGCCAAACATGCGATTCCAAATCAACTTTTACACACAAGCACTGATGCGAGGAGAGAAAAAGAGTACAAAGCTGCAAATGATGGACACCAAATCCAGAATTCACCAACATCAAGAAGCAACACAGGTGGCTGCTACGCTGAATGACGAATGGTCCGAGCATATTGATGCACTGGAATGTATTTTGGGAGAATGGTACGCCCTTGCCAATGCGGACATGCGGCGGCAATGTCGGTCACGGCTTGGTGTCATTTGGAGCAATTTTGAATCTCGAACCGAAACGGCAGTGTCAGGAGTGAAAATGGAGAACACTTCCTCCACTGGTATCAAAATGACACTGAAAGTCTTGCATCGCATTCTCCAAGGCGTGGCGACTCCTTTGCAAAAATCACATGAGTTACTTCTCAACCATCATTTGATACCTCTGCATCGACCCAATTCCATGGTCTTGTGGCGAGATCAGACCAGCCTTCTCGAGTTGTATCACGAACCGCTGGTACAGTGCATAGCCACTCTGTTGCAAAAGAAACCAGAGTGGATCCCCAATACCGTTGTATCCTTGCTGGAGCCGGACATTTGGACCAAGGCTGGAAATACTCCAAAACTGGTGCTATTGTTGCACGAGATTGATGCCTACATTGGAGTTTTGCCCGAGCCATTGACAACAAAATCATTTCCTTCTGCCACTGCGGCTAGGCTGTGCTACTCCCTAGGGGAATGTATTTCGTCGGACCATTCACGACTTTCAGAACGAGCTCTATCCTTCATGAAGAATGCCAAGTTTGGAGCTCTGATCAAATTGTACTATGAGCTAAGTTTGAAGATTCTATTGCCGCATTTGGTCAAGTCAGAGCTTCCTTGGAATCCTACGGTTCGGAAAATGGCGTATGTGTTTTTGAAAAAGTGCCAAGACATTGACGAAGAGAGGTTTCTGAATTGCAGTCTCAAGTGCTTTCCAAATGGAGAGTCGTTTGGTCCAGACAAAACTTCGTTGCCGGCACCCCGTCCAACGGGAAAAGGAACTCTCAAGTTGGGCAGTGCAGAGCCAGAGAATGAAGTTCCCAAGGATTTTACAATCAAGTCAGCAATGGGACAGTGGAAGCCACCGCCAACTGGGTCCAAAGCTCCAAAGGGTGGTGGATATCAAACTGCAATGCCCCCGCCTAGTAGCAGAGTTCCAAGACCAGGTGGTGGTGCTCCACCGCTTGGAGTCACTGGAGTTGCCCCGTGGGCCATGAAACCACCAGGCGCTTCGGCCACCAAGAACCCACCGCTCAGTGTGACGGGTGTCGCTCCGTGGGCAATGAAAAAGAGTTCTGCGGCAGCTTTGAAGCCTCCGACAAACGGGGGGGCGCTTCCTGGTGTGTCTGAACCACCGCCAGCTGTCAAGGATAAGATGGAGAAACCTGCGAAATCACGAGTTCAATCCTACATGGACAAGATCAAGCCGGCGGAAGAAGAAGAAGGAGTATCAGTGTGGGCGAAGGAACAAATGGCGGAATCACCGACGCTTCTACCAGATCTGAAGTTCCACGACCTAGTTTTCGGTCATGATTTGGGGGAGGGAGCGTTCGGCAAAGTTCGGTACGCCAGGCTGATTGATCGCAACAAGACCCGATCGCACTGGAAAGAGTACGCTGTCAAGGTGATATCTACCGAAAAGATCAAGGAAATGGGATATGAGACATCTGTCCAACGAGAAGTGGCTGTTCTACGAATGGTTTCGCATCCTGGTATTGCTCGATTGGTCTCCTCGTTCCGATTTCAGGATGGAGTGTATCTTGTATTGGAGTATGCCAGTAGTGGTGATCTTCATTCTGTAATTCGCAAGAATGGTTCCCTTGACCACGATTCGACTCGATTTGTCATGGGAGAAATCGTTGCAGCGCTGGCAAGTGTACACGAGATGGGTCTAGTGTTTGCTGATTTGAAACCAGAGAACATTGTCTTGACTGAGGAAGGGCATGCCAAACTTACAGACTTTGGAGGGTGCCGAGCAACATCGGATACGGCAAGAAAGATGATCCAAGATGCTTCCGCGAATCTCCTAAACACCCTCCGCGATGGCAATTGGAAGGACGCTCCCAAACAAAAGAAGAACGATTTCGATATGGATGATGACGACGAAGACGTGGGATGGGGGGAAGAAGCAGGACAACAAGAGGAGAAAAAAGATGACTTGAGGATCGAAGGTACAACTACATATTTGCCTCCAGAGGTTGTTATGGGTGGATTCCCTACCCCTTCTGCCGACTCATGGGCTCTTGGGTGCGTTATATACCAGTGCTTATCGGGTCGACCACCGGTTGTTGAGAATGATGAGAGCGCCACAAGAAACCGTATTGTATCATTCAGTGTGGAGGAAGAAGGGAACGATCAAGAGTCGCGGCTTTTCTCCGAGAGTTATGCACTTGAAATTTCTTCAGATGCACGTGCATTGATTATGGATCTGCTTCACAAAAACGATGGCGAGCGACCAAGCATGATGAAGGTTGCCCAGCATGAATTCTTCACAAAATATGGTACTGATGTATTTGGCTTGTACCGACAGCCTGCTCCTCAGCTTGATGTTGGCAATGTTGCGCCACAAGAAGATGCGAAATGGGCTCGTCGCCAGTTCAGTTCAATATGGGCACCACAGCCCCAAGCATATGACGTCTCATTGAATTCGGCAGGCATGAAGAAAAGGTTCAGATTTGCGTTGGGATCAGGAATAATTGATGAAGGAGACGAAGCCACGGCTTTCTTTTCTGCAGCGAAGACATCTGCAGCTGCAGGAGTTTTTGCACCAATGACATCGCTGAAGCGACCCATCGAGGAGTAAATAGAGAACTAGAACCTGATTTGAATTTCCATTGACTTTCTGGTGATCGTTTTTATTTTTTATTTGGCGATCGGCTATTGAGTAGTGTCCGATACAGCAATGTATCATAGCGTTGCGGCTTCAATGGTGCCATTCGAATTGGCAGATCGTCGTCATTAATCAGAGACTCAATGCACTTGCCCATTAGCGGACCCCATGTTATCCCCCATGGACCACCACCAGTTGCAACGTAGACGTTACTTAGAATCTTGCCTACCACAGGGATTGCATCTGGGGACATTGGCCGCATGCATGCTTGAACGATGTCCGGTGTACACTCCTTGTACCCAAGCTTCTTGAGGCTCTTTTGAGCTGCTGCTGCTCTTGCCATGTTTGGAGGGCAAATCTCTGGCGATGGACGTCCCTCACCACGTAGGACTTCGGTTCCAATCACATCCGATTCGCCGCAACCACTAACGTACAAAGACCTATCCTTTCTGCCAAATAGCTGCAGTTTTGTACATTAGAAAGCTGCAATGACACCAAAAATACTCTATTGCGATGCGTCAAACTCACCTCTAGATGGCATCCATTAAGGTCGCTATCAAGGAACAGAGCCGTGCCGATATCTGAAGACGGTATGCCATTATTATACAACATTGACGTTGATACAACTCCTTCAATCGGCATCGGTATCCCTAGCCAGTCTTCGATGGAAGCGGACCATGAGCCCAGGGCAATCACAACTGGCTCATCTTTTTCGATATTAATGTAGTCAATCTCACAGTCCCCTTTCCCTGGCTCAACAAGTATTCTTTGAAGCGTTTGGTTGTCGTCAACCAACTTCAGACCACGAACTGTTGCCTTCAGAAAGGAGGAATCATTGTTTCGCGCCAAGGCTTGATTGAACAATGCATATGTAAGCTCGGCTGGATCGATTATTGCAGCATCTCCCGGAAGCTCAACACCCGCATGGGTATTCTCAAGATTCGATAGACACAATGGTAGTTTTGCACAGTTGGTTTGTTGTTGATATCGGTCCTCGTCAGTTTTGTCACTTAACTCGTTTACGACTTGATAGTTCTGCACGGGGCAAAACGATTCCAACTTAAGTTCTTCTGCAAGTGACTCGTGGAGCTCGAATGATTTCTCAAAGAGAGATTGCCGTTTATCAGATGCATTGCCGCGCTTCAATGGAGGACGATTGGTTATGAGAGCACCTGCTTTTCCCGATGATGCAGCTGCCGGTCCTACCGAATCCAAAATCTTAATTGGTTGATTTGAGGAAGCGTGTGGACTCATACTCAAGTAGTATGCTGCGGCTGAGCCTACGACCCCTGCCCCTACGATTACCACCATGATAGTGTATTATTGTGCCATCATTTGAACTGAAGCGAAAGTGTTGGAGTTGTGTGGTACTGAAACAGCTTTCATCCAATACTCTCATGTAAAACACACGATTTCATCTTATCTCCTTCACATCCCTATCTTCAAAATGAAGGAGAAGAACCGGAACGAGGTCTTATTACGGAAGAAAATGAAGGTGTTAATGTAGACTGACATAAATTATACGTATTCAAATCCGATGTCATCCAACTGAAGAGTCGTTGAGTTCAAGAACGATTGGTCTTTTCTCTGGCTTTATCGCCAGAGACTGTGTTAGAACGGCCTTTGAAAACAGTTCACTACAAGGCAATCGCATCCAAAGAGAGAGATTCGCTGGATGCGTTTTCCTGGTCGCCAATCGAGTCGAGAGACACGGTCACAAGGCTGCTTTCTTCGTCGTCTGCACGATGGTCGTGGTGGCTGGTTTCTTCAACATCTTCTTCGTTTTCCTCGTCCTCAAGACAATCGATCAAACTTCCCAACTGAGGAATATCAGTCTGAGTTTCAGTTTCATCTGATAAGTTTGCCTTCTCACTGATCGGATCAAGCTTAGCTGTCACAAGGCTGTTGTCTTTGTTGACTGCTCGAGATTTATTTTCAACCCTTTCTTCGTCGTCCTCCTCATCAAGACAGTCAACCAAACTGTCTGACTGGATTACTTCGTTTTTACTTTCGACAGACTTTTGATGACTAGCAATTATTCTTTTTGCAAGCAGCTTTCGTCTTCGCTCGGCCCTGAGGCATAGTTCGAAGATTTCGGAATCATCATCGTCTCTTTTTCGTTTTTGGCGACTTTCCTCCTTTCTGTTTCTTTGGAGTTCAACTCTAATTGATCGTCTCAATGCCTCTTCTTGCTCTTTCATACGCTTTGTTTCCTCTATACCCTCGTAGTACGAACAAATGCCGTTTACGATCAAACCTGATGTGACATTAAAAGCGCAGGCGATAGGAGCGATGACCATTTTGGTTTGATGTGGTTAGGAAGGAGTGAAATAGTGTTCGGAAATGTGATGATGGCCAAGTAGTGAATTCAAAGAAAAGTGAGTGAAGCTTCTGGATGCTTTCTCTGAGCTGAGTCCCCTGAAGGATCGTCGTAACTTGGGTTTTGTGATCTTGTGAATTTCCAGAGATTTTTGTGATGGGGGAATATATGTGGGTCGAAAAATTTCGCTCGATCAAGCGAGCATATCGACAGTTGGACAATCGTGATCCAAGTCGTGATCCAAGTTTGGTCGTATCAGTCGTCCCAAACAAGTGCGTAGCGTACCAGTACCGTACTGGTACCTGGTGTGTACTCCGATTTTGCCGCCTCAGACAGGTACATACCCTGACCTCCGATCCTACCATAGCGGTACTGGTACATATCCTTGCATGTCATTTACCGTACATTACTTTCCCTTTGTTCTATGGATCTTTCAAATAAATCGAGAGCTCTGAAGTGACGAAAGTAAAAGCAAAGTCATAGAGTGAGACGAAAAATCGATACACTTGCATTCGTCGAAAAATGTTTGCAATGATAGACATACCAATACCGTCTTTCATGAGATCATTCTTGGAATTGTCTGTCACAAAGTCAGGTTCGCAATACTCCAACCAGGACTCTTCTAGCCTTGACTCCACAATCCCATTCTTCACCAATTCACCAATGTATTGTCTGTAATCGTCAATACCAGCAAAGACAACATTATCAGCTGCGACATAGCTTCCACACTTGAGATAGCCAGCTTTTTCAATCTGTTTCAAGTCAGGAAGATATAGTGATTTGTCGTGATCGATAAATAAAAAGTCAATCGTAGCGCCTGCACCCATTGCCTCTCTCAGTTTTGTTGAAAGAGTTTCCTTCCGCGGATCCAAAAGCAGAATTTTGACAGAGTCCTGAACGCCAGCCAGTTTGACAAGGGCTTGGGCTACCTGCGCGTTTCCTTCCACTACCTCCACAGAGTAAATAGTAAAGTTCACTCCCATTTCAAGCAACTCTTTTGAAATCATGATGGAGGAATAACCAGTGTAGGTACCAAGTTCGACGAGCGTAATATGTTCTTTCTTTGCAATATCGGCGCACATTTGCGTCAGAAATGACGCAAGGATTGGAGCCTTCTTTGGCCCAACATGCATCATCCAGTGCCGTTGCATACAAAACTCATCAATAGATTCCAAAATGAAGCCTGCGTCAACGGAACTTGCTTTCGACTTTGAAACTGTTGATGTCACATGATTCAGAAGAGCTTGTTCGGTTCCTGCATGAAATGCCAAGATTCCACAAGTTGGATCTCGCTTCACAATTTCGGTTTCTGCTGCGACTTCGTTGCGACTTTCACTGTTGTCGTCATCAAAGCAAGCGAAAGGGTCTTCGGCCATATTTTTTAATTCTATTACTTCCTCTTGTGAAGTCGGCATATTTGCTTCTGTGAAAATACTTGATGTCGGCACTAGCTAGTCACATCAAAACTACACGTGTATAGTGGAAAAGTGCGTACGAGCACTTTGTGTTCGTTGGTTGCAGCAAAGGCACGCCCGTTGTGTTTTCTCACTTATTGCGTTTCTGGTCGAACTGCAATTGCGTCAGTGTTTAGATTCGAAGCCTGTCAAAACAAGCTGTCACACGAACGAGTACAAACCTCAGGGTGTCTCACGAACCTTAGAAAGAGTGGTGTCAACCAAAAAGAGAGTACTTTTTTACATTGGAGAAGATTATTGTTCAGAACTCCGAGATTGTCTAACGGACCTCAAAAAGTTTTGGCAGAATTTCTTGTTGTGAGCATAAAACGACCTTTCATTTGAATTCATCGGAAACTGGAATCAACAATGAAATCGAATGAAGAGAAGCAATTCTCGACAGAGACTACAAGTCTCCTTAACCTTCCCTCGCCCCATTCAACTGATAGGCCTGTGCAACTAGACCATGTCTTGTCGTCGGATAATCTTGAAAACGGCGACGAGTACCATGGTCAACGTGAATCTAAGAGGATCGAAGACGAAAAGGCATCATTCAACAAGAAATTCAATTCTAATGGTGGGCTGCGCCGTGTTGTGCTCCTGCTTGTCTTTGCGTGTATCGCTGCGGTGTTTATCTTTGCTCTCATCCATTTTAAGAGTGGAGACCAGAACAACAGCGGCAGCCCAGGGAATGCATTCGGCAAACCCCAGCCATTCTCGCTCAACCACCCAAACGACCTTGGTATTACCAGCGTTGCCCGGCCAAAAGAGACAGCACCTCCAGAACGACTCTTCCGCCGTCTTGAGTCACCCGATTCTGATCAGCGCCAACCACTACCAACGAGTTCATGGTATCAAAACTTGCTCCTCACAACAGGCGAGCCAAATAATTTGCATCGGGCATACGCATTGCCCTACATGCTTGACCTAGTCGGTCCTATTCCAGGATTGACCCTTCACAAAGGCTTCCTTGTGCCAACCGATAGGGTTATTCAACTTGCAGACAATGCATGGAATGGACTGACCTTGGGAGCAGCTGCTGATATTCACGAAAAGACACAAAAGAAACTCACTCATCAGTACACTGTTAGCTCGCCGACAGAGCTGGGAGTAACCTTGCACTGGGTACGTACCACCGCACTTTTTCTCAACCGCAAAATGTAATATTTATACTCATCCTTTTTCTCCAGGACGCTATGAACATGTCGTCATCAATTGTTAGAGGAATGGCCTATGGTACAATGATTTTCGAGGACTTCAAGACAAACGGCGGAGAGGATGGGATTCTTTTCCCAACCCTTGCCTCCTACATTGCCTTCGGAAAGCCCCCAGTGGTAGACGGAACAAGCCAATTAGAATGTGACGATAAGGGAAGCCGAACCCTCGTCGAAAAGGAAGTTGAACTTCACTTCGGTGGCAGCGACTTCACATGGCTCGTTTTCTTTTCGCAACCAGTTTGGGTGCAGTGCTCTAACGGCAAAGAATCAAACAACGCCTTTTTGCAAGTCGTCGATGTTGCTGACGAGCTATCAAAAGAGCCCCTCGTTGTTCGAGCAGCACTGGCCAACTCCTGTACGAATGGCAGAGTTCATAACTACTGCAAGAGTCAATTGATGGACAGCGAACAACAAAAAGGTTATGGTGATCTCCTGAGACGTTATGCCGATACCATTCCAGGCGAAAATACCTCAATGAAATATCAAGTTCTCGAAGGAGAAAGTGAAGGAACGCTTGTTCTTGACTGGGATGCTCGGTCCGTCTCCTCTGGCAAAAGCAAGGATTCAAGCAGCACTGACTTGGGAATGATTCATTTCGCCATGCCTCATCATATGGACGCTTTGGACAGCAGCAGTCTTCCAGATGACAAATACTGTTTGCCTACAATCATGGGTCCAGCGTGCGCAGTTTTGGGAACAGAAATGACACTTACCGAGACGATCCCAGATGTCGACTTTAGAGCCAAGCGCCCGATTCCAGCAAGTTTTCTTTCTGATATTGGAGACACCTTGGTAAAAGACATGAAATATGAGCTCGAGGCGTTCTTTCAACGCGGCGCTGGTGACACATACTTCTCCGGCAAGATGCTGTCAAAGCTTGGACGAATTGCACTTGTTGCCGAAGAAGTGACTGAATTGTGTTCTAAACGCATGTCTAGAGAGTATGATGTTGCCTGTAAGAACACAACGATTCCGACAAAGCAAGCAATGGATACTACAATCGACAAACTTGAAAGCAGCGTCGAGATTTGGATCAACGGATCTGCAGAAACACCTTTCATCTACGACGATGCCTGGGGTAAGCTCTGACAACGCAGGTTTTTCGTTGCGTTGGCTTCCATACTCATTTTTTCTCTTCTTTTTTTCTCACACGCAGGTGGCTTAGTGAGCTGTGGCTGCTACTTCAATGGCAAGACATGCGACAATGAAGTCCCAAATTGTCCCACACTGTCAGATCAGGGACTCGATTTTGGCAACGGGTTCTATAATGACCAGCACTTCCATTATGGGTACCATATCTATGCCGCTGCCATTGTCGCCCACTTCCGTCCGGAATGGGGCAAGAAACACTGGGAGGAGGTTCTGCTTCTTGTGAGAAGTATTGCCAATCCTTCCAGAGATGATACTGCTTTCCCTTTATATCGTCACAAGGACTGGTATCAAGGCAGCTCGTGGGCAAGTGGTGTACCCCGTCCGCCATACTTGAATGGAAAGAATCAAGAATCGTCTTCGGAAGCAATCGCAGCTTATGAGTCCGTGGCGCTCTTTGGCAAAGTGATGCAAAAAATTTGGACCTCGGACAGAAACCCATCGAAAGCAGCCATTGCGAAGGAAGTCAAGCAGGTCGGACAACTCATGACAGCGACAGAATTGCGGTCGGTAAACAAGTATTGGCACGTTCAACAGAGCGATCCCATCGAGAAGCGCATCTATCCAGTAGAGTATACTGGGAGCGTGGTGGGAATCGTATGGCAATCCATGATTCAGTTTGGTACCTGGTTGTAAGTCTTGTCAAGAATGATCCTCGTTGAACATCCAAATTCACACTGACGGGTTCTTTTTCTGTTGCACAGTGGTACTGCGGAATACTTGCCCTACGGCATCCAGCTCTTGCCTTTGACACCAATTTCAGAAGAGCGCGATGAATTGGAATGGATGAACGAGATGTACTATCCATTTTCCACATCCTGTGCTTCCACCTTTCAGTGTACCGAGTCGGGTTGGTCAGTGTTACAGCTGGCTGTCCTTGCCACGGTCGGCTATCGCGAGGAAGCATCCATTCGAGCGATAGCGCTTCCAGAGGAATCCTATACCAACGCCGGTGGAAATGGCCATTCTCGCACCAACACCCTCTGGTACATCGCCACAAGACCAATCGTTGACGAACCAATCGAGCTCGTCGCATCAGATGTCCGAGGTGCCGGTGAAAAACGGCCGGCCCCTGTCTTCGAATTGACCGATTGTCATACTCCGGCAACCTGTACCGATGCCGTTCTTGATAACATGCCCGATTCCTATTCTTGCCGAGAACATATTACCTTTCTCATCAAAATGGAGCGGAAACCACAATGGGATGCTTGTACATCTGTTGGAGTGGAGTATGAAGAAAGTTGTGGACTGTGCAATCCGACCGAAATGGTTGAGAATACACCGAAGAACGCTACTCAAGCCCCTACAATTGACAACAGCATTTGCCCACCTTGTACAGATGAAGAGTGTGACAGTGATCTTAATCGATGCCCGCTCTTTGAAAGAAGCTTTGTCTGCACCGCAGGTGCCAACGTATTTGGCTGCAGCCCGATCCCATGGTACTTCGAGGATGAATGTGACACCTGCTGTGAAATGACCAGGTGCCAAAACTTGAAAGATATTGAGGCCCAAAAAGTCACCCATGATGGAACTGCGTTCGATAAACCTATTTGTCCACCCTGCCCCAAGGAAGTTTGCTATGGAGAAATTAACCAATGTCCCATTCATACTGCACCCTATCTCTGCCTTGGTGGCGATAACGTCGGCGGATGCGCTTCCCATCCTTGGGATGTTAAGAAGGGAGTAACATGCTCCGAGTGCTGCGAGGTTAAAACCAACTGCTAGATAGCTAGAGGGTAGAAGAAAAATACCCATTCCTTCTAATTTACATAGTACATATTTACACAACCCGACGGCGCCGCTTACGACCACCCCCTGGACCATCATTCCCGAACAATGCATCCGCAATTCGCTGTTCTTCAGCCAATCCCTGTTCTTGCTCGTCAAAGGTCTTGGATTGGTCGTCGTTTCGTTGGGTTCCCACAGTCTTGAAACGAATGGTGATCCGCGGATCACTTTTGATGATGCGATTCTTGCGAAACTTGCGAAAGTCCTTGACACCCTTGCGTTTGCGACCAGGAGGAATTCTCCAATTGCTATCGTTGGTTTTCTCGGGAATAACTACTTGCATTGATTCGGTTTCTACCCTAATATCAAAATCCAAATTATCGTTGTCCCAGTGACGTTTTTCATAGGTCTTGCGCCATTCTTCTCGCAGCTTGTCATCTTGAGGAGCTGCGCTGAACCATCCTCTGGAGTCTGCCTTTTCCAGTCTACACTTATCGTCCGTAGCATTTAAAGTCTTCGTTTTCTTTGCCTTTGCTGGCTTCGGTGGCGAATCCACTTCTTCCTGCATCGACCCCGATGGCTCGGTGAGTGTGGAGGGTTCCGTCTCTTGCTCGGGAATACGTTCCAGCTTGTCCCCTTCGGATTCCGTATTCTTTTCATTGATGTTTTTTTCCTCCACCTCCATCAATTGTGGCTCCAATAAACATTGTGTTTCGTATGGTGTGGTGGAAGGTGGCGTTTCTTCCTCATCATTATCATTATCGTCATCTTCCTCTCCCACCGGTTTGGGCGTTTCTTGGGTCGCTGTTCGTCGGGTGCGTCGAGTGGATCGCCCGGAAGTTGTTGCCGTCGAGGTAGAGCCACTTCCTTTCGGCTCGCCGTCCTTGGCTGTTAGACGGCTCAATGCCTTGCCATTTATATCTTGCGGTAGATCCGTACGGCTGGTAACACTCTTGGCCAAACGCTTCAAGTCGACTTGAGGAATCCCAAGAGCTGCCAACTTTTTGGTAACTCTTTTGCGCGTCTTGGCAATAAAGACTATCGTGTCCTTTTCTTGTGTCTCCTTGGCAAGCTCCAATTGCTTTTCCTCTGCAGCCAGTTCGTGCAATGCCACCAAGTTTGCTCCGGCTGCCACGGCCATTGTTTCAAAGGATCCGGGCTCCACACTCAAAAGAGTACAATCTTTTAATAGCTCACGATTGGGCTTTCTTTTCCAGAACGTGATGGAATTGTCCGAATTGTCTTGGATCGGATAGTCTTTGGGATCCGGAAGTGTATCCAGCGGCGACTTTCGTTCCAACATTTTGTCCAGCCACGTGGACCGGACCATGGGCAATTCTTGTGCCCAGGCGATGATTTGTTTACCTCCCGCATTGAGTTCTTCTGTCACGAGATGTGTGGGGTTGGCAGTATCCTCAACCCGCATCCCTCCAATAGTAGCAAGTTTGGGCAGAATGGTCCTTTCAAACTTGTTTTGCTTCATGTTGCTAAACATGACCCGCAGAGGAATCCAAGAAACCTTGACGGTGGACTCAAAACGACCCAATTGAATGAGAATTGGGTCAGTGGAGGCCTCCAAGGGCAAGACCACCTTGTCTCCCACATCGAGCCGTTTCAATGTCACGGGAATGTTGCCAAAATGATTGCGCGCCGTGGCCGAGATGGCCGGAAGATCCCCACCTCCAGTGTTGGAAGTTGCCATAGTATTAGGTTTGGTATCCGCAGAAGGTTGTTGGGACACTCCTTCGTCGTCTGTCTCGCTGTCATCGTCGTAGTCTTCCTTTTTGTCGGCAATCGCTTCCGGACTTGCCGAGCAGACAAAGGATCCTGCCTTGCCATTGTTTTCATACACGATACACATATCGAGCTCGCTTTCTTTGCAAGCATCCTTTTCTTCTTTGGTCCTTGGCTTGGTCATTCCCTTGGCTGTCCCGAGGCACCGCAATACAAAATGCTGCCTACTCACTGTCTTGTCTTGGAGAAAGGTTAGATCGCCCTCTTTGCGTCCAGCACTGACTAAAATCCCATCTTTCTTGCTAGTGGCTAGACAAGGATAAAGTGTAGTAACAAGACTCGCCGTTTGGTCGTGGTAGGAATCCACTTTCAACAACATGTGGGGTTGGTTTACAATGTATGTCAAACTTTGCATGTCATCATCATTTTTGGGTAGTGAATATTACATCCGGGTCTGCAATTTTTCGACTCCCACCTCCAAATGTTGGACAAAGCTGAAGGATGAGGGTAATACTGTATGTTTGAATCATGTTATTATTACAAGCAGAAATAATATCAACAGGCCTTATACTGTAGTACCACTAACAAGGGAAAAGCATATTTTACCGCACAAACTGTTCGACAAAATCCTCGCCGAGGCCAACTTCTTTGTAGTGCTTCTTGGCCAATTCGAGCTTGGTAAAGACATCTTCAGCGCCCACTACTTTGCCCTCTGGGTCGCAATACAACAAACTTCCCGTAACATGAAATAGAGTAATCATTTCTCCCACTCCTTGGGGGACTACCAGTGTGTGAATCTCACCCGGCGGTTCAAAGACGTAGGATCCTTGTTCGGCCACCCAGTCATGTTCCAAATACTTCCACTTGCCCTTGAGGACATGCCCATGAACGGGACCTGGATGTTTGTGTCTTGACAATAGTCCAGCTCCTTTGACTCGCAATAAGTTGACGTAGTAACCACTCGACACGCAAAAGCAGAGCGGTCGGAAGGAAACTGTATCGGTTTGAGGAACCCAGAGCAATTCTTCATCTACGTCGGGCATTACTTGGGGAATGAATACTTCTGATAATGCTTCCTTTGGCTGTTCTCCTTGATAGGGTTTGTAGGCTTCGTCTACCGTCTCGGCGGTAGATTGCAACAGGGTTGTGGCGGTGCGATCGCTGGTGGAAACTTTTCCTTGGGAAGTTGGGGCAAATCCATCCACATAATCGACGAACAAAGCTACAAGGAATAGCGCTAAAAACTTGAGCTGCTCTCTATAACGTCTTGTCATCATTTAGCAGGAGTGAAGAAGAGATGGTTGCCTTGGCAAAGAATGTGTTGCTTCGTGGAGTGATGATCGAAGGAGTCGGATCGTCATCCAAGCACGGGATGATCGGATGGACGGAAGGACACCATGTGCACATTTTTTAAAAACCAAACTGCATAACGGTACGTACGAGGTACGACTGCATGCATCAACCCCTGTCAAATTATATTGGAAAGAGGCCTGAAGTAGTGATCTTTGTCATTGTAGATGAGGTTACCAATAAACGTTTCAACAGGGGCGCTTTTTCGATGATTTGACGAGAGAACTGCTGGGCGAGGGAGGAGGTCAGAAGAAAATCCCGCGCGGGAACGATTTCAAACCAATGTGGGTGGGTCCACAGCAAAACTTCAAAATGTCGTTTCACCGCGGGAACTGTTTCCTATGTGCATGCATGGTTCACTGAAAAACATCAAAACATCTTTACAATATTTACACATGCATAGACTGATATCCAAATCTACCAGAGTATAGGTTGACATGAATTTGAATTTGAGTTCAAATCAAATCACAGCAACGGTAAGCTATCAAACCTGTAGTGGATCATACTTTCAACCTGGCATAAATCTCGACTTGTGTCACACTACAGCGCAAAGATGCCCAACGACGAAAACGCCAAGGAAAACTCTAACAATCATGCTTTTTGTGTGCCAGCAGGCTATGCCAAGAGTGAATGGTTCTTGGACACTCAGGATCTAAAACCTCTCGAATACGAGCAAAAGGGTGGCCGATACTACGGCGGCTGCTTCAAACTCTACCAACCAGCAGTACTGGAAGCGCTGGCAGAAAAGAAGTATGGAAAGAATCGATTGGCCAACTTTAGACAGGAGAGAGAAGACAAAATCCAACGCAAGCGGGATCGAGAGCTCAAGAACCAAGAAGAAGAGCGTAAGCAACAGAAACGAGAACTGGAACAAAAGCGCCAGCAAAAGCTCCTGAGAAAGAAGGAGAAAGATAGACCTTGCAAAGCCGTTTGTGCTGGCGAGCATTATCGAAGACTTCATCGCCCAGCCTTTCGAAAGGAAAATCCAACGGGATCCGGTTACGCCTTTGAGAAAGCGATTGACAAGATGATTAATGCACAATACCGCTCGCTCTCTGCGGAAGAACGTCGAACCTGGACGGCCAAGGCAAAGGCCGACAAAGTACGATACGAGAAGGAGTATGCGGCTTGGGATAAGAAATGGAATTCTCAAGGCTAGATTCTTACTCACAACTCCCTGAGAAACGCCTAGCTCGCAACTCGGATCTTTACCTTTGTTACGATGTGGCTGATGAGATTCTAGTGCTCCCACGAACACACATAATTATATTGAAAGAGTATACTCATTCAATATAGTCCTATATATCTATTCATCTTATTATAACAAAAACTTCAACCAATTTTAGAAGCAACAGCAGTCTTGCTGCTTTTAAGTGAGTCAAAATCGAGAGCGGTTGCTACGATATATCATAGTTCGAAACGGCTTTCAAAAAGAAACCGAAGACAACAAATATTGGAAGAAGTGCAATGACATACACACACTATTCGTTTTCGTTCCGGTTGAGGAATTGTAAGTCTCGCCAGAGAGGCACCATGATCGTGATTTACATGATAGTCCATATAGTATATTATTATTAATTAAAATTACAAGAACTATGACGAATCCGATAGTTCTGGCGCTTGTGATAAATCTACAGTCTTTGTTTGGGTCGATCCTATGCGATATGGTAAATCTCCCATTTCCAAATTGTATGCCGTGCAAAGATCCCGCCAATCCTTCATGGTTAACGTCAAAATAGCTTGCGTATTCGGATGCGAAGATTTCTCACCGTGGCTCTTTTTCGCAAAATCATCCACATACTGACAAGCAAGACCTCCCGGAGCACTCTTGTTTCCGAAATCATCCCCGAACCCCTTCTTTCGAACCCGCAGCGTTGCCAAGCCCTGTTTCACCATAAACGAATAATGAAATATATTCTCTACTGTTTGAGTGAAAGAGTGCGGATTGAAGAGGAACCGAATCGCGTCAATCTCCAATCCAAGTTTCTTCAGCTTCTTGTCCAGCCGAGGTGGAAGTTCTTCTCCATTGTGTATTTCATTTAATTTTCTCTTGTTTTTGAAATATGTGTTTAGAACTCTTGTCTTGAGCGTCTTTTCCATGGATTTCATTGATCTTTGAATCGCCGACAGCTGATCTGCGTTCCGGTCTGTGTGTTCTTTGACCACTTCCGGCTCTACTTCTTCTGCGTTTTCCTCTACTACTCGTACTCGTTTTGCCCTCTGACGGACTGTGAGCGCTCTCCCATCCGCTAAGGACCCATTCAAGAAGGATATGTTGGAAGGCATGGCATTGAAACATGTGCCAGCCTGACTTCCAAACAATAACCAATCAAAGCATCCGTCGCTACTGCGGCACTTTGATTTTAGCTTACTAATAAACCTATCAGCATCATAGCGAGGAGCCTGTAGAGATTATTCGTCAAGCATAGCAGGAAGCATGGTGAGAACAGCAAAGGTAACGAACTTGGCCGACAAAACACAATTTCCATACCTTCAACAACTGATCAACCTTTTGGGTAGCACGATTAACAATGACGTGCATGTTCGACCCGTCCAAAATAGCCTCCCGAGGATAGTAGACATTGCAAAAGATTTCATTGTTTTCTCCCCGTACTTCATTAATGTTCAAGTCCGCGCCAGCTTCCACCACTTTTGAGAACAACAAACGTTGGTTTCTTCGAACCTGACGGCGGTCTTCCTCGGTCTGACCAGATCCATGCATAACTTTTTCAGGGCTCACAACGTGGCTACTGCTATCATCTCGCTGTACAGCCTCGGTTGCCGCTATCGAATCGGTTGCTTCTATCGAATTATCCTCATCAAGAGGACCTTCGAAGTGAATTGTTTGGTGTGCCATGCTTGTGTTGTATCAACCTGCTATGAGGGTAAGATTTTGAAATGTTGAGACGAGGTTAAGTTTCTATGTATAAGCAATAGCACGCTGGTTGCTCTGTCAATATGTCGTGGTACCCGGTGCCCCAACTTGCTCCTTGTTTGATGACAACTCCTCCTCCTGTCTTTTTAACGACCCTTACGACCGGGAATATGTTCCGAGATTAGATGCCAGAAACTTGGACTTCTTCAGCTAAAGAAGACAACTAGCAAACAAAAATATGCGTTGCTTTATCTGAAAGGTATGATAGCTGCACTACTCGCCAGCTTCTACAATCACAACGTTTCGAACTTTCATGGACCGAAGTGTCTCTGTTTTTTTCTTCCACCTGGGGTGGTGCGTTGGGTCAGATCAGTCGTCTCATGTTGTTTATGCCATCCGATCCGATCCATCTTCGTTCACTGTTGTAATCTAAGCAATAAATCTATGCTACCCAAGGTGAGTGTTGGTGATTCACAGCAAAGCTAGGTTTGCTCAGCATCTTAATTGTTTATTGGTGCTTCTACAAATCGTATCCGTTTGGCGTTCTAAGCTATCATCATGATTACAAGTCCACCACCATCCTCCTCATATCGTATTTGGTTATTATTGCAAGACAAGTTGGTCGCACAGTCAATGTTGGGAAGTAGATTCATGAACTAAAATCATAGAATTATAATCAAGGCATGAATGACTTTACATCAATTTAGTGACACTAGCTTGTCCACGAAGTCTGCTCTCTTCATTGGAAGTGGCGATATTGAAAGGATACTAGGCTAGTGCCCTTGCTAGATCTCAGCCAACCCAATTTGCCTACACTTTTATGCGTCGCTCTATCTAGCAACGCAATAAATAAGCGCCAATCGCTTTCTGGTTATCCCCATCCGAAACGGTCCACCGCGTATCAAGCAAACTGACAGTCACTGCGTATCAAGCAAACTGACAATGTTTTTGCTGTCTTCCAAGAGTAGTTCCAAATACAAATCGCATCCCGATTCCAATTGTTTCTGGTCAGCTTGCCGTGGGATATCCGAAGGATGAGTCGTTCTTGGAATGTTTGGCCACATTTGTCCATCGGCTCCTTGAGAGTAATATCGTCATCCTGTTGATCGGGCTGAGTGACGAGTCCTCACTCCTCCGTTTGTAACTTGCTTTTTCTTCAGGCTATCACGGAGGACGAAGCAAGGTTGGATACGATCTCCCACCTCGACGAAACGGTAACGCTATGGCAGCCCTCCAAAACCGTTTCTTTTGGCATCGTCTTCGTGCGGTCTAGCATCGACAGTTGAGAGAACCCACAATACTGCTCAAACGTGTCAAAGTTTCCATCCGAGTAGAAAGCAATCTGCTAAACGTGCCATGATTCTTGCCACGAATCGTGCCATTTCAAGCCTGCATGGGCGATAGCCACTGAGCCATCATGGTCGATGCCGTACAAGTATCTCATGATTAGCCTCGTGTGCAGTACTGGTGCGTGAAGGTACTGGTACCCTGGTACCGGTACTTGCAACAGATGCCTTTGCTACAAAACTGGTGTGGAGTATCTATCAATCTCCGCGCTTTTGGCATCCAATCGGCGAACTCCCCGGAACACGTTCTTTCTACGTAGGTTATACAGGTTCTGGTACTGAAGCGATTCGAAAAGGAGCCGGCCTCACCGTGCTCAGTGCGCGAATGGGATTCGTATCCGGTGCATGTAGCGGACACGTAACCGTTAGTAGGGAACTCGGTTTCGACGACGATCGAAGAACGGCACGAAACAGACAGATTGGAATCCCGTAAGCCCGGAACAAAAGTCATAAATTCTGTTTGCACAGAACTATTTAGTTTACATCAAAACCAATTCATCATGCAGGTAAGCAACTACAGTTACTTGCCACTGGCAATGATGGATTGACAGTGAAAGCAGCAACAAGAGAAGGACGCAATGGCTTGACGTTGGGTCCGAAAAAAAGCGATTTCAAGATCAACGGAGGCTTCGGAAAAAAGGTGTCAATCGTGCCCGTGGGGCGGCACTAAGCAGTTCCGGATCTGTTCCTTGTCATTGGCGGCTCCCAATTCTGTTTCTACCTCTGGTTTCTGCTTCCTGTCAATCCATTGTCTGATCTAGGAAGACACGGCAGTGTGAAAGCGACTCTTGCAGTTGTGAGAAAAGGGCGCATGACTCACCGTAGATTTTTTCTTTCTGATTCAGATTTTCGTGAAAACTTTGACCGGTAAGACCATCACTCTCGATGTCGAGCCATCTGATACCATTGACAACGTCAAGACTAAGATCCAAGACAAGGAGGGAATTCCACCTGATCAGCAACGTCTTATCTTTGCCGGAAAGCAACTTGAGGACGGACGTACCCTTTCTGATTACAACATCCAAAAGGAGTCTACTCTTCACTTGGTCCTCCGTTTGCGTGGAGGTATGCAAATCTTTGTCAAGACTTTGACCGGTAAGACCATCACTCTCGATGTCGAGCCATCTGATACCATTGACAACGTCAAGACCAAGATCCAAGACAAGGAGGGAATTCCACCTGATCAGCAACGTCTTATCTTTGCCGGAAAGCAACTAGAGGACGGACGTACCCTTTCTGATTACAACATCCAAAAGGAGTCTACTCTTCACTTGGTCCTCCGTTTGCGTGGAGGTATGCAAATCTTTGTCAAGACTTTGACCGGTAAGACCATCACTCTCGATGTCGAGCCATCTGATACCATTGACAACGTCAAGACCAAGATCCAAGACAAGGAGGGAATTCCACCTGATCAGCAACGTCTTATCTTTGCCGGAAAGCAACTTGAGGACGGACGTACCCTTTCTGATTACAACATCCAAAAGGAGTCTACTCTTCACTTGGTCCTCCGTTTGCGTGGAGGTATGCAAATCTTTGTCAAGACTTTGACCGGTAAGACCATCACTCTCGATGTCGAGCCATCTGATACCATTGACAACGTCAAGACCAAGATCCAAGACAAGGAGGGAATTCCACCTGATCAGCAACGTCTTATCTTTGCCGGAAAGCAACTTGAGGACGGACGTACCCTTTCTGATTACAACATCCAAAAGGAGTCTACTCTTCACTTGGTCCTCCGTTTGCGTGGAGGTATGCAAATCTTTGTCAAGACTTTGACCGGTAAGACCATCACTCTCGATGTCGAGCCATCTGATACCATTGACAACGTCAAGACCAAGATCCAAGACAAGGAGGGAATTCCACCTGATCAGCAACGTCTTATCTTTGCCGGAAAGCAACTAGAGGACGGACGTACCCTTTCTGATTACAACATCCAAAAGGAGTCTACTCTTCACTTGGTCCTCCGTTTGCGTGGAGGTATGCAAATCTTTGTCAAGACTTTGACCGGTAAGACCATCACTCTCGATGTCGAGCCATCTGATACCATTGACAACGTCAAGACCAAGATCCAAGACAAGGAGGGAATTCCACCTGATCAGCAACGTCTTATCTTTGCCGGAAAGCAACTTGAGGACGGACGTACCCTTTCTGATTACAACATCCAAAAGGAGTCTACTCTTCACTTGGTCCTCCGTTTGCGTGGAGGAAACTAGATTACTGATGTAGTTTTCTTGTAACTTACTAGATTTGGCATTGGCCATATCCCCCATTTACATCATATTTATTGGACAGCTCTTATTAATGCTCGTATAATCTGTCTTTTCTCATGTTGATTATATTGTATGTTTGGAACGTTCAGTCTGTCTGGACTCGTCATCAATGATTTCTCTTCTGAATTGGGGACTTCTTCTGTCCTCAACAACAATTCATCAATATACCGGTATAGTATTCAAACGGTACCTATATCTTACATTGCTTTCCCCGCAAGTGTTTGGATACTGTAGTTCGTGAAATGTCAGGTAGCGTGATAGTAAAGGTATTATTTTTTGCCTCTGCTCGAGAGGCCGCAGGAAATATCTCTTCGACAGATTTGGAATTGAGTGCATCTGCAGACACAGCGTCGCTGCGGAAAAGCCTGGCCGAGAAATACCCAAAATTGGCGGAAATGGTTTTGGACGAGGAAAACTTGACGCTCGCTTTGAACGAAGAATACGTTACCAGCGGACAAGTTCTGCCACTTAAGAATGGAGATACAGTCGCATTGATACCTCCGATCAGTGGAGGATAAAGCATGGGTTTCTTGGACTTTTTTCCAAATGGTGTATGTGTTGTGAGATGTTTCTTTTTTTGCTTTTTAGTCTGAAACCAGCAGTGATAAAGGATTCTTTACATACAAGTTTACAATTCACTTTCTATGGACTCGTCAGTCGTCTTGGCGCTCAGTACAGACAGCATAATCTTTAGCCCTGTCTTGCTATTTCGAATCGCCGCCATTTCTTCATCCCTCTCTTGTTTCAGCTCGTTGAATTTCTCTTGCAACTTTTCCAGTTCCTCCAAGTATTCTTCCTCTATTTCATTAAGTTTGGCCTCTTGCTGTTGTATGTATATTTCCAATGCCGTGGTGGTCTTGGAGAAGTATTCTTCCATGCTTTCTTTCACATCATCGTCGCATAGATCAGGATTTTTGACAGAACAGGTTGGGACCAAGTTTTCTTTTGCAAACTCGGAAAGCTCCTCATATGTTCGACCCCCATCATAAATTTGGAGGTCCAAAGAAGAGCCATATAAAATGGTTGGGAATGATTCCACACCAAAGAATTCACAAATCTCCTGCTCCCCATCTTCGCTTGTACAATCAACTTCCATTACCAAAGCAACTACAGAGCACTTTGATTGAGACTTGGCCACCAAATCAATGAAATATCAATATTTGTCAAGCCTACGTACCATCGCTGTCCGTCCAATCTTTCATGAGTGTATCCCCTAGCAACGTGTTGGGTTCAATGAAGAATGAGATTATGGAATTTTCTACTCCTATTATAATACTGAGCAACAATGCGGCAACTTACATGCCTAAGTGCACGGTGATTTTCCAGTAAAAAGTTTCAACGATGGAAGAAAAAAAACAGCCAACTTGAGAATCTCTATTCAAATCAAGGAATCTACTTGAAACTGAAAGACTTCCTACCTTTGCCTGAATGGTTTTAATTGATCACTGCTCGTGAGAAGGCGCTTTAAAAGAAAAACCAACTATCTACATCGCCTATTCTTACCATTTTCTTACAATGCGTGCACCACGGAGCATAAAATCTAAGTTGCAACAAGCGAATCAGAATGAAATCGAATCTATAGATAAAAGAAAAAATGACGGCTTGCACTCACTTTACAAACAAAGTCTTGCCTCCACTCATCTCGCCCACGAGAATCTCCTTTACTCCATCATTTCCAAGAATAGCACCAGCATTTGTGAGTGTCAAGATTGCTGCCAATAAGAGCGTCGTCAAGAACTTCATGTTGTAGTGTTCTAATTCCTTGGCAGTTTGCTTGGGTACCAGGTACCGGTATGCTGTGTTTCATCAGATTTGCAATCAATTTTCAAACTCAATCGGGTCACGAATGCGACATATTTTGAGACACAGCGTTCCGCGTGGCAGGCAGCAAGTTTCGAACGACCGCCACTTTCGAATCCCATCCTCACAAATCTCCACAGATCCATTATTCAATCGCACGAAAAAATTAGAAAACATCATCATGAAGTTTGTTGTAGCTCTCCTCACCACCCTTTTCGCCACATCCAACGCCATTGAGCTCACTCCTGACAATTGGGATGAAGCTACTGCTGGTAAGACCATCTTTGTCAAAATGTTCGCCCCATGGTGCGGACACTGCAAGAAGATGAAGCCTGACTGGGACAAGCTGATGGACGAATTCGCTGATTCCAAGACCGCCCTTGTCGCTGACGTGGACTGTACCGCTGAGGGCAAGCCAATCTGTGATGACAATGGTGTCAAAGGATTCCCCACCCTCAAGTACGGAGATCCTTCCGCTTTGGAGGACTACAAGGGTGGACGTGACTACAGCTCTTTGAAAAAGTTTGCGGAAGAGAGTTTGAAGCCAATGTGTTCTCCTAACAACATTGACCTTTGCGACGCCGAAAAGAAGGCTGAAATTGAAAAGTACCAAGCCATGTCCGCTGCTGACTTGGAAGCCGCAATTGCTGAAAAGACCAAGGTCATGGACGAAGCCGAGGAAGCCTTCAAGACGGGAGTTAACGAACTTCAAGAAAAGTACCAAAAGATGATGGAAGACAAGGAAAAGACTATCGAGGATATCAAGAACTCTGGTCTTGGTTTGATGAAGGCTGTCAAGGCTGCATCAGCCAAGAAGGGATCTGATGAACTTTAAAATCATAGTCGCATTTGCCTAAAATTACTACAAGAATATAACGCTGTGCTGATGAATCTTCAGCTGCTTACAACATTTCACCGTATTGTGCATGCTTGTCTTGCTACTCACTCTATTTAAAAGCCAATGAAAAGCTGCCAGTGCGGCATTGGCAGAACAAAGGAACACAACGCCCTCAAATTCATGTTTCGGGTTGGCCGTAAACGCAACAACAATCTTCACAACACTCATCGGTTTCGATTTGGGAAACTTCTAGAAACTCGTGATTGATTCTGGCACTCTCAATCCCGTCATTGGTTTTAAGAAAAGTTTCTCGCAACAGAAAATATGACCGGTAACTGGTACGTGTACGAGTTTCGCTGGTACTATTCGGTACACGTGTTTACATGTAGAAACAGCGCATGATCTTCGTAAAGTTCTCCATGCACTGCATTTTCACGTAACGAGCCTACCAGATTGAGAGGTGAACATCTGTTGGGGTCTTTCCAATGTCCGCTTTGAACGGGCTTCTCATGCATGGAATGACACAAAATAATAGTCAACATGAAGGCTGTTCTTGCTTTCCTTTTCACCCTTGTGGCGGCTACTAACGCCCTTGAGCTCACCCCAGAAACTTGGGACGATGCTGTTGCCGGTAAGACCATTTTCGTAAAGTTCCTCGCACCTTGGTGAGGTCACTGTAAGAAAATGAAGCCTGATTGGGACAAGCTTATGGACGCATTTGCTGATTCCCCTACCGCACTCATCGCCGATGTGGACTGCACTGCCGAGGGCAAGCCACTTTGCGATGCCAACGGAGTTCGCGGATACCCTTCAATCAAGTACGGAGATCCTTCCGCTTTGGAGGACTACAAGGGTGGACGTGACTATGACTCCATGAAGAAGTTCGCTGATGAGAACTTGAAGCCCATGTGCTCGCCCAGCAACATTGATCTTTGCGACGCCGAAAAGAAGGCCGAGATCGAGAAGTTCCAAGCCATGTCTGCTGCTGACTTGGATGCTGCTATCGCCGAAAAGACCAAGGCTATGGACGAGGCCGAGGAGAACTTCAAGACTGGAGTTAGCGAACTTCAAGAGAAGTATCAAGCGCTCATGGAAGCCAAGGACAAGACTCTCGAGGATATCAAGAACTCTGGACTTGGTATGATGAAGGCCGTCAAGGCTTCCTCCGGAAAGAAGGGTTCTGAAGAACTCTAAGGTGGGTTCCCTTGAATTTAAGGCCCGGGCCGAGCCCTATCTTTGCGCATAGTTAAAGAGTCCATTTGGCGAATTGCACGGGTGATTGTGAATCATTGGCGACGGCCGTTGATTCCGGAATTTCAGCCTAGGTTATGCGAGTGCAGGAATGACGTACCCGGATTGGCAGCATGACAAATGTTCTTGCGGCTATCTGGGAACTGACACAGCGATCAAGTATCTGTTACGCCGGTTAGCTTCATTGCCAGGCAGACACGGAGAACAATTGTGTTGCATTGTTGCAAGCCTATGGCGGATTTTTTTTCACAAGTGCAGTATTGCCTCTTTCGATTCTTCATTGTAGTCACTGATATGGTTTTTAGCAAGTCGTGAATTCTAGTAGCAGTTGTTTTAGAGTATCCTCCTGTTCTCCGGTCTACGATGTTGCTTCTGTATTGCATTCCCTCCTTCTGAACTTCGCAGTCAAATGCTTCACCTCTCTATTATTGCACGGGTCAAAGTGCGAAGGTGTAGATAGTACTGTACCTTGAACCTCCCAGTACTTCCTTTTCAACTTTCATGCTTTCGTTCGTGCTGATCGATGCCAATGCAAATGCGCAAAGTTCGCGCGAAGATAATGCCCCTGTCAAATCAAATCCGACGTGTATCTTGAGCTGTACCAGTGCCAGTAGGTACTGAAGCTTTGAGATCTTTAGCAACGATAATCTACGACGGTACCTATAGAACAATGTTTCGGCCTTGTCGATAAGAAATGGAAAATCTCGGATTGATGGGAGAGCGTAGCAACCACTACTAATAATGTTGATTAGTTACGCGGTCGAATTTCTGACTTCTTACACGGATACAGACTAGGTCACCGACTCCATTCATTCACCATTCATCATACTACGTTCCACTTCTTAATATTCAGGGACACACAATTTTAAAACAACATCGAAATCAAAGCCACGGTAATGGCACTGACATGTCCAAGCGTGCAGACACCAGAATCTCCACCGGGGGCAACAGTTGGTGAAGCCTCTGGAGTTACAGGAGCAACAGTTGGTGAAGCTTCTGGAGTGACCGGAGCGTCAGTTGGAGTCTCGACAGGTGGGTCTGTGAAGAGAGTGGAGGTGTCCTTTCCACAAAGAATTTTCTCGCCAGCCATACGACGAGCCATATCCGCATATACAGCGGCCTTGTCAGCAGGAGAGTTGAAGCCCAGGGCTACCTGGACCGGATACTCCATTTCCGGGGTATCAGTCACGTTGAACGTGAAACTGGTAATGTTTGGACATTCAGCAGGGAGGGTAGCTGTATCAGGAATTCCAGTGTGAAGCGAAAATGCTGAACGTGGTGCGTTCGGGAATGGCTGCAAACCCTCTGTACGATCGAGAAATGGAGATGATGAGTGTTTTAGAGAGACCAATGCCGTAGGTTTTCCAAAAACTATAAATACATAATAAATCACATACCGTCGTCGGCTTCAAAGAAATGAATTCCTTCCATTTCGAATAGCGTCATTCTGTCGCAGTCATCGACCAAGAGTTCCAGCGCCAACATGACTGCCACAGGGTCAAATTGAGGAGTACTTTCCGTATCGGGATCGTACGCCATGGCTTCGGCATGAACCAAAAGATTTTCATCTGCTCGGCCAGCTGCCGACCAAATCTTGTACCAAGTCAAAGTTGCATTAGCTGCAGCATTTGTTTCAGTGGCATCCACGAAAACCTTGTAGTCATCTCCACCGATTTCGTCAGCCATGACGACAGGAACGTAGTACACATTATTAAATTGGATGTTGTTTCCATCTAGAACACTGCAAGAAGCGGTCGTGAGATGGATACATCATATTGTAAGATACGACGAGCAAGACTTACAAGTTAGCGGCAGCCGGGTCACATCCGATATTGGTTTCGTCCGTTGGTGCCATAACATCTGGGTAAGGTTCGAAATCGGCGCACCAATTTCCAGCCATGACAATGACAGTGTCAATCTTGGCAGCAGCCTCAGGGTATGCCTCAATAAGGGCACGGAGAGACGATTGACCACCAACCACCAAGTACCACCAGTCATCTCGACCAGAGTCCATGATCATGTTGGCCATGTACTCAACACCGTTCTGGATAGGTGGAGGGCCCGAATACTGATTACATTCAGGTTCCATGGCAAATCCCAAGATTCCTTGAATGGCACAGACACTTCCACGCTCAGAGTAGTCAGGGAAAGGGGAACCTACAGCAACTTCAATCTCGGAGTGACCAGAGAGTTCCAGCTGAGCAGCAATGCATGTCGCAGAGAGCTCAGGACGATCGGAAGTGGCAAGAACCAACTTGAGGTCGACGATATCCAAGGAATTGACCAACAATCCCAAAGCGAAAACGTCGTCGATAAAAGGACCATAGTCCGAATCGAAGATCAATGGCTGCTTGTTGGCTGCGCTGCAGAAAGAGGTCGCCGTTGCAACGAGGAGCAAAGTGGCAAGGGAAGTCTTGAGTGAAGATAACATGATCGTGGAGAAGCAACGATGTGATGATGCACTGGTTAGATAAGAATTGTGAGGGTAGAGAAAGTAGAAAGGACAGAATTGGGAGAAAAAGATATTAGATTGTTTTTAGTATCTTGACGGTATCTTCGAAAGTGTTCTTGGCGCGCTTCCTTCTCACACACCTTGTGGAACTTTGTCAATCTTCCTTTGACATCACAGCATCAAGGATTTGAGGAACACCAGTGCTTCATTCTTGAGGAGAACTGGGGCTCTCAAAAAGCTACCACAGCGCCTCTGGAACAGCCATTGACGCAAGAAGTGGCTTCCTTTCACCTTTTGTATATTGCACTTGCTTCTGGGTCTCAGTCTCTAGTAGTTGTACAGTACTGTTTTCGGTTCTTGTGAGAAAAACCAAGAGTATAGGAAAAACTCATTGGTTCTCAGTCTGTATATCAGAATTCTTACTTATTGCGATGACTTGTCCTTCTGGCTCAATGGTAGAGCGTCTGACTCCTAATCAGAAGGTTCCGTGTTCGAGTCGCGGGTAGGATACATTTCGTTTTGCCGATCAGCTTTCCCACTACACATGATTGATTCCAACGCAAAGATGCATCGTGCACTACGATGAGGTGCAGTCGGCAGTCTATTGCTGCTTTCATTGATTGGATTGCCTTGTCCATTGCATCGTAGAGAAACTACAGTATTGAGCTTCTGAGCGGGACTGAAACTTCGGCATTTTTACGATTGAATCATATTGGTCAAACCACGTCGCATTGCTCGTTCGCATCGTTGCTGTAGTTTCTCCGCAAGAGTGGGTAGACTCGTGGTAGAAACTCCACACACGAACCAAAGACTACAAGGTTCATTTCCCTTCTCACGACCACGAAAACGATTGTAAAAAGTTCAGGACAGACGATAAGAATCGCCCAAACTCCCAGTCAAAGAAAAACAAACAAACGAACAAAACCCAATCAATATATACAGTGACACATGACAGCCATAGTATTACCAATGTCCTCCAATTGCTTTGTCGCTGAATTCAAACCAGAAGAAGAGCGACGAGAAAGCAGAGCGCCTTCTCCCCAACCCAATGACTATGTTCTAGTGGACAATGTCCCGTCCACGTATGGACTACTAGACTGTAGTAGCGACGATGACGACGGCATGGACAAAAAGGATGACTCCACAGCCACGTCTTCTACTCTGCCTTCCCTGAATGATATTGACGAAACGGATTACCATGGAGACTTTTTTGTATCCAAAATGCAAGTGGGAAACGGAGAGGAGTCCCACCGTCTGGCACCCGAAGAAGAAGATCACGAAGACAGGTATCATTTCAATAGTAGTCGAAATGGGGGACTCGAAAATCTTGGAAATACGTGCTATTTGAATTCTGCGCTTCAAATGATTGCCAGTCTCGATAATTTAGTATCGGCCATGCGTGAAACGAAACCTCAAGTGGACGATTCCAAGCTCCGCAATGTCTTGCTGGACATTATGGAGCGTCTAGGACGAGGAGAAACTGTTCGCCCGTCTGATTTCAAGGAAGAATTGGACAATCGGTCGCCTCTTTTTGTTGGTTTTCGACAGGAAGACTCACATGAGTTCTTGACCAAACTTCTCGATTTAATCGACGAAGATTACAAAAAGATGGAAGCCAAGCCCATGGACGATGAAAATGATTCCTCGAGTCAAACAAATTCTAAATCTCCAGCACATCAGCACTCCAACAGGAAAATTGATTCACCAACCAAGAAACAAAAAGTAGGCGAGGAATCAGGCTTGCCCAGCGTCCCCACTTCTGGCTCGTTTATGGACCTTGAATTTTCCGATATTGAGAATCTGTTACACGGGACCAATAGTAGTGACAACATGTCAGTTCCAGCGCAGGAAACTACGGAACGGCCTGGGCCGCGATGCAAGCTAGTTGGTGGTAGAATGGACACTGCTGGCATTCCGCTGAATCGATATGACGATCATTGCCTTTCCAGTGAACCGGCCAATGCAGTCAAAGCTATGACCGATGATAATGAATCTACTCAGAAGGAAAATCTCAATCCCATTCAAGACTATATGACAACGGAAGTTCGGCTATGTCTCACATGTGAATCTTGCAAGTACCGAAGAAGTCAGAAGGAAACCTTTTTCCATCTCTCTCTCGACCTTGCGCCTGATTGCACCAGCGTCGAAGAAGGTCTACGTAAATTCTTTGCACCCGAACGACGAGAAGTAAAGTGTGAAAAATGCTTTTATGGAAGTGCGCTGCAAACGACTGAAATCACTCGGTTGCCCAAGGCTATTCTGTTGCATCTGAAACGATTTATTGTCGATGTAAGCCCCGATTACACATCAATATCGTATCGCAAGGACCGATCTTGTTTCTCCTTTGAGGATTCCCTCGATTTTGATATGGATGGAGTGCTACATGAATTTCTGGCTCCCGATGTTTCATTGCCCCCAGGTGACACATACGCAATTCGCAGTGTTGTGAACCATATTGGGTCCTCGGCCAGTTGCGGTCACTACACGACAGATGCTTATCGAGCTGTTGCCGGAAAACGGGAATGGACGCGGTTCAATGACTCCTTTGTTTCCAAAATCTCTGCCGAAAGTGCGATTCAAGACTCTTCCCAAACGGCATACATGATCATGTACGAAGCTGACGAGGCGCCTGTCGAAAAGGGATGTGTTCTAGTCTAGATTACTTTTATAATCCGATAAGATTTTTATTAATTGTAATAGTGTATTATCTAGGTTGTCATATATATTCTAATGTATCATGGAGTCACAATGAATGAATTGGGCCACGATGCACAATGAATGTTTGTCTAACAAGGGCACTGACCTAATGTCTTTTGGACTCATCGGTGTTCGGATAGTATTCCATGTTTTCAGCACTCACGATAGTGTCATCGTTGCTGCTGGATACTGAAAACAAACTTTCAAAGTCTTCATCCGAAAAGTCAACGTCTTGGTCTTCCAAGTCGTACTCAATATTTTCCACTGGTAATTCGGAAATGGGTTGCACACCATATGTGACTGTATCATTGTGGCTGTTGGACTCTCCATAAAAGAAGATTCCTTCATTATATTGGGTTTGGCATCCTGTACATCCATGGGAATACCAATCGTCGTAATCTTCTCGGAAATTCGTGGACAAGTTACGAACGGTACATTGCGATGCACTTCTAGAGATCGCATTGAATTGAAAGGAGTTTGTGCTGGCTGCCAGCATTGTTGGCAGTTTGTTACGAGAAAGTGGAGCTTTGCGAGAGACGAGGATCCGAGAAACACTCGGGAGACGACTAGTGAAGAGGTTTGTACTCATCTTTTTTGTAGTATACACATTTGAATGTGAATGTAGTGTGTTCTGAAGTTGATGATTGTTGGTAGTTTGTTGGGCTACATTCTGCAGAAGAGCAGAAGTCCTGTTGACACTTTACGACTTCAGGTTGACACTACAAGATGACGAGCGTTCGCTTTGTTGGAGCAGTGTTCGCAAATTTGCTTTGATTTGAGGTGTGGTGGTTCAAACATGCGGTGGTTCGCTTTTACTTTCTCACGTGGCAAAACAATCTTTCGATCGTTGGTCCACGTGTGCCGTTGACATTTTGGAGTCTCACACCTCAAGTACAAAGATACTTTTTTCTTTTGATCCAAAGAAGCAGGTGTATCGGTAGCAAAGTAATGGGTAGGACTTCTGTTGCACAATAAAGTCTAATCTGATGCAGACTGGAGTAGACTCCAGTCTGCTGCACTATCGAGCGACTCCCGAGGACATGTTTTACCTTGTGGTCTGGTGTTTCACAATCGAGTGCTAGCTAGTCAAGTTTATTACACAGCCATATCAGCGACCTCACAAAAAGTCAAACGAGACAAAGAATGAATAAGTGGAAACACAACTGGTGTTTTAGTATACTGTTCTATCGTATCAAAGCCGAGCGTATTATACAATCTCTATTTCACATGCAACGTGACTGGTGGAATGGATATCTCCTAAGATGATCCCATCTAATAGTTTTTGCCATCATCGACCATGGCATGATTCTCAAGATTACATATCCCAAGCTTTCGTTCCAAGGCTGTGAAGTAATCTTCTTCTTGATCTGCCGAAAACGTTGGAAGATCTGAGAAATGAAGGACGTCGCCAGTCAGAGTTGTGCTAAAGATATCGGCACTCTCCTCATAGAGTTGACCCAAACTACTCGTGGTACAACTGGCTGCAGTCGAGTGCACGTTCAGATTGTCGTAATCTTCGCGGAAGGATGCTGCAATGGGATCAAAGTGTTGAGTGTTCTGTGGCATTTCAGAGACTGTCCCGTAGTTGCGCTGTGGACTCATTTGCATCTGAGCGCGTTCTCTTGATTCCGTTTCTTGTGAATCATCAGTAGATCTGTCTTGGTGATATTCTTCCATTGAAGGAATTCCACGAACACTACCGGGAGGAAGTGTCAACCATCTCTTGGTCCCCATACGAGACTGCATCATTGCTTGGCGATTCAGCGTCCCACGAGCGGCGGCTTTGGCACCCATTACAAACTTGGAAGCGGCTGGTGTCATTGTCATATTGCAGAAATTTTTCTTTGGTTTCAATTGAGGCAGACAACGAAAATAGTATTGTTACTATCGTATCCTTTCTTAAAAGTTTGTATGAGGGTCTGAACGAATTTGTGAGCTTGGCGTTGAAGTGAATTCTTGATCGGCGACATCACGAGAATCTCACGATTCGTTGATTTCGGTTCTGAGTGCGACTTATTTTGTGTACACTCTACATACGTGGATGACGTGGTGGCAAAATACAGATGTCGTGACGATGCCAACGGTGAAAGCGAACTTTGACACCAAGAGACACCAAAGAATGATACCTTCACAAAAATGAAGGGTCGAAAATCCAAGTGAAACACGTAACAATCAACAAGGGCCAAAAGGTTCTTGTAAGGCGATTGCATGAAACGAACTTCAACAATAGCAACGCTCTATGTTGGAAACAGTTGTGCTGGATCATGCACGTTGCAATTGAAGGGAATCAATATTGATCCATTTTTCCACCAATGGCACAGTAAAATTCAAGGATTCTTAACCAATAACAATATCAAGTCAGGAGTGTAGATAGTAGCAACAATTAATCGTTCAAGGCCCTAGGGTGTATAGCATCATATAGGCTGTCTTTCGTCTTGGCTTGTCTTCGAGTACATCCGCTTCAGATACTTGTTCCACCATAGTATCATCAAAAGATACCCAGGTTTTGCCCTTTCCAGAATCGTCCTTTGGATCCTTGCGAAGAGCATCGGCAGTGTAGTGCCCCGATTCGGCCGAAGTTCCAATGTGGTGTACGATCGATTGAATCTTGTACTCTTGTTTGGATGCTGCTGCCTCGGTTTGGCCTTCTTGTGAGTCTTCTTTCCCAAAGAAAGGATCCAAACTCAATGATTTAGTCAATTCGAGTGGAGCCTTGTTCTTGCGCAAGACAAAGGAAGGCGTGGTTTCGCCATCCTTGCGGGGTTGCTCCACCATGGCAAAGCGCTTGAGGTGCAACAAAATGGCCTTTGGTCGGGAGAGAACCTTCATAGTTTGCTCGGCGACCAATCCTTCGTCGCACTTTTCGCACTTGATCTCTCTATCTTCGGGCTTGAAGAATTCTTCGAGGCACTGTTCCACATTGGGCTTACTGCTTTCATCCCCTTCCTTTTGCAAAATGTCTAGCGATAAATAACGGTACATTTCCTCCTTGGTTCTGTTCAATAGATGAATCAATGGGGGAAAGACTGTGTTAGCAAAACTGTTCCAACATCAACAATGGAGAATTCTTCGACTCATTCATCATCTTTCTGTTCTTACCTAGTGTACCCACAAGACTTGCACTTGAGACAGACTGCGACATCCAGCCGAAAGAAATTGTCGGTTGGATAGTCTCCCTTGTTCTTTACTTCTTTCTCCGCTGCTGTTTCTGCATCCACCAACTCCTCGTGCATGGTATCCAAAAGGTCACCCAAGAATTCATTGGCATCACGTTGTTGATACCCCCGAAACTTGTTGGTCTTGTCGTCCACGGCCATTTTGATGTCGCGAGCCGAGGCGGAGGTTCGTTTGACTTGTTGCAAGTCTTGGAAGAGTTCCACGATGCTCGACACCACCGAGTGCTTTGGCAATTTGCCTCCAGAAGCCAATTGCTCAAGAAAGCTTGGAACCGAGTAGAGCATTTGCAAGGATGCATTCATGTAGCAGGTATTGCCAATGTTCTTGATGCCCCGAAAGTCGGGCATGGGCAATGGAGGCGGACTCGAGGCCAATGGGGATCGTGAGGGCGTTCTGCCTCTTGACGGACTAAGGGTAGCCAAGCTGTCATTCATGGTACTTCTCTTTTTTCGACCAGGCGACAGGAGCAGGGCCGACGTCAAGTTGTGCCGAATGGGAGATTGATTGACGTTGGCCGTTTCCAACGCCATGCTGGCCTTGTCCAGCTTCTTCTGGGAAAAGCCGTAGGTTCGCTTGCCCAGCATGTTCTTGCGTCTAAAAGGCGGAGTGCGATTGAGAGAACGCGGGGGAGAGTCCACCAATGGGTCCTCTTCCTCAATGGACTTCTCCTTTTTGGTACTGCTGTTGCCGCCATACTTGTGAAAGGTTATCTTTCGTTTGGCCGATTCCACTTGAGCAGCAGCAGCAGCTTTGGCGAGACTTCGTTTGGAGGATGATGATGACGACTCGGGAGAGGCAATGATGGTCGATTGGGAATCCATAATGGTCGGGGTTTGCGAAGCCACCACGGTCGATTGGGAATCCACAATGGTCGGGGTTTGCGAGGCCGCTACCGTCGACTGGCAATCCTCGGAGGAAGGTGGCATTGGAGAAGCCACAGTAGACCGTTTCGGGGCAAAGAAATTGCTGGGAGGGGCATTGCGCTTGACAGATGGAGGTGCGGAAGCTTGCTGGGTGTCCACTTTCTTGGCCTTCTTCCGCCCGGGAAAGAAGCTGGTAATTTCGGGAGTGACAGTCTTGTTAGCCTTGCTACTTATCACTGGTTGTGCTCCATCGTTTTCGTCGTCATCATCGTCGTCGTCGTCATCATCATCGAAATGATTTCTGGCAACGGTATGTGGAGAGACGGTTCGACTTTGAAGATTAGGCGTCGTCATTTCGGCGCCAAACATTTCGTCATCCGAGTCGTCCTGCTGATGGACTCGTTTTCTCTTGAGCTTCTTTTTTCTTGATGGTGGCTTGGGAGCTTCTTCTGGTTCGGTATCTGGATCTTGAATTTCTGGTTGCGACGATTCTTCTTTGTCCTCTTTTTCCAGTTCCGCTAGATCGACAGCTGCCACGGCATCTTCCATGGCTTGCTCTTGATTCTGCTCCTCCTCCTCATCACCATCCTCGACATTGTGATCGTCGTCGCCTTGCACTGGCACACTGTCGAATTCATTCTCTGCTTCTCCCATGGACTGTTCTTGCTCTTGTTCTTGCTCCTCGTCATCCAATGCCTTGCGCTTGGGTCTCGTCATGTTAAAGGTGCCCTCATCGTCCGATTCATCAAAATTGTTTCGATTCTCGTTGAGGGCCAACCACTTGGACTTTTTGGTGGTATAGCTGCTTCTGCTATATACTCCTCTGCTCTTGTTGGGACGCTTGCTACGTCGCTCCTCTTCTTCTTGTTGGTTTTGTTCTTCCAATTTGCGGTCCCGAAGATCCAGTTGCTTTTGCCAGTACTTGTGGAGCAATCGATAGCAGTGCTGCCAGTTATTTCCGAGAGGACTCGAGACGACGGCATTGTGTTTTTCCGATTGAAGCTCAAAGCCTTCATCCTCTTCCAGGAAATGAATGGATTTGACCTTCTTCCAAGGAATCTTGTACTTGCCGCACAAGTAGATTAACTTTGGGTCAACGTCCACGGTAGTATTCTTGGGAGGCTCCAAGACGTTGGTTTGCGCAAGCTTGCTACTTCCTGAAACCGCAACTCGATCGAAGGGACATACCACTCGTTTCTTAATTGTCTTTGGATTAGACATTGCAATGGTATCGTGATATTATATTATATTGTATTATATTGTATTGTATTGATTTGTTTTGGTGATTCGTGTGAGGTGGACAATGACAACAATCAAAGTATTGTTCGACACTAGAAAATGCGATGGGAAGCAGGTAGGACAAGAAGTTTGTTTTGGAGGCCAAAGTCTGTAGAATTTCTACTGCCTCTACGTAGCATCAACATTTGATTTCCAAATGGCGCGCTCCGCCGTAGTCTGTCCTGCGTCCTACCGGTAGCTACAACCTCCAAAACTCGATAGCGCTACAGTACCAGGTACTACTAGTGTACCTGGTACCAGTGGTATGCACTCGCAGATATACCGTATAGCTATTGGAAGTGCAGCCCGAAGTTGATGCATGTATACTTGAGGTGCAAGCCCGAAATTGATGCATGGGATTGACTTTAATTCATCTTCTGCCTGCACGCCGTGACCTAGCGGCAGACAACCTGGGGCCTCTCAGTACGTGTGAGACCAATTCTGAAGAAGAAAACAATCTCCACTGAAGACAGAGGAGAGATGCTAATGAAGAAATGGCAAGCAAAAGTAGAAGCTGCCAGTACTTTCAAGGACAATGATAGCATGGTCAGCGATGGAAGCGTGAACATGCAGATCTACAAGTCGACCTCAAAGATGGATTCATTGAAGCACTGTTCTCAATGGACCAAAGACAACAAGAAACCTTTCACGTCCAATGGAAGTAAACACTGGGATATTGATCTTGGTGTGCATCTTGATTCTGGATCTACGTTCAGCCTACGAATGAACGAAGATTATGCCAAACCGGGCACTGTGTCTGACCTGGATTACATGTTCAACTACGGTACGAACACTGGCCAACGTGATCTGCATCAGCAGGTCGAATCAAGTATTATCGAAGGACACACTTGCTTGCTTGATACTGAAGCGCAATGTAACCTTGATAGTTTATCCGAGCTTGTGAAGCTTGGATTCTGTGTCGGTATGGACACTGATATTGAAAACTGCATATGTTCTTCGCTCTTGAACTACAGTATGGATGATTTGTGAAGAAAGCAAATCAGGGAGCTCTAGCCAATCTACACTCGGACCACTCGATAAAAAAGTATTTTTTTAAAGTTACTATTCCGTATGGCAGCATGCCTGAAAATACATGGGTTGGTTGTCGTTTGAAATTACCCTCATCGATGACTGACTCCTGCACGTTCTTCACATTGGATTTCCACAATGATACTAGATGGACCACCATCCAGACCATTCATCAAGTACTTACAACCCACGAGTGAACCGAGGCTGAGAATTCTAAGCCAAATAAAAGTACAGTATTCATCTCTTAGAACACTGACTGCTGTAATGTACCCAAATGAAATCACCAAATCACCATATCAGCATTCTCTATCATCGAAATGGGCAGAGTGCAGACATTGAAGTCTCTACACTGTAATGTAGCATCTTGCATCTTGATCTTGCATCTTGTACTGATATGCGAGCCAGTCAACCGAGCCATAGAGTTGTTTTGCATCACTGACGTTCCAAGTTGCTGGACGCACATCTCTGCCGAGAAAAAGAGGTCCGGCCATATTCCTGTGACTCGATATCCCGTCAAACGCTTTGTTACTGTGTGTGTGTGTGTGCGTGAGAGTGAGAAAGAGAGAGAGAGAGCGATGTTTGACGATGCAAAGCAACCTCCCAACGGGGAAGATGTTTAGCGCATTGGAGTCTTCCATTTTGCAACTTCATTCACCTCGCAGCTTCAAGCGGGTCACCGTGTCGAGACAAGGAAACGGCCGGGCAGTTTCACGTTGGAGCAACGTCATTCCTCTACCGTAGATGATGATCCGATCATTATGACGTGGAGATCAAACCAAGAATACACGATTGAAACGCACAGGTAAGCGATAGTCGATCAAGAGACGACGACATCACTGCTGATTTTCAGCTCATCGGGAACAGGATTGCCATCAATAGGGAAGATGCTAGGAAGGCACAGTCGATGGTTTAAGAAACGACTGAAGATCGGGTCGTGTCATCTTTTGACATGACTGATCAAATGAATAGCACATGATAGGATGGTGTCTGGCGAGTTGACAGTTGCCATGTGCACCAGGTACCGGTATATTCTCGCATCTTGGATTTTTTTTCTGATTCATCATTCGCTCGTGAATCAACAGAATTTTCCTGAAATCAAATTCAAACCGATAACCGTTCGTACCAGACCTGCGCGTAATTTCTACGGATTCCCCCCACTTTGTCACGCGCCGGCAAAGACACATGAAGCAGTCCGATTTTGAAAATAGAGTATTCTATTCTTCGCTTTGGTTTCAACACGCACCTTTTATTGCTTGTGTGACAACAAACAAACATTATTATCATTATTTCGCCAAGCGAATCGATGATTACCAAGAATATGACAAGGGCTACGGCCTTGATGATCGTGGCGGCATTGGCTGCCCAGAGTGTCAATGCTGCCGATGACTTTAACTATCGCAAGACCGAAGGAAGAGATTACGGTCCAGCAGATTGGGACGAGGTCAGCTGTAACGACTTGAGTACTTGTGTAAGTTTCACTTTGCTATTTATGCTGCGACTAGATCTTGTGTGGAAAGATAGATTTGCTAATCTTGATTCACTCTCGTTTCAATATCAATAGCCTGGATGGCCGGACAAGCACTTGGGATCCGTTGGAAGATTCAAGTTGACTGATTGGCCCAACAATTGTGCATGGTGTCCCATTGAAGGAAACAACTGTGGGCAGCATCGACAATCTCCAATTGATCTACAGCGTGATCGTGCTGATCCCAATAGCCCCAACTGGAAGGAGTGCGAAGATTGGCATTGGTACGTCCAATGTCTGTTATTTGATAATCATCGCTAACATACTCTCTTGGAAGATTCACCATTTTCTAACGACTGGCTCACTCTACTATTCCATTTTGACTTAGGATGCACTTCAAGGACGGAACTTGTGACTGGAACGATGTCGAGGATCAGTTTGTTATTACTAGAAGTGGTCTTCAACACAAAATTCCAGTGAAGAGCAACGGAGATATCGATTGTAAGGCAAATAACGGTGAACGTAGATTTCCAAAGTTGGACTACAGTAAGGGATATCAGGATTGGTGGTTTTTGTCGCAAACGGAAATCACGGTACCTAGTGAGCACGTTCAACACGGAAAGCGATATGCTGCGGAAGTTGTTCTTTCCCACTTTTACGAATTCAAACATGCATGGAACCATGTCGGTAAAGTTGCAATCTTTCTTCAGGATTATGAAGGGGAAGCGCCTTGGCATTTTCTAGACAAGCTCATTTGTAGATGGCGTAGAGAGGAAGAGAAGGCCCGTAGCAAGTGTAACCTTCCACCAGCACCTGTTTACAAGATGTGCGAATTGTACCGTGGTCAGACCAGATCGGCAGAGGATTTCGATAGCCCAACGGAACAAGTCACCTATCCAACCTATACACCTTTGGTAGCACCCAGGGCTATTCCGATTTTTAATTATGGTGGAACGCCTCCATTGGAAGTCAAGCCATTGCAGCTTTGTCAGGGAGATTGCGATTTCCCAACCGATTGTGCCAAAGGATTGATCTGTCACCGTCGTGACGCCTATGAATCTGTCCCAGGTTGTATTGGCGGGTAAGAGAATCTATAGTTGACTCACTGTGGCTTTCAACTATCATTGTCACTCACCCATTTTTCCTATTCACAGAGAACAAGATTCTACCAATACTGATTACTGTGTGTTTGACGTCTACGGAGAGGGCTACAGTCGTCCTACCGATGCCCCAACCCAAAACCCGACCATCACTCCCTCTCCGACTCTTTCCCCTCGAGAACCAAAGCCCTTGCAATTCTTTGGAAGTACTCCACCAGCAGACAAATTGCCTCTTCATATCTGTCAGGGAGATTGCGATTTTGATGAAGACTGCGGCGAAGGTTTGATTTGTTATCAAAGAGACGAAAATATGCCCGTTCCAGGATGTATTGGCGATGACGCAACGAAGACTGATTACTGTATTCTTGATCCTTATGGAGATGGATCGTACACATTTCCTCCCACTGTTGTTCCTTCGAGAAACCCAAGTCAAGCTCCATTTGTCCGTCCAACTGGGCCAGAGAAAGTCATTGCGAACCTTGGATGGGAACCACCCACACCAATCGGCGAGTGCAAGGGAGATTGCGACGAAGATTCTGATTGCGACCTTCACATGATATGCTTTCAGAGGAATAGGTGCGCAACCAGTGGCACGATGTGTGACAAGTAATGACAATTCTAACTTTTTTTTCCGTTTTCACAACTTCAGACAGTTTGAACCTGTTCCGGGGTGTATCGGAGGAGAGATGGACTCGACTCTCACGGACTATTGCATCTACAAGACTATGGAACCAACTCAGCAACCAATCCAAGGCCCAACCACTGATCCAACGGATAAACCCACTCCCGCACCAACCAATCCAGTTCCAACTCAGACCCCCTCAGTTTCACCAACAAATCCATTCAAAAGAGGTACAATCAAGTTCCTTGGATGGAAGCCTGCGAAGCCCTTCCTAGAAATGTGTGAAGGAGACTGCGACAGAGACGAGGATTGTCTCCAAGGACTCTTGTGTTTTGACCGCAAGGTTATCACCGACGAAGTCCCCGGTTGTGATGGAAGTGACTTCGAAGAAGGCTTGTCCGACTACTGTTTCGACCCTCGCGTATACGACATTGCAGATCCGACTGCTAAACCCACCGAGACTCAGCCTACCAAAGCCCCAACCAAGGGTCCCACTCCTGGACCAACCAAAGAGCCTACAAAGGCTCCAGTTGCACCTACATCCGAGCCAACTGGTCCATTGCCTTCCGCTTCACCTTCTACAAGAGCAACTGAAGCGCCAGTCACAGATGGACCTACACTTGATCCTGTTCAGCGCCTATGCTTGGTCCATCCTAAGTGCCAATTGCAGGGTCTAGTGGGATACTGCTGCCCATCCATTCAAGGCGATTATCTGGATTGTTGCGAAACCGGTGCTCCAACCACAGCTCCTATCGTTTCAGTTCCAACTAGAAAGCCGCCTACTGCTGCCCCTGTTACATCTCCAACAGAGGCTCCAGTGCCTGCGCCAACTACCCCTCCAGCTTCGAACGGTGGACAAAGTGAGCAAAGCGATTTAGAATTTGTTGGCTGGAGCCCAACAGAAAAATTGAAGATTTGTCAGGGAGATTGCGACGTCAATCAAGACTGTGACGAAGGCTTGACTTGTTATCAACGTTACAATGCGTATGATCCAGTTCCCGGTTGTGCTGGGGGCGAAGTAGATGATAGTCTTGCCGATTTTTGCATTGAGATTGGCGCATCTTTTGAAACTTCCGACACAAGTTTCCCAACAATCGCGCCAACAAAGGGAACAAAGCAGCCTTCAGCGGGTCCTACAAAGACACCGACAGACAAGCCCACAGAAGCACCAACCGAGGAACCTCTTAAGCAGGACAATCAAGTAGTGTCAAACATCAACTGTAATGCTGAAAAGTACGAGGACCTGGGAGTCAACTTCAATCGAATGTGTAAACCGGACAGTTGCTGTTCTATTCCCAGAAAATCGGGAGGCTTTTGCGAACGCATGTACACAGCATTGGGAGACGAAGTGGAATCTGCATGTTATCATTGTTGTGCTGCGGCAGAGAGCGCTGGCTATCCAAAGGAGGTCGGGCCAGCAGCCGAGGACAATCCTAGAATTCCGAAGTCGATCGAGTGTGATCAAGTTGATGAAGCGTTTAAGATCTGTAGACGAGATAGCTGTTGTGATGGAGATATGGGCTCTTCTTTCTGTAAATCTCAACTTGCGCTCTATCCTGGCCATATGGAGAGCATCTGTGTAAGTCCCATCTGTTTTCGTTTTCGCAATAATGGAATACCATCTTCTAACATTTCCTATTTCAGTGGTACTGTTGTTACCCCTCTTATGAAGTCGATGTAGATAGCCGCCGTCTCTCCGCTGGTGAAACTGGACTTGAAGACATTGAACACAAAGAGGGTGATCGAACCTCGTACGATGATCAGGGTCGACGCGTACTCTTGCGTGAAGAGAACTACGCCGAGGGTCATGGCACAGAAGAAGAGCAGCAGGAATACTTTGAGGAGATTTACTCTGCTCACCAGCGAAGAGAACAGGAAACTCCTGTCATTGAGAACTATGATGATATTTTCTGGTGGCCATATGAATGGCTACTCAAGGTTGGATCTGAGTACTATTTCCGTTATGAAGGTACCCAGACTACGCCCCCTTGCATCAATAAGGCTCACTGGCGCATGATGAAGGATCCAATCCGTGTTGCGCCTCATCAAATCAAGGAGCTAGAGAGACTGGTTGCATGGAGAATCAACGACCAGTGCCAGGCAGATACTGCTGGAAAGCCACGAGGAGATGGCAACCTTGATGCAGTTGATGTTGCTCGACCACTGCAGAGTTACAACGAATTGCATCGCATGGTCTTCTGCGAATGCCAAGATTGGCCTTCGAAGTTCCCTCAAGAAAGAAGCTGGTGCCGCAACTGGAAGACTAGAGATCCTTCCATTCGTTTTGAGGAAAATCCATACAACTGGAACCAAAAGGGTTTCTAAAAATCAAGAAGAACAAATCTTCTACTGGGATGGTGAACAGCATTCAAAGGATAGCAGCCATCTGCAGTATAGTCTTAAATATAAAATGTATAATCTGAAAGGAAAAAAATCAAATGATTCTTCAACTTGCAGTACAGTACCGGTATCATGCGCGCTGATCAAATTCAAGCAAAGGCTGTTTTCATGACATCATTTCTGTTTGGAAATGGTTAGATGACGATGAAAGAGGAGAAAAAGAGCACACATCCCAAACTCATTCCATCGTACTTACATTGTGTCGGATGTAATCACACCATCATGATTCTTCAACGCTGAAATTAGACTATTCTTCTTCAGAGCAATTTTCTCGGCAATGACAGCCTGTTGGGCAGGTGGTAGCGATGACCAGGATGATTTGTTTTTGTTCATTGCTGACATGAGAATTCCATTCAGAGTATTCTCAAGATTTTCTTCGTTGTAAAACGTCACTTCTTCTTGGCCTTCACGGCGAAACTTCATTTGATTTTGGGAGTCAGGTGAGGCAAGTTCGTCAGGACCGATGAAGATTACATCTTCCTTGGATGGTTCAAAATCCTGGTATTCATCATAGAGAAGCTGACGAATCGCCACAGAATCCTCTGTCCTTCCATCGTGTTTCAATAGCGATGCGCCCCACCAATGCACTTCATTTTCTCCATCATCATTTTCAATCTCCCATTGAACTTCTAGTCGATCCCCTTCCTTGAAACCAAAGGTTACTGCCAGGTCTAGGGGTTTCTTATCATCGCCCGTTTTGGTTCGCTTGGGAGACGGTGGCAGTTCATCAGCGTCTCGCTTCTGCCCCGAGGAGTCCTGATCCTTGGATTCTGTGGTGCTGGTAGCGCTAATTGGAGGCGTCTTTTGCTCTGCATTGGTGTTTTTGCATTCGTTTTCGATGGACTCACTCATGACGACTTGTAATGGGCAGATGGAAGAAATGCAATATTCAATATCATAGCTACAGTACAATTTTTATTGAAGGTCGTACCAGAGAGCGGGCCTCGCCACATCAACCTTCGCGCCATTTCGAAAATTTCAGATCACTGAAGCATGGTTCGAAAAGGACCTAGCTCTTGGAACCTCAATTGCTCTTGTTGTAGCTGCTGTTGGCGCTCTGATCTCATCTCACGCAACCGTGCCGCCAAATCTACTGGACGGACAGTGAGAACCAATTTCTGCTTGCCTCGAAGCACTACAATTTTGGCCTCTTCTCCAACACCGGCCAAGTCAATCAGTTTGCGGGCATCTTCCGCGGACTGTACTCTTGTCTCGCCTATCTCAATGATGATATCATTTTCCTTCAATCCACCTCGTTCCGCTGGTGTCTTGGGAAACACTCTATGTATAATAGCTCCGTGTACTTCCGGAATAGCATCCGATCCACTGGTGTCAGCGTTGTTCTGCCGTGCCCAATTGGGAGTACAAGTAGCTAGACCGAGGCCGAGATACCCATGCTCAATTTGACGTCCTTCAGAGAGGTCGTGCATGATGTCTCTAACCCGATTGATTGGAATGGCAAAACTAGTCCCCTCCATGTGCGCCCTGATTGCAGCATTGATTCCAACCACGTTGCCTGTCTCCACGTCCACAAGCGGACCTCCTGAGTTTCCTGGGTTGATCGCGGCATCTACAGTAAAGAAGGTCATGAGATTTTCTGGATGATTGAAAAAGAAACAAAACTAATTTCTAGTGTAGTGAGCAACTTACCTGTCTGAATGTAGTCGACTTTTTTGTGTGGAATGCCTACAATTGTTGACGATCTCTCCAAGCCAGAAATTATACCCATCGTCACGGTATTGTCCAAACCACCGGGGCTTCCAACAGCAATGACCAATTTACCAACGCTTAGAGTGTCACTGTCCCCTAGCTCAGCTATTGGCAAATTATCCATTGCCAGTCCGTCATTCTCATCCGGGATAATCTTGAGGACTGCCACGTCGACAATCTCGTCAGTACCCATCACCTTGCAATGATACACTCGGCCATCGGTGAGTGTCACCGTTACTTTACTCGCGTCTTCTACTACATGAGCATTCGTCAGAATGTAACCCTTCTCCGAGAATATCAGTCCAGATCCTTGTCCTTGTTGAATGTACCCAGGTATCAAAGATGAATCGCTTTGTTCCTTCAAGTGGGTCTCTGTATCCACTCGAACCACGGAAGGTCCAACCTCCTCGACTGCATCCATCACAAAGGTAAGGGCGAAATTTCTTTTCTCATTCAATGACATGGAAGAAGCACTATTTCTTCGTTCCACAACTGGTGGTATCGGTTCAACGGTTTCCTCCGTCTCGTCAGTAGTGGCAATCTTCAAGGAATCTTCTGTAGCAATAACGTTCTCTTCGTCTTGATTACCAAACGGTGCAGCAGTTTCATCGTCTTCGGTCTGCCGCCTGATCAACCCCTTGGGGGCAATCTGAATGGAACCTCGGTCTGCCAACTCTTCATGCACCATGGGAGAAAGCACAACAAACGCGGAAGCGAGCAAAACATATCGTAATGATCGACGAAATACCGACTTCTTCTTTTCTTGTTTCTTTGGTGGGTCAGAACTCGAGTCTGGTGTTGCAATTGCGGTTTTGGACTCATCTGATTCACTGACATGAGACGCCTTTGTCGTTGATTTCAAATCATCAGTATTTTTTCTTCTTCTAAAGAAGCCCATAAATCTAGAAGTGGAATTGGAACTCGGCTTTTCTGGCTCGGTGCTCTCTTTCTCGTCTCCCATCGATTCAATGGAAGTTTGATTGCTCGGCGAGACATCCATAGAATTCGTTTCAATAGATGTCTGATTTGTATCAGTGGATGTGGAATTTCCCTCATCAGCAGTGTCTTCATCTGGTCCCTGACCCAGAGCACCAATTGCAGTTTCAAATTTCCTTTGAATTTTCCATAGAAGATTCCGCTGATAAAACTCTGTTCGTTGCTCAAAATGGAAACTAGAGTGACGTTTGCTGACAGTGAAGCCCAAAGATACACTATCCAGGTGTTTGTTGTGACTGATGGATCGAGGTGTTTGAAGCCTCAGTGACCTTCTTCCATCGAAACATTCTGTCGATTGTGTACAAAATATGGAAAGCAGGAGAATGAGAGATGCCTTGGATGGAAGTTTGGGGGACATCACTCAGTTCTAAAGGCGTGTGGATGTTGATTGATTTGTTGTCTCATAAATTTTTGTCTACCATCTACTGTATCTACCTATCTTTTGGAGATCGCCGAGCACCGACTCATCCGACTTTTTGAGTCACTTCAAGCGCACAAATCGCGCGAACTTGAAGAACGAGGTCTAAATGATTTGTCTTCTCGTTTCACAGCACCACCGGCAGCTCAATCCTGCTGTCACTTTCTCCATCAGTCGAACTGGCGACCTCGAGCTCCCCAAGCAAGCCTATCAAGTAGCAGATCCGACTAAAAGCAGTTGTTTCATGTCTTTCTGCGACACGTGAGCGGAATTCCAGCTTTTTTCGCGAATCAGAACCACGTATTTCTGACACGTAACCCAATCAGAACGGGACCGTGCTGACGTGCTCAAATGATTCGTCGAGAACAACTGGAGTTAAATAAATAAATAATAGATCGTCTCTCGAATCTATAACAAATTTTCAAGAAAGGATTCCGAAATCCTTATTTTCTCGATATACTTATGGATCGCTTACATCAGAGTACCGAGACTGATGTAAGTCAACTTACTTAACGTTGATGAAGTAATGTTGAGGTTTCGTTAAGTCCAGAAAGGCGTTTGCTCCCGGTAGAAGAAGAGATTCGTCGTTTTGGCGTGTCCCTGTGTGGTACGGGTACGTGTTTTGTTGGCCATCAGCAGCCAGCCTCCAAACACATCTTCTTGCAACAGTAGTACAACCCAACTTCGAACTTACCAAGACGAAGTAACCTGCAGCTTAATTGCTGCTTCCATCCATGCATCTATAGCTACGCACCGCTTTTCACCACACGCACACTAATTCACCACAATTCACTTTTCCTGGAAGACCATTTCTTCCCGATCCATCACGTAAGTTCTCCAAGCGCTTCCTATCGTATTTCGGCATTTCGAGTTTTGCTGGTCTCGTTTTCGAATGCTGCATGGCCGCTTCAGATGACATATCATCGTTCATCCTATCCAAACCGAGTTGCCCTTCTTGATTGTCTTTGATGCTGTCCACTAGAGTGCGTGTCACCATGAATCCGATCGGAAGCCGTTGCTTCAACATGTCTTCTTTCCAATTTTGAAGTGATGGGTGATGGCCCTTCGCCCGCGTTGTCGAATATGAAAAAAACTTTCAAATCACGTATCTAACGTTCTACAATAACTCTTTCCCTCAGACACATCACACTTAAACAAAGCAACCCAAACAAACTCAAGCTACTACCATGACCACATCTGATTGGCATCCTGATGATGATGGTTTGACTGTTGATCCTTGTTCAGACGAGCCATCCACAGACCTTTTCGTTGGTGAACTTCTCGGCGATGAACTCATTGACATCTACAACGCTGCTGTCGTTGGCGGAGGCGATGATGACGATGACATGAACGGTACGTAGGATCTTTCAATTTTTCTTGAGCCTTCCGATTGATACTTTCTTTCGTACTAACACAGTCACTTACATATAACAGAAATCCCTTCGCTTTTGGCACCAACGCCCGATATCAAGAAAGAGCAAGAAACCACGGGACAGGGAGGCTCATCGCAAGATGATGGTTTCGGCGCGTTTCGATCATCCAACTCTTTCAATGATCTGACGATTTTGCCTCAACCCCCTGCTGTTCCCCTTGTTGCTGAAACGGCTACAAGTCTTCCTCAATCAATCGCACCACATAGTGTTGTAAACAACGATGCTACCAAGAAACGAGCCTTGGAAGCAGCTGCTGCTTCACCTGCTCCGAAACGTCGCGCGATTCCATCCAAGAAACCTGCAACAGGTCCACCAGTACTCAAAGCCAAGGCTAAGGCACCAGCCAGCGCAGTTCCGGTTCAAAAAGCTATCAAACCGAACATCGCGGGCAGACCGCAGAACAAAAAAGACACACCCAACCCCCTCACACTCGCTAAAACACAGCCTTCGACTATTGCAGCGAAGGCGACACACACCAAGAAACCAACCAACCCTCCAGTTGCCCCTGCTAGTACTGTTGCTCCACGAGTTCCTGTCACTGCCAAAGAGGCAGAGGCAAAGAAGTCCGAAGATGCCGCCCCTGTGCTTTCCAACCCTCCAACGGAAGCCGATTTCAAGTGCGTAGCACAAGCTGCTGTTAGCAACTTGATCATGAATGCTGGCCAAACAACGAAGTCCGATCCTGTGAGTGGAGCTGCTGCGAGCAAGGGCGGCTCCAATGTGGATATAAGCACAGAGCATGTCAAGGCATTAACGGGAAGCAACTGGGTCTCCGTATGTTCTGGTGGAGATTCCAGCTCCAGCCAAGGAGCGAACAATGGAGACAAGATGAACAATCGAGCAAGACGGCAGAACTTGACTCCAGATGAACGAGCAAGACAAAACCGTGATCGCAATCGTGAGCACGCCAGAAACACTCGTCTTCGAAAGAAGGCCTATGTGGAGGAACTCAAGAGAACGTTAACGGCGCTCGTTGCACAACGGGATGCTGCAGAGCTTGAGAAACGACACACTGTGCAACGCGAAATGGAACAAAGAGAAGTCCGTTTCCGCGTGATTGAAGAATTCCTCAAGCTGAGGGCACGAAATGAGCGTAACTTTGCTCGATGGTCTGCAATTCTCGAAGATAGATTCACTTTCACTCTTCCTTTGACAGACTTTAGAAGTATGGTTCACCATGAAAGTAGTCAGACAAACAATGGTTTCGAACAAGTGTTGAACGGGGTAGCAGAAGCCATGGAAGATTCTAACCATTTGGCTGCTTTCATTCAAAGCCTGTCGAAACATTACGAGAACGATGAGATCGTATTCGCCTACAGCTGTGATCGCAAGAATTTCTTGATGGACAACTGTCATGCTGTTTTGGAATGGACCGCATCGACTCATGGGGCTATGAAGCAGGTAAGATTTTCGGGGCACTTAACCTCTTGGGAGCTGCGAAAAATTCAATGAGCAACGTTCCCTAACATCATCAATCTCTCTATCGCTACAGGGCACTTCATCGGAGCTCACTGTCAAGGGCAGCGCCAAGGCACACTTCAGTCCGGCTTCCAACAAACTAATATCTGTATCTTTGGCCTATGACACGGGGATCGTCATGTCGCAGGTGAATCAAATCAAGGAAGGCAGTCCGGATGAAGTCGCGGCACAAGTTGCGGCAAGTGAGGCTGACGCGATTTTGGACTCGCTGCAAATGCCTGACATGCCCGGCTCCGTACCGTCCAACGTGACAGTCCTTCCATCTACTGGATCCGGACCTGGACCTGCCTCCATCACCGACGCAGAGAAAGAAGACTCGTCAGATGAAAGCAATGAAGAGATTCTTGATGGCCGTCGTCAAAAGATCACGAGTTGATTTTGATTGGTTTTGTGACCTTAAATTTGTCCTCATGGTGTTCATGGACAAGGTTCTTGTGGAACTTGTCATAGTGGATTCCCAAAAGATTTGTATATTGACCATACATTTGAAACGATTTGAGCTAAATAATCTGTAGCAGCTACGCTGCAGGTGAAAAAATTACTTGCTACATGCAAGTGATTGTTATAAAAATAAATATGATTGCATAATTACGTACTGCAGCTCTATTAATAGCAAAGGAACATACAATCGATTCTCTGCTTCTGAGGGGTGAAGGGAAGTGCATCCTGCGTTCGAAATGATTCTGCGATATTCAAGCACGACCGAATGGTATCATTCTCCATTCATTCATGTATCAAAACCTTGTCTAACATGATGAGAAGAAATCAACTAAGAACTACAATATGTAATATGACACATCTGAAGTAAAACAAAATCTGTACTAGTTCTACCTTAGGCATGGAACCGTTGATAATCTGGAAGCTTCTTCTTGCCACCCTTCTTCTTGCGTGCAATTTTCTTTTGTCCGTTGCTCGGTCCTCCTGAACTGGAGCTTCCGTCTGATTCTGTGGATGATTCTCCAAACTCACTGTATTGTGATATTCACGGGTCAAGTTGAAAGAGAATGCAGTGTTGGTGAGTATAAAGAACAAATCACAACCGTATTCATACATCAAAGAGACAACTAACCGTTGCTTGTGCCAAATACAGCAACGCTTTGATGACTTCTTTCCCATCCCTTCATTATCGATGACACTTTCGTTCCATGATACATTAGTCCTTGGTCGTAGTGTGAGCTCTAATACTTCATTGTTGTCGTTCTGGGCAGGAGCATCTGTGACCGTCATCGTAACAGTAGCGCTGCCTGTGTTTTCAGCGGTTCCAGAACTGCTCGGAACAGCGGCTGCAGCTACAGGGTGAGTGGAGGAAATGGTAGTAGCAGCTGGTGGTGGTGGTGCAGATGCCTCTTGACTGTTCATAATGCTTGCGTCTTTTATAAACTTTCCTTGTTTGCTTGCTTTTGCTGACACTAGCTAGTAGTACATCACGATCGATTGCTTCGATGGCTCAGTCGTACGGACGTTCTCGTCTAGTAGCTGCTCATCTTTACCATTTCAAATTCTGCCGTATGCAGTACAGTAGGAACCGTGCACGTACGGTATAGTACTTTATTTACGACAACATTTTCGTCTGTCTTCAGTGACTCGACAGACAGACAGTCCAGTCCACCAGTCCGAATCCAGGCCATGTTTGTCTTGCGGGACTGACTCGGACCACAACTTCAACTATATCCAAACCAACTAGTTACAGTATCATCTATTCCTTTCATTGTGCTAGCATCATATTGTATTATAACTGTCTATTTTATTTTAGCTAGCAACAAATTGTCCTACCATCGACTGGAACCTCCAAACTGAAGCTCGACATCGTACTGTCTTCGCTTTTCTGGGTCCCTTAGAACCTCGTGCGCTTCATTCATTCGTCGGAATATGTCAGCAGCATCGGCATTTTGATTCTTGTCGGGGTGGTACGTCAGTGCCATCTTTCTAAAGGCCTTCTTGATCTGAGCCGCAGTGGCATTGCGACTAAGCCCTAGTACACTGTAGTGATCCAAGTTGTTGGCAATATCGGCAGGACGTTGGTGTTGACTTCCGTTGGAACTGCTCGAAGATTTATTATTCTTGCTGTAAGAATGTCTGTTCGAGTCTTTGTCCTGGGAGGAGGTCTTTGAGCGAGGTTTACTATGAGATCTTTTGGGTCCTCGGTTTGAAAACGAGTCCCAACGTCGAGAGTCGTTTTTCTGATTGTAGAAAGCTTCACGACGTCGTTGCGCGTCCCCTTTCTTGGCATTGCTATTGAATGGGTTCTGTTGACTCTTCTTCCAATTCGCTTCAGCAGCTCGAGCGGAAGCTTGGGCTCGAATGGCGTCGGATAACTCACGTTTTGCGGTCGCAAGATCATCATCTGAAGCATCACTTGGGCCGTCGAAAATGCAAGGACTCTTAGATTGGAACAACGATCCACGCCTTGCTTGATTGACCAGATCAATCCATCGTCTATATTCTGCGACGGACTCTTCATGGCGACTCATTTTCACGAAGCAACGTGCTCTTCGTAGCATAGCTTTCATGTACGACGGATGGATCCTCAAGGCTGTAGTACATTCGGCGGCAGCCTCGTGATATCTGTCGAGCATCATAAAAGAGGCAGCCCGATTGCAATGAAGAACTGCATGAAGTCGACCTCCAGCATTCTTCCCACCTGAATGATCGGGTGCTCCATCGGAGTCAATATTGAGGCAGAACTCATATTGGGTTGCCGCCTTTTCATAAGCACCCTGTTGAAATAGTTTGTCCCCCTTATTTCGTTCAGATTTTGTGCGACTAAGCTTTTGCTGTTCCTTTGGCACCCATTCAAATTGGTTCCGTAGATCGGCTGCACCATAAGCTTCAGATCGACTGGTAATGTGAGATTCCAATGCTGCGAGTACTGCTTCTGCAACTTGGTATCTCTCCTCCAATCGCATTGATCTTGCGTAGTATGGGATTATAGAATATGGCAGACGCAAGACAGCTTCGGCAGCCGCCTTTGCACCGAGTTTGATCGATGCTCCTCGCGTGTCATTCTCGTCAGTACCCTTGAAGCTATCATCACTGAGGAATTTGGCTGTGGCAACTCCGACAAAGGGATTTTTGGTTGCCAAGTCTTCAACAAAGCATCCATCTAGTTTGGTCCTAGACGCAGCCAAACGTCCGCAATGGCTTTCAACTTCTCTCCACCGCTTGAGGTCTGCTAGTAGCGACACCTTTTGCTCGTGTAAGTCGTCGCACCCGCTAGCCAGCGACAAGGCAAAGTTGACATGAACAAGAACGTCCTCTTTTTCTTTTTCCCGATCAGCAGCTCGAAGTGTTTGGTTCTTCTTGTTTATGAAAATCATGATCTTTGCCATCGCTTCTCGAAACTTCCCAATATCCATAATTCCGTTGGAAAGCTTACTGTGAATGGAAAACAAAGTATTCTTGTTCGATTCATTGTCCAGGCTACCGGTGCAATACTTTTGCAGTTCTGAAATGTTTTTGTTGGCCCGATTGAACAAATCGTCCGCTGTATCAACCTCTCCCAACTGAACGTATGCCCCGGCCGTCCTACAAAGTAGTTTTGCTTCAAAAGCAAATTTGAGATCCTCAGCAAATGTAGCTTCTTCGATAGGAGGTGTGTGCTCTAAGGCTTCTTTGCAGTCTTCGACCGCGGCTTGGTATGCGCCACAGTTAACCAAGCAAGCTGCACGATTCGAAAGTAGGACCGCCAATTTGTGCTTGTTTGGCAATTCACTGCAATATGTTCTGTACTGCAAAATTGCCTGGCTGTAGTTTTGGACTGCTGCAGGGAAATCTTTGTTTTCAAAGTGAGTCTTGGCTACTTCCCGTAGTGCTTCGATTGTGGCTTCCCTCATCTTCCAGATTGTTTCAGAATGATTCGACTCGTGTGCGCTGTAGGAGCGCGCAAAGTTGTCTTGCTTTGTATGTTGTGAAGCAGAAGCCATGGTGTCCGATTGGAAATATGCAGATTGGCTTCGTTTTGCTTTTGGAGACAATCTCTTGTTCAACCTTGACTTTGCCTTTGGCGATTTGTCACCAACACCGAGACTGAAGTGAATTGGGGACTGCTGTTGAAGAGGCTCGGACTTTGGCACATTCAGTGGAGCTGGGGTTTGTTTCACATCCCGTTTCTTCATTCGAGGTTTGCTGGCAGTGGCTTTGTCTCCTACCCCAATGTTGAATTGGATGTTATTCACCTTTGGTTGAGCAGGTGTGCCGCAATCCATTGGCTGAGGAGGGGTGAAGTTCGTTGGTGACGCCTGTGCGAAATTATCAACACCCATCGATGATGCAGGGTCGAAAGATGTTGGTTTCACATTGTTGTCACTTCGTCTCACGTTTCCTGTCTTGCCACGAAGACCACGTTTCGACTTGACTTTCTTCAGTCGAGCTCGGAGTGGCTTATTCAAGTCGACGCTGAATTTGACGCCGGTAGTTGTTTGACCAGGCACTGCTGAATTGTCTGCTCCAAAGCTTGAAGATGCAAAAGGCGCAGGTGGATCCTGAGCTGCCGTTTGTGTGCCGCTATTTGCGAAGGATGGCGAACTAGCGTCCATGTAAGGCTGTGGACTTGGGCGAGTATTGCGCCACCCACGTGGGACAGAGTCAGCAAACACTTGATGTGGAGCTTGGAATTCAGGAACTGGTGATGTAAACGGCATAGCATTAATATTCTGCTGTCCCATGGGAGGTGTTGGCTCTGATTTCATTTCAGCGGCACTACTCCTTGCGTCAGAAGTTGTCGCGTTTCGGACCGGGGAACGGGAACGAGACCTTTCTTGGGGCAGAGTTCCATCAGTTGTTGACATGGGTTGAGCCCAGTTGGGCGATGGTGCCTGTGTTGGCAGGGGACTATCCTCGAGTGGTGAGAACGGATATGACGTATCTGGACAATCAGTACCTGTAAATGCGCCGACTGGGGTTTTTGGTTCCACTCGTGTCCTTGGAGATTGGCCAGCAGTTGCTCTAGCTTTTCCTGGCGACTCATCGAAACTAAACTTATTATCCTTCACAGACATATTCTGGAAGGACCTGTCCAAAGCAGGTTCCTTCACAGACATATTCTGGAAGGAACTGTTCAAAGCAGGCTCCTTGACGGACATATACTGAAAAGAACGGTGCAGACCATCTGTGTCAGTATTGGTTCCATTGACGGAAAGATTTCCAAAGGATTGGTCCATTGCATTCACTGCAGTAGTCCTTGCAAAGTTCGGTGAACCTTGTTGAAGATTAGCGAAACTGGAATCGCAATCATAGTAAACAGATGGCGAGGATTCTCCGTAAGCGCGAAATTGGGATACGTTTGGGACAGGAGATTTGGATCGCCCTGTCGTCACGTGTACTGGGCTGACATTTGGCTCTCGATAGGCTTCATCCGCAGTTGTTCTACTCCTACTTCGGTGTCGTGTTGGTATATTGGATGCTGCTTGAGGTCCCGGCGATCGCGGTGGTGATCTGCCTCGTCGCTTTGGTGATTTTGACTTCTGATTGACAAAGGTTTTCAAAGGAGCTTTCTGTGATACTCTGGTTCTTCGTTTGGATGTCGATCGATCTCTGGATTTCGAACTGTCCCGTTCCCCTGAACTTGAGCTCCAGCTTTCCGACCAGGTTGGCGCACACTCTGGTGCTTGTTTTGCTGGCGAGTTGACAGATTCAAACGTAAACGACTTTTCTTTCGAGTCAATATTTAGGTTCCGGTTACAGTTTTCATCATTGACTTTGTGTAGTTTTAACGTATTCCTGGCCATATCTTCATAATCGTTCCTACCCAAACCTAATATGAGGGTCTTCTCGAGTGCATCTGCGACTCGGCCAACCATGTAAAGGTAAGACCTATTCTCTAGTTGGGCTTGTTGGATAATTGCTGGAATGTCCACCTTGGATTCCGCCATCTTTCCTTCTCTACCTACTTTGACAACAACAAATCAAGCTGCATATACCCACGCAATAGATCCAATTGTCGACTAGGTGTTGTTGTTGTTGTTGTTTTCGTCGTCGTCGTGGATACACACCACAACTTTCGATGGATGGTGTGATAGAAAATAAGATTGGACGCAAGGCACGGTTGAAAATCTCAAGTTCCGTCCGGCTTTTCAACGGCATAAAGTATGTACGTTTTCATCGCGTTGAATTTTGAATAGGTTCCGTTATTCTGGCTAAAAACATATATTTAGCTTACAATTTTGAAACGTGCCTGTATGGCAGACAGACGCCATCATGGATTGGCCGGTTTTGGGAGTCCAAAACGATACTGTAGAAGCCGTTGTGACGATAGTTGTGAAGCATCTAATTTACATCGGGTAATACCAGTTCAAGAGAATAGTATTATATTTACTAAATAACAAATTAGTTACTATGCAAACATGTACAGTGCTAAAAGTTTCCCCAAGATGATATCGTATCGTACCCATGAGCACCTAAACTCCAAATGCGATCCAACAACAATCCAATTCAATGCAATTCAATTGGATCCAATTTGTCTAGAGCAATTCCTTTCTTCCCAATCTTGCAGGTTCTTCAGTTGTTACAGCCAAATTTCTGGTCTCGGCCAAGAGCATATTGGAGAGATAGGCCAAAACACCTTCCGTGGTATATCCAAGGGATTCCTTGACTTGAACGAGAGCATCTGCTTCCTTTTCAAACGCAAAGAGTTTTTGTTCGGCTTCTAGTCTAGCTTCTGTCAACAAGACTTCCGCCTCATTCCGGGCAGTATCCAAGATTCGTCTTGCCTGTTCTTTGGCTCGAAGCAACTCGGTATTGGCCTTGGTAGTTTCTTGTCGGCGCTGGGCAATGGCCACGGCAATTTCTTCCTCCGAAGACTGCTTCTCGGCCACCGCATCATTATAAGCCTTTGGCAAGCCTACATATCGCAGCTGCAAGGAAACGGCAACGGCATTGACACCCTCTTCGTTGCGTTCCTCGTCACCTTCCAGTTTCAATTTGAGATTGTCCAACATCTTGTCTTGAATGATTCCTCGTTTGGATTGGAACTCGGTCACTTGAAATTCCGCACAGGAATGGTGGACCGCGCTCAGACCTGCTTGTTCTACAATGTCGGCCCACTTGTGGAAATCTCGGTACTTCTCAATGGCGGGCACCAAGTTGAGTTCTGTCATTTGGTATTGAAAGGTCACACTAAAGGTAACGAGCAATCCATCATTCGAGACGCAGATGCGATCGTCCAGAGCCACAGTGATAAAGGTGGATGGGAACTTGACGAATTCGTATCCAGGAGGTCCCAAAAAGAGACCACCAGACTTGGCGGCGTCATCGAGTTCCTTGGCGTGAATGTTGTATTGCAACCCAAATTCGGTGGACTCGACTTTTTTCAAGGAACTGGCAATCAAACCAATGGCGACACAGACGACCACAAAGGCACTGACGCCATAGGCAATCTTCCTAATTCGCTGTTCTTGCGGGGTACGTTCATTGTTGGAACTCCCCATTCTTGGACTAAAGGATTGCTTTGATTTCTCGGGAACGGCAACTGGTTGGACTTCGAGTTGATTGGGAGCTTGATTGGGAGCAACGTAGGAGGGAGAGACGTAAGTAGCAGTGGCTTCGGGCATCCGCTCGTTTTATGACTATGTAATGCTTCTTTTTGGATTGCTAGCGTTGGCGGCTGTCAATCAAATCTTGCAATCTACAGTACAGTATCGAAAGGTGATCAACAAGGTTCATTGATTGTGGTGGGTGGGATCGAAGAAGGTTCCGATTTGATATCAGAAGCGTGCGGGATTTGAAAATGTACTGAAACCCGCGTAGAAATCAATAAGTAGAAGTGACACTTGAGAACTCGAAAAAGATTTTGGAGCCCTCATCATAAACGACACACGAACAAAACTCTTTTGTTGTTGCCATCGCAATACTGTAGCATCTACCGATATTACACTCATATCTTTTGTCTCGTCCACAAGATTCATTCATATATATTGAACTACACACAACTACACCAGCTCTCAAACACTATTGAACAAGAATGCCAGACAATAAGAACAAACTCATTGCTGTCGGCTGCGTCTGTGCCTGTCTGTTATTGGTGATTCTATTGCCACTCTCTTTTAGCTATGTGGAATACTACGAATACGGACTGGTCCAACGCAAGTCAACGGGTGCGGTCGATACTGAAGAAGTCTACACAAGTGGCCGTTACGTTATCGGGCCTGACAAGCACTTTATCAAGTACCAGTGAGTCATCGATGAATGAATCCATTTTTTTCTTCTTTACAATGTACAAGGAGTCTAACCATTGCTTTGCCCGTCTCTTCACCACTTGCTCATCTTCTCTTCTCTTCTACATCAATAGAGCCGATGCACATTTGGAATCCTTGGACAGCTTGGGCGTCTTTTCCAAGTCCACCTCCAATGAATCCATTGGTTTGGAATTCCGTCTCGATGTGGACTTTACCTACTTTTTGATTGAAGACGAAATTGGGGATGTTCACCGAGAACAGGCCAGCAAGTACCCCAGTGTCATTTCCTCAAGAGCCCAAGAGGCCATTAAAAACTCGGCCGCGGACGGGGTCACCTTTACCGAATTCTTTCGAGAACGCAAAACGGTGGAAGCCCTGTTTCGTCGAGCCATTCAAGAACGATGGGACTCTCCTCCCAATCTCCATGCCAGACTGGATCAATTCCATTTGGGTCGCATCCGAATTCCGGAATCAGTAGCCACCAAGCAATTGGAAGCTCGGGTCCAAAACGAACGCAACGATCGAGAACAATTCTTTCAACGGGCTCAAGTCGAACGGGCCTTGACCGAAGTGGAAGTCAATCAAATCAATCTAGAAGCAGTCAAGGAACTCCGAACCGCCGAGGCTCAAGCCAGCCTTATTAGACAAAAGGCTATTTCGGAATCTCAGCTCATTCGAGAACAAGCTGGGATCAATGGAACCAAGCGATTGTTGGAGGCGGTGGGCATTACGACCCAAGAGCATAAAACTGCGTATACTTACATCAAGAGTCTTCGGGATCGCAGCAGCATGGACTTGTCGGTTAGTTACTTGGCGCCAGATAGTGTCTTGCGAACGGCACCACTAGCAGCGTAAAAAAGAGAGGACAAAAGAGGGGAAGGAAGAATGAATGATGCGTCTAGAGCCTGTTTGAATGCTGCATGAGTATCCATTGCTTTTTGATAATATATATGTAGATCTATATAATTACCAATCATCCAAATGAATATAAACTCCGTGAAGTAGTGGCACTGACGCCATCTTCACGATTAGCTCACCACGGCCATACTCTTGGACGTTTCGAAGTAGGTTGCACATGCTGGAGCGACGATTCTTCCTCGGCATATGCCAATATCTTTTGTGTGTTTGGCCAAGACGTCGAGTCGAGCTTGGTGTAGATCAGCTTTCAAGATCTGGATTTCATACTTTTGGGTTTCATTCGCAGCTTTCAATTCTTCTATTTCAGCTCCAAGATTGGAATTAGCAGATTTCATGTCTGCCATTTCAACTCCCAGATTGGCATCTGTAGTTTCCATTGTGATCACTTCAGCTTTCAGATTGGAAATAGTAGTTTTCATGTCTGCTATTTCAGCTCCCAGGTTGGAATTAATAGTTTTCATGTCTGCCATTTCAGCTCTCAAATCGCCATCCGTAGTTTTCATTGTTCCCTCTTCAGCTTTCAGAGCAGATACAACGACTTCAAAATTCTCCAATAGTTGGTGGAAATTTGGGACTTCAAAAATTGAGGTAGCAGCGACAGCCGTGGTTACTCCTGTCGTTCCAATACCAGCAGGTGCATTTGCAGTACAAGCAGCGAGTACCGCTGTCGTTCCAATGCTACCAGGTACCAGGTCCATTGCCTCCATTCTTTTCCCTCCAAACTTTGCAGTTTTTCCTTCTTGGAACTATTTTCTTCTTGGGATTGCAATTATTTTCTTCCCGGGATTTTTGTTTGGATTTTTCTTTGGCTCTACAGTATGCTCTACAGTGATTTACGAAACGACCATCGCAATTTGAGACGACCAGAGGGCTGTTCAAGGACCAGTTCACAGCAGTGAGGAAGAACTCGCTCCCCCCAATAGCTCCACGGTGTTTTATCACCTTCGCTTGTTAGAATATCCAAGACGGTCACAGAATTCGCAAGATTGCAATTGGGAGTAGATTTTGCAATGAAGCTTGTCATGTGAGCTGGTTGAAAGTCGTGATCGAGGCACCTTCGATCTAGTACAGATGGAATAGCAAACATCCTGTCGTGTGGTGGATACTCCACACACCCTTGCCTTTCCAAACCAATCCTGAGGGTATCTTGTTTGACGGTGTCCTTTCCAAAGTGTTGCGTACACATCATCGCATCATTAAGTAAGTATTTTCTCTGCAACAAACCGTAGTTTTTTCAACGTCGGATGGTGCACTTCTGGAGCTCCAAACATTTCCACCCTCGTTGGTACATGATGCGTTGGCGGAACTACTTCTTTGAACCACTTGTCGTTGCCGTCTGAAGAAAAATTTGAGTGAAACCATATGTAGTCCGTACATTCACAGGTAAAGTCCAAGAAGTAGTTGGGACCAGGGATTGCAACTCTTTCGCTGAGCCAAACGGGGAGAGTTTTAGTATCATTGTCTAGCCATAACGGTTTTGTTGACAGACCGCCCTTTTCTAAGATTCGTTGATACCCTCAAGTTCCACCAAAGTGGATCGTTTCAATAGGAAAGTCCATGTACTTGGACAACCATTTTCGGATCATAGGTCTTCCTGCTTTCATCAACAATGAAGCACGAGTTTTGGTGTCAACTGAACCATCCGTTATGACATGACACGCCAAGATCCATCTGCAGAAGGATTCGGGGTCCAGATATGCCCGTATCTCTAGAACACAATCAGCTGTCAATTGATTCATTGTCAAATCAGGCAAATGGCAGAAAGAGAATCAGTTCTGTCTGAATCAGACAGAACTGAATAGTATTAGAAAGTCTGAAATAAAATATGATTCCACGCGCAGTAATCTACGTCAGTCTCCGTAGAATTTTGTTGTTGTGCTCATATCTTTTGGTCGAGAGAGAGAGAGAGAGAGAGACATTTGATGAAGGTATCCATGGGATCATGTGCAACCGATAGCGTAGCCTCATTCTCTGGTTTACCTTTGAATTTGAAACAAAGTGTCAATCGGCTGAAAGAGACCGTCTCATGCAGCGAGACAGAAATCACACGGTTGGAGTTATCAAATTTCAATCTAGACGTAGAACTGGCTTCGATCATAGTTCTACTTATTCAGAAACATTCTGGATCCATCACTCATTTGTCTTTATTGGATTGTACTGGTTTCATCGACGTGGTGATATCGGTAAGCTTAATGACTCGACTGAAATCACTTGAAATTGGGACATCAGCGTTGCATGTGTGCGCCCATAGTTTGGGAGTTGGTCTATTGACAAGTTCCAACCTGAATAGTCTAGTATTGCACCCTGGGAAAAAGCGATACTTCACGCTTGTTGCAGACACTTCGGCATCCCTCGGACGAGGATTGATAGGCTCGAAAAGCTTGCAGTCGCTGACTTTGAAGAGATGCAGATTCGGTGATTCTGTTGCAATCCGGTCTACCTGCAACGCTCTCAGAACGAATTCATTCCTGCAACGCATTGAGCTTGCCGAATGTTTGTCGGCAAATGGGCAGGCCATGCCTGGTGATGATTTCAGACTATTTTTGGACGGTGAGTGAGTTTTCTCTTCATGCTAGATTGGCAAATACACTTGTTCTCAATGTGTAAAGCGTGCTTTGTTGTGGGAAGCATTGAAAGCTAGTCAATCGCTGATTTCATTGGATGCTTCGATTAACAGCTGTGTTGGTAGTGCACCCGTCGCCGATATAATAAAGCTTTCCCCTATCCGACATTTGAATCTGTCGCACCAAATCATTGGCGAGGGAATGCGGGTTGACTTGTCGGGAATGGTCGGTGCTCTTGGCAGTAGTCGAAGTTTAGAATCTATCAATTTGGCATTCAATCAACTTGACGACGGCGACATGCCATTCTTGGCTGCTGCGTTGAGCTGCAATACGAGCATCAAGTACATCAATCTACGTGGAAACAATATTTCGAATACAGGCATTTCGATTCTTGCTTCAAAACTTCCAAGTATGCTTGGGTTGGAGCACCTCGTACTGACAGACAACCCTTTTGATGGGAACGGGACTAGTCAACTGAGGAGAAGTCTGCAGTTAGGGTTGAATTACTCTATAATGCATCTTGAGCTGGATGTCACGTTGCCACATCACGTGTCGTGTATGTATTTTCCTGATCTGAATTGGATGAGAAGGAGATTTGTCTTGGAAGAAAATGTCGTTCCTGCATTGTGGCCGCTCTTGCTCGAAAGAGCAAATCGACTATTGAAGGAACCGAATGGGCCGCAACGGCGTGCTAATTCTGTTTTCTGTATTCTTCAAAAGAGTGCGGCTCTATTTCCATTCTGAGAATCCTGGTATGTTACACACAAGCCACCAGCACCACAACAGCTGCGACTAAAGATGGAAAGAAAGCCATCAGAAACAAGGATGAGGCACAACTACAAGAGAAGACGAATGTGGATTCGGCATGAGAACTTCTCCTGCAAATAATACCCAAATGTGTGGGTGGACTATTGAAAAAGGCGAGATAGAACGAATCATGATGAATTGTGACGAATCATGAGGAGATTTCTACTCCATGGCCCTGTTCCTTGCAGTTTGATCAAACTTTGATAGATGTATGTTATGAATAGCCTGGTAGCAAGTCTCATGGCAGCTTTCGGTGGAAGTATTGAGGTCGCGTGAAGGAATGTACAGACGGTAACTGCGGTAGTGCCTTGTGTTGGTAGTGACAGGTGGTACCTTGGTAGTGATAGATAGTTCTTTACCTGGACTTGTACTGCGCAGGAAAACGCGGCGCATACAGTATATAGGGCACATTATTGAGCCTAATCAATTCCCATTCCGCGAATATTCCACGTATGACAGCCTCGTAAAGCCGACCAGTTACCGGTACCAGGGTACGGTAATACGTAAATTGTTGGAGCTGCTTGTGGGGAGTACCGTAGCTGGCACAGTAGTAATGGCTGACGGGCGCCAGATTAACTGCTACCAGTACAGGTACCTACCAGACTTACTGAAAAGTATATCATTTTCGCGCATTTCTGCACAAAACGTATTATATATCGATATCATACTTTTCTGCATTGCTAAATTATAGCATTTACAAACAAGAGTGCTGACAACCTTTAATCTTCACCAAGTTTTGTCTTTTCTCCCCCCGGGAGGGCCCCCCGGGAGGCACTTGATGCAATAGTCCAAAAAGAGATAAGCCGAGTGTCGTTAGAGGGAAGAGTGAGTCCAAAAAAAAAGTAAATGGCAAAAAAGGTACCAGTACGATATAAGCTGAGTGGTATTGGAGGGGGGTTGGGGGGGTACCCCCCGAGGAAGGGGGTCTGGATGAATCAATCCCCCAGGCATGGTACGCCCACTTTTTATACATACCTTTGTATTGTGGTACCTGGTACCAGAACAGAACAGAACAATTTGAGGCGAAACATGCTGGATGAAGCTCCACACCTGCCAAAGATTACGAACTCTTCTACAACAAATATTAATAAGTCCTTCGCTTCTTTTCTTGTTGCTACTCATTTCACAAATATCGCTGATTCAAGGATTTAGTCCCAACACAACGCTACAAAACGTTTCCCAACACTTCAAAAGCAACAACCACGACGCATCTCAAAAGCACCCTCAAACAACATCTACGCAACAAAAAATGGGTCAAGGAGTCGCAGTAGATGGTGGTTTTATTATCAATACCAACCCCGCCACGGGAGAAGTAGTCTCCAAGGTGAAATGCTCCACGGCAGAAGAAATTGACAAAGTCATCAAGGCCGCCAATGAAGCTCAAGAGACATGGGCCCTGAAATCCCCCTCTGAAAGAATTGCATTTTTGAAGAAGGGCTTGAAAGAAGTCGACCGTCAAGCTGATAAATTGGTTGAGTGGATGATTCTGGAAATGGGCAAGCCCATTGCGGAAGCCAAAGAAGAATTAGAAGGCACGGTGGACAAGGACGAATTCTTGGACATTCTGGAAAAAGCCTTAGAACCACAAGTCTACGGTAGCAGTACAATAATCCGAGACCCCTTTGGAGTAGTGGCAGTTTTAAGTCCTTGGAACTTTCCCGTTGACGAGATTCTCTTGTTGGCACTCCCTGCATTGGCGTCAGGAAATACAGGTACTACTTCTGCACGCTTTCAAATATTTGGAGGTTACTTGAGTACTTGCGAACCCATTACTCACATGCATCGTTCTTTCTATAAATTGTTGTACCTTAGTCATCATAAAGCCATCCGAAGTCGTTCCTGAAACGGGAGCCTGCCTCGTAAAGGCCTTGCAAACAGCATTGCCTCCTAATGTGATTCAAGTTGTCCAAGGCGATGGAGTTGTTGGTGCCCACATCGTGGGCAGCCCCGATATCCACATGGTCGCCATGACGGGAAGTTCGGCAACTGGTAGAAAAATTATTGAAATGGCAGCTCCACAAATGAAGCGGGTCGTATTGGAAATGGGTGGCAAGGATCCCATGATTGTTTTTGACGATGCGGATATGGATAAGGCGGCACACGATGCTGTCAAGTACTCCTTGAGCAACACCGGTCAAGTATGCTGTTCAATTGAGCGCATTTACGTGGCAGAGTCCATCTATGACGAATTCCAAACTTTGACCACCAAGTATGCGGCTGAATACAAGGTCGGGAACGGAATGGATCCAGCCAACACTGTGGGACCAATGGTGTCACAAGGGCAACGAAATATTGTCCGAGAGCAAGTCAAAGATGCTGTAGCCAAGGGAGCGAAATTGCTGCATCAGAGTGAAGTCCCAGAACATGTGGAAGGTTCCTCCTTTCACCCCGTCACAGTATTGGCCGACGCCACAGAGTCTATGGATGTCTTTACCAAAGAAACCTTTGGACCTGTGGTTGCCATGGCCAAGTTCGATGGATCCGAAGCCGAAGCCATTCGGCTAGCGAACAAGACAGAATATGGTTTGGGAAGCTCTATTTATACCAAGGATTTGGAGAAAGCTAGGCGGGTGGCAAGGAGGATTGGTGCTGGACAAGTCGGAATCAACTGTTATGCGATCGAGGCAATGGACATCGCATGTCCATGGTGAGTTTATTGATGACAAATCATTCTGTCATTTGTAGCTTTGGATCGATTGGTTGTATTGAATTTGGATACATATCTGATACATTTCTCTTCTACTGTACTTTAGGGTTGGTCATAAGCACAGCGGCTATGGGTTTCACTCGGGTGTTGATGGATTCCACCAGTTCTCCATTCCAAAATCAATTGTAATGGTAGACCCTAGTGCATAGGAAGCTTCTAGAGATTATATTAGAAATTACATTAAGCAACCAAAGGTGAGAGTGGGTAGAGGTGCTTGTTCTTAGTACTGAGTAGGAGTATCACTGTGATTTTAGAAATGAAAACGGTGTCCGTGCGTTACGTCCGATTTTGATTTAATTTGGCGACGACGCGGCAGCACATTAGCCAACCAAAACGCGATAAATTCATCACTTTGGTGGCGTTTTAAAAAAAGACGCTCCACTCCGCAAATAGTCAAAGGACGAGAAATACATGCATCACATCTCTTGCATACATACAACAGAGAAATGAAAAGTAGTTCACCAGGACCTACTCGTCGCACAGATGACGGTGACGATTCACCGGATAGCCCCAAATCCCGTAAGCAGTCCAAGGATTTTTCTCACAACAACCAAAATGCGAATTCTCCAATACACAAGCTGAACGCTATTGAAGAGCAAGTCGACATTGACGCATCAGAAGGTATGGAGCAATCCCTTGATACGGTACAATCCCTCGATGATGATAGGATTGAGCAGGCACCAGAGACGGACAATAATAGAGTATTATTCTCGGAAAAAGATGAAGCAGTCTCGTCTCCCCACAAAACAAACTCGACGGCCCACAACTCTGGTGCATCAGACGACGATGACGGCACGGTGGTCCAAGAGAACCAGAGCGAAAGCGACATGAAGAAGAGGGACTTGCTATTCTTGAAAATTGTCCTCGGCATCCTTTTGCTACTGTTATTGGTCGCTGGCATTTTTCTGGTCTACTTTTTCAAGCAACCAACCTCCACGGAGGAAAAGCTGAAAGAACTCGGCTATCCGTATCGCAAAGACATGAAAAGTGGTTGGCTCTTTGACGCAAGTAGAGATACTGGGAGCACATCCTACACACACTACAACACAGACGAGCTTGCCAGGGAAGGTCTCGGTGCTAACGAAGTGGACTGTGCCTCAAAATGTGCCAGCGAGGGTGCCTTTGCTGGTGCATGGAACACCTATTACCAAGATTGTTGGTGCTTTTTGGATGTGCCGAATTCCAATTACTGTTTTGAAAGATGCATTATTGAAGAAGGTATTGAATTCTCTTCCATTCGCCTGCAATCATCCTTTGAATGGTGTCCACAATCATTCTGCGATGTATTTGACGCCAAAGCCTATTGCGACTTTCGACCGAAGCAAAATGTTACCGACTGTCGCGAATAATAGTGGGGATTGATTTCACAATCCCCACAGAGTAACTCCTGACTCCTACAGCAATAACAACAACAACAACAAGGCAATTACAAAGGTTCCAACTTGTTGCCCCTTAGACATAGACACTGCATCAGAAATTAAAATAGAGGATTATGTACATGGATCAAAACAAAGAAACGAAGGAGTCTATTGGTACGATGGTTGGTTGGTTGGTTGGTTGGTTTGTAGTTCTTGTTGGCTGACGAATCAGAGCTGATCTTTTTCGTATGGTAGACTTTTAAAATCATTCGTCGGAGCCGAAATGGTTTTGCAACTTTTCTTGGCACTCCAATGCGAAGGGATAATAATTTTCGCAATGGAATGTTGTACTGGCACTGGAACTTGGGTCTAGTGACTTCTTGATCTGGACGAACTCGTGTTCTACTGTACTCTATCTAGCGCAATAAATATGTCCTCATTCAACTTCGGGTTTCAACGGTTTCCAAAGTAGTGGCTGAAGACATCTTCGCCAAACACTCTCCTGCTGCACGCTCAGCGACCCGCGTTGGCTTCTCCGCTCTCTTCCCTTTCAGCCACATCTGAATTATGCAAACATACGATAGTATCTGATAGAAAGGAAGCCGAGAGGTCAATCTCTGTAAGCTTGACAATAATTCCCATGACGAACAAGATGGAGAGTACAAGTCCCTCTCGGAAGCAATGTCAACTTGGTTTGTCCTCGCATTCAATTGTTGAAGCATGCCATAATGGATACCATAACAAGAGTCCCTTGGAAAGAGAATTACAAGGGTATTCTTGTGTCGTGCTTCAAGTTCCTTTGGGGCCTCCACAAAATCTTTGATCGTCTCAGCGCATCTGAGACAGTGCCGACGACACAGCTACACAGCCACATGGTCCCATAATTGCTTCTGACCTATTAAGTATCAAACAGGACAGTGCCCTTCTGCAGCGCCTGTTGACATCTTGGCAAAAGAGAAAAATACATTTCACAAGGAAACGACACTTTATTGCCACCATCTTGTTGTTGTTGTTGTCGTTGTTGCTCCGACTCGGGGTCAAACGAGTTCATGATTTGGCCCAACATGCGTTCGGATTTTTCCAATGCCACAAATACATCTTCGGTGGAGGTAGTGTCATGTGGCTGCTCATCGTTGGACGTCAATGGTTCTAGCATTGGTGCGGCGGACCAATACCATGCATCTGGTTCATTTCGTTTCAACGTCTTGTATACACCCCCCGTCACCCCGGTTGCCTCTTCCTCTGTTTTGTTAACCCTATACAATTGAAATAGTCCAACATAGAGTAACAATTGACACGTCCAAAAGAAGTGACGCCCAAGACTGGCCCACAAGACCATGACACCTTGCAAGAGACACAACCGTAGAAATGCCTTGTGGGCAATGCCAGGAGCAGCTCCATGATTCCTCTCCACATCTTTGCTGTACCACAATTTCTGAAGCAATCCATAGTGAATTCCAGACGTGGGACGCTTAGGAAATAGAACAACGATGATGTTCTTGTGGTCTTCCTTCAATTCGTTGGGTGCTTCCACAAAGTCTTTGATGTACGCAGCGTCGTCATCGTGTTGTGGCAGTCGGTAGGCATACCGTACAAGATGCTTATTTGCAACAATCTTTCGATCGATGACCACTCCACCACAAAGAACACCATCTCTTCGGTACGCGCGCAGATGATTCCGGCGTCGGTCTCGTCGAAAACCATCCTCGTTGAGTCTGAGAAACAGTACCGCAAGACTGAAGAATAAGGCGTTGCAACCGATTGGGTATTCATTGAGCAAGTCAATAATCAAATCCATGATCTTATTCTCTATCATCAATCAATCACGTAGAGTCGTATTTATAAAGTGGCATTTATTGTGCTGATTGATTGCAGAAGAGCGAGGCACTTTGTAGATCAGAAACATGTTCTGTGCTCCAGGTTTGCAAGTCCTGTCGTGTTGTCAATTTTTGATTTGAAAACTATCAACATTCGACTCGTGTGACTCAGCGTCTGTCCGTTCCCGCAAGCGGTCGGGTTTCGTGGTTGGAATAAATTCAGAATCGGAATGAACGAATGAATGAATCATTCATTCATTCCCGTCGTCATCATTATTTCAATTGTTCATTCATCTGATCGTGCAGCAGTAGTAGCAATATAGAACAACCACAGCAACCACAACAGCAACCACAAAAAAGAATAATGTCAGAATCCAAGCCATTAATCGGAGTGTTGGCCCTTCAGGGAGCCTTTGAAGAGCATCAAAAATGTCTCGAGGCAGTAGGATGTCGAACCAAGCAGGCAAGTCCTTTGTTTCTGCTTTGCCAACACAAGTCAAATAAGACCCATTGGCCATTTTCCAATGATTGATTCATTCTTGTTTGCACACTATCATAATGTATTCCTTTCTCATGAATCTTTTTTCTCAATCCACAGATCCGAACTGCAGGAGACATGGAGGACATTGATGGAATTGTGCTTCCCGGTGGCGAATCGACGGCCATGGGATTGATCGGAACGGGGTCGGTCCACGAGGGCAAGAATGTATGGGAAGCTTTGAAGGAATTTACAGAGACAAACAAGCCTGTTTGGGGAACTTGCGCCGGAATGATATTGTTGGCCGAGCGATGTGTGGGAGCGTCTGCCGTCATTGAAAATGGACAATCGTTGATTGGAGGAATGGACATTTTGGTCTGCCGCAATTACTTTGGATCTCAAGTTTCGTCGTTTGAAATGGCCACACCGGCTCCACCAAGTGTTGGTAACAACAACAACGACGACAACAACGACGACGACGGCGCGAATGATACAACCTACCCCGGTGTCTTTATTCGTGCCCCCGCCATTTTGGATGCTGGCAAGGATGTCCAAGTGTTGGGAAAGGTGGTAGCCACTCCCTGTCGCCAAGCAGCAGTCGTGTTGAATGAATTGGAAGCCAAAATTAAGAATGGTGAAAAAGTTGTTCAAATGGGTGTCGTGGATGCATTGGACCGAGACCAAGGTCTTCATTACAAGGTCGTGGTAAAGCCACATGATGATGAATCATCACCAGAGGAAGAAAAGAAGGAAGGAACGGATCATGGTGGTGAATCTGGCATGACGATTAGTCTACCAGGTGCTTCCGATGGCAGCAATGCACGAGAAGTCATTTGTGCAGTTCAAAAGAATCATATACTGTGTACCGCCTTTCATCCAGAACTGACAGAAGACTACCGCTGGCATGCCTATTTTGCCAAGATGGTTGCCGATTCAAAATAAAATGGCAATGCAGGCAAGGCAAGCAAAGCAAGCAAGCAAGCAAACATGAAGCAAACAAAAAATGTCACACAGTTTTCAAGCCAAATGGTATTGGGTACGGTATGTATATATATAATACTGTATAGTATACCCCCGCCAGTGAGGTGTCCCAATGTTGAACTTTTGAAAATGTGGAAGAATGTCAAAACACACGAATAGAAATTGTGAGAGTGTCATGATATATATATATTATAACAGTATAGTCCTACGGTAATACAGAGACACAGTAGTCCTATTTTTATCATACAAAAAGGGTGGTGATTGACACCCTAAACGATATAGTATATATGTATAGTGTATGAACTAGTAGTTTTGTCAATATAGTGTAGCGACGTCTACTAGGACTATACTATTTATTACTTGCGCACAGTTTGGCGTTTTTTTCCCAAGTCCTTTTTGTAGTGCGAGCGTGTATTTGCGTTGTTTGTGTGAGTTGTGGTTCCTTCCTTTCTTTCTTGTTGTTGTTGTTGTTGTCGTTATTACATTTCCATCATTGTATCCTGACCATTGTTGGAATGACAACAAGACATTTGTTGCTGCTGTTGCTGCTGTTGTTTGTTGTATCCCACATCAAAGCGATTGGGTGCAAATGGTGAAGTATACTTGAAGGGATGGGATACCTCCATCTCGTTGTTTTCCGAGTCATTGATATTGTTTGGTGGATGCTGGTGCATTGTTCCTTTTGCCGAATGAGAATGCTGCAACTGTTGTTGTTGCTGTTGTTGCTGTTGTTGCGGATGACATTGATGCAGAGTATTGGTGCTGCGTTCGCCCAAACAATAGTGAGGCGGTAGTTTGGCTTGTGGATAGGTGGGATGCATCTTGGCATGGGAAATGCAAAATTCGAGTAGGGTGGATATATTGACAATGGGGGACCAATGAAAGACGATCGTCTTATTATTGTTGGTATTGTTCTGAGCAACAGCATCACCACCATTCTGATTGTAATCAGGATGATGATTGCAGTGCTGGTTGGGTTGCAAGGACCGAATGAGAATGGAATCCATCCACAAGCCTTGAATATTGGTGACAGTCGGTGCTTCGTGGGGATACATGCGTGGAATGGAAATGGTAATCTTGGCATCCTGCGAAAATTCGAGCAACAGTTGCAGTTGCAGTTGTTGCTGCTGCTGCTGCTGTCCTCCCCAGTTGTTGTTGATGTTGTTGTCGTTGTTGTTGCTGGATGATTTGTAAAGACGAATGTTGGGATCTTGTTCGTAGACCCAACCACAGGCACTGCCACCGCCAATAGCATTGGATGGTTGATGGTTCCATTGATGAGAGTGTGACAAGGACTTGAGATCTCGTTGCAAGCAGAATTCGCCTGGAGAGTTGTGGGTGAGTCGAACCCTCTTGAAGGAAGGTTGTTGACTTTGTTGTTGATGTTGATATTGACTTTGTTGTTGATATTGACTTTGTTGCATCATCATGGATGGCGGTACAAGTACGGCAGTGGGAGCATCGTATTCTGGCCAATTGGGAGAATGATTATGACTGATAGGGGACATGCGCCGTTTGAGGGAAGAAGATGCATTTGGTGTAGTGGGAGCCGTGGTAGGAAAAGCGGTTGCAAAAGTGGCCATCTTGTGGTAGTTATTGGCTGTGGCTGTGGTTGTTGTTGTTGTTGTTGGCTGTTAGTTGAAAGGCAAGTGAATATACTAGTATAGTAGTCGATTGATTGAGGATTGTTCGTTGGTGATCGTGGCAGCTGTAATCGTTACAACTGTTTGGAATCAATATGATATACGTATGATTAATGGATGATAGTAGCAACAGGTACAAGTATAGCAACAAGTACCGGTATAGCAAACACAACAAGTTTCCAATCGCAAATCGCAAATCGGCTCGCGGGAAAAATGAAGTTTTCAAGTTGCGCCAATAATTTCGAGAGTCAAGAGTGGTTCAAAAAGCACCCTCCTCGCCAAAACCAGGCTGCACGTGACAACCCCGGTACGCACACTTTTGAGGTGCATACGGTACCGGTACTGTACCGGTAGAAAATCTACGTGAGATTATTAGTTGGTATTGGGGGATGGAAACCTTGATAGGATATCCATAAAGAAAGGGAATACCATAATTTGACCCCTAAAGACGGAAAAAATTATGGCGCGGCACAAGAAGCGCCATGATTTTCCACGCCAGTCTACCTCCGACCTGCAAAAAGTTGATCAATCAATCAGTCAATCAGTCCATTCCAAAGCGACCTTTTTTCACCATGGCAACATTAACCGCTGCTAGAAACAGTCACCATCATCAGAATCAGCATCAGCATCAGCATCAGCATCATCATTCGCAACAAAACAATGCCAGTGCCAATACGTTGTTGGCCATGACTGCTGCTGGTGCAGACAAAGCACAAAATGCCTTTCGACCCAAACTGCCGCAAGTTTGGAACAATCATAATAATAACAATAACAATAATGGACGACCAGGACCAATGACAATGACAACAACACCAGCAATCGCTCCCTTTGTACCACAAACAACGACAACAACAACAGCAGCAGTAACAGCAACAAGTTTGTTGGGCAAACGATCCTTTGCCCAAATCTCTCCAACAATGACAAACCAACCACCAGCATCAGCAACACCAACACCAACACCAACACCATTGTTCTTGACGCAAACACCCACAGCAAGCTCGGCATTGAAACCCGGTCATTTTTGTTTGGTGGAATTGCTACATGCCAAAGACGATACTGCTACTACTGCTACTGCTACTATGGACAATCATAATCACAACAACAACAACAACAACAACAGCAAGTACTACCCAAATCTTTGGTGGCCCTGCCTCGTCTTTGAAACCAACGAGGCCCATGGCATTTTCCAGGATCTCTACCTGGCGTTGCAAACGAACCGTTTGAAACACGAACATTTGTACCACATGATGGCGGCGTTGCGAGCGGGTTTGATTGATCCCACCAAGATCAATCTCGCCGCGAGTCCCGTGGTGAATTCCAATGACAATAATGAAAATAACAACCACAACCACCACAAGCCAAAGTCATTGGTGACACTCTTGTTGGGAGAAGAACTTCCGGCTGGATACAAACGATCCTACTTTGACAATGCTGCCCGCACAACGTCTGCCACGGGACGAGGCCGACGGGTCTTTATGGTGGCCAAGGGAACGGAGTGGCAAGAGATTGTATTGGATCATTTGATTGCGAATCATGTGGTGGTGGTTGGTCCCAACAATGCATCGTCACCCTCTCTGGTTCAAACCGCCCTGGAGCACAATCAACTGTTGCTACAGCGCTTTGTGGAAATGAAGCCATCCTCCTCACCTCTAGAGTATGATGCTTCGGAAGTGGATCTCTTGGCGTTGGGGGACCAAATGCTCTTGTTGAAACAACAACAACAACAAGAAAAAGAAAAAGAAGAAGAGTCACCCTCGTTCGAGATGGAACAAGATAACCATGATGATGACGATGATGATGAAACCGCTATGCAACAAGAGCCACCAATGGACGATAACGAAAGCCCAATTGCAGAGTCACAAGGAGCATCCCAACTCAAGTTGCCTCCACAACAAACAACACACGATGAAGAATCTACAAAGACTCGTTCCAAAAGTGCATCGACGAATGCTCCTAGAGCCACTGTCACTGTCGCTGCCTCTGCCAACGAGTCCACCACCACTACCGCCACCACTAATGCCACAGCCACCAAAACGAAGCCAAAGGGAAGAAGTGGAAGACCTAGAAAGAATAAGAATCGTAATGTGGATCCACCATCGGATGACATGGAATTCAGAAGTGAAGAAGAAGAAGAAGGAACTGCTGCTGCGGCTGCCAACTCCTCCAAGAAGAAGCAAAAGACTGGAAGAAGGAGAAGAGGAAGAGGAAGATCTTCCTTTCAAAGTCAATTGAATCCGGATACACCCTCCGATCTTGTCAAATTCAAGCACATCGGTGGCGAAGCCAAGCGACAACAGACAAAAAGACGGGGCAAGGCGACTCCCATTCGACCACCTCGCCGGGAGGGTATTCAGGTGCACGGAACCACGAGTGAACAAGAATCGGATGGTGGTGATACCCATTCGTTGGTGGAGGATACTACTGCTGCTGCTACGACTACTACTAATGACAATGAAAATGTAAAGGAAAGTAATAATGGCAATGGAACCACAACCATTGTCCAAGAAGAAACCACCAAGGCAGATGAAAGTGATGCTAATTCTTCGGAGAGTGGAACAACAGCAACAACCACCACCACCACCACCACCGTCGAAACCAAGAATGGTAGAGCTCTGTCCAAGACTGACATGGCAGAGGTGCATGAGGAGGAGGAGATTCCTAACAACAGGGAGCAAACCAATGCTATGACCACCGCCACCGCCACCACTACGACTACGACCACAACGAACAAGAGCAAGAGCCACAAGACTACCAAAAGCAAAAAGTCTCCCAAAAATTCAGTCAAGAAGTCCAACTACGAGGATATGGAGACACATGTTTACATTCCCACATGGGCGACCGTTCGTCCAATCTTGTTGGCTTGTGGATACGAATTCGGCAAGTTGTTGCCGAACTCCCAGACAAAGGTATACGCGAGGCCATTTGGAGCCCCGCGACAATTTCCAAGCGCCAAACTCGGAGAGAATTACTTTACGGATATGGCATCCTTTCGGGCTCATCTTTGTGCGCATGGCGTTGATTATATTGCGGCGCCTCCCACGGCAAAGGAGCAGTCCATTGTCAATCATTGGTGCCGGTTTTCGATTGCATCCGAGTTTGCCAAGCCAAACGCAAACAGCCCCGACTTTAAACTCCATCATTACATCATGGAACAAAGAAAAGGTCACAATCTATTGCACAAGAAACTTGGGTTCAAGTACAAGGACAAATGTCTCCATCGGGGGTATCAATGGCCAGGAGAGACCAAAGACGACCAGTTGATGGAGGATCAAGACATGTGGAGTCGTCTGGCCAAGTTTGGACTGCCAAAGGGTCTACCATTGGAGAAACTAAAGGATGATAACGAAGTCTTGGCGTTGCTCTTGTGCATTGTCGACGTTGACATTGACAAACGGTCACCTGTATTGTAAGTGATGTATTATTTGAAATCATCAATCTGGTGCCGACAGTGAATGGATAGGCTTGTCTAGTGCATGTCCTCCAAAATTGAATATATTTATGAACTAACCAGTATCATCGTTTGTGTTTGGTTTCCATTTGCAGTATCGAACGAAAGGCGCCTCCACCGCCAAGGGATGAAGACGGTGCCACTGAGAATGATAATGGTGCAGTTGATGAGATGGAAACCGATTCTGCTGAGGCCAACGAGATGGTAAGAAGTCATCCCAATGTTGATGAGGTGGTTGCGTCTGATCAACAGCAAGAAGCTGTAGCCACAAGTGAAATGGACATGGACATTGATGATGATCCGTCAAAGAGTGTCAACAACGCTACAGCACAAGAGCAACCAAAAACGGGACCCTCGTCACCGTCATGTCCACAAGTGAACACTATCCCAGCATCACAACCTGTGGCAATAGACTCGGAGGCTATTGCTAGTTGCCATCGAGCACCAGAAGCAGTCTCTCCCATCGAGGCTCGTCAGAACCTAGGATCTAGCTTTGCCAAAGTTCAAGCATCTCCAGCATCAAATGGTGGTGTTGGCACCCAAACCAAAACCGGTCCCGTTGAAATCGTGAACGAGAAAAGTCAGGAAACAGAAAATGGGTCCGATACGGTTCCAACAGCCGATCTTGGCTGTGTCGCTGAATTCTTTGGGGACACCACTGATGAAGAGTCTGTTGCAATTCCGGGATCCAATTGTAATACTCCAGAGAAGCAAGAAGAATCATCTACTGTGGAATCATGGATCACAGTAAAGTCTCCCGAAGAGGTTGCTATTCCAGGAACCACAGCTGGGGAGAAGTTGCAAGGTTGCCTGGAAGCCTTGAAGTCCAAACATGATGATAGGTTGGTAGTTGGCAGTTCCTTGGCAACTTCGTTGGACAAGATTGACGCCTTTCTGAAGGACGTCATCGACTCTAGAGGTCTGCTACCAAATGCATATCTGCATGTCTGTGGTGGTCCTGGGGTCGGAAAGACAGCCGGCATCAACGCTTGCGTAAAAAAGATGCAAAAGTACTGGTCGGCACAAGCGTGCAAATCGATTGAGAAGTCTCATTTGGACAAACCTAACTTCCTTATTTTAAAAGGTTCTGAGTTCCAGAACCTTTCAAAGGCAGATGCCATGGCCAAGACGTTTGAGCAAATCGGAAAGAAAGTCCTCGTCAAGACTCTACGGAAACCAGCCGATCTAGAAGGATCGAAGAAGGCAGCTGTCATTCTTGTGTTGGACGAAGTGGATATGCTGATCTCAAAGCAGGGAACTGAAGAATATCTCCGAGAAGTCATTGGGCACGCATCGGACGAGAGCATGATGCTTGGTATGATTGGCATTTCGAATTCGATCGAAAATGCTGGGTTCAACAAACTTGGATTTGTAAGTTCATTGTGAAATTGACCAGGGTTGATCAGGGAATTTTTGTCATTTTGCATCTCACACGTCAGTTTTCGACTTGACAATGCAGTCTGGCCAGAGAATTGTCTTTGGAACTTACGATAAGGAAGACCTTGTGGATATGATCACCAGCAAGATTGGAAATGAAGTTGTTGACGAGAAAGTACTCACATTTCTTGCTTCCAAAATCTCGGGTACAAGTGGTGACATCCGATCAATGCTCGGGATCGTTGCGAGCGCGGTCGAGGCATGCCAAGCCAAATTGCCAACTTCCAAACTCGAGGCTCCTTTGACTGGACCAATCGTGAGGATGCCACATGCATTGATTGCAGCAAAAGCACTCACTACAAAAGTCAAGGAAGTAATCGACTCGTTGCCCAAATACGAGAGATACGTTCTATGCTGTGGTGTTAATCTTTCAGAAGCATTGATGGGACATGAACTTACTCTCGAACGCTTCCACAGCTTGTTCACCTTCGCGTTCGGGTTCGATCTCCAGCTCACAGTTGAAGAATTCACAGATGTGTTGGACCGACTTGCAGACAAGGATTTGTTGCGGTACGATAGAGGCAACGCGAAAGGTCCTTTCCGTTCGAGGACCAAAATCAGGCTTGATCTACAGTTGGATGATGTCGTTACCGCACTAAACAGCGGTCTCCAGAAAGAGGACTTTTTCAAGAAAATGAACCAACGATGTGGAGAGATCGCTAGATCCGTGGCTCGAAACGTGAAACATTCGTAGACATTCATCGTAAAGTCTATTTTTTAGCTTATCCGTTCATCCGTACTTGCTCTTTGATAGCGTTCTTGAAGTGCATTGGTTCATGTCGGTTTTCAGCGCGTCCGCTTCTATTGCCAAAACATTCTTCTATCGGCGCTGCCGAAACATGTGGATTGTTATTTGGTGTTTGAACTTTCCAAAGGATGCATCAATCTCATCGGCATGGGTTGGTTCACAACATTCTTCCATATGTGTGTTAAACATTTCCAGTAAGTCTGCCGACGCTGGCATTCTCATTCGAGTGCCGAAAATGACAAGGGTTTTTGGCCCCAAAAACTTTAGAAGAGTTGACATTAGCGCGTCAAAATGAGACGGTGCCCCAGGCTTGTGTTGGTATGCAACATCGCCAATGATGATAAGGGATGGTTTGCTTAGATCTTCGGTGTCATTCTCTGCAATATTTGATCCCGCTGGTCCCTTCTTCTTTTTTGTTTTCTTTGTGTTCCTTGATTTCTGACTCGACTTGGTATGCTCGAGAAACATCGACCCAACGTTGGCCTCGTCCTCTTCGATACCCCAGCACAGAGGAAGCGCCATTGCTCGACCACGTTTCCCAGTATTCAAGAGTCGATAGGGTTTCTTTTTCCCCTCCGAGGAAAGACTCGAATTGATTTCCAAGTTCGGCTGCGTGACTTGATCTACCACCACTTCCAAATCAGTCAGAATGGTAAGCTGTGTCCCCAGAGCGGCGGCAGCGACAAGTCCAGTTAGGCCGACCCCACAACCCAACTCCAAGACAGTCCAATCAGCCTTGTTGCTACTATTTGTCGCTTCTATTGCTTCAAAGATGCGATTGGGTAGATTGACGGTTTTCTGCGAGGGGAGAACGGTTCCCGAAGCGATTCCCACCATGACATGCGACAGTAGCACACCAATGTCCCACAGTGCTCCTCCCGGCCAAGTATCTTCCTCAGGAGTTTGGTTGACAACTATCTTGACTGGCTTGCCGTATTGTTGGTAGGTGAAGTCAAACGGCTGCGTGGCATCAGTGACAAGGTGATTCCTCGGTCTATTGGTGGAAGTCATTGTGAGGTTGGATGTTTCAAACAAAAGAAGGTTTGAGGTTTTGGGAATAAAAGTGTGGCAATAAATTTTACATGGTTGATGTGTCGTTCGACGGCAAGACCAACCGTGTATTTCGAAATCCAAGAAGTCGATCCTATCATCTTCATTTCGTGCTTGCCAATGATGCTACCACTTTCCCAACACACCTACTGTATAACGCATCATAGGAAAGACAATAAAAAATTGGTCTTCCACTCGTTGGTTTCAAAGGTTTCGTTCGCACTGGTGAGACGGATAGTCTAAAGGGTGTTAAAAGGCGAATCCTTGAAAAAGCTGGCGATCACCTGATACCGAAGGGTACTTGGATATTCTTTGTGGATGACATCCAAGTCGGAGTGAAACAAGAGGAGGAAGAAATGGCATGAAAAGATATGTTATTGATCACGGCACAAAGGTCGTGCTCATCCAGATCACCTTTCCGTTGAACTTTTCGGGTGCAAAAAAGAAGCCATGGTAACAAGTATTCTCGCAAACGGAATAGATGCGAGAATCCTAGAAAACAAACTTCAGTTTCGACCAGTATTGGCCTGATAGGTGAGGATGAAGTAGAAGATATGGAAAAATCCAATACTTTTACTCGTTGCCCCGATACGAAAAATCCAATGCTGATACGTCAGAGAAGCAAGAGGTCATCGACTCGTTGCCCGAATATGAGAGATACGTTCTGTGGTGTGGTGTTGATCTTTCGAAATCCTTGATGGGACATGAATGTTGTTCACCTTCTCGTTTGGGTTCGACCTTCGGCTCACAGTCGAAGAAATCGCAGATATATTGGACCAACTTGCAGATAAGGATTTGTTGATGTAGGATAAAGACAACGCGAAAGGCCCGTTCATGCTTGATCTACAGTTGGATGGCGTCGTTACCCCACTGGAGAGCAGTCTCCAGAGAGAGAAATTTTCCAACGACATGGAGAGATCGCTAGAGCCGTGGTTCGAAACGTGAAACAGTCGTAGGCATGCATCATAAAGTCTGTTTTTAGTACAATAAACCTGCAGATGTTCACTTTGTTTGTTTTCGCTCTACTGTAAGTTGTGAATGTGAGTTGTGAGTTGTGAGTGGTTTTACAATGAGACGAAACCTTCCCGTACTACAATATGTCAACATATTTCCAACTCAGCTAATCCTGACAACAGGAGCAGCCAGGTATTCCAACGTTCGAAAGGTACGTGTACAACATCATAGATCATCAACACTGTTATGAAAAATGCGTATATCGTTCTATATTATAAGGGCAGTCAAGATGAAAATCGGAGTCGCAAAGGGACCCAGTACTGAGGAAATCGCTTTCATGGTATTTCGAATGGTCCTCCAAACACGCATCACTACTTCCTGCTGTTGTTCCCAATGGGCTTTTTGCCAGGCTTGCAACTGGAGGTCGTACTGTTTGCGAGAGGTCTCATCTGACAATACCGAAGCGGCATGTTCGACTGCTAAAAAGGCCTCATGGGCAAAGCCATCTTTGTTCTTGTCCGGATGGACCATCTTGGTCCGTAATCGAAAGGCCTTGCGGATGTCTTTTTGCGATGTCTTTTTCAAAGTCACACCAGGAAAAGTGAACTTTATGGGACCCGCTTCAATTTTTTTGGCTGGCAAGTACAAGTTCCAATTCCGTAGACCCAAAATTTTGTAGAAATCAGGAACTTGGATCGCACCAGTCTTTGGATCGGGTATTGACGACTGTTGGGACCATTTCAGAATGGTCTTTACCAATTTGGTATCCTTTTTCTTTTGTTTCAGAGCTTTTTTCCTTTGTTCTTCGTCCAATCTCGCCAATTCTTTTTGAAAGGATCGTTCTCGTTCTTGGGCTAGCTTTTCGGCACGCAGTCGATCTTGTTCTTCCTGGTGTGCTTTGGCTTGCTCCTGTTGTTTGCGAAGCAGTTCTTCTTTTGATTCTTGTGTACGGTCATCATTGTTATTGTAATCGTCCCCATAATGTTGCTGTTCTTCTTCTAGCACTTCCTTGACATAGTCGTAATCACTATCAACAGCAATGACAACCTCCACGGAATAGCATGAGAGTATGCAAAAGATGGCCCAGCACGAGGCGAGAAAGGTCACTTTTCTTGGACTCGTAGTATTATTGCGTTGTCGACGACGAGATATTGATTGAGAGAGCATTGCTGGCCTAAGGGGGTTGTTCCTGTTGTCTCCCATTTGTTGTTGTGTTCAGTATGACAGGTTTTGGATTAGAGATGTCTTGCGATCTTGTTGAATATTACACGTGGAATGTTGGGTTTGTTCAGGGCAGGACAGACTACTTTAGTCGACCCAGTCATGTAACGGTTGTTGCCAGGAATGACCGAAGGAAGACCTCCAGTACTTTTCTACTTACGAGGTCGGGTCGCATGCTAGAGGTTTCAAAGAGAAACCGAGTTTAGCAGCAGGGAGACAGTGATAGTGTTGGCTTGTTGTGGTGGTTACAATCAATTTCCATTAGTTACACCTTCCACTCCCAAACATGAAATTCAAGATTCCAAAGAGTTCCAGTAAGGACTCCAAGAAGAAGGTACGTTTGCGAGATAGACTTTGCTGAACAACTCAATCTGAAGATGAAAGATCGGAAGACTTCTTGTGATGTTGGAGCTATGAAGAGATTGCAATGAAGGAGTGAGACAAAGAAGACAACCACGCTGCGATATTCGAAAGTGTCACCCGCCTATTTGGAGTTTTCCGGTGTCGGATGATTTTTCGAGGGGCACGTCTTTGATGATGTGCAGCACAAGCGAAATTGATGGATTATTTGATTAGATCAGAATGCACATTCGGAAAAGACCCGTCCAAAACACTACGAGGCTCGACACCACGAGGGCACTGCCGAAAAATTTTATCGAGTGCAATTTGGTGGCTTCTTAGTAGGCTGCATACATTGCGGTGGCCGGAGTCTCAAAAACATACAACAAGTCAACAACAACTATGAGTTTGCTTGGAATGAAGATATCGAGTACTGTTTTGTCTCTCCACCATAAATCAGTGCCAAGTCGATTCGGAATCCCCCATCATCATATTTCTTTGCCTACTGTGAAAGATCCTTTGTTACCACCTTTGCATTGAAACTGAACTAATCCTGTCTCTTCCTTGTCCCTCCGGTTTCCAAACTAGCAGGAAAAGGAAGAAGCATCTGCTCCTCCGCCTCCTCCAACTCCGAAAGACACAGCCTCCAGAGCTCGGTCATCTCCGAAGCAATCTCAACCTGAGACGACTGCCGATGGTCAACCAGTGGTTAGAGCTCGACAGGCTGGTGCCGATCGTTCAGCATTGAAGGAACTTCCTGCCTTGAGAGATGCTTCTCCCGCCAAGCGGGAAGAGCTCTTCATTCTCAAGCTAAAGTTGTGCAGCGTTATTTGCTCCTTTGATGACCCAACTACTGACAAGCGTGGCAAGGACATGAAACGTCAAACTCTTTTGGAATTGGTCGATAGTGTCAATACCCCGGCTGGACAAAAGATCTTCACTGAGTCCGTCATGTATGATTTGATGCAAATGGTCTCTGCCAACATTTGCCGAGCGCTCCCACCTGCTACAGACGACTTTGATCCTGAAGAAGACGAGCCTGTGCTGGATGCTGCCTGGCCTCACTTGCAAGTGGCCTATGAGTTCTTTTTGCGATTCATTGTTTCGTCCGAAGTCAATGCCAAGGCTGCCAAGAAGTATGTCGACCAAAAATTCTGCCTGCAGCTTGTAGAGCTTTTTGATTCCGAGGATCCAAGAGAGCGAGACTACTTGAAGACCATTCTTCACAGAATTTATGGAAAGTTCATGTCTCATCGATCGTTTATTCGAAGAGCCATCTCCAATGTCTTCTACCGCTTTGTTTACGAAACCGAACGCCACAATGGTATCGGCGAACTGCTTGAGATTTTGGGGTCCATCATTAATGGCTTCGCTATTCCGTTGAAGAAGGAGCATTTGCAATTCTTGGTTCGAGCTCTCATTCCTCTGCACAAGCCAAAGTGTGTGGCTCTTTACCACCAACAGTTGTCATATTGTATCATTCAATACGTTGAAAAAGACGCTGACACTGCGACTCCCATCTTGAATGGATTCTTCAAGTGCTGGCCATGGTCTTGCTCTGGAAAGCAAGTCATGTTCCTTAACGAGCTGGAAGAAATCTTGGAATTGCTTGGCGCAGATCAACTAGCTCAAGTTTCCGACATGCTCTTTGGCAACTTGGCACGATGCTTGGATTCCGATCACTTCCAAGTTGTCGAACGTGCTCTCTTTTTGTGGAATAACGAACACTTGGTGAACTCTGGATGCTTGTCCAGGCTCAATGCTCAAGCCGTCTTGCCTATCATTTACGGACCCCTGTACAAGAACTCGTCTGGACACTGGAATGCTACCGTTGAAGGTCTGGCACAAAATGTCCTCAAGATGTACATGGAATATGACCTACCATTGTACGATAAATGTACATCCAACTACTTTAGAGAAGAAGAGGAGGCCAAGAACCGATTGGCGGCAATTGAAACAAGATGGAAGCAAATCGAACAAGTTGCTTCCACCGCAGAGCCTGCCATTTTGGTCAAGTAGAGGGTTGTGTACCTAGGAGGAAAGCAAACAGAAAAAGAGTATGCATTATAATAGTGGGAATATTAATACTTATGAAATCTAATATCCAAATCAAAATTTATGCTGTAGCAGAGGAGAATAAACAAAAGTGAATGGCATCCGGGATGACTACAGTAGAATGAATGAGTCAGTCAGTCAGTCAGTCAGTCAGTCAGACTGGCATCACAAACGGAAACGATGTTGGTGCCTCGATTATAACTACAGGGATGACGAATGTTATGATATCAGCAAGGTTGTGTGCTGTACATGTGTTCATGCGAATTACGATTGAAACATTCTGAAAAAACTGCTTTAGCGTAGCCATACTGTCGATTTCCCGGTAGTACCAGATCAGACACCTCCTAATTCTCATCGTCGTTTTCTTCTTCAACTAGAACGAAGCTTGTTTCCTCAATAGCTTTGAAAATATTTTCTGCTGTCCAATCATCCTCCTTCAGGCAGTGCTCGGGAAGATACGGCCCTTGCTTTGTTCTTTCTAGACTCGTCATCGTTGCCAGGGTATCTAATGAGATTCCAATATCTCTGACCAAGGAGCGAATGTATGTACCGCCACCACACTCGACATCTAATCCAAAAGTCTTTGGTTCTTCGGATTCTTCCTTTAGGAGCTCCAATCGATGAATTACCACCTCTCTGGCTTCAATTTCAATATCCTCTGCCGTCACTCCTTTCCTTCCAAGTTCGTACATTCGCTTGCCATCCTTCTTCAGTGCACTATATATGTTGGAACGAGTGAGTTTGTGGACATTCCATGGAGTTTGTGGACATTCCATAGGGTTCACTCTTCAATGTACTAGTGTACTATCACGCACCTGAAGATTGGAGGCTTCTGTTGTATCGTCCCTCGAAAACCATCCAGTGTTGATTCCACATTTTCCCAGGTGACATGATCAAAGGGCATTTTGCCCACAATCTCACCATTTTCGTCCAAGTCTAGTGTGGTTGTTTGAAAACCCAGTTCCACTCCCGCTTTGTACCCCTTGGAACCAGTCAAGTATTTTTGTAAACTCTTTGTTCCTGGTGATGCATAAAGAACAACATAACAAAATCAGTTAGTTTGATTCAATAACATACTAGTATATGCGCACAGGACTTGTTGGGTTCTAGTCTGGCAACCATCGTCTTTGCACACTCCAAACGCACCTTTTCCAACGCCAACCACTAAGACTCCACTTGCCAAGGGATCCAAGGTCCCACCGTGACCAACTTTCATCCAAGGCCGACGTCGCTTCTTGCGATTGTCGACCACACCTCGTGCTTTGGCGTCCTTCTCCAAAAGGGATCGGACACGCCCCACCACTTGTTGACTGGTCCACCCAAGTGGTTTATCGACAGCAAATAGACCCTCTTTGATGTATAGGGGAGGCTCGGGAGTAGAATTATTTTCCTCTTCAACACTAGAGGACATGAACCTTGTCAGTCGACTAGTAGTGGTTGGTACTAGGTGTTCTGGTGGTGGTTGCCGCGTTGATGATTCCATCGTAAAGGCCGAGGAAGTCCACAGGAAACAACAGCTCCAAATAAGAGGCGATCTGGCTACCATTATATTTGGGACAGTGATTATTGGACGTCGGTTGACAGTAGTGTTAATCCAACTCATGGGCGTTGCAAACCATGTGATGGTGGTGTTGGATGGAAATGTGATGGGTGATGCGCAGATCCATGCGCGAATGGATTCATTCAGTTGGAGTTCACAACCCTCCATGCTCGCCCATCCTCATTATACCTGCTCTACCGTACTCATAATGAATTTTATGAAAGTGTATTTTAAAATATTTACATTGGTACAAAGGCTTTGTATGTCATTCTTACTTCTTCTTGAACGACATTCCTTTTCGGAAAATCGACTTGCGCTTGTTGCTTCTCTTTTCTGGAAGGGCTTCCAGAATGTCCATTGGTTCAGGACGCTTGGTGTAGTCCGTATTAACGTATTTCCACAAGATGGATCCATCATTGTCAATGATAAAGGTAGAAAGAATAGGCATTTCTTCCCCTCGGATAATCCCAAATCGTGTCGCAAGAATACCAGCCTCATCTGCTAGCAGTGGAAAGGTAACCTCTGTCTCCTCTACGGTATCGGTTGTATCCGCTTCAAAACCAATGGCAACTAGCTTTGCTCCTTCTCCTTCAAATGTCTTCTTTAGTTTTTCCAAAGCAATCAAGTTCATCTTGCACATGGGACTATCGTAGTCATGATAAAAGACCAAGATGATACGCCATTGTTGACGTAGTTGGAAAGAATCGACCTGTTTGCCAGAGTGAGACTCGTAGAGGCGAAAATCGGGTGCCGTGGTTCCGACATCCAACGCGAGATCCGCACTGTCCTTCCAGTCACGGATTTCTTGATACATGAAACCAGTTTCTTCGGGGTCTTCCTTTTGCATCGTCTTGACGTAGGTCTCCAACTCTTCGGCCAGTGTCATTTTAGGTTTGGGTTGATATTTTGGAAGATCATTGATGGTTTTGAGAATCTCCATGGGAATCGCCTGAATGGTATTCGCAGCCATCAACCCTTTGTAAAAGTCTCTGGCCTTTTCCATTTGGGACAGCCTTAGCTTGAGTTCCGCTCGTTCCCGCATGGCCAAAGTCCGTTGTCTAGCATCCTTTTCCCTTCCACGAGAGAGTCGTCGTATCCTGTTTTGGGCTTGCTTTTCCGCGTCCACAATCCGCACCACCATGCGTTGGTATCGAGCCATTTCATCTTTGGTGCCCTTGCGTTGACCCGCTGATAGACTACTACTCTTGCGAGTCCCAAGCGTTACCTTTTTATTTTTTGATGATGGAGAAAAGGGGCTGACGCTGGCTGCGGAGGAGGAGCCAACGGACATGACCGATTTGGACTTTTGCTCCGTGTGCCAAGCTTCCATCATTCTCCTCCGTTCTCGAATGCTCTGTGCTTTGGACAGAGGCTTTTCAGGTGTTTTGGGTGTCAATGGTGTCTTTGGTGATTTAGTTGACTTTAATAGCATGCGTTGTGGTGAGTGAGGAGAGACCAGAAGCTCTTCTTGTTTTTGTTTTTGAGCTGTCTTAGGGGTTTCTGGTGCTGTTTTCACAAGCTTGGAAGTTGTTGCTAGGGGAGACATGGGCGAACCATGGTCGTAATGACTGCTGTTAAAGCTACAGTCAGAGAAATACATGGGAAGCGTGCTCTCTGCGGTATTAATCGATGCACACATGGATGATTTTGTGTCAAAGTTGTCTTCGCTGCTGCTGACATCGTTGTCAGCACCAGCAGGTATTGAGACACTATGCATCGGCTTTTGGATAAGCTCTGTTGGTTCAGAGTTTGAGTTTGTTGGTGCTTCTATCATCGCACTAGGGCCACTCGATTCGTGAAGCGCCATTTCTGTCATGGTGCTTACACACTGTAGAGCCATTGTTTGTGTTGTGTGCGTGGTCTCCGGTATGCTGTGTTTGTTTTTTCGTTTGAAAAAAGTTCCAGCGGTCTTCGGCCCAATACCGCTGATATTTACGACTACCGGTACCAACAAAGTGACTGGCTCGCGGCTGCGGTACTGGCTGGTAATCGTACTGAAAGCACGTAAATAGTGTTCACTTCAGGTACATTTATGCTCCTGACTATTTTTTACATAACGTCATTTCTTTTATATATGCCCGAAATCCAACACGAAACACTAAGTAGCGGTAGTTCTTTGCCCCTCAACTTTTTCGGACTGCTGTGACAACTCCTCCGATGTTTTATCCAGGCCCTCAATGAAAGCCAAAGGGAGTGAGCTACTGTAGAATGTGTCATTTACCTATGCTATGGTATAGAGGTTCTTAAAATCCCGGTGAAACCTTCATGCCCCCTAACCAATTATCTTTACTTCCGATCCATCTTCAGCAATACTCTTCATCAAAGCGTCGATCACTTTTTGGTTCAAAAGTGACATGGCACCCCATTTGTTCGCTTCCGCGGCAGTGTCGCCCTTCCACTCGGAAGCCCCTGTTTGTGTGCTGGCATCCAAACGGCGTGCAATCGATTGGAAGGTTTTCCAAAGGAGTACTTCCTAAAAAAATGAAATTTGACAATCAGCACATTCAAAGAGTGAGTGAGACTGACCAAAACTTGCGCGCAGTATCTTCTTGCAAATCTTGGAAACCATTCTTACATGTGGTGGACTATTGGGACAATCTACCGTTTCCTTCTCGTCGACCGTCACGAGATCATGCGCAGTCAATTTGGTAGACTTCAACTCGAACGAGGATGGGCTCTCGCGTGGAAGCACCAAGTCGTCCAGCAGGATGCTCTTTTTGGAACCGCAAATCTCAAATTGTTGTCTCAAGGGTGTCTTGAAGCCACAGTGAAACCACAACACCTTGCCCTATATTATATAATCGTGGATGGATGGTTTACAACATGCGCAAATAAATGTTAGCGTAAAGAAAACGTGCTCATTCGCTTAAACGCAACACAGCACCATCATTCTTATACTTACGCCCTCGAAACGCACTACACAGGTTGCATCGATTGGGACACCATGTTGGTTGACTTCACAGTCGACGACTTTGGCACTGATAACATTGATACCTAGTCGTTCGTAAACCATGAGCCCAAACCGAATGCAGTACCAACCCACATCACCAATACACCCATGTGGATCTCCATCTTCTTTGCGTGCTCGAATATTATTACCATTCAAGAAGGCCTCGTCCGCCAAGAACGTAAAACTACATTGTATTCGATCCACACTTCCAACATCATTACCTGCGGCAACACGTTCCAAGATGTTGCTCATGCGACTATGGTGCGGGAACATGGTTCCGTCGAGCAGGAATTTCCCATTGGCGTAAGCGACCTTCAGCATTTCTTGATAATCATTTGCAGTCAATGCCGCTGGTTTTTCCAGTACGACGTGCTTGCCATTTTGCAGGGCTTGGAGGATCCAAGCTTTCTTGACGGCGACAGGAAGTGGAATATACAAGGCATCGTAATCTGAAGACTGAATCAATTCATTATAGGCATTTGCTCCACCGAATATTTTGGTTGTTGATGAATCCAACCCAGGGCAATCTTTAACGAATTTCTGGAGAGGAGCATAGAAAAGAAAAGAACGAGTTCAGTCAATGTTGGTTCGTGACACAGAATCGATAGATTTGATCAAAGATTTTTACCTTTGCCTTTTCTTCGCTCCTAGAGCTAATGGCTGTTACCACACACTCAGATTCTTGAGAAGCAATTGCTATAGCAGTTTTAGACGAAATCCCTGCCGCACCCAGGAGACCTATCCGTAGCTTGCCTGTCATGACGATTTGTTGAATTTCAAATTTTTGGGTTTGGTCATGAATCTGTTTGCGCGCACAACCAACACGCGCACGCACAAAACTCAAGGTTGGAGGAAACACTACGAGTAGTATAGTAAGTGATGTAGCAGTGGTCTTTTAGCGTACAGTACAAATTATCTACATTTCAAACAAATATATATGAGACCGCATTGATTTCCCCCCTTTCATCGCGTTGTTACAATCGTATTTTGCCAAGGAGTCATTAACAGACCGCTTTCCCCACTCTGTAGCAATCGTGTTTTGAGACTTCTTTAGTTTTTTATTTAGAAATTTGTGGTGTCTCAAAACACTCTGAAATCAAACGCAGGGTTTTTTCTCGCGGACTGCTCAACATTTTGTAGAAAGTCCAACTGGTCGACAAGACGAGATTTTTTGGAAGCTCCCGCACTTCACTGTTCCAACCGCTCGCCCGCACTGTCTCCCGCTCGACACAATTTATTTTACTTTCGTGCAGCAATGACAACAATATCAATAACATCCATCCTACAACGAGCATATTCTATGAGTATTCAGCTGATATTGGGAATTTTCAGATATTCAATTGCGAGTCTGGGTGGCGAGAAATGGTGGCTCACTGATTGACGACAAAAATTCAAACGAATTTAAACACCAATCAACCCAAAGAAGTCAGGAATGGATCGGACATTACGGCAATACACGATTTCCTTCAATATTTATTCAGCTAATGATTACAGTTTTCAGATATTCAATTGGAGAAGTAGGTGCGGAGAAATTGCGACTTGACTGGCGTGACGACGGAATTTCATCAATCAACCAATGAATGGCAACAATACAAATATACAGTTTCATTCATTTTAAATTCAGCTAGTAAAGTCTTTTCCTTTTCTCCTCGTGAAGAAGCCATCGTCGTAGTGTTTGTGATTGTGATTTGTGGAACGCAGACCATGCTGGGCAGAACGGGAGACCGTATGGGTGTGCTTGAGACATGCGGTACCAGGTACGGAGCTTCGAAAAAGCCTGTCTTGTCGACCACTTGGACCATCAACAAAATGTTGAGCAGTCCGCGAGAAAAAACCCTGCGTTTGATTTCAGAGTGTTATGGAGCATAACAGATGTGACTGAGGAACGAAGTACATACGGCGTCTGTCATGCGACATCAAACACGATTGCTACAGAGTGCCGCTTTCCCCAACTTGTCATGTTCGTATTTTGCCAAAAAGTCTTTGACGATGTTCTCCCCCTCACGAACCCACTCCTCACGGTTTCCCTTTGCATAATTCAGATACTCGTCGGATGAGACACCAAACACGCCACAACTGTCGAGCTTCTTGGCCAATGGAATTATGTAAAAGTCAAAGAATCCAATCTCACCCTTGTACCAGTTGATACTTGGATCCACATCAGCTCGTCCATCCTTGAAGGCTCCGTAGCATTCCATGAAGAACTTCTCGTTCCATTTCTTGTAAATGTGCCAATGTTGCATGGTGTGTGACACATCGGAAGCTTGGATCAAATGCTCAATCACAATGGTAGCCTTGCGATCTACACTGATTGAGTCGGGTTCGTAGAGGAAGTTACTTGAAAAGGCAGTTTCCCATCTCTTCTTGCGGAGTGCTTGGAGTTCCTTGTCGACAATATCAGTGGCCATGACTGTATTGACCACTAGCTGTCGGAAGCGGCGAAGATCTTCTTCGCCCTGGTATATACAAGCTCGAAGGTCCTTGTATTCATCTTGCATGAGAATCTCCCAGGCGAGATCAACGCTGTTTTGCTCGGCAACCGACTTGTTCTTGTAAATCTGGGCGTTTCGAGTATTTTCCTTGACCAATTGGGCATTTGGGACTCCAGGGTGATCGACATCGTGAATAATCGCAGAGAAGACAACAGCAAATTGTGTCAAGGGGTCGGAGGTAATGCCATAGGAATGGCCAGCCAAGTCAGCTAGACTGACATTTCCAGTCGGCGTTTGGCCGGCGAGACCATTGCCTTCCCCAACTTTGATGATTCGACTCAGGAGCTTCTTGACCGATGCTGTAACATGTGAAGCATGCTCGAAGTTGTGGAATGGGTTCTCTTTGTACATGAAAGCAAAGGTTGCCAGCAGCTTTCGGAGCTGCGACCGAGCTGCTTCACCAATGTCAATCTTGCTTGGATCCATGCGGTTGCTGAGGTCGTCAGCTTGAAAGTGCTTGAGCTCAATGATGGGTGCAAACTCTTCAAGGACGGTGACACCGTTGCCCACTGCAGCTTCAGCTACCCTAAGACGATCAATTGGCTGGACGGCACCTCCTCGGGAAGCAATGATTTGTTGCAACATATAACACAAAGACTCGACATGCCATTCGACGAGGCGATCCGACTTGGACATGCCATCAACGCCAGCAAGATCGATATCGGTATCGTCGTCATGTGAATCCGAATCATCAGGGTTGTACTCAGAAGGTCCTAAAGAAACGGTTTCTTCAGTCTTGGCGGCCTCGTCAATTGAGGCAATTTCATTCTTCAGCTTTGGTTTTGACTTCTTTGCCTTGGATTCTGATACATTTTTCATCCAGTAGGTTTGCATGTTGCCTTTACCCTTGACGAAAATGGTGGTCGCCCGAGGAAAAAACCACCTGCCCAACCCGGCTTCCTTCAACAGATCCGCGGTAGCTTGCGTGATCTGAACGCGATCTCTTTCTCCAGTGTGTTCCATTCGAGCAGCCGTGTTCATGGTGTCACCAAAAAGCTGGAAGCGGCTACGCTCTCCTCGCAATACACCAGCTGTCACTTGTCCACTGAGGTAAATAATCGAAGTGATGGAACGCAAAAGTGAGAACAAATGATGGGTCCATGGAAAGGAAATTAATGGCCAATGCAGACTGACCTGTGAGCTCCAATTCGCATTCCCAAATCAGAAGTGTCAGGACCCAAAGTCACCTCCAATTTCAATGTAATATCCTTCATCTTTTTCAAACAGCTTCGAGCGAATCGACAAGCAACTACCGCGTGTTCTTCATCGGGCTCGGGAAGCCCGGCCACTGCAACGTAGCAATCGCCTACAGTCTCAACTTTGAATACTCCATGGCGATAGGCAATCTTGTCAAAGGCGTTGTAAATGGTCTCTAGCAGAACGAAGACTTGAGAAGGCTCCCTTTGGGATGACCAAGCAGTGAAACCGACAATGTCCGCAAAGATTACGGTTGTGTTTGGGAACAAGTCCGCAAGTGGAGCAGATCCAAACATGGTTGATCCTCCAAAGTCATTTGGATCCATTAGTTCATCCTGTTGATGGCGCTTGTCCTCCAAGTTCTGGTTGTAGAGGCGATCTCGGATAGCAGACGGGAAGACATCGGACACAATCATGTCCTGGCGCGTGATTCGATCCATCACAATGCGTTGTCGCTGTCGGACAAGAAAGTCATAGATAAGGAACACCACACTTGTGAAACAGAAAATAAAGACCACAACTGCAGCGTAGTACAGAGCCTCTTGGCTAACGAACTTCATTTTGAAATCTTGTGTTGGATAAAGATGAAGCGTAACCCTAGGTATGCACTCGCTAGCTGTAGCTTCGGAAGAGACAGCATCAACATTGAAAAGGACTGCTGATACTTCCATTTCATCAAACTCGATTTCATGGACATCTGTTTCTGCCAACATGATTGCTCTCATTCCATTGACCCGGAAGGTAATATATTCGGAGCGCTCTTGGGAATCACTAGTTTGACAGCTGCTTCGAATCACTGCGAGGATTCCAGTTACACCATTTTCCAAAACATTAGCAAGGACAACGGACCAGTCAATTTGCCATCTCAAGAAGGCAACAACGTTGGCATCTTCATCTTTAGCTTCTATTTGTTCAAAGATTGGTTGGACAATCGCGGTTTTCGCCAGCCTTCGTTGAGAATCTGGGTCTGTAGAAATCGATGGAAAAGAGATAGCAGTACGTAGGGACGTATTTGCTGCTGAAACAAGTTGCGTGTCCCCGTGAAGTCCTTCAAGGATATCATAGTTCGTTGGGAGCTCATTGATTGCTGGTAAAATTGCCCCCTTTGTCAGTGGATAAGACTGCCAAATTGGTGTAGAAGGTCGACCTGGGTCAATTGGAGTAGCCCGAGACCTATCAGCACCATACGTGTGAATGTACGGAATGGTGTGCATGACAAAATCATCAACAGTCTCGTTGGAACCTTCATGGTCAATAGACGCCTGATACCATGCTGGCGCCTCTTGTTCTACGTAAATGGTCCAGTCGTTCATAGCATCGGGCTGTACAACAGGTGCCAAAGCAAGTACAGATTGTCCAATACCACCAAGCTCAAATAGTTTAGCAGCTTTCACTGGCCAATGGTCAACTGTTACAAATGGCCAAATTGCGTTCTGCGCTGAGGCTTCAGAAGAGATCATTATTGATGTGGAGTCCAGAGCTTGAAAGAGCTTTTCGATCTTTTGACCGACAACAGCAGCAACTTCGGATGCATGCCCATTGAACTGAAACAGTGTAAATGTTAGGATTTCGAATCAATCGTGTGGGACGATTGATATTTTTCGTTCATTGGGGGGCAACGTACCTGATTCTCAAAACTTTGTACCTCCTGTTTATTGACAAGGAGATAGGCAACTGTGGCCACTGCACTCACTGCTACAAGCAGAACGAATGACACTAGTACCTTCACTCGTTCAATGAAAACGTCTTCTCGTTTTGTTACAGTAACTTCTGGTGAATAATGTTCTACTTCGCGAATTCGGGGAACCGGTGAATCAGCACTGCTGTTGTCAAACGTAGTACCATTTCCAACGGATAATGATTCAGATGGAGTCCGGGCACTCTTTGAGGTCATGCTCCTGCTGTCTTCCCACATTTATTTTTCCGTATCGAGGAGTGAAAATTGGAAGGTTGTAAAGTCACAAAATTTCACTTGAGGAGGTGCTTTGAAGTGATCTTTGGATCACATTCGCGCAGAACACTTTTATATTTGCACGTGTGCAGGAGGTTGACATCAGCCAATCGGAATTAAGACATTGCGAACCCAACCAAATGTCATGATGCCGTCATTAAGCGACAGAACTGTCCCGAACTGTCCCAGAACTGTCCCATAATGCTTCTATAATAAAGAAAATGACTGACATCAGCAGAAGAATGTCAAATCCAAAGTGACGTCGTTTCGGAGGCCAACTTTTCCCGCACGAGGTCAGCTCCCGCACTCATCGTTCTACCAGTACCTCATTATTACCGCTGATTCAGTGATTCGTTCATCGGTTCGTTTGTTCATTTTCATTCATTCATTCATTGACTTGGTAATCAACATGGAAGATAGCAAACGCACAGACTTTATCGAAGGACAGCGTGAGAATGATGCTACACCAAGATCCTCTCCAATTGTCGCAAAGAAGAGACATTACCTCGATGTCGAAAACAGGAACACCATCCCCAAGGTTCTTAACCTTTTGCACTTGATTGGAGCTTTGATTCAAACTGCAGAATGCATCTTCCTGTTTGCATTCTCTCGCAATATTCACTTGAAATGGTTGCTGTTTACTCATTATCCAGTGGCTGTCGAAGATTCCTATGCTGCAGTTCTCGGTGGTGTTGGAGTTGACAATCTCTACTACGCCAGACCAGAGACCAGATTGGTTTCAGAGGTTAGCGTACCATGGGTAACAGGAACCATTGTCCTCCTCAGTGCACTTGATCATATCTTCACCATTACACCGTACGGCAGAAACCTCTATAACCATGGCCTCTCACAAAATAGGGCTACTTACCGATGGCTCGAGTACGGCATTTCATGTTCTCTGATGAACATGCACATGGCACAGCTCGTCGGAGTGACTGATGTGCACATGATTCTTTTGATCTTTGTGCTCTCTATCTTGATTCAATACCCTGCATACATCTTTGAGGTTGTGAATGGCAGGGCTCGAGCAGAAGGACATGCCTACTATTGGTCACCATTCTTCATCGGATGTTTGCCATATGCTGCAGTATGGGGAGTTATTTTGACCTACTATGCTGAGTCCCTTGCAGAAGTTGAAAATCAACCGCAATTTGTATTCCCTACCATTATTGCCGTGTTTTGTTTGGAATGTCTGTTCCCTATTGTGTTTGTGCTTCAATGGTTGCAAATGGGCATTTTCAAAGACTACATGGTTGGAGAGTACACGTTTATGATGCTTGGAGTCCTTGCAAAGTCGTCTTTGGCATGGCTGACGATTGTTGGATCTTCGAAATATGCAGAGGGTTTCAGGGAGCAAGAGGCGGATGACTTATTCTACAACTAGTCCGCTGCCGATGCGATGTTGGGGACAATTTGTGCAGTAAATTAAAATCATGTTTTTTTCATAGAATCGTGTTTCAACATAAATGACAAGAGAGCACATGTTGCTGGTTCCCCACTGATCTAAAGTCGATTTACGTACACAGGCACAGTTTTCCTTGTCTCAACTACGCAAAAAAAGAAGGGGGATGAAGGAACTAACTGACTCAGACTGACGCTCCGCAAAATATCAACCAGAGCTAGCATCGCTCGATAACGTGGAATTCATGATCATTTGGCTTCCAGTGGACTCCAAGTATCGATTGCGGGTCCAAACAAGACACCCTCCGGAGCTCTGGTTCCTGCAAAAAGCTGCAGAGAAGTAAACAAGTAGCTTTTTTCAATATGCAATTGTTTTCGATATTTTATATATACAGTAGTTTTAAAATCGAACTTGAACCCTTCCTTATTGCTCCCCCTATTTCCTTTCTTTTGACTCAAACTTTGCAATGAACTGCTTTACAATATTTTCACCCTCACGTACCCATTCTTCGCGATTCCCCTTCGCGTAGTTGAGATACTCGTCCGAAGATACTCCAAATACACCGCACTCATCAAGCTTCTTTGCCAATGGAATCACATAAAAGTCAAAGAATCCAATCTCACCCTTGTACCAGTTGATACTTGGATCACTGTCCGCTCGCCCGGCCTTGAAGGCGCCGTAACATTCCATGAAGAACTTCTCGTTCCATGTTTTGTAAATGTGCCAATGTTGCATGGTGTGTGACACATCGGAAGCTTGGATCAAGTGCTCAATTACAATGGTAGCCTTGCGATCTACACTGACGTCATCGGGTTCGTAAAGGAAAGTACCTGAGAAGGCAGCATCCCATCTCTTCTTACGGAGTGCTTGGAGTTCCTTGTCGACAATATCAGTGGCCATGACTGTATTCACCACTAGCTGTCGGAAGCGACGAAGGTCTTCTTCCGTCTGGTAGAAACAAGCTCTGAGATCCTTGTATTCATCTTGCATGAAGATTTGCCATGCCAGTTCGACACTGTTTTGCTCGGCGACAGACTTGTTCTTGTAAATCTGGGCGTTTCGATCATTTTCCTTGACGAGTTGTGAGTTTGGAACTCCGGGATGATCGACATCATGGATGATTGCGGAGAATACAACAGCACACTGAGTTAATGGATCGGATGCAATGCCATACGAATGGCCTGCAACATCGACCAGATCAACAGAGCTCTTCGAGCCGAGACCATTGCTTTCTCCAACTTTGACAATGCGGCTCAATAGCTTCTTGACAGATGCAGTGACGTGACTCGCATGCTCAAAGTTGTGGAATGAATTATTCTGATAGAGTGACGCTATCGTCGATAGGAACTTTCGGAGCTGTGATCGGGCAGCTTCGCCAATATCGATCGTGTCCGGATCAAGCCGTCCGCTCAGCTCTTTCGCATCAAAATGCTTCAAGTGAACAATAGGCTCAAACTCTTCGAGGACCGTGCGACCATGGCCAACTACAGCTTCTATGCTAAGAAGACTGTCAATAGGCTGAAGGGCACCTCCTCGAGAAGCAATGACTTGCTGAAGTAGAGATGACATCGTTTCCACATTCCATTCGACGAGGCGGTCTATCTTAGACATTTCCCCGACGGCAGCATCGAGATTCAGATGAAATTCATCACCAGGACTTTCCGTATCCTCTGACTCGACCGACTGGGTATCAGAAGATGCCTCTGTCTCGACAGTTTCGTCAATAGTGAGCGGGATATCGCTTTGAACCGTTAGTGTAGACTTCTTCTTCGAAATAGAAGGTTTAGAGGTCTTCATCCAGTACGTTTGCATTTGTCCTTTACCCTTGACGAAAATTGTGTTCGATCTAGGCACGGTCCATTTTCCCATTCCTGCTTCCTTCAAAAGGTCAGCGGTGGCTTGGGTGATTTGAATGCGACCCCTCTCTCCAGTATGTTCCATTCGGGCAGCAGTGTTCATTGTGTCACCAAAGAGCTGGAAGCGGCTACGCTCACCTCGCAATACACCAGCTGTAACTTGCCCACTAAGCAAAGGTAAATGAACGAAAAGAAAAACATTAGGGAGGTGTTCGATCGCGACTCGAATTGGATGGAAAGGACGATCCTACATACCTGTGAATCCCAATCCGCAAGTCGAGCTCAGATGTATCTGGTCCCAAGGAAACTTCCAATTGCACCGTGATGTCTTTCATTGCTCTTAGGCAGCTTCGAGCAAATCGAGAAGCAATAACTGCGTGCTCTTCATTTGGTTCTGGTATTCCGGCTGCTGCTACATAGCAATCGCCAACAGTCTCGACTTTGAACACGCCTTGGCGATAGGCAATTTTGTCAAAGGCACTGTAAAGTGTCTCCAACAGGACGAAAACCTGAGAAGGCTCGCGTGCAGATGACCAGGCTGTGAAGCCAACAATATCAGCGAAGATCACGGACGTGTTTGGAAATAGATCGGCAAGCGGAGCCTTTCCAATGATGGCTGAGGTGCGAAAATCCATAGAGGGCATTTCTTCACTCATGAATTCGTCGTCGTTCTCGTGAATTCGTTTGGTGTACAGGCGGTCTCGGATGGCAGATGGAAAGACGTCAGAAACGATTAAGTCCTGGCGCATGATGCGATCCATGACAACCCTCTGTCTTTGTTTCACAGCGAAATCGTATATCAGGAAAACAATCGTCGTGAAACAGAAAATGAGTACCACCACAGCTGATGAGAACAAAGCACTCTGAGTGACATATCTGAATTGAAAGTCTTTTGTTGGGTACAGGTGAAGAGTAACTTTTGGAATACACTCCCCAGCGGAGAGTTCGGATTCGTCAGCATCAAAATCAACCAGGGTTTCGGATACTTCCATTTCATCAAATTCAACTTCATGAACATCGTTGTCTGACAACATGATGGTTCTTGGCCCATTGATTCTATAGGAGATAGACTCGATGCGCTCTTCTAGATCGGTTGTTTGGCAGCTGCTTCGGATGACAGCGAGGATTCCAGCGAACTCTTGGTCTACTAGATTCGATAAGACAGCGGACCAGTCAATTTGCCACGACAACACGGCAACAACTTTTGCATCTTCAGCTTTAGCGTCGACTTCACTAAAGATCGGTTGTACAATTGTACTCTGTGCAAACATTCGCTTCGTTGCCACGCTTGTATGCAGCGATGGAAAAGCAACAACAGGACTGAGAGAAGCATTGGCTGCTGCAATCAGCTGCGTTTCACCATGGAACCCTACCGACAGGTCGTAGTTGGTCGGAAGATCATTGATTTCAGAAAGGATAGCGCCTCTCCTCAATGGGTAAGTCTGCCAGATTGGCAAAACAGGTCCATCGTGATCTATTTCGGTTGGCTGGGACAGGTCCAAGCCGTAGTTATGAACATAAGGAATAGTATGCATGATAAAATCTTCAACCGTTGCGTTTGAATCTTCATGGTCAATAGAGGCTTGATACCAAGCGGGAGCTTTTTGCTCGGCGTAGATAGTCCAGTCATTGATCATTTCTTTCTGCACAACTGGTGCAAAAGCAAGGATAGATCCCCCCAAGCCCCAAAGAGGAGCAACTCTTGACATTTTGGACGACCAGTGCTCAATAGTTACGAATGGCCAAGTTGCGTTTTGAATTGATGCTTCAGAAGAGATCATTACCGAAGAAGAATCCAAAGTTCGAAAGAGGTTTTCCATCGATTGACCAACGACAGCGACGATTTCAGATGCACGCCCGTTGAACTTAAAAAGACAGAGCCAGAAAAGGTGTTAGATGATTTACAATTAGCACATGCAGAATTTGTAGAGTACGAATTTGTAGAGTATTATGAAAACATACCTGATTTTCAAACTCCTCATGTTCTTGCTGCGAGACAAGTAAGTAAGCAATGATAGCCACAGCTGCAACAGCGAGAAATAAGACTAAGGAAACCATAATTTTTGCCTTGAAAACGAAATCATCCTCTCGCTTAACTTCTTCTGGTCTCTCATACAATTTTGTTTGGCTACGAGGCATACTATCGGCATCAGGAGTATCACCTCCAGCGCTGCCATTATCATACATCGCTCCATTGTAGGTGGTGAAATCATGCGATGGGCTGTGGGCACTCGCAGAATAAACGCTCCGGTCCGCCATGGTTTGGTGTAGTTGGAACGATTTGATCTTCTACCTTTTGTGGCTAATGCGTGGAAAAGTTGAGTGACGACGTGACGGCAACAAATTTGAATGAGTTGGTTTGATTGGAACCACGTCGTTCGAATTCATTTGATATTTGTTAAATACAGCATGACGTAAAATGACAGAGGACAGTTCGTTGCGGTGTCAAAACAAATAAGGGGCTTCTCGGATTTCTGATCCCACATCTGTTGGGTATTTTGGGCTACACGTGTACCTAACGTAAATGTAGCTCTGGTAGATACGCCTTTACATATAGTACTCGTGAAGAACGATCTGACTCACAAACTAAGACACACTGCAACCCGCCGATGGATGGTCATCATCATTCACTTAAAAAAAAATCTTGGTCTGTGACACCTGCAGCTGACACACGAAAATTCATCAATGAAAAAATCTTCCAATCTGTTCGACTTCAAGTCATGTTTGAAACACCCGAAAAATGAAGCCAGCATGTCGGAATCCACTTCAAGACTTGAAATGGCTCATCTCATTGAGGGTGATCGATTGCAGATTGATTCGAGATATTGAAGTCCAATTTACGAAGAAACCCAAAAAATGGAATTCATGCTATTAATATTCATAGATTTCTATATTATAATTGTGCATATTGGAATATAATACATAAAACCATTTTTAATTCCCCTCTTTTTTAGCCATTTTCTCCTCGAACTTTTCCAGAAAGCCTTTTACAATGTTTTCACCTTCACGAACCCACTCCTCACGATTTGTCTTCGCATAGTTGAGGTACTCTTCAGAAGATACTCCAAATACACCACAGTCATCGAGCTTCTTGGCCAACGGAATCACGTAGAAGTCAAAGAATCCAATCTCGCCCGTATACCAGTTGATGCTGGGATCAACGTCAGCTCGCCCGGCCTTGAAGGCTCCGTAACATTCCATGAAGAACTTTTCATTCCATGTCTTGTAAATGTGCCAATGTTGCATGGTGTGAGACACATCGGAAGCTTGGATCAAGTGCTCAATCACAATGGTAGCCTTGCGATCTACACTTATCGAACTGGGCTCGTACAGGAAGGTCCCTGAAAAGGCAGCATCCCATCTCTTCTTGCGGAGTGCCTGGAGTTCCTTGTCGACAATATCAGTGGCCATGACTGTATTGACAACCAATTGTCGGAAGCGGTGAAGATCTTCTTCTGTCTGATAGATGCAAGCCCGAAGGTCCTTGTATTCATCTTGCATGAAAATCTCCCATGCGAGATCGACGCTATTTTGTTCTGCCACTGACTTGTTCTTGTAAATTTGAGCACTTCGAGCATTTTCCTTGACGAGCTGCGAGTTTGGAACTCCAGGGTGGTCGGCATCATGGATGATTGCGGAGAAAACAACCGCAAATTGTGTCAAAGGATCGGAGGTAATACCATATGAATGGCCAGCCAAATCGACCAAATCCAATGCTTGATCGGGGCTGTTTGATTCGAGACCATTGCCTTCTCCAACCTTGACAATGCGGCTTAGAAGCTTCTGCACTGATGCTGTCACGTGACTGTTAAGATAATTGTTGCGAATATTAAGTGAGTTGCGATAAGTTTATTCCAACGGATTCAAAAGGTTGATCAGAACGCTCACCTGGCATGCTCGTAATTGTGGAATGGATTGTTTTGATAAAGAGATGCGATACCGGATAGCAGCGACCGTAGCTGTGTACGGGCGGCTTCTCCAATGTCAACTTCTGTTGGCCTCAAGCGGTTGCGAAGCTCATCTTCCTCAAAGCGCTTCAAATGAATGATCGGAATGAACTCTTCAAGCACGGTGCCATTCCCTCCAACTTTGGCTTCTGCTTCTTTAAGACCGTCGATGGATTGGACCACGCCACCTCTCGAGGCAATGATCTGTTGAAGAAGAGTTGATAGATTTTCCACATTCCATTCCACAAGACGATCAATTTTGGTCATCTCCTCCACGCCATCAATGTCATAGTCGAGGTCATCTTCCCCTTCGGTGTCACTTGGATCACTTCTGGAACCTTCAGAACGTGTGTCAGAGGTTTCCTCAGAAGTTTCTTCCGTCTTGGCAGTTTCTTCTGTCTTGGCAGTGTCTTCAACACTGATTATTTCGTTCTTAGGTCTTGACTTTTTCCTGCCTTTGTTGGCTCTAAGTGTCTTCATCCAATACGTCTGCATGTTGCCTTTACCCTTGACGAATATGGTAGTCGATCGAGGGAAAACCCACCTTCCCAATCCGGCTTCCTTTAACAAGGCGGCTGTTGCCTCCGTCACTTGAATTCGATTCCTCTCTCCAGTATGTTCCATTCGAGCAGCCGTGTTCATGGTGTCACCAAAAAGCTGGAAGCGGCTACGCTCCCCTCGCAATACACCAGCTGTCACTTGTCCACTGAGAAAGACGAAGGACACAATGATGGAACGCAAGAGTGAGAACAAATAAGGGGTGAATGCGGGCAAATTAATGACCAATGAAGACTGACCTGTGGATTCCGATTCGCATAGCCAAATCAGCAGTGTCTGGCCCCAAAGACATCTCCAATTTCAATGTAATATCCTTCATCTTTTTCAAACAGCTTCGAGCGAATCGACAAGCAACTACCGCATGCTCTTCGTTGGGTTCTGGAAGCCCGGCCGCTGCAACATAGCAATCGCCTACAGTTTCGACTTTGAACACACCGTGACGATAGGCAATCTTGTCAAAGGCGTTGTAAATGGTCTCTAGCAGAACGAAGACTTGAGAAGGCTCCCTTTGGGACGACCAAGCAGTGAAACCGACAATGTCCGCAAAGATCACGGACGTGTTTGGGAACAGGTCAGCAAGTGGAGCAGAACCAATCATATGTGACGTTCCAAAATCCGCATTTAACAGATCATCTTGGTTGGGGTTTTGTCCATCGTCAATGTTCCCGTTGTAGAGTCGATCTCGTATAGCAGATGGGAAGACATCAGACACAATCTTTTCTTGTCTCATGATTCGGTCCATCACGATTCGCTGGCGTTGGCTGACAAGGAAGTCATAGATAATGAACACCACACTTGTGAAACAGAAAATAAAAACCACAACTGCAGCGTAGTATAGAGCCTCTTGAGTGACAAATGTTTTTTGGAAATCGTTCGTTGGATAAAGATGAAGTGTCACTTTTGGGACACAAATTTGGGATTGTAGGTTGGCTTTACCACTACCAAGATCAGCGAGAACTTGGGAAATCTCCATTTTATCGAACTTTTCGCTGTGGATATCTTCGTTTGCGAGAAAAATGGCTCTTTGTCCATTAATCCTATAAGTGACTTCGCTGGTATGCTCTTGACTGCTGCCTGATTGGCAGCTACTTCGAAGAACGGCAATAATGCCAGTAACATCTTGTTCTAATAGGTTGGAGAATACAACCGACCAGTCAATTTGCCACCATAGGACAGCAACCAGCTTTGCGTCTTTACCTTCAATATCGACTTCCTCAACTTCCTCGAAAATAGGCTGCATGATGGTACTTCTAGCAATGTTCTCACGTGTACTCTCATTTACACCGACATAAGACAAGGAAATAACAGGGCGAAGAGTCGCATTGACAGCTTCAATCAAAGGCATGCCACGCCCAAGACCTTGAAGGATATCGTAGTTCGTTGGAAGTGCTTCCATTGATGGAGATATCTTGCCCATTCTGAGTGGATGGGATTGCCAAATAGGCACAACAGGACCATTGCGCTCAACTGGCGTCGCCACAAAGCTGTTGTTAGCATATGTGTGTACATATGGAATAGTTTTACTGACGAGCTCATCAACTGTCTTGTTTGAGTCTTCAAGGTTGATGGAGCCTTCGTACCATACTGGAGCTTGTTGCTCCACGTAGGTGGTCCAATCATTCACAATCTGTTGTTGGACTATGGGTGCTAGAGCAAGTGTAGATTGTCCAATACCACCTAACTTGAAAATTCGATCTGCTTTCATTGACCAGTGGTCTATAGTGACGAATGGCCAAGTTTCGTTTTGTGCGGACGCTTCTGAGGAGATCATGACAGATGCAGAATCGAGAGCTTGAAAAAGCTTCTCGATATTCTGGCTAACGATAGCGGCAGCTTCGGATGCGTGACCATTGAACTGAAAGAGGTTTAGACCAAGCCATCATCTTGCATTTGCGCTTCATTTTTCAGTACATACCTCGTTTTCGAATTCTTCTTGTTCTTGTTCTGTGACTAACAAGAATGCCACTATAGCGACAGATGTCACAGCCACAACTAGAACAAATACGACGAGTAATCTCACTCGACCAATGAATGTATCTTCTCGCCTTGTTACCTTTCTTGTTTCTTCAGGCAAGTCAATTGAAGCTGTTCCATCATTGCTGCTATTCTCAAAGATTGTCACAGTCTCATACATGGTCCCATTCCCAATCGACAGCTCAACAGAATTTGAATCGGACTCCATTTGACTTCTGGATGATATGCTTTTGGAGTCCTTCATCATTCGTTTGGTTTGGTTTGGGATGGAGTTTCGCTTGTTGTACTTGTGTACCTGGGAGGTGGGAGGTGGGTACAGAATCTCGAGGAGGTTTTGACTTTCACGTTTTTTTGATGATCTTGGATGTTTTTTTGATGATCTTGGATGAGTGATTGATGCCACAGAATGACGTCGAACAGGCGTTGTGCATACGTCAGTTATCGATCTGTTGTCTGAGGAAAGTTTCGTTAATTGATCGAGTGGAATGTTGCTGGCACTAAAAATAACCAATAAGTAACAAGGAACAATTTTTTATGCTGATGTCAGGACAAAGAAGATGAGAAGGCACAAACAGAGAGGCCTTTCCTTGTTTCCTTCTCTGCCTTCCACATCCTTGTATTTCGAAATGCCTTTTTCCCGTTACCACGAACGTGAGACAAGAAAACGAACTCCGCCAGATGTGTCACAAATTTGACGCTACAGTATTATCGGCTTTGAGCTTGTGGGCCCATCCAATAATCGAATATTAATACCGCGTGAGCACTGTAAACTTGATATTATGGATGTTTTGACAAATTGCCAGATGTCATGGACAAAACTGTTTGTACAGTTGAGTGGAAAGGTCTCTTAGTCTTGTGGAACCGGTACCCAAACCCGGTGGGCTCACATCTCACATCACGTTTACAATACGGTGTACTCCCCCGCGGCACAAAACACCAAGTTCGATGCTGAGATAGACCCCAAAGTCACAGCAGAAAGCAGAAGCTACAATGGGATGAGTTTATTTTTAGCTGGTTCACAAGAGATTTGTATTTTCGCAAATTTGTTTTATATTCAATTGGCAATCATTTTTTGAAAATATTGCATGCTATGGTTTTATAGTCAATATGTACAATCCCATCTTCTATTCAGTCACCATAAATCCCCTGGAGCTGACGCCTAGCATCTTGCTTATTCAATTTCTTGAGCGTTTGCATTCTCGTAGTCTGCCAAGAACTCTTTGACGATGTTCTTGCCTTCGCGGGCCCACTCGTCACGATTGGCTTGGGCATAATTCAAGTACTCATCAGAAGACACACCGAACACGCCACAACTGTCGAGCTTCTTGGCCAATGGAATGATGTAGAAGTCAAAGAAACCAATCTCGCCCTTGTACCATCCTTCACTAGGATCACTGTCTGCTCGCCCGGCCCTGTAGGCACCGTAGCACTCCATGAAGAATTTCTTGTTCCACGACTTGTAGATGTTCCAATGTTGCATCGTGTGGGACACATCGGAAGCTTGGATCAAGTGCTCAATCACAATGGTAGCCTTACGGTCCACTTGCATGAGCTCTGTTTCCTCAACTGGAGTTTCAGAGAAAGCGGTCTCCCATCTTGTCTTGCGGAGAGTCTGGAGCTCCTTGTCGCAGATGTCAGTGGCCAAGACGGTGTTAATCACCAACTGTCGGAAACGGCGAAGATCCTCTTCGGTCTGGTAGATGCAAGCGCGAAGGTCCTTGTATTCGTCTCCCATCAACATTTGCCACGCGAGATCAACGCTGTTCTGTTCCGCAACAGACTTGTTCTTGTAGATTTGTGCATTTCGAGTTTTTTCCTTAACAAGCTGTGCGTTAGAAACTCCCGGATGGTCTGCATCATGAATGACAGCGGAGAATATAACTGCAAACTGAGTCAATGGATCGGAGGTGATTCCGTATGAATGACCAGCCAAGTCGACAAGGTTGACATCGTGCGATCTTTGATCAAGTCCATTGCCCCTTCCATGCTTCACAATACGGCTCAGAAGCTTCTTAACAGAAGCTGTCACGTGGCTAGCGTGCTCAAAGTTGTGGAACGGATTGTCTTGATACAATAGGGCAAGATTCGACAACAAGCTTCGGAGTTGCGAGCGAGCAGCTTCGCTGATTTCAACTTCACCCGACTTCATGCGATTACGAACCTCGTCTTCATCAAAGCGTTTCAAAGAAATAATGGGGGCGAACTCTTCAAGCACTGTGCCCTCTTCCCCAATTGTGGTTTCGACTCCACGGATATGGTCAATTTCTTGCACTACACCACCTCGAGAGGCTATGATTCGCTGAAGAAGAGGCGTAAGAATCTCGACATTCCATTCGACTAGACGGTCTGTCTTTGACATTCCTTCCACCTCTCCCAGGTCATAATCGATTTCTTCGTCGTCTGAATCATCAGAGTGATCATCCGAAGGTTCATCAGATTCCCCTGCTGTCTCGAGTGTCTCTGCAACAGTTGAAACATCACCGTTCACGGTTGACTTTTTCCTGGATTTCTTGGGTCTTGTGTCCTTGATGAAATAAGTTTGCATGTCGCCTTTGCCCTTGACGAAAATGGTACTTGATCGAGGGGAAACCCATCGTTCTAGACCAGATTCCTTCAACAGGTCGGCTGTCGCTTTGGAGACATGGATGCGGTTTCTCTCTCCAGTATGCTCCATTCGGGCAGCTGTGTTCATAGTGTCACCAAAAAGCTGGAAGCGACTGCGTTCACCTCGAAGAACACCAGCTGTCACTTGTCCACTGAAAACAATAATCGATACAAATGATGAAAGGCGAGGGTTAGATCAAATAGTCGCGTGTACGAGTAGATTGATGACGCACAAAGACTTACCTATTGATTCCGATTCGGATACCCAAGTCAGCTGTATCTGGTCCCAGTGAGACTTCCAGCTTGAGTACCATCTCCTTCATTTTCTTCAAGCAGCTTCGAGCGAAACGGCAAGCAGCTATCGCGTGCTCTTCATTGGGGTCTGGTAGCCCGGCCACTGCAACATAGCAATCGCCTACCGTCTCAACTTTGAATACGCTGTGACGATAGGCAATTTTGTCAAATGCGCTGTAAATTGACTCCAAGAGGACGAAGACTTGAGAAGGCTCCCTTTGGGATGACCAAGCAGTGAAACCGACGATATCTGCAAAGATAACGGTCGTGTTTGGGAACAGATCGGCAAGAGGAGCTGATCCAACGATATTCGAAGGTCCAAAGTCCAATGGATCATGTAAATCGTCGTGCTGAGAGCCTTGGCCATTGTAAAGCCGATCACGGATGGCAGTTGGGAAAACGTTTGACACTATGATATCTTGTTTTGTGATTCGATCCATTACCACTTTTTGTCGCTCCTTCACAAAGTGATCGTAGAGAAGGAAGACAGAACTGGTGAAAGAGAAAATGAGGACAACGATGCCAACATAGTAGAGGGCATTCTCAGTCAAAAATCGGTCTCGGAAATCATTTGTTGGGTATAAAAGAAGCGTCACTGCGGGGATACATTCTTCCATTTGATCGTTTGATTGGTCGAATCCAAAATCAATAATAGACTCGGATATCTCCATTTCGTCAAAGTCTTTGTTGTGAATGTCCCGCGAGGCCAACAAAATTGAGTGTTGTCCATTGATCCTGTAAGTTAAATCGCTTGTTTGATCGCTTGCTTGACAACTGCTACGAAGAACGGCAACAATGCCAGTAACTTCTTCATCGAGTAGGCCCGAAAGGACTACACCCCAGTCAATTTGCCACCACAAGACTGCGACGACATTGCCATCCTCTGCCGTGGTGTCCACTTCCTCGAAGATTGGCTGGACAATCGCACTTCTTGCTCTTCTATGTCCAGTGTCGTCGAGAAAAATCGAAGGAAATGCAATGGCTGGCTTCAGAGATGTCCTGGTGGCTTCAACCAAATGAGTCTCACCATCAAGGCCTTCAAGAATATCATAATTGGTCGGAAGATCTTCAATTGTTGGGGATATATCACCCAACTTGAGTGGATAGGACTGCCAAATAGGCACAACGGGGCCTTCTCGTTCGACTGGTGTTGCAGCGACGCTGTCGGCAGTATATGTATGTACATAAGGAATAGTGTGAATAATCAGGTCTTCAAGCGTCTTGTTGGGGTTGGACGTTTGATACCATAATGGAGCCTGTTGCTCGACATATCTTGTCCAATTGTTTACCATCTCTTGCTGAACGATAGGTGCCAAAGCAAGCGTAGATTGCCCTATTCCACCAAGCTTGATCAGTCTTTCTGCTTTCGAAGACCAATGGTCAACAGTGACATACGGCCAAGCTTCGCTTTGTGAAGAGGCTTCGGAAGCGATCATGACAGATGCAGAATCCAATGATTCAAACAACTTTTCTGCCCTTTGACGTACTACAGTGGCAACTTCCGATGCATGGCCAGCGAACTAAAGATGCAGAGGCATGGGTTAGACGATTTTTTAGTTTGAATTTGAGTCTTGCTGAAAGACATACCTGGTTTTCGAAGCCCTCTTTCTCTTGATTTGAGACTAGCAAGTAAGTCGAGACTGCTACAGCCACGACAGCGATGAGTAGTGCTGCTGCTACCAACACTTTGGCCCGATTAATGAAAGTGTCTTCTTTCTTGGCAACTTCGGGTGCATGGTAAATGTGGGTTGGAAGCGGAGGTGTTATTCCGCTATCGTTGCTTGAGTCGAACGTAGTTTCATTGGCAGCGGATCCATACTCTGATGGAGTGTTGACGCTCCTAGAAGCAACACTCCTAGATGCATGGTTGTATGAATCAACACTCTTGTTATCTTCTATCATGATTTATTTTGTACACCTCACGATGAGTATTTTATGGTGAAATTTGATTTGTGATAAAACCACAAATGTGTCGAACTTGGGAGAGGGGCGGTGCCATCTGATTCTTCGGATTCTTTCGATTTTTTTGGATGACGTTTGCGCCAATAGCTTAATGAATGGCTCTGTAGGACTTAATGAAAGGCTCTGTGGGACTTATGAAGGGCCAAGAGAAAAAAGGTGTCAACAAGTAAAAGAATAAAGGGATAAAACTATCTGCACAAATGAACATTCGTCAAGACCTGTTCTTTAAATATAAAATAACTGTACATTCGTCATTTTGTGTGATATATAAAATCAGTTGCTGAAAAAGCGAACAATGATCACATTCTTTGACATTCCGCGCTTATTGCGCCTCTGCTCTTGAAACTGTCTTGGCAATAATTTTGAAATGTTCTCACAATCCGACGGGTCGCTTCCTTGAAACACATCAATTTCAATCAAGCCCTTTGCATCATATTTTCATCATGTCGTCACAACAAGAACAGCACAATGAAGACGATCGTACTCTTGGTACCATGAAGTCTCGACCAAAAGAAACCAACCCAGCTGGAAACGAGCAGAGTGCCCACTATCTCGAGCCAAGAGGTTTGAATGAGATTCCCAAAGTCCTGAACGTGCTGCATCTGGTCGGAGCCCTGATCCAGACAGCAGAGGCCATCTTCCTGTTTGCATTCGCCGCCAACATCAACTTAAAGTGGTTGGTGTACACCAACTATCCCGTTGCAGTCGACAACGCGTTGGCATCCCAAATTGGTGGTGAAGGAACTGACAATGTCTACTTCGCTCGACCCGAGAGCAAGTATTACGCCAGCTTTAGTGTGCCATGGGTGACGGGAGCAATCGTGCTGCTCAGTGCCATTGACCACATTTTCGCTATCATTCCAGGAGGTCGTCAACTCTATGAGCACCACTTGGCACGCAACAAGGCATCCTTCCGTTGGTTGGAATATGCTGTGTCTTGCTCCCTCATGAACATGCACATCTCTCAGCTTGTTGGTGTCACCGATTTACACATTATTGTGTTGATCTTTGTCTTATCGATTTCCATCCAGTACCCAGCGTACATTCACGAGGTGGTGAATGCCAGGGCAAGAGATGAAGGATTTGCTCAATACTGGTCTCCTTTCATCTTTGGATGCATTCCATGGATTGCAGTATGGGGTGTGATATTCTCTTACTACTCGCAGTCGATTGCAAGAGGAGAGGACCCTCCATCCTTTGTGCTTCCAACTATCGTGGCCGTGTTTGTATTGGAGGGTCTGTTCCCCATTTTGTTTGTTCTTCAATGGTTGAAGGTTGGTATCTTCCAGGACTACGTTGTTGGAGAATTTGGCTACATGATCTTGGGACTGATCGCAAAGTCGTCGTTGGCATGGATCACTTTGGTTGGAGCCGAGAAGTATGCTGAGAGTTTCCAATATGAGGATGACAACGACGTCTTCTTCAACAATTGAAGAGGTTATCTGGGAGCAGGGATGCCATTGTATTTGTTAGTTCACACGAGGACATAAGAAAATAGAAACAAAGAAAGATCTACCCGCTATTGCACTATTTCAAGTTAAATGATCCATTGGACTTTGGGCTTTCGACTATCATCAGCTGCTCCTCTTGCAGATCTATGATCTTTTCCCAACTGTTGGTCGTAAGGATTTTAATAGCGGGGGAAGAGTGCTCTGATTCAAAGAAGGGCAGATTTCAACATTTCTCCCCCGTTGAGTCGGATCACACTAAACGTCATACCGGTATATTGAGCACCTTTGAATCTTTCCAAAGGTTGTCTATCGCTTGTACACGAAGTACAAACTATGCTTCGCGCTTCTTCTTCATGTTGACGAAACAGGCATTATAAAGTCGAACGAAGGGATTTAAAAATAACGAGCATTAGAGTCTTGAACCGATTTGATGGTCAACACTGAGCTTTGCCATCGGCTCTTGGTTGCGTCCTTGGCCTCTTTGGCTTCCACTGCCGCGTTTCTGACTCCACATGCTGTCACACATTGGCCAAGAAAATCTATATCTCAAAGGACTGGAAATCAAGCATCATTGCATGTGGCTTTAAGATCCGCCACCAATGAAGATGACAAAGATATTATTCAAACGATGGACATACTCGGTATTTCGGCCACGGACAAGGATGCCATCTTGTCTAATCTCCAACGAGCTGGGCTTTGGGAACCTCCGAACGAGACAAACTCCTCCAATCCGAATACCCTTGGATTATTGGCTCAAGACTTTGTCGACCGACCAGAAGCATTCTCCTCAATATTGATCAACGATTTTGATTTTCCGCCCCTTGCGGCTCACCAAACTCGAGCGGTGGTCATGAGTGTGGTAAAGAAGCGCATGAGTTTGCAGCAACAGCGGTTTACTTTACAACAAATTGGAAAAAATGAAGTAGGATTATCCCAACAACAACTTGGTGCTGTGGCCCCACCAATTGAGCCAAAGCAAGATCACGGTACTGCCATTGAACCTTGGACGGTTGGAAGAGGCCAGAAGCAAAGTATCGACATCGATGAGCACCAAAGCGTCGAAAATAAGACAGCAAAGCCTAATTTGCCAAAAATAAGAATCATAAGCAACATAGAAGGCCCGAGTATGCCGTCAGATGAAGCTCAAATCGACCAGAAGCAAGAGGAGGAAGCCGAAAGGAAACCAAAGAAGCTGTCTAGATTCAAAGCAACAATCATCAATGAAAAGGCCAAAGCGCGGCGAAAAAATGGCGAATACGAATATGCTCTGGATGATGGCCTGTATCCCCTGTTGGCAAATGATCTCCAAGCCTTCTTTCTGTTCATGACCCGCCCTTCGCCTCATTCCCAGGAAGATCCGATTCGGGGGGCGACCGCCGAAGTTTACATGCGACATGCACGCCAATTCCTGGGCTGGTATGTCACCCAAGAGAAGCGGCCAGTATCCTCCAGTGAAAGCAAACCAGAAGTTCCTTCAAATGAGAACCTTTCGTTGCAGGACATCATTCCAAACAAAGAACAGGAATCGGCCAATGATATTATTGACTTTGTTCTCTGGTTACGATCTAGAGATGTCAGTGTTTCCTATGAAGCCAACATTCTACGAGGGTTGACCAAGTTACTCAAGTTTCGATTTTCGAGAGAGAGCCAGACTGATTCAGCCCAGAATGGAAACACTTTTTCCGATATTCCACTAATTAAGGAGATTCGAAAGCTACATCGGGATGCAAATATGCGACAGAAATTGGCTCCACGATCTAGTAACGAACAAAAGAAATGGCTCTCCTGGCCAGAGTATCTGCAAGTGATTAAAGAACTGAAACAAGAGCTTCTCGATTTGATGGAGCAATATTTTCAGTTGCAGTCAAAGGTTCAGAAAGTAAAGGTTGCGGAAGCCTACCAATGCTACCTCATTTTGTCCCTCTTTGCCAGTATCCCGGATCGACAACGGACCATGCGAGAACTCGCCATAGGAACTACCTTGGTGAAGAGCGAAGAAACTGATGGCTGGACCGTCCGCCATGGTCCCGACGATTACAAGACCGGCAAGTCCTATGGTGAACGACCCACCATGCAACTACGGGAAGACCTTTCACTAGCGATTGACGACTATATTGATAACTGGCGATCGGCACTGGAACCCACCACTGATTTTCTCTTTGTACAGTCTCGTACGGGCAAACCATTGACTGCGGATGGCATCTTTCAACGGGTTTCTCGTTCCTGCTTCAAGTATGGCGGGAAACGTACCAATCCGCATTTGTTACGAGACATGATTGTGACCCATGTGCGAGAGTCAGATGCTTCGGAGAAGGAATTGGAGGCCTTGGCATTGTACATGGGACATTCGATTTCAATGCAGCGTTCATCGTACGATCGACGAACTCTGACCACTAAGATTGCTCCTGCCGTTGAGCTCATGCGATCCATCAACACAGATGCCTAAAACCATAGTCGCGATTGAGACATTGGGGTGTATCATAATACAGTGTAAATAGTTTGACCTTGCTAGCCCAGCATTAAAGAAGTCTTGGCAATCTGAGCTAGGCCGCCATCCAAACTTGTATCCAGCATCCCAAGCCATGTAGAAAAAGGACTCTATGCAGGCGCCATATCAAAGGGCAAGAATGTTTTATCATCTTCGCCTTGTCATTCGGCCGAATGCATGTCAGTCACTTCATATTGGTTGTTGTTGCCGATGTTTTCAATTCATTGTTCTCGTTTGGTTCAAAAAGACTGTTCTTCAACTGCTTCTTCCTTATTGTCAGAGATATCCACCACACGACGCAACGATCGATGGGAGTGTGAAAAGACTCTCGTCATGCCCAAGAAGAACCAGCATGATAATCAACTTTCCAAGCGCAAATGCTTCCCTGATGCCAAATCATTCTATCGGACAAGTCTCAATTTCCTTGCCTTCGTTTTACCACGAACGACTAGGAAAAGAATGACTATCCCGATTGTTCCAGCGACCATATAGAGAGTAGATTTTCCAGCCAAGGAAGACGCTTCCAAGTTTGCTAAATCACTCTTCAGCAAACGATCTTTCAATAATTCTTGACTAGACTTGAGTTGAAAGCCCTTTTCCTCCATCTTTTTCACAATATCAGCATGTGTAGTCAACTCATAGATAGGAACCTCTTCCACCTCCTTTCCATCTTCGTAAATATGCATGACTGCCTTTTGTCCACGAATCCATTCCACCTCAACCCCTTGATAATTGTTTACCTCGCCACCCTTTAGAAAATCCTTCAGTGCAGGGTTGCGATTCAAGGTTCACGCAGGACTATCGTACCATATTATTCAAAAGACCGCGAAGAAGCGGATGGTAAAGGCAAGAGAAAAAGGAGCCATTGTCAGGGCAAGTCGGCTCAAAGGAGACTCCAAATGACAACCAATGACCTGTCGGCGAAGGATGGCTTACCAGGAGATGATCTTTGCCGTTCGCGTGGCTGATGCTGTCCAAGCGCTACAAAGGACGAGGAGAAGGAATATTATACTTTTCTGAAAGGAATACATGTTGTGTCGCTGCTTGACTTGTACCGGTACCGGTGATTGTGTTGTTGGTACCGTACTCTACTTCATCTAGTCCGACGAGTCAGTCAATAGATCAAAACTTGCTGCTTGACCATTGGCGTTTGGATTGTTATAATAAGTACACGAAATCATGGAGTGATATCTAGTGCTTCAAATTGGTCAGTCAGCTGGTATCTTATGTACTTTATAATCAAGGGTTATATATTTACCAGATTAGTACAATTCTAGTGTAGGCAAGCCTGAAAATAACGCTTTGAACTGCTACTTTCTCCTGTCCCCTTTTCAACTCGAGGATAGCCACTTTGTAGGACTCAATGCGACCAAAAAGGACCAATAGCTGGTTCTTGATGATTGCATCTTCACCATGCAAAGTGACTTTGGGGGATGTTCATGATGAATCTTCACCTCGCTTCACCATTGTTAACCTTCAATCAACGGCACAGTCCTATAGGCTTCCTTCGGTTCAATCTTCCCGGCGTATCGCTATTGCTTTGATTTTGTACCTTTCAAGTTTCTCCACTTTTGTGGGAAATGACCATCGATGATGCCAATGGGATGCCGAAAGGCTCCAGGGAGACTTATATCACCTTGATATGGAAGATCTACAAAGGTACAAGCCTCATGTGGCACATTGACGATTTCCTCGATGCGATCCTCAGCAAACTTTGCCAAGACAGTGTAATTGAAGAAATGCTCAGGGGCCATTGCTCGGTCAAGTACATCAACAATGAACAAGTTGCGCCCATGGTAGTCTTGCTGCGTTGTCGGACTGCTCCATTCCACAATTTCCACTCTGAGAGCCTCGTCGAACATTGGCTTTCCGTCCGGTACCTCTCTCACGTTCAAAAAGCAAGCTGTCGCAACCCCAACCGGATAGGGAGGTCTTTTGGTCCTGGCCGCTGCGAACGGTTTGGTACGATATTGATCGCGGAGATCTTGCGCCCGGAGTGGATGAGAATTCCCTTGTTTGTCACGCTGCCACCGAGCTTGATAGTCATTCCATGCAGCTACCCATTGCGGTCCATAATCCAAGAAGATTTCATCACCTTCTGCGATGTCGCTAGTGGCAACTACCTTCATGGTAAGCACAATTTTACTGACCTCTGCCATTTGTTCAACGGTGTAATCATGGTATTGATGCTGATTGGGTAGCTTGTCAACCCTGCGAGACCAAGTGACGTAGGCATTGGAAGATTTACCACTCTGATGGTTGATCAATGTAGCAAGACTTCCTAGTGGGAAGAGGAGTAACGAACTCTCCGGATGACCGAAACAGTAGTTTAGGATCATTTGTTTGCCGATCGATTGTGTGGAAGAAGAGGTTTCGCCAACTGGATACATGTTCAAGATTTCTTTGTCTGCAATATGGAGCATAGGACTAACGGTGATCGTCTCCCCCTTTTGTATTCTTCGTGTAGCAAAGGCACCCCAACCAGCACTTGGGATTCTCGAAGGACCTGCTCTGAGTGTATCTAGGCAAAAACCGTTCTGCTGCAACCAATCGCTAGACCGGATCATCTCTCGATACCGATACAAGAAGGACCCACCGGCGGCCTGGGCTTGTGCAACTTTTCGGGGACTGGATGGAATCAAGGATCGAATCGTCTTGGCATGCTTCCCTGCCGCTTCTCCCAAAACGTCATCAACCATGAAATCGACTATTTCCTCTTGGAGGTCTCGTGATAAGTCTGGAAATTCTTGAAAGAAGGTCACTAGATCTGAAATAATCGTATCGGCCTTTTCGTAATCCGATCGTCGAATGGTGTCTTGATAGGCATCGTCATTGTCACCAGAAGTTTCATCCCAGACATCACCAAAATCAGCAAAAAATTCCATGCCTAGAGGGATCTCCCGAGTAGCTTGCAAGGTGACGTTATGATAGGTCGTGATTGCCCCCCGGGACAAGTGCGGCTCTCCAGCCTTCAGAAACGAGGGTGATTTCCGCAAGAGGACCGAAGCTTGATGGAAATTCACATTGGAGATCCCAGAATGGTAATGCGACAAGACTCCAATTCCTGGAATGGCCGCCGGAGCGGAATATTCTCCCTCACATTGGGCGCCTACAAAGTTGGCAGTCCAAAAGAAACCTTCCAGAAAGTCAATTAGCTGGGCGTGATGATTCGGCAAGGAAACGGCCGGGTTCCTTTGAAATTGCTCCGTTGGTTGAAAATTGAAGTCCACAAGCGGAATGGCAAGCTCGGCATGAACCGGTAATGTTTCATTTACGCCATAGGCCTTTCCAGCAAATAAACCATACTTGGGTTCTCGATCAGTACCTGTATACGAAGGTGCCAACCAGAGCGGACAGTTATTGTAGCTCTCGCCTGCAGCACAAGAGGATGGTCCATGGTGATGACTGTTGGCATCACAATGATTTGATTCTTCTGCATTTAATGCGACAATTTTTGTTGCGAATACTGAAAGCGTAAGGAAAATCCCATGCCCAATACTTCGTATCCTTACTATCATGATGAATAGTGAAAGAATGAATGATGCAGCGATACTACAAGTAAGCCATCGTCGATATAGGGTTGTGTTATTTTCAATTCTCTTTTGGTAATTTCAAGTCAGTTGAGTCGGAGAATGAATGAAAAGGATCGAATGAATCGAGGATGAATCCCGCAAAATCCGCGCATTCGACAATACGGGCATCAACTTTCGCTTTCATATTTGGAAGTGATCAACTACTTTTTGGCCAGGTTTGAGTCTCGGCTCACAATTTACAGCTTGTATCAAATTTACTGCAAAACAAAAGTACGAAAAAGAACCCAAACAGTATGATGCAAGAATCATCCATGATCAACGACAAGCCCCAATTGGAAGTGCAGCAGCCAAATTGGCATGCAATGACCAAGGAAGAGGTCTTTTCTGAACTTGAACTTCCTGAGGACCACCGAACCAATGGTCTCTCCACTGAGCAGGCTAGTGCCAGCTTGGAAAAGTATGGTAGGAATATGCTCTCCAGCAAGAAGAAGAAGACTCTCTTGGAGAAAGTTTGGGAACAAGTCGCCAACGTTCTGGTTGGTATCCTTCTGTTTGTTGCCGCTATTTCGATTGTCCGCGTCTTCACAGATGATCCAGTGACTAACGGTATCCAGGTTGGCATCATCGTTGGTGTTATCATGTAAGTGATTTGTCTTCACGACACGAAGTACTTCGTTGAATCCTTCGTCTAACTAAGCAACATTTTCAGCATCAACACTGCCATTGGTATCATCCAAGAAGGCTCTGCTGAGAAGGCCGCCGAGGCTCTCAAGGCCATGCTCTCCTCTGATGCAATTGTCCTCCGTAACGGTATTGAGACAAAGGTCCCAGCCGAAGAGGTTGTCCCTGGTGATGTTGTCGTCCTCTCGCTTGGTGATCGTGTGCCCGCCGATCTTCGCATGATCGAAGTCAGTCAATTGGCATCTGCCGAGGCCGCATTGACTGGAGAATCCGTTCCTATTGATAAGACCGTTGATGTAATTGAATCTGAAAATCCAAAGTCCGTTCCACTTGGTGACCGGCACAACATGTGCTTCTCTGCAACCCTCGTCGCTCAAGGATCAGGTGTTGGCATCATTGTCGCCACTGGTGACAATACTGAGATTGGAACCATCAACCAGCTTGTGAATAAAGTCGAAGATCAGAAGACTGCTGTCTTGGAACAAATTGACAATGTTTCAAAGTGGTTGGCATTGTTCATTGTCTTCACTGCCATTGTCGCGTTCCTTGTCTCGTTCTTCACAACTGACACTGATGACCGTGACTGGCTTGAGTCTCTCTCAGTGGCTCTTGTCTGTGCCGTCGCAATGATCCCCGAAGGTCTTGAGGCGATTGTCACTGTTTCCTACGCCTGGGCTGTGAGCAACATGGCTGACAAAAATGCTATTATCCGTGCTCTTCCTGCTGTCGAGACTCTCGGATCAGTGACCACTATCTGCTCCGACAAGACCGGCACTCTTACAAAGAACGAGATGACCCTTGTTGGCTTTGTCACTTCCAACGCGAGATACAAGATCGATGGCGATTCTACGGAACGTACCAACAAGAACTTTGTCCGTGATGATACCTACATGGCCAAACGTGCTGACCACACCAAAATGATGAAGACTCGCGATGTTCTCAAGTCTGGACCAGGTGTTTCTACTCACGATAGGTTCGGCAAGAAGGAGAAAGACTTTCCATTCACCATGCGCGGGTCTGTCATCGACAAGAGCTTGGTCTCTGACCACGGAAATCAGGAAGGTTCCGAAGCAGCCGACAAGGCTGACGGTCATGAAAGCAACGATAACTTCCCTGTTGGAGCTGGTGAATCTCCGGAACTATCATTCTTCCGTCAAGGTCTTGCTGGAGGCGTCCTTTGCTCCAAGTGTACTCTTGGAAAGGATGGGGGCCGCGAAGGTGAAATTGGCAACCCAACTGAGCTTTCCATCCTCCGAGCTTCCTACTGGGGCGGCATTGAAGTTAACGACATGAAGGATGCTTCACCTATCATCGCTGAGGTTCCATTCTCGTCCGATTACAAATTCATGGCTACGGTTCACGCCCCAAAACCCGAAAACGATGGCCAAGGCAAAAATGACAAGCTGATCATCCATGTCAAGGGTGCCCCGGATCGTATGATTCCTCTCTGCAACAAACAATTCAAGGCCGGTATGCTCAACGAAACCGAAGACATCAACCATGACTACTGGATCGAACAAATTGCCATCCTTTCTTCCCATGGCCTGCGTTGCCTCGCTCTACTCCGTGGTGAACTTGACTTGGGTGCTGTCCAGCAAGGAGATCCACTTGGTCCAGAATTCGTCCAGGACAAAGGAGCCTGGCTTACCATTGTTGGAGTCTGTGCCATTATGGACCCCCCTCGCCCAGAGTGTGTGGATGCCATCACTCAAGCTCATGGTGCAGGTGTTCGTGTTGCCATGATTACTGGAGACCACAAGGATACTGCACTTGCCATTGGTTGCATGCTTGGACTGGTCAACGAGGAGCACAATTCTGCCATTACTGGACCAGAACTCGATGCCATGGGCGACGAGGAAATCAAGTCGGCGGTTCAAAAGTACAATGTGTTTGCTCGAGCTTCTCCCCAAAACAAGATTCGTATCGTCAAGGCACTTCAATCACAAGGAGAAGTTTGTGGCATGACCGGTGATGGTGTCAACGACGCCCCTGCTCTAAAGGCAGCGGACATGGGAGTCGCCATGGGCAAAGAAGGAACCGATGTCGCTCGAGAAGCTTCCAAGATGATTCTTGCCGATGATAATTTTGCCACCATCATGGTAGCCGTTCGTGAAGGTCGTGTGGTATGGGATAACTTGCGAAAGGTTCTTCTGGTCAACACTCCCATCAATAATGCCCAAGGAATGTCAGTTCTGTTCGGTCTTGTCTGCGGTCTTAAAGATACTCCCTTGACCGCCATTCAAGTGCTGTACTGCAACTTGATTTGTGCCATTACATTGGGATTCGTCACGGCTGTGGAGCCTGCCGAAGATGGCATAATGAACCTTCCACCCCGACGCGTTGGAAAGCGTTTGATTGGAAGGTACTTGTTTTTGCGCATTGTTCTCGGAACTGCCACTTTGGTGGCTTGCACCGTTGGGTCTACTTTCTGGGCTCGTTCCTTGTACCTGAATGGAGCCACCGAGACTTCCAATTACTACTACGATATAGTCCTGCCGTTGATGAGATCTCAAGCTTCCAATACTTTGACCTTTGGTGCCTGCTCCATCACCATGAGTGCCCGCTTCGCCTACAACAGTTCTTTTGGAACTCGATCCTTGTACGGCAACAAGTTTGCCTGGTATTCTCTTGCCATTGTTTCAATCTTGCAAGTTGCCATTACCTATACCCCTGGATTGAACAGTGCAATTTTCGGAATGGGTCCAATGAAGGCAGAACAATGGGGAATCACAGCTCTCTTTTCATTCATTGTCTTTTTAGTAATGGAGATTGAAAAGAGCATCCGCCGCTTTCTGTTGGCTCGTGGAGCCGATGTCGGTGACAGCGAATATGGATTCTTTGACGATGCCGAACAAATGCCAAACCAAGACATTTCTCTTCCAAAGGGAGCTTCTCATCTCAACCTCACGACGCTCCACAGCTAAGGGAAAATTTTCTTTGAACCAACCATCCAGTCAATCAGCCAATGCTGCTCAACAATCAATGTATCCATCTCTGTCGAGGAATCAGAGCAGTCCATTTCATGATTTCTGTATCTGACTTGAGTCCCAACATTAAATAGCAATTTTACAATTTAATTCATTGTTTCGAATAATCAATCGTAATAAAAAGTACTCTGAGTCAGTCATTCCTACAGTAGACCGTGTTGCTCATCATGTCACGCGTATGATAGGTGATGGATGGGTCGGAAGCTTGCGGTAGGATCTTGGATGGATCTTTCGCCCCTCCGATATCATATTTTATATGACTCAGTAGACTTCGATTAGATTCTGATTTTCACGACAGAAATCGAAACAGATGACGCGGTTGCTTCCCGCCCGCAAATACAGTGGACAAATGAGAATCGTCGGATCAAGGATGAATGTACCGGCAAAACTTACGTGCAGTTGTTGGTTTTTTGGCGGTACAAATGTGGAACATCCCGAACTCCGAAAATGACGTGGTTGTTACCAAACCGAAGATTGTTACCAAAACCAGAAGCAACACGATTCTCAAGATTCTCGAGAAAATCCGCGAAAGATCTCATTACTCTACAAACCCGCAGAATCAGTTTCGATTCCATACTCTACTCAACACACAATCACCCACGACCTGAATAGATAAACATCATGAGCAGATCTTCCAACAACTCTACAGTCTCTATCATTGCAGGCAGTCTCGCCGTCACTGGTGCTGTTGCAGCCGCATCCATGTGGAGCAACTTTCGCCATCATGCGGACCACACTGATCAGAAGGATCCTCTCATTCCTAAATTCATTGGAGAAGCATTGACTCCCGCCGACCCAGAAAAGATCAGGCAAGTCATCAATGCTTCCTTTGATTACATCTACCATGATCTACCAGCCCACATTGTTGGAGATATGCAAATGGTGCGAAAGCGAACACCCAAGGACCGAGACGAGATTGTAAGAGCGGTAAACTCGCTCATCTCAGACCTTACTGGTGGCAATCATCACGTCCTAGCAAAGGGCCAAAAGTCCAAAGGACTGGATCAACTCGTGGAAGCCTTTTTCAAATATTTCTACGTGGCCAAGAAGAACAAGGGAGACAGATCTGTTTCCACTGAAAATACTGACGATACTTCTGTGTTGTCTTCTTCCTCCTCAAGATCAGTATCCTTGGAGGGCATGGGTGTAGTGGAAGCTACAGAAAGCAGCAAAACTGCTCCAGTAAATGACACTACTGAGACCATATTATCATCCACAGAGGAAGAACAAGCAGAGAAGACTATCGACTACGCTTGGGACGATGAAGTATATGTGGAACACGAGGCAGCTGCACCCAAACCAGTCTCTGGAGCAGATGCTGCTGCACTTTTCTTGGCGGGCGCCTTTGTGGCTGCTCAAGCCTTTGTATGCTGAGTTGTTATCATCCACTGCATGAGTCATACATTCATTCTTTTCCGCCTTTTGAGTCGGGATGTTCATTCCACTTTTGCGAATGTTGTGTACACTAGATATGACTAGATTAGAATTTAGATTATTACATATGTATGACTTGTTGAACAATCACATACTATGCAGCCAGCCTATTATTAACGACATGAGAAGTTGAATAGGCAGCAAGAGATCGATTGCAAAGGATACCAAAATCTTGTCCCATCCTCTTGACAGGACAGGAGTCGGCTCCTCTATATTTATAGGTTTCATATGGAGGCAGTATAGAATGAATGAATAAATACTAGAGTAGAATGGATTCGAAGCTAAAAGTTAACTGTCAAGGATGTCTGTCTATGATCTAAATTTGTGTATGCGCGTGAGAGTAGTATGCAGAGTATGAATACAGGAGTGGGATGCTGGTTGTGTATAGGATCCAATTGGTAGGTAGGAATGTTGGACTGGTCCTTCATAATTCTCACTGTGAGATGAGTTCGCTCTTGTTTCGTCGTCGGCTGCTTTTTCTCCGGGAAGGACTGGACGGCATGATTTTCTTGGCATTCAGTCCTTTTCGATGCATCATCATGTGCGATACAGGAGTAGTTGCGGTGGCAGTAGATACATTCCAAATGACTGGAGAATCCTTGGCCAAGTGAAAGACTTGTTGCATCATTCGTGTTCCCAGGCGCTTGCCGGAAGCGGACGGAGCCACGCCCAAGTTCAGGACAAACCATTGGTCATTTGAGCAATCTTTCAAGATGGGACGGCTTGTTCTGCTCAGTCGATCATCGAATATATCAATGTCGTTGTATCGTTTGGAAGAAAAGAGGTCTCTCCAGGTGTGCAAGGAAAACATTTTTGCAGTCATAATGGCACTCAGATTGTAGGCCTTGTAAAGATGCGGCGAGATTGGTGGGATAACGCAGATAGAACCTTGGTAGTTGCCGCCATTGTCAACAGACTTGATGATGTGACCATAATTCTCGGCAATGTGGAGGACATATTCCACAAAGGATTCCACAGCTGCGTCCATATCTTCGAGGCTGGCCTCTGTCTCATCTGCGGTATCTTCAGATGAAACAGACTTTTCCTCCTTTACTACGTATAGGTAGTCAAACGATGAACTGATGGCTTTCTTGAGTCCTTCCCGGTCGGCCGCTGTCAGCTTTCGAACCACTTGAAGGTCGCCCACAGGATCAGCGAGGAGATCGTTGTTGGTCAAATATGGAGCTCGACGACGAAAGATGTTCCACACGGAAGCTGCTGCAACAACTCCTACGGTAGCGATACTCCCTGCTACTATGGAAGCAGTTGAATGGGATGATTTGGGCATGATTTTGTTGAAATGAACGGTGCTGCTTCGTTGAAGAGAAGTAAAAAAGATTCGGATTGTGTGTTTTGTGAGGACAAACGAGAACCATCCGAACGTGGATCTCATATCTGGCGGGAAATTAGACGCCACATAAGTGTAAAATTTCGGGATGTTCCCTTTACATTTCTTTCCCATTGGTTGGGCTTTACGTTGATCGTTGGATCGAAGGCGAAAAATGTCGCACAAAAAACCTCGGTGGTAAGGATGTGACGTCACAATCTGTGAAGACTATACGAGTACTTTTTTCCTATTCTTGTGAAACCAGGGGCGGGAGACTTCCACCACGAACGATTCTTCTCGTGCGAGGGCTCCGTTATTCTAAAGTTGCTTCGCACAACATTAAAAAGCTTATCATAATATGTCTGTGTACTCGTTATGATAGTCGGCACTATTCCACCATGCAGCCACAGTTCTGCATGATGGAGAAGTTCACTTGCTATTCCCCTAATACAGATTTCTCTGCGTATACTAAGATTAGGTCATGCGGTACTATTGCTATATATTCCGCGATTACAAATTTCAGTTGATTCTTACTATGAAGTATAATCAGCACTGAATCGATTCCAAACCACTCCCAGCCCCTGTATGGATGCTATTATCCATACCTACCAGAAAGTCAACACCTGCACCCCACATGTAGTCTTCTACCTCACATATGAGGAAGTCACCCAGTATGACACAGAAGTTCGCCCATGTCTTAGTTCCTGTTCCTGCACCAAAGCTGCCCCCGAATGCTGTACCAATACTGGCTGTGATTGATCCCGTCGCACTAGAGCTTGACTGCAGCACTTCAATTCTGTACCCTTTCCAGAAATAGATATCTAGTTCCTGCGACGACCAAAATGCATACCCGTCTACTTTTAATTGCACGTAAGCTGTGTCTCCAACACCTGGGTCGCCACACGCCCACTCTGTCCTAAGAACTTTTCCGCCTGATGGCCGCTCTTCTCCGAAGCGAATTTTAGCGGCATATGGATCATGGCTGCTACTACACTCGAAGTTAGGTGTTAGTGACCAGCCCGTACCTCCGTGGAACTTGTAGTTAGGAGGGTTCGTGTATGTACTTGACCCTACCCAGTCCCACTCCACTTGCCATTCTGTTCCTGTACTCGTAGTAGAGTCTACCAAATAGTTAATCTGACACTCACTCGCTGCCAAATTTCTGCCTCCGCCCGCGTCGTCTCGTGGTACCAGTAACTCAACGTCAACTTTTTTCCACCCATCTGCGCGCACAATGTACATTGTATCATCAAGGCTACATCGTAGGTTGTTCTTAGTAGCCAGACAGTCTGGCTGTTTTCCAATATACTCCTCCGGTAGATATTCGTCTTTAAGAGACACGAATCCATTCAAACGCGGCGCACCTTCTACGAGGTACAAGGACTCTTTTTCATCTACTAATACGGGCTTCAGTGGTATATCATCACTCCTCTCATTTAGACTGGTGTTGGATTCCTTAAGTCTCATACTCCGCCTGGCTCCCCTCGCAACCGGTAAGCTAAAGTATGTTGTGTTGTCGCTACATACACAGATACCATCGCTCGTTCTGCCCCAGCACTCGACCTCACCGTTACACGGTGCGTCCGTCAAGTTAGTGATACGGAACATGTATTTTGGCGACGCACCGCTCCGTGGCCGTGTGAACTCTCTTATCATCAATACCATTATCACGACACTCTGAATGCTTATTATAATCACTGAACGACTATGTCTTTTGTCTCGACGGACAGGCTCATCATTTTCTGTGTTCATTTTACACATCTAACTGACTATGTTGACCGTTCTCTACCGTTCTCTACAGAGAACTAAGACAGGAGCACTTTATAGCTTCTTATACCTCCTGTTAGTCTAGGTTTTTGCTTGTGAAAAAGATTCTACAAGGTGTTATGATCAGGGACACTACGATCAGGGTCTTTCTTTCAATGAATAAGAGAAAGAGTCGAGCTTCGTAAAAGAATCAACAATGTTTTCGAAGTCCCACAACTCTACGGTAGAGTAGGAATCCCACAAGGACTTGCGGAATCCCACAAAAGTACTTGTGGGATCGTCCCACAAGTACGTAGGGTACCTTCCCACAGGTACTTTTGGATGTATCGCACCAATTAAAAGTACCTCTACCGGTAGGAAGTCAAGTGCTTGAAGTTCGTGGGAATCCCAACTACCTATACCGGTACTTGTCTTCAAAGTGGCCCGTCTTCTTTTCCCAGGGGGAAGCTTTGTACGGTACTGTAGGAATCAACCCCCCATTAAAAAATAGCCGCTTGTGACAAGTCAATTTTCCCACAAGTCTCAAAGTGGCCCGTCTTCTTTTCCGACCAGGGCAGCTTTGTAGGAATCAAGAATCCCCCAGATAAAAAATAGCCGCTTTCTTGTAAAAAGCCGATTTTCCCACAAGTGCTTGTGGAATTTGAAGAAGTTCGTGGGAATTCCACAACTACTTGTCTGCAAAGTGGCCTGTCTTCTTTTCCCAGCAGGGCACCAGCTTTGTCCCCAGATGAAAAATAGCCGCTCGTTGTCTGCAAAGTGGCCCGTCTTCTTTTCCCAGGGCAGGTTCTGCTTACTACTGGTACTGGTACTAGTACTGTGTGGGTGTACACGTGAAAACTGAGATGTACGGTGGGGTTTCAGGTTTGGTGTTGGGGTGTGTCAGAAATTTTAAGCCGACCTTTTTGTGTCTCTCCGTAATTTCGTCGTTCTATTTCCGACTCACTGAGATGATATGAGTGAGTCGACCAGCTCTGATGCTCGACTCAATCGACTAAACATTTCTTCTTAGCTTTTTTAGCCTTTACGCGGCAGATTTACGATACTGACTGTACTGTACCTATTGCGCGTCGGCTTGAAGGCGAAAAATGTCGCGCAAAAAATCTCGGTGGACGTCACAATTTGCGGGTTTCCGATTGGTGTGATTCCAGTGGGGCCTCCCGTTTGGGTCATTATGGCCGAATCTCCAAGTACAGTATGCGATGCCATGATGCTTTTGATCTATGACATTTCAAGTACAGTACTTTGTCTCAGGGAGGAATTATAATACAATATTGTGTACCGGTACTTTTAGAATTCGTGACTAGGTTTTCCTCCCTTATTTCTACGAGGGAGCCCCTCCCCTCGTTTGGGTCATTATTCCTGGTACGTACTGTAGTTTTGTAATAAAGTTTTGCACTACAGGACAAGAACACGATCTCCTAGACGAACAAAATCATGGTATTTCCTTGTATCGAACCCTCCACTGGAGGAGAGCTCTGTTTTATCTCATCTACCCACGGTGACCTCCGAGCCTCTTGCAATCCTTTTGGAAAGGTGACCATGCAGCGTGCGTGGAAAGGTTGGGAGGTTTGGAGATTTGTCAGTTCGGCGGATCGAAGTGATGGATCCTTCTTCATTTCCTCGTGGACTCACTCTCAGTTCTACTTGTCGTCCCATCCGGGAGGAAATGTCTTCAGCTCAAAGGATGAAAAAAACATGGAGCTGTGGAAGGTAGAGAAAGTAGGCAGTGCAAGTGGAAATGCTGTTCTTCTTCGTTCGCTGAAGCATGGTCGTTTGTTACTATGCCAAGATGGGCACTTGTCCACTGTCGAGGGTTCGTCATGTGGATCACCGGATAGGTGCCTATGGAATATCGAAACTGCAAATCTGGGAAACTTCTTTCTTCATTGCAACGAGAAGGACAAACAGATTGGATGTCCGAAGAGCGTCGACGAGACACCTCTCTTGACGGAGCATCGGAAAGATTGGGAAGTATGGCGTTTGTACCTTCGATGCGAAAACAAACAACTTTGCCTTGCAGCAGAACCAGGTTCTGAAACATGGTCCTTGGTGAATCATGAAGGATTGATTGCAATTGTTTCCTCATCCGGAGGATATTTGGCTTGTTGTTCTGAAGGTCGCTTCTTCATTGCCAACGAGCTGGGTGATACGCCGCCTTGTACCTCATGGAGGCTTGAGCCTAAAATGCCGAGTACCCTCAGCGGCAAACAAATTGGTGGTCTAGTTGGAGGAGGTATTCTGACATTGGGTCTAGGTATTGCCATGCCCTTTGCCATTGTTGGCGCTATCACTGGCATGGGATTCACAACTGGTGGAATTGCTGCAGGCAGTGCAGCCGCCGGTATGATGTCCGCTGAGGCTATTAGTTTGGGCGGAGCCGTTGCAGCTGGTGGGACAGTGGCGACACTTCAATCTATTGGAGCAGTCGGATTGGGAATGGCGGGAACCGCAGCCGCAGTGTCTGGTGGAGCCTTGGTCGGCGCTGGAGTTTCTGCATCGGCGCTTGGTGCTAGCGGCATTATGAACAATGAAGCGTCTTCTGAGGCTGGTGTTGCTGCTTCCGACAATTTGGTGGATGCAGCATAAAATCTTGATGCTCAAGTATTGATGAAATATATCCGAGCTTAGTTACTAAGTTAGCAGCCAATTATAATGTTTTGATCTTTAGCAGTTCCTGTCCTGCTTTGTCTAAAATGAAAATTCTGAAAATGTAACCATCACGTCTGAGCTTTCTTAGTCCTTTTCCATGGAGAACTGGAGAACTAGTGCTTGCAAATGTCCTGCCATCGTCAAATTTTATGTGAAAAGGTTGACTTTCATTGACAATAAGGTCCTAGAAATGTAAGAGACACCATACTGCCGCATTCTGACGACACACATCATATCTTTTGCACAAAATTTCACGATTGACAGCTTCTTGTGAAACCCAGTGGAACCAACGCAAGCCAAACGAAAAATGGAACATCATCGAAAGTGCCGCTTTAATTTTGCTTGGTCTCACGGCTATCATCCAAATTACCGATTTGGAAGAGCTGAACTTTCCGATGCCAGGCATATTCTCATCGAGCCTCCAAACTATCCTGGGAGTTTCCGGATACGAAATCAGATCTGGGATGCTGCCTTGTTTGATGTCTTTGTGAACCTATTCGATCACTTTGCTTCCGAGAACATCATTTGGGAAGAATTTGATTTCTTCTTCATGAGCACCTATGATAAAAAGTCTTGGAAGTTCATTCGCCCTCTGCTTCAGCGAGCCAGCTCCTTGGGTATCTATAAGAAACTTCGTGTCGAAATGCAACTCCTCTTTGGGCCAGAGAATCCACCAGATACCACAAAAGAATTCCTGTTGGAGGGAATCGACCGGAACGAGAACCTTCAAGCCATAGAACTTATTTCGGTTCACACCAAATCGTCGGATCCTTTGGTGAGGGGAGAGCATCCATTTCAAATGAGTAAAGGGGATTGCATTGCTCTAAATCGATTATCAGAAGCGACTGATTCTTTGAAAGAATTGTCGCTCAATGGAATTGGAATGTTGCAAACAATGGGAGCTTCCGATGGAGAAGGAGAACAAGAACGGATTTGGTATCATCCGTTGTGTGAAGGATTGGCAAAGAATTCATCGTTAGAAACAATCAAATTAGATTTTGTGGGATGTCGGATGACGGATATGTCGCTTGCTCAATTGGTCATGTCGATATCCAATATTCCTACCCTCAAGTCGTTGACTCTCAATTTCCCCTGTCAAGCGGGACCATTGACTTCCGCAGCACTGCAAGACCTGCTCTTGAAATGCCATTCGTTGACGGATCTGGTATTGAATGGTCCAATTTCGGTTTCTTCGAGCAACCACGAAGAAGTCGAGACGGAAAAGGAGAGTGTCAATGGCAATGCCGGTCCACTACAGCTAGATGCGAGCCAAATTTTGCACGGCATCCAAGAGAGCCGATCTCTCAAGTCACTCAAGCTGCAACGGATTATGAATGCTGATTGGAGTCTATCACGGATTTTCGAAGCGATATGGAGTTGTCAAACCCTGTGCCAAATCGAAGTCGATGACAACGTGGAGATAATGCAGGATTTGGAAGCGTTAATTTCTATGGAACGCTTTGATAGACACATGCGATTGATTCTACCAGTAGACCAATATCTGCAAGATTATGAGAGTGAGAATGCGGTGGAAGTCCTCCAGGGATTTTTGTTCAAACATCCAGAAATGCGATTGAAGCCACCATCTGTACTATCCAAAAGAGCCAGAAACAAAAGAACCACCTCTAATAATCCTTCGGGATTTTTCTCGCAACGCTTCATGGCTTTGATGGAGGAGTCTATGTTCCTTTCGAAATCGCTCAAGCACATTTGTGACTTTAATTGGCACGGCAGGTATCTCATGCACACTCCAGCAGTTCCTTTGGGATTGTGGCCACGAGTGATGGAACGGGCAACGACAAATCCAAGCGTACTATATGAGTTGTTGAAAAGTCCAGCGTTGGTTTCTTGGGGTGGTGGTGCTACTGAATCATAGTCGTATCGCGTATAATATCTATTGTTCTACTCAGGTATGCAAGCGTTATATGTATTACAGATTTGTTTCATTCAACCAATCGCATGTTGCAGACTTGCATTCTCTCGAATCATTGAATACAAAATGGTTGCCCGTCTTGATTGGTCCACTTTCATTCGGTCCTGTATGTTTGACCTTGAAGGCGGTAGCCGTTTCGGAAGATTTGCCTGGTTGATGCGTTCCAACACTACAGGCCAGAGTGAACAAGGTATAGCCTTGGCAGCTGAAGAATCTTCTGCCAGGAGCAGCCGGCGACCTCCAAAGTTCCAATCCAAAATAGTTCCAGTCTGCAAAACTAGATCAATCAGTCGAAGGGGTAAATGAATCTCGTCCAAGGTAACATTGTTATTTTTTGGCCCCATTAGTCCATTCACAATCTTTCGGGTGAATGCCGCGTTTCTCTTCTTTTGGTATCGTTGAATCCCATCCAACCACAACTTTCGAATCCCACGAAATTGATGCAAGTGCTGCAACAGAACATCGTAGGAATCGTTTGATAAGGAGCAATCCGTCAACATGACCTTTTCCATTGTCGTATTTTGGGTCAGTACATTGACGAGGGATGTCGCAAAGGGGGATGACGAGGATGTCTCATCGCCATCGACACTGCTACTGTCGCCTCCATCATCAATGGGATTCCCACGAAGGTACAAGGCCTTGAGAGACGGCGTATGTTCCTCGTTGTCATCCATATCATTCCTATTCTTTGGAATCAAATTGTCCAATATCAATTGTGGGTTCCAATGGTGAACGCCAAACCCCAGCTGTTGCAAGGACAGGTTCAAGCTTTCTAGCTTGCAATGTGGGGATGTCATCCAGTGTCCCAACGCTCGAAAGGTGGCATGATGACATCGATTCTTGCCTAGATCCAAATATTTCAATGGGTGCTTGTATCGATGCAATGCCTTTACCAAGGTGGCGACCTCGTCGTCCCCCAGACGACAGGAAAACAAATTCAGACGTTGCAAGCAGGAACAATCTTCTGTTTTGGTACGCATAGTCTCATTGCTGTCATTCGTTCTGGAACGAACTTTCAATTCCTTGGCCATTCGGTTGACTGTATCCGGCAGAAAGTTACAATTGGACAAGCTTAGTGTATGTATGGCGGTCGTTTGCATAGTGGTATTGGAGGTTGACAAAATTGAGGCGTGCCCGTAAATGCCACGAAGTATCAATTGAATGGTGAACTGTGACAAGGCGGATCCCCAGATTTCAAGCCTTCCAATGTTGGGAACTTTTTTGGTTGGTTCAGTATCATCATCAGCAGTCGGGAATTGACCGAATGAGGATTGCTGAAGAGCCATGGCCACATCGTTGTCAACGACCGAAACAAGAGTCAATGTCTCAATAGGTGACACCACAGAAGCTTGAAGAATCCAACGAATCAACATGGGTGTAAAAGTTCCCATACACTTTCGAACTTCAACCGCCGACCATCGTTTGCCGCAATCTTGATGCTGTGGTCCACCCAAGAACAACTCGTGCAAGGCATTCCGAATGTCGTCGTTTTCCAGATCGAGCCAATCAATGGCGAGAGTATCAATATCTTCCTTCTGATTCGGACCTCGATCCAAATAGATTTGAATAGCTTCGGGGCTATTCAAGATTATGGCATTACCAGTCATGATTGGAATCTTCAAAAGGAGACCGAAAGGCTATATACTGAAGTGGCATGATGATGAAAGATGCGATCGAAAAGTTCGAAATTGCCATTCACGACTCTTTTGACCGCACTACACGTACTCGGAAGCGTGCGCGAAAGATCGTGCGACAACATAGATCTTCATTTTCCGAACCAAATTCATCACCATCTGCCTGCGATGTCGTCATGAACAATATAAAACCTCGACCGCACAATAAAACACAAAGAGTCGTTATCCATATTTCCTTCTATCGCCCGTACCTATTGTATCCGAACCAGCTAAACTAAATCCAATCAACCATGGGAACCAAACAACGCAAAAATGCCAAAAAGGATGCCACAACCGAGCCTGCCGACAAGGCAGGAGAAGTGAAACCCGATGTCGGTGAACAACTCGATCGAGCGCTAGAGGCGCTCATGAGCGGCAAAAGGGGTATGATCACGTTATACGTACAATGGAGACAGCAACTATTGCGAATGGGATATCTCGTCATGTTGGCCATTATGCACCAATTGCAAAAACCGACAACCCTGTGTCTGAAGGAAATCAAGGTATGTCCTCAGGGAGCTATCCCAATAAATGATTCATGCATTTCCTGGACATATTAGCTCACCTACTGTACTCATCATCCCACTTCAGGAATGGAATGAAATTCGAAAGAATAGCTCGGAAGAACCCTACAGTGGATTACAGGCAACGTTCATGGTCCTGGAAGATTCCATTGTCGAAATCCTCGGTCTCATTTGTGGGATTTGCTTGATTCTTTGTTTGCAGTCGCCAGTATTGAATTTCAAGGATTTTTCAACCATTTACTTTCGCATTTCGTGTCTCGGTATTCCAGTCATTGTCTATCTTTACCATTACGAAAAGCAGTACTTGGGGTGTCTCGACGATCAGGATTATGACGCACTCGTCCAGTCTCGACGACAAGCAGCCGAAATGGATGGTGGTGATGGTATCGATCCAGCCGAAAAGGAAAAGCGAGGATTTCCAATTATTCTCATTTATCATGTGATAACTACCTTGGCCTTGTACTTTATGAAATACCAATCAGAGAAGACGGATAAGAACATTTTCGAGTTGCTGCATCTGAAAGATGAGTTGACGGAAGCAAGGAAGGGTTCGAAGAAGGGAAACTAGTTTGTTCTAGTAATGCATAGTGGAAACCAAGTGGACGCCTCACTTTGGTGCATTGACTCTTTGGTCTTGGTATCGTTATTCGAAGCACCAGAATGAATCCAAGATATGTCCATCAGCGAACCGATTTGTGCGATTCATTCACATGCATTCATGCATTCATGCAATCATACAGCAGTTTGACGAAATCACGTAAACGCCACCCAACCTATGCAATCTTCCGGCTTCGCCCGAGTTCGAAATGAAAGATCGTCAGAATGAGAATCTTCATAAAACGATACCTTTGAAAATAGATTCATTTCTAGTTTATATCACAACTATTTTACAGATACGAGTCTTATTCCATCGACAAACGCTGTACATCAATGTCTCTGTACTATCAATGAACGACTCAACATTCCTTTGTGTTCTCACTCTGATCGAGCGGTATCTGCTGCTCTGCCGATGGATCAAAGGCCGACGAAATCTGTTCGGGAAGGTCAGCGAGGGCGCTCTTGTTATGCAGTACTGAGGATGGTCGTGTGCCAGGGTCCGAATTGGCCTCCAACTGCGAGGAACCGGGAGTAAAGTCCATGCCGCTATTGGGAGCATTGCGTCCAAAGAAATCACCACTTGCCCAAGCCCCTGTAGGTGCATTTTTACTCCTCATGATCTTGGGGACAAAAATTAGCAACAGTACCGAAAGACAGACCACGGAAACAATGGCAGTAAGGACAAAAAACTCGGCAGGAGGGTTGTCATTGACCAAAAACACCAATGGCGTTCCGACCAAAAATATTTGCAAGATACCGAGCATGGCAATTCCAACATGGGCGCTTTCATTGAAATCTGTCTTGATCTGTCGGGCCTTGTACGCCTGTAAGTTGGCCAACAAGAGAGCAGAGAAATCAACAGCTGCAACCGAGAACGCCATGGCACTAGAAACGCCAGTTCTTCCCAAACGGCAGGAGCCGAAAGACGTTGACTCATCGAGTCCGCATCGCTGCTCTCGGTCGTAATACATGGGGTCCACCAAAGTCCAGACAAGCATGAAGATAACATTCAAGCAAAGCAACATGCCGAAAGGGATAATCACATCGAGTTCCCTAATGGTCACTCTTCGAAATCGTGCAGCACTTTCCACAAGTTTGTTCAGGCGCCACACTTTGCTGAAGAGTGCGGCAAAGACCACAGTGAATCCCTGGTGGTATTTTGAAGGTGACAGATGAGATCATTTCTCTTCAAAATCTCACATGCAAAACGCAAGCTGCATTCTTTCCTCTTTACTTACCAGTGTGAACAGCCATGGAGCTGCCATACACGCTTTGTCGCATCCTGGGCATTCACAATCGACACACCCTCCCTCTTCATGGAGAACCCCGTCATCCAAACTGAGGGGGATGATAGTGGTGGCAAGAATTGTGGTACCCATACAGATAGTGATGAGGAAGATTGGCTGCGAAGCGCGAACGATCTGCACCCTTTGATTTTTCACCGTCCAAGCAATAAGTGCCAAAGATAGCGCGATAAGGATGCATGCAAAAGCAAGTCCAAATGGCCGCACTTGGTCCAATTGGTTTTTGTTATAAAAGACGGCTTCCGGACAAACATCAAACTTGGCCGCTTTGCATGCTTGAAGTTCAGCCGATGGAGCCTCGTAGATGAACTGAGGTCCACTCTCGAGCAACTGTGTAAACAAGCTTTGCTTCGTGTGCGCATACCAAGCCAGCAATCTCACAGCCAGGTATCCTTGAAGATACGGTTGTTGATCCACGGCAAACAAAATTCTTCCCTCGTCAACGTACTGAAGGACCTTCTCTCCAGAATCAAAGGCACCAATGAGGAGTTTCGGATGTTGATCCTGGAGTAACACGGAACCTTCCGCGAAAGGGTCCGAAACTAGCAAGAGACCAATTCCTTCCCAGTCACCTTCTTCCGGAATAAAGTCATGGACGATCTTTTGGTACAAAAGCACATTATCATGATAGGTTTGTCCTTCCGGTGGGTAAATCACTCCTTCATAAGTAATGTCCAACCCGGAATCCGCAATCGCATCTCGTAGTCCGAAACACCGATCATCCAAATCGTTTGATAGATGCCATTGGACACAATACCCCCGTTTCATCCCAGCTTCAATCATCTTTTGGGAGGCCGCATAGGCGCTATTGTAGTGAGACATTGTGATGGCATGTTGATGCGACTCTTCCACTGCACTGGAAACCGAAACGAAGGGTACCTCAAGGCTGCTACACAAGTCCAATACTTCATCGAACGGGACAGCGCTTCCAAAGACACCATCTACTCCGGACTGGCAAAGCGACTGCCATGGAACAACAACACAATGAAGTCAGGAACATTTGTCTATCTCTCCATACGAAAGAATGAATGAATCAATCAGATCATTACGTACCACGTATTTTTGTCCAATTTTATCAAATTCTGACTCGGTCGCATCTAGACGTTCCAGTTCATCCAAGATGAGGTCAATCCCGCCATCATTCGCCGCATGTCGTGCGGCTTCCCAAATGACTCCCCAATGTGAAGGGGTTGATTCTGGGTGCGGAGTCGACCCGCCAATTCGAATGTTGGAACGATCCCGACACGGGCACCTGCCTTGCGGATTTGGGGAAGTCCCGTCGTTATTACAAACGGGAAAGCCCTCGGACTCGCAGATCTGCTGGCTATCCGACGGCAAATTTTGTAACTTGACAACTTTGGGACCGCTCAAATAGGTGCCATGCCTATTTTCACCGGACGGAAAATACAATTGGAATCCAGTTGTGGCATAAATGGCGGCCAAAGTGACGGTTGCCGCCCCTTGTAAATACTGCTGCTGCGAAACTGCAAAGGCGACTTTGCCCAAGGCAATTGCATCGTATACTTTTGAATCCACATCGAAAATCCCCGATTTCTGCGCAACAAAGCTACATTCATTCTTGTAGTAGGCCGAAGTAAGTAATTCCAATTTCTGTAGTGGAGCTAAAACCCCATCGGTATAGGGACAGCCTTCCAGAGCTTGGGCAATGGCCTTTTCGTGGCTACTTTCCTGAACAGGATCAAGAATAAGTTGGTCGACTACTACATGTTCTTCTCCGAATGCAGCTTGTAAAGTGTCACGGAATCCTCGGTATCGATCGTCCACACCCGAATTGCCATGCTCGTGATTGATAAAGAGGGCACGATGAGGAGTGGTACTTGTTGTAATATTCGTAGAGTTATTGTTGAAGATCATTGTTGTAGGGCTACCCGTCTCATTCCATGCGGGATAGTAAAGTTTCAAAAACTGTCGAGCGGCTTCTTGGCCTGCTAAGAAATCATCTTGAGCAATATGGCACTGTAGATTCATGTCTTTGGCAATCTGATAACCACTGTTCATACCAAATACGGGAATATCGGTCTTCTGAATCAATTCCTCTACTGCTTCACGAACTTCGTCCGACGGAATCGTGACAATCAAAGCGTTCGGAGTTCGTTCATTAATATTTGGCGCTACGTCACTTGTGGGGATCAAGCTCCTTATCGATGCAGCCATCTGAGCCGGATCATAGGCATCTACCAAGTTATCCATCCTAAAGTCGACTCGCATATCCCTGGCAGCTTGATGCATGGCCGCCGACGTCTGAACCCAGTAATCATCACTAGCTTCACCATGAACAATGGCACGGATATGATAATCGGTGCGCTTAATGCAGGGATCGCAATTCCAATCTGGAGTGGCAGCAACAGCAGCAGCTGAAATGACACCAAGGAATACACCGAGCCAAAGTAACGTTACAGATGAAACCGATGATGATCTCATCCTTCCTGACTGCCGACGAGGTCAGATACTTCAAGGAGAAGATGACTGTTGTACATTCAACAACATGCAGATGATATAGTCACTTCTTCAATGATGTGAAAAAGAATCCAAAAAAGCTGACGAGGAAGTTCCAGATCATTTTCAGCAGTTTTACGTGATTGTCAGTCTTGTTGAATGTCAGGACGACGTCCGGTACTTACACGATACTTACACGGTACTTACACGGTATTCGTTCCGAGTCCGCCTGCGTTGAAGATTAGAACTCGACATTAGCATGCAAGCCGGGAGAGTTAGCAGTGTGCACTATCCTGGAACATTTGTTTTGCGAAAAGAAGAGTACCGGTATAATATGAAACATACAGTGTAGAATCATATGCCACCATGTCTTCGTTTTTCGTAGCAGCTCTATTTTTTCATCGCCATTTCTTGGCCAAGCCGGAGATTGATTCGGCCGCATTGGTCTCCTCAGTCTGAATGAATGAATCATTATGTATTGTGTGGTCTCAGAAAGAAGTCTGTGTCTAGTGGGCAATGTAAGGTGTACTCGCTACTGATTGGTATTCCATCTCGTAAATAATAGGCTTCGAGTTGAAGACATGGGCACATCCAAATTGTTGTGAAGCCCAACATCAAGAATGTATCGACTCACTCATGCTGCTCCATGATGGTGGACAACTTCCCAAAGTATAGTACCTACAGTAGACTACCAAAATAAATATAAAAGCTGAATTATCTTCCGTGCGGTACTCTTATCTTTCAGAATGTCAGCCGATTTCTAGAAGAAAAAGATGCTTGTCCGATTCATCGGTCGTCTGGATACCAGAACTCCACTTGGTCACATCACAAATTGTGGCCGACATCCACACCAGGACTCACTCGATCAATTGTATCCTCTGATTGTCCTAGACTCCAGTGTATTATCCGAGAAGCAAACTGTTGCATTCTTTGGTTTTCAGTGACGCTGGATCGTTCATCTCGTTTACAATCTGTCGTCGCCATGTATGTTTGTACTGCAGATGATTCCATCCCCGTCGTGTCCTCCAAATTTGAAAACAACATCATTCATCATTATCATCATCCATAACTTTATTGAAAATGCGATCTGGTAGTACCCAACCCACTAAATACAGATGGTGGTTGGAAAAAGGTGAACCAACCATAACCAACCGTCAAAGCAATCATGGCCAAAATCTTGAGTGTTCCAAAGAATTTACCCGACAAGACTCCTGAATTTTGAATGTGCTCGAGCATCAGTGATATTGTGGACAATAAGAAACACACAAAGTAGGCCTGGACAAAGGCTCGCTTAATTTCACCATCATGAATCTTACGTGCCCGCCAAATCATTAATCCTTGTGCCAAAATGAGAGAACAGTAGGGTCGCAAAATAGCTCGAGCCACTGCATATTCGCGATTATTTTCCGTCAAGAAGAAAACCCCTGCCATTCTCGGAAAGAGATACCCCAAGATACCAATCACAATTGAGAATCCAGCATGAACAGTAAACAAAGTATTGAGCCGCTGCTTCGGTGAAAAGTAGGAAGCGCTCGAACCAAAGCTACTGGGTTGGGGACTGTAAGGGCTGTAGGCGTACTGCGGATTGTACGAGTAGCTCATTGTTATTTGGATGTTGTTTGCCTACGTTGGGAAGTTTCAATGACAGACGCAAGTGCAAGGATGTGGATGGATCGATTGATGTGTTGATATACAGTATGAGGACCGTTGGGATGAGTTGGGAATGAATGACATGCGACATGACACGTCAGCATGCTATGTGACATCTGGGTGACACCTCTCGTGCGAAAATATTCATTCTTCTGGTTCGGTTGGAGTAGAATTCCAACGCACGGTCACTTCAACCTTTCTGCAAACTTCCACCTTCAACAATCAATAGTTAAAGGTGGTCGTAGTGTCATGGAAGAAGATCTCTTACAAACCCTCGACAAAGTCGAAGCCATGATCGACGGCATCGACGAAGACTCGGAGATCATTGATGGTCCAGCAGATCTGTCGCTTGGATCTGATGATATGGATGACTCTGAATTTCTCAACGAATACAAATCAACCTTCAACTTTATTGATTCTGAGCTAGATGCACTTCGCTCCAGCATGGATGATGTTAATATGTCCTCATCAGCTAATCAAGGTGATAAGAAGGATGATGCGGATGATAGCAGTTATTCATCATCGTCAGATCGTTCCCCCTTTCAAATGCCAACCATTGATGAGATGTCCCTCAATATGGGATTGGAATCATCAGAAATCGAGAAGTCGCAGCGAGAGGAAGAATTGGAAATAGAAACCAAGAAGATGGAAACGGATAAAGAATTTGAAATGGAACAAGAGATAGAAGAGAAGTCTGAACAAGTTGCTGAAGTGGAAACCGCCAAGGATTACGAAACTCAAGAGAAGTCCGCTGTTGAAGCCACGATTGCTGGCACTTCTCAAAGTTCAGTGGAACTAGAACCAATCAAGCAGTCCTCAGAAGAGTCCTCTGCCAATATGCAGACCATGCTTAAAAAAGAACCTCAAGTCAACTTTGAAGCCCGTCCTCAAGTTCCGCCTTTGGATCAAACCAAGAACAAGCCTTCACAGCACTCTTTCCACTTGCTCACGACTCTGATTTCCATTGCCTTGGCCTTTTTGACGGGCCAGAGGTTTCCCAAGCAAGATCTTGGTTGCTATTCTCCTGCAATGGAGGTTCCGGATATGGACGTGCTACTGCAACCTCCTCGAGACTTTCAAGCCTTTGATTTGAACACCCTAAACAGCCACAATAATTTCCTTCCAGAGGCAGTCGAGAGCCTCTCTTTTGGCGATAAAGCCGGCCACGCGGCAGCCATACACGAAGCATTAGAAGAGCATATGGTGGACTCGGAAAATTACCACTTATCTACTGTCCCCGAAATCAAGACCGAAGAGGCCTTTTACGAGGATATTGAATTATATTTCGAGGACACTGGGGATGTGAACATTGCATTGGAAGACACCTACTTCGAGTTTGGGGAAGAGTTTGGGAAAATTAGTTCCACCGATTGGGCCACTCCTAAGCTATTGGAAATGATGGAATCCCAAGGCATGGAGACTGTCTATGTAATATATGAAGAGCCATATGCCGACCAGAGCATTAATCTTCATTTTGGTGTTGCTGAATACGATGGGCTATTCATTTCAATGGAAATGATGCATTTTATTGAGCCCCTATGTCTATTGTAGACAACATCCCTACATACTACCAACTACCTTTTGAGGTCACGTCGTTGTGTGACCTTGTTCTGAATCCGTGTTAATATTCCAAATAGATGTATACATATGCTAGGATAGCTAATGAGTTTTTCAATGTATTATTCCTTACTCATGGTAGAACCAACACATCACATAGAAGATACGCTAGTGGTACAATCTAATCTTTTAGTAGTTCTACTCTACACAGTGGGCACTTATCATTCTTCTTCAGCCACTCATTTATGCATCCGTCGTGAAACACATGGTTGCATTCCGTTGTGATTGGAGCACAGATGGTTTCTCCGACAGCATAACACTCCAGGCATATACAACATTCATCCTTTGTGGATGGCTTTCTCCAACTAGATAGACCTTGAGACAAAGAGCCTTGCCTTTCTCTGATTACTGATGCCACTTCATCATGTGAAGCAGATGGGTGCTCGACGTCAAACTTGGGTGCCAAACTCCTTACACTATTTGCAGTGATGTTGGATTTGTCTGGCAAGACGGTTTGAAAATAAAACTTTGCGACAAACTTCTCGTAACGGGCATGTTTTTGTACCTCCTCTGTCAACCCTTGACTACTTGCATTGTTGTCACGCAGCTGTTGTCGTCTCATCGCCATGGTTTGTTGAACTTCTTGGAGTCGAGAAGATTGGCGTCTTCGGCTCTCGCAAGCGCACAGAATACAAATTCCAATGCCTCCAATGAAACCGAGAATTGCTTCAGTCATGGGAAGACTGTTTTGACTTTTGTCTTCTTCATCGCAGTCAAAAAGATCTTTCCAAGCATCACTCCATTGGCACACGGTAGAGTTATCAAAAGCAGCAGCTCCCTCAAACATTCTCCCCGCATTAGCCAATCTCGAAATATCCCAGGACGACAAGTCTTGATTGAAGGAAGATGCATCTTTGAACATTGCATCCGTCCTGAAGACAGAAGAAACGTCCCACAACGACAAGTCTTGATTGAAGGATGATGCGTCGCGGAACATTTCTTTCATAATTGTGACAGTAGAAACATCCCATGATGACAAATCTTGGTTGAAGGTTGATGCATCGCGGAACATACTGGACATAGAAGTGACAGAAGAAACATTCCACGATGACAAGTCTTGGTTGAAGGATGATGCATTGCGGAACATTTCTTCCGTGGTGGTGACAGAAGAAACATTCCATGATGACAAGTCTTGGTTGAAGGATGATGCATCGCGGAACATACTCGACATGGAATGTACAGCAGAAACGTCCCATGATGACAAATCTTGGTTAAAGGATGATGCATCGCAAAACATAGCATCCATAAAAACGACAGAAGAAACATCCCACGGTGACAAGTCTTGGTTGAAGGACGATGCATCGCGAAACATCCAAGTCATGAAGGTGACAGCAGAAACATCCCACGATGACAAGTCTTGGTTGAAGGATGATGCATTGCGGAACATTTCTGCCGTGGTAGTAACAGAAGAAACATTCCATGATGACAAGTCTTGGTTGAAGGATGATGCACCGCAGAACGTGCCAATCATCATGGTCACAGAAGAAACATCCCATCCTGACAAGTCTTGATTGAACACAGATGCTTGCTCGAACATTCTATTTGTGACACTGACACCAGAAACGTCCCATAATGAAATGTCATCGTTGAAGGATCTTTCATTGTAGAACAAATAAGTCATATCTGTTACGGAAGAAACACACCATGACCCCATAGGCCATCCGTACTTTTGCACGATGGTGTTGTTGCAATTTTTGTTGTCATTACAACCGTCATCAATAAACTGCTTTACAGCACTTCGTAGTTCGTCACCCTCACTGAAGCAAGCACATCCATTATCATTGACTCGTTGCGTGATTGAAGAAGGCTGCTGCGCCAAAACATTGTCGTTGGAACAATTGAATGCGCTCGAAGAAGATACGCTTGTGATAAAGGACATCAGCAAAAGCCACCTGAGGTGATTCGAAAAGACGAGGAACGGAAATCGAACCATTTTGTCTCTGTAAGCGATTGCTTTGAATCGTTGGATCTGCAATTAAAAAATCAATGTAGGGATCCTTCAGCATCCATATTGTATGAGACAAGTGCGATGATAGTGCCGGTCGGTACAGCAGTGTGTACTGTATGAAGATGATGATGACGCATATTCTTTGAGTCCTGTCAATTTTGAGTTTGTACATAATTAGTTCCTCTTGCCGACATTTGTCCAAATCAGTATCGCTGTCCCCATTGTACCGGTACGCAACATACTACAATACCCCATACCTTTGGCGATCACGTCGTTGTGTGACCTTCTCCTGAATGCGTATTATATTCCATATAGATGTATACATATGCTAGCTCATAAGGTTTCAGTGTATTATTCCTCACTCTTGGTAGAAGGCCAACTGGTTTTTCACACAGAAAACACGTTACAGTGGCAGGAGAATCTAATTGCGCTTTCGCCGCAATACATACGCTCTTTCCAAGTATCACTCCAGTTGCACACTGTAGAGTTATCGAAAGCAGCAGCCCCTTCAAACATTATGAGCCAACACATTGTTGTTGGAAGAACTGAAGACGCTCAAAGATGATGCGCTTGCAAACGACATCAGCAAAGAACAGCCAATAGTCGAAAAGAATTGGAACGGAACTGGGACCATTTTAACTATGTAAGCGAGGGTTTTGAATAGATGGAAACGCAATGAAACTTCTGTGTAGGTGCTACTCCGGCATTCATATCGTTGTAATGCAATGATATTATTGTGAAGAAGCCGCGTAGTCTTTTGGTCTCAGTTTTAAAACTGCACAGTTTTAAAATTGTGTGTCACAGTCCTGATCTGCTGTATGCAAGATAATGTATTTAGATCAAGAACGCATCATCACATTGTAGCGCGTGTGGACCTCTTGCGTACATACATGTTTAGTTCCTCTTTGCCGACTAATCTGTCTAAAAAAACCGTTGCTATCGAAAAAATTTGAATTCCATGCAACCAAGACACTCCACACAAAATACCATCATTCACTGCCAACAACAGCAGCACGGTCAAAATCTCAAGGATGGTCTTCAATCTCTCATCGAAGGCTGCATGCCTTTTGCTTTTGCTCGGGACAAACTGGGACCAGCATGTTGTTCGAGGATCTATGGTTTCCGATATGTTCAGGTAAGAAGCTATCTCCTTGTTGTTGTCTCGTCATGATTTGCCCAATCGTCGGCGATTAGCTTGCTTTGTCACTGGATTCCATCTCTGACGCACGCACCTTGTATTCAAAAAACTTAGTGATCCTGAAATCAATACTCAGGAATGGGTCCTGCAGATGATCAACGTAGCACCTGTTTGGGAGCAAGGTATTTTCGGTAATGGAGTTCGAGTTCGTGTCAATGATTATGGTATCGATGCTGGGCACGAGGAGTTTCAGGGTCGTTTTGACGCAGATGCTTCCTGTGCACTACACGAAGCTAGCTTTAACCCAGAAATTGATGGTGTTGACCAACATGGAACGATTGTCGCTTCGATCATTGGTGCTGGTGGGAACAACAATCAATGTGGTACAGGAATTGCACCACAGGTGACACTTTCTTCGTGTATTGCCGCAGGAGAGAACCCTGATAACACTGTGTACGATAATACTTGGATAAGCCACAAGGTGGATCAAATGGATGTCTCGCAGAACGCGTATGGTTTCCGCCATTGCAGAAGAGGAGGCCTCTCCTCATCGAACGGTGAATTTGTAAACACTGGAACGTGTCCTTTCAAGTTCCGACCCGGAATGACCATCATTGGAGGAGCAGCACAGAACTACACTCATCCGTGTGATATTTGCGAATTTCCTTCGGATTTCTTGAGCTTTGAATGTCGCAGAGCCATTTCTCGTCACTGTTACTACCATTTTGATGGCGAAGTGGAAGTCTGCTCAGAGCTTCTTTCCGGACTCACGCAGGGAGGACAGTGCACATTCTTGGACCAATTGGACGACATGGAGGCGGCGTTCGACGTTGGTGCGCAACAAGGCCGAGATGGCAAGGGTATTGTGTACGTTTTCTCTGCAGGAAACGACTTCATGCACGGTGGTGACACTAACTATGCTGGACGATACCAATCACGATACGTGATTTATGCCGGAGCCGTTGGCCCAGATGGCAAGCATGCCAAATACTCCCGTGGAGGTGCATCTCTATTTGTAACTGCCCCAGCGGGAGATATCGAGACAAACTTTACCTATTCCGTAGCCATGGGCGATGGTGGATGCCAGACTGGTCTCTCTGGGACATCTACTTCATCTGCAGTTGTCTCTGGTGTAGTTGCATTGATCCTTGAAGCAAATCCTGATCTGACTTGGCGTGATGTTCAAGGCGTTCTTGCCAGAACCTCCAAACCAGTTGTGCAAACGAACCTGATTGAGAAGACCGAGACGTTTAACGGTGCCGGCTTGTACCATTCAAACCTCCATGGATTCGGTATTGTTGATGCCGCGGCAGCGGTTTCAAGAGCACAGAACTGGGTTCCTTTCGGTCCAGAGCTACAACTTACTGCAATCTCAGACGCTTTTGAACTGGTTATTGGGGACGACCCAAATAGCCCGCTTGTTACTGAAGTGGAGATTCAATCGACGGGAACTCCTACTATCGTTGAGAATGTTGTTGTATCGATATGGATGAAGCACTTATCCAGAGGGCACCTCGAAATCAAGTTGATCTCTCCGGATGGAACTGAATCCATTTTGGCTCCAGGCTTGAGACCAGAGAACAGCCAAGGTAACGATATCGAGCCATGGGTTCTTCGAACTGTAAGATCATGGGGAGAGAAAGCCGAGGGAACTTGGAAGCTGTCCGTTGCCGATCTAGTTGAAGGCGATGTCAACCAATGTGTTGACTATGGTGACTGGACGATGGATGGTCTTGGGTTGACCTTTGATTGTGCGTATCTTGAGTACTTCCCTACCTTTTACGACGAAGCCTTTCAACAGTTCTTGGTGGACTTGTTTGAGGGAGGTACAGTTGCCGGTTGCTGTGCCTGCGGTGGTGGTGTGACTACCGATGGTGCTTGCGCTGATGAAGTCGGACTCGAGGCTCAATGTAACATGACAGTAGCCGAAGGCGTGTGCTACGATGGAGGACTGGACAGGTGAGTTAGTTCCATTACGATGAACCATGGGCTTTGTGATGTTTACAAAAGAAGTTCGACAATCTCACGCTTTTCAATTCGTCAGTGCCTACGAATTCTTTGAAGCCAAAAGTCCATCGAACGGCAAATCTGCCCGGGAATCGTGCTGCCTTTTGGGCGGTGGTATTGTACATGAGGATATCAACGCATTCCGTGATGAGCTAATCGGGTGGAAAATCGACGTTTTTGGCCATGAACAGGTCGATACTCCAGCCCCAACCAAGGCCCCAGCTGCAGTGGTACCCACACTTTTCCCCACCGTGTCCACAACAGACTCTCCTGGTGGAGAAACACAATCTCGGGATATTGGTTCCTCCGCACCCTCGTCGTTGTCTCTCGCATTACTGTTCACGATTGTGACTGCTGCTGCTTCACTTGTTCTCTAAAAGATATTGATTTTCATGTTAACACGATACTGCCTCAGAAATGGTAGATGAGCTATCTGACATGCCCAGCTCTATGCAATCACTAGTAGTAGACATATCATGCTATTTATACGGTATCCCTGCAGTTTTTATTTATTCCAAACTTCGCGCTAAACTGGCACATCCGGGTTTCTGACACAATTTCAAAATCATTGCACTATTTCATCATTGCATTGCATTCGTTGAGTAATACACCAACACGACAATGAGTGAGAGAAAGAAGCCAAGACAAGCTACGCTTTTCTCCTTCTTCCGTCAACCATCAAAGGAGAAGAAAGACCAAAGTTTTGCAGAGAAATCAAAGAAGACGCCCTGGAAGAGAAATGAGAAACAAGCGCAGCAACCGAGTGTTACAAGCAATCATGATTATCATGATGCTTCGTCGCCGACCACAACAGATGTTCGAGCACGACCTGTTGTCTCTCCCATTGAGGCAACCATTGACAACGATAATACCATGCGTGATACCAATACTCGAAAGAGACCAAGACCAAAGCCATCCGCCGCCAAACAGTATCGACTAGATGGAGTGCAATCAATTTCGTCGAACCAGCACAGCCCATTCAAGTTAAACGAGTTGGGTCTGACTGGCAACGACAAGCTGAAACAGTCCAAGGATGATAGTTCACAGCAGCAAGATGAGGTTTCTACTGTCACCAATCCGATTCAAAATCAAAGCGAGGAAAACGTGTCCAGCGATGATGATTCCGAAAATGATGAAACGGAAGGAATGTCTGCCTACGAACTCTTGCGCCAACGAAACATTGAACGAAATAATGCCCGCTTGGCAAGTTTGGGGCTGTTAAACTCGGCATCCTTGGAATCAGTGAAGCAACAAACGAAGAAGAAACCCCGTCGAGCCAGGAAAACGCCTAGCACGGCCAAGGCTCCTTGCATACCCACTCGAAGGTCCACACGGTCAAGACGAAATGTATTGGACGCTACAGCAGCTGCCACTGCATGTCTAGACATTGTCACTGAAGAATCATCACACAATGCAGATGACAAAGCGGTGGAACAAGAAGAGGAGGAAACCTATACCGTGTCACCTCTTTTGCAATATGCCATGGGGGTAGAATCATCAACATCTTCATCATCAAGCAAGACAACAACAAATGGAAGCGTCGATTTCCCTAGTAATGATTGTGCTACTACGTCAGTTTTAGATTGTGGTGTCACATCTACTACAACAAACACTACCACTATTGTTGGAACAGACTGCTCATCATCATCTCTTCACCCCATGGGTCCAAGATTGGTTCCACCCACGGGTCTGAAAGCCATTTATTCGCTCGACTTTTCGGAACCCTTTCACAGCCATCATCCTACGTGGCTGGTGGGTGCTGGAAAAGCAGGAATTGTTGCCCTTTGGGACTGCAATGGTAATGATAATGGAGGTTGGTCTTCCACTAGGGCACACAACAACGAAATGGGCCAAGAAGAAACAGAATGCATTGACCCAGCTCTTACATGGAAGGCACACAATGGGCGCTGGATTGCTGAAGCTCGGTTCTTGCCGTCCATGGCATCATCTTTGACGAGTCCCTCTCGACTTGTCACTGCCGCCAATGATGGCAAGCTTTGTCTGTGGGATTTGTCAACGGTATCCGTTCGGTCGGGAGCACCCAAATTGTTGAGTCAATCGGGTGCCGATTTGCACACGAGCGGCATTTTTGCCATGGATGTAGCAACATGGTCATCATCGTCCAGTGATGAAATAATGATCGCAACGGGATCCAAAGACAAGTCCGTGGCGCTTTCGGTCCTTGGAGGAGGAGCATCCAACAATGACTTTCGGCCCATTTGGAAATCCAACGTTCCTACGGCCAAAGTAGGTGCAGTGAGACTCCATCCCACTCGCAGTTCCATTCTGGCGTCGGCATCCGATGACGACTTGGTATCTGTTCACGACTACAAATGTGGGGAACAGAATGGATTGGTCGTCCAACTGGAAAATGCACACCATCGACCCCATTCGGTGGTCTGGGATCCACAACATTCCGACCTGTTAATGACAGCTGGGCTGGACAAGGAAATTAAGATTTGGGACATTCGTTCCACCAAAGAACCAATCGTTGTGCTGCATGGTCATGTTCCAGAGAATACACCGAGGTGCAAGCGGATTCATCATCCAACCTTTTATTATCCTGAGAGAAGAAGAAGAGATGACGGCGCCAGCTCGTTTGTTTTGTCGGGTGGAGAGCGCAGTCAGGCTCTGTCCATGTTTCATCACGATGTGCCTGCCAAAGAAGACAAAAGGGAAATCTCTTCTAGAATGTTGTATTCGAGAGGAAAGTTGCCGGTTGATTGTGGTGATGCCGGTTGCATTGCTGTGAATGACAACAAGGTTGCCGTTTCGGTTGACGGCGGTGAAATCTTGATTCTTTCTCCAATCTATCACGACGACAAGAAGCAATGAAAAATAGGAGTTAGTTTTCAATCATTCAATCTGTCGATACGATTGACTGCAAAATTCAGATAAGAAGAGGTTGCAGATGTTATGATGAATGATTGATTCGTATCAATAGCTCACAGCCGCCATCTGTTGACACAAAAGTTTAAAAATGCACTATTAGAAATACTGTTACCAGCAGCCCTGCAAATTTCAAATAAAAAAAAGAACTCATCACTCTTGTTTCGTACTATACTGTACCCGGTAGCAACAGATGGTGATGGGATCTCATTCGGACGAGTTCACGGTACCTAAACCTCCATCTGTTGATGCAAGTTTGAATTTGTTTTTTAGTAGAAATACTGATGGTTCGTTCGTCAGTTTTTCTGTTCTAAAAACTGAAAGCCAGATGGCCATCTGGCCGAAACGTACTTCCACTTTGTGTTGAGGGAGCAGATGGACATGGGAGTTGCATTACGTAGTCACTCAAAAAATTGCACTTATCGACGCACACGGCTTACTGCAACTTTGTACGTGTCACTTTCTCCAAACGAACATCTGTTTGCAATGATTAAAAAACCTGACAGATGGTTAGTTTCCATGTTCTGGACTCATCTACGATTTTAGACGGATTCGGCTTTCCGAGACATCTGTCTGTCCCCGAAAAGAGAAGCAAAGGCTGCAACGACCCATCACCCATATCATCAACTGATTCAATCGCCTTATCAAGACTTATCTTCATTGATGACATAAAACACGAATAAGTACAAGTACACAAATACAATTCAAAGAAACAATATATTTCAATCATCACTTGATTACAGTAATCTTAAGAACGAAGCAACGAAACTAACGACAAACCGAATGCAACAAGAAAGAATAATAGAAACCAAAACTGCATCTGATCAAATGGACTTCTCTGGATGGAATTCTGACATGGAGTCGTCGCTCTTAGATAGAGCTGGCAATGACAATAACTGGGATGAAACGATGAATGAATGGACCGAGCTGACAACATTTCCCACAGGTTCTTATGAGACGGAAGCAAAAGCGATCGCAGGAGTTGCAAAGGACAATGCGGGAGGAAGCGGCATTTCGGAAAACGAAAGTCTGTCGCTTCCATCGTCAACAACTACGAGGGACGGAGTTGCTTCAGTGTCAGAGTCGTCCGACCGATCGTCATTGGGACCGAAGCACACAGGCGTAACAGCTCGGTCCATTGCATCAGGGCTGCATCCTCAGGCAATACAATCATCAGCCATGTGCCCACCTCACAGCAAAATCCTTCCTCCAAGTTACGAACATATATATCCAGCACCTATGCAGCAACAAAACCAAGCAGCCAGCAACATTTACGAGCTCAACCTGAGACGAGTTGCCGCGGCCGCTTCCGCAGGACCCCCACCACCACCTGCACCCATGATGCAAATGCAGCAACAGCAGCAAAGTGGTGATGTTTCTTCTTCTATTGCCTCTTCTGCGCAACAACAATACCAAAACCAAGCCTTGTTATCATCACTTGCCACAAACTTTCGATTGGCGCAACAAACAACAACAACGGGTGCTGCTGCTTCAAACAGCAATGGTCCACCCGCACCGGCACCACGCGCTGCAGCTTCCAACAAGCGAAAATCTAGAGCGCGACAAGGTTCCACTCAGAAGAATTCTCGCTCGGGTTCATCTCAGAAAAATAAGAAACAGCAGAAAGCTCAAGCTCCCCCATTTCTGCTGTTTGATGCTCCATTGGAACTTCGCACCAGCTTTAATCAGAATCAGAGAAGGCTGGGCATGCCAGTGAAGAATGACTGTAATTCCTATCACTATGGGGAATCAGTCAAAGGATTTCATCCACAGCACCTTGGATCGACCGATGGTGGTGCGTTTCCTCATCGAAACAAAGAACTAGAGAAAACAATGGTCCAATTGATTGACGGAAGACATGCACCACAAGCAACTACTGGCCGAATCAAGAACGAGCGGGAACAGAAACGAGCACAAAAGATCACTGTACTGATTGATCAACTTGGAGATATTATGAAGGAAGGGGGCTGGAATGTTGAGACGAAAAGCAAATATCAAACACTATCCTCGTAAGTCCATTGCAAGAATCAGCCTTTCTTGTTTTGTTTCATTACCCATTCAACTAACACCTGTACATGGTATCAACACAGATGTACCGAATACATGAGACATCTCATCAAGACGAAAGGGGATAAGGAAGAAGCTGTCAAGAAGCTAAAAAAGGACTTGGAAATAAAAAAGCAAAGAATGGAGGAAGACAAGACTGCACAGGAAGGAAAATCTGACCTGGAGAGCGTGACTTCCAGTCTGACTTCGTCAACTACCTGGTCCTCCCGAGTGAATTCAAAGACGAGCCAAGGAGGTGCTCTTGCTGCTCACAAAAAGGAGCAAATCTCCAGAAATGATGCGAATCTCTCCATCAGCGAAGACTCGTCTGGATTCTCCAGAACCAATGGAGGGCCTAATCAGGCTTTCTGCATCGACAAGGCAGTCTCGAGTGTGTCCGATCTCACAGACAGCAACCGCGGCTCTTCTTCCAACAATAGTGGAAGCGGTGGTAGTGGTACCAGAACTGGTAGTGGTGCTAGTGGAACTGGGAGCGGCAGTGGGGGTAGCGGAAGTAGAGGAAGTGGAAGTACCGAGCGAGAACCAGCTTTGGGCGGACCGCCAAAAGAAGCTGCTGTTCGGGAAGAAGACGAACGGACGACGAGTAGTATTTCCAGTGACGCTGCCGTTGCCAGTGAAAAGAGTAGTCGGGATCGCCACAGTGAATCCCAACAACACACCCACATGGATGTTGTTTTCAACAACAGCAAAAAGAGAAAGGAAATGAAACCCCCAGAGTCAGGCACTTCAACGGAACGAAGCTTCGAGTTGGACTACGAAGAGGTCTTTGATCAATCCAATATTCCTCAGCTGATTGCCGGAACATCGGGTAAGATTGTGAGCTGGAACCAAAGCTTTGTCAATGCTACTGGTCTGGAAGAATCTGACTTGGAACGAATGACAATCTTTAGTCTCGTTCAGCCGGACAACCTGTCTAGTTTCTTTGAAATTGCGGCAACAGCGCTTCGATCCAACGACGAAGACGATGGTGAACCGTCAAGTGAGGAGGTTGGCAATAAGCAGGGCAGCCAATCTTCCCAGTCACAACAACAAGAGACATCACAAGATGAAAGCCAAACGTCTCAGGCTTCTTCCTCCTCAAAGGAACAAGAGACCCAACGAAAATGGAACTACGATGCATTGACATTACCATGCATTGAATTCCCAGCCATGAAAGAACGAAGAGAATCCAGCAGCAAATGGGAAAATGTTGAGAAACTCAACATGACGGTACGTTGAAACAATATCGAACGCAGGATGCAGACGGCCCCATCTACAATCCAATCTCTAACACATTCGTTCCCCGTTGCTAATTTTTCAGATGATTCTCATTACCGATCCCGATCCACGCAAGCGGTGCTTTCATTGCACCTTTACGGATTGCCCCGGCACCGATGGCACACTGGGCATTGTCACTCCAGATCTCTTGGCGGCACTCTATTCCAATCCAGAAAAGCTGAATTTGGAACAGCATCCTCATTACCGACGCAAACACAAGCGGGCCAAGATCCAAGCCAAAGCTGCGACCAAGCAAAAACTATCTAAGAATACGTAGAGCACACACACACAACACTATAACCACACCCGTGCGTGTTTGCAAGATAAAATTGTAAGAATTGGTTTTCTCTAATTTACAAGTCTTTTATTCCCTAGTATGTATGTGTTTGTGTGTTCCTGTATGCCTGTGTGTACAGCAGCGTACAGCACAGTGCAGTGCAGTATATAATTTGTTGTGATTGCATTGCCCATTGCTTGCTTAGTACTTGTCGGCCTTGGTGGGCCAAAAGGTAGAGCAGATGCATAATAGCATAATCAAAAAGATGGTCAAGAGACCTCCGGCCCAAGTCCAGGCTGCTGTGGTCCACTTGTCTGGATGATCCACAAAGACTGAAACAAGAGGATCGAAAAAGTTCTCCTCGATATTGTCAAACAAACCGGCCGCAGTTTCCATATAGTCGCCGTCGGGCAATAGCGAATCGGAACACCCAGGTGATGTGTCGCTTTCATCAAAGCACACGCATTTTGGCTGAATGGTACCATTGACGGAATTGGAATAGTTACAATATCCTCGTCCGGCGCAATTGAATGGGCAGAATAGATCGGGGCAGGCAGTCGATAGACGAGGACATTTGAGTGTCAATGGCACGGCGCCACCTCCGACTCTGACAGAAAGTTCTTGGAAATCGTTTTCGCAAGTGAGCCATTCGCCTCGGACATTGATCTTTAAGACCATTTCGTCCTTGATACATGCAGTTTGGTAGCATTTTCCGTCACCCCCAGTCGTTCCACCAATATTGTCTGGCAGACTTTCGATGCATTGACTACCCTCACCATAAACCTCACTAAAAAGGATCGATGGAAACAATATCAATGGTGAGATTCAATCCTTGTCACACAACAAACTAGACACGCAAGGTATCAAGCTTACCTGTAGACATTCAAGAGTTCGGCATTTCTTGGATCGGAACAAGACAAGCCTTCTGCATCCAGACCCTTGTAGGTACTGCCCATGACGGGACAATAGTCTGCTTGACGGGGACCACCCTTGGTGGGTTCGTCTGGAAAGTATTGAAAACGGTTCGAGGGTAGGGTTCGTGGCAGAATATAAAAATAGTCCAGCACGGTGCAAGCCATCTTGTGCGTCAAGGCAGGAGAGCAACCAGGCTTGGATTGTTCCGTGCAAAAGTATCCTCTGGCGTACTCTGGAACGGAAACTTGTCCCGTGGCTGGATCGGGTTTTAAGCAAGGCTGTTCCACAAAGTCACAGCCGGCCCCAAGCCCCCATGGATTGGCAGCCCCCATGGTGTAGTTGGCCTTGTACCATCCAGAGTCTTCCATGAGAGCCAATGTCAAAGTACTTAGGATATTGGTAGTAGGAGAAATGACTCCGGACAGAGCTTCTGGATAGTAGTCGTGTTCATCCCAGTGATCCCCTGCACAAGAATCATCTCCAGTAGGCTGATTCTCCAGCTTGGCTCCTTCTAGTGATTGACAATCAAATTGATTTCTTGCCACGGCCTTGACCTTGGGAGTAACAATTGCTGCATATCGTTGCCCATTGTCCGCTTCAAAGAATTTCATAGTGTTGTCGGCTGGAAGAATCAAATCGCGTTCGACATCATCGACACAGGTAACCGTGCGGGAGGCAAAGGGACGAGGAGTGCGTTCCACTCCCGTTTCGGAATCCCAAAAGTATCGGTAGCTGTTGGACGAGTGTCCCAAGACGTGGGCCGTTTCGTGAATCAGCACATCCACATTGTCTTGGACCACAGATGGCGAAGCGGTACCATCGGCATCGACTTCAATTTGATCCAAACAGATATTAATGGCACCCGCAGTCGGTCGATCAAATTGATCAAAGTTGCAGGCAACTGCGACTGCCAAGGTAGTTCCCGAACAGAACCGAGTGGATGGTGTTCCACTGACGTACAAGACCAAATCCGTATTCGACAATCCGGTGGAAATGTGTTCGGCAGGCACTTCGGTAAATTCGGAATCCCCACAAAAGGATCGTCCGTCTAGCTCATTGGTCGAAACCTTCAAATTGCCGTTCACTGGAATCACCGACAAGGCGGCACTCCAAAAGTCTTTCGTTTTGGGAAGAATTTCATTCTCAATAAAGTCAATCTTGGCCGCATTCTCTGCCGTTCGACGATCGTCCAATGCTTGGGTATCAAACCGAATCCGCATCGGCCGAAAGTTTCCTTCAAGCGTGATCGTTTCCACTTCTTGCTCCAATTTGCGGCGCTTCGTTTCGGGATCGTACGGATGGTTTTCATAGGGAACCCTGTGGTTGGGATCTCCTAGCTTGCCCGTCCGGCTGCGTTCGGGGCGTTCCTCCAATTCCCGTCTCGCCTTGCGAACGTGCGCATTCTCGGGCCCATACAAACGTCGAATCACCGATTGTTGTCGTTTCTGGTTCCGCAATTGCGAGGCCGTGGGTTCGTCGGCCGCCGCCACACAGGTGGCTATTAGAAGGAGTGTAGTGGATAAGATAAGTGGTATTAATCTCGTCATGTTGTTGTTGTATTGTAGACTGTACGAGTTGTGTGTAGGATTGTAGTGATTTGTGAATTCAGGAGTTTGTTGTTTCAGGTTTCGAATGTTCCGTTGGATTGAAAGGAAGAAAAGAAACAAGCTTGAATGAAATTCACTGTTTCACTGATTCTACTGTCAAATGGAATTGAACTAGAATGTCAATGAGCTCTTGGATTGCAAGGTTTCAATCTAACGAATGTGATGATTGCAAGGAAGATGGTTGGGATCGTTGGAAGTAAACTTTGCAAACCGGTGTATCGCCCACACTGATTACAGATGAGAGCTGGCCCATTTTATTTTAACCGTCGGATTTGTACAGCGTAGAAGTACTGAGAATTGAGTCGTTTCACACTATTCGGCTCGCGATTTTTGGGCTTTAAATCATTGGAGCACACGAGACACATGCATGTAAACTGTAGGCAGGCTTGGTACTGGAAGCATGCCAAAAAATGGAATCTCATCAGTCGTGTCAATTTGTATGATATGGCGTCTTGCATCAACCATGAATAGCATGTGTGTGACAAACACCAAACCGACCAGATTTTCAAAAGCCATTTCTCTTGATTTAAACATTTATTTGAATGGTCGCGTGATTGAAAATTTTATATAGTAAAAAACGTCATTTGACAAACAACACGTTAATGAACTATCACGCTTTCCATAAGTGATCACGCCACGCTGCCGCGTTTCTATGCAAACATACAAATAATTGAAACCTTCCTCTTCGAAATTCAAGAGCCACAACCGCAAACAACACTTACACCAACAACAATCATGGACCAATCCAACGAGCAGCCAAGGAGCAGAGTGGCTCTCTTGGGGCTTCTCTACTGCCTCTCTACTGCATCAGCGGCACTACCGTTGCAGCATCGCGTCAAGAGCTCGCAACGCCAAGTTTCCTATCAACACACCCTGCAAAATACGCCCCGTTCTTTTTCATGTAGCGAAAGTACTGAATCCTACGTACCTCTCGAATTTACGTTGGAGCAACATCAGGGCGACTGGGTGGCAAGCACAGTGCGACGACCGGCGGAGGCCACACTCGATACTAAAACAAGAACAACAAAACCAACCAAAACAGCAACAACAACAACAACAGCAGGAGGCTACTGGAGGCGCCTGTACGATCAATTTGTAGGCGAAGAAGGCAACAAAGACAGTCCCCAAAACGAAACGGATGTACCATTTCAGGTGGATGTGAATTCTAGCTATGTGAATGAAACGGGAGAAACCAGTGTGTACACTACCACAAACAATGAAACCACTTTCAATACAACTGACTTTCAACCGTTGAGAATGAGAGCCATTCTAGCAGAAGATTCTGATTATTTGAGTCAGGAAGAACGCGAATCCCTCCTTCATGGCATGCTCAGTCCGGCCTTATTAGCGTGGAGCTCGGCCTTGAGAGTAGATCCAGTAGTCGGAAACTTGACTGTAGATTCGTCGCAATTGTCGCCCGGAAACATGTGTGGTCCGGGAGATTCACTGCCTTCGATTGCCGTTCCACTGTCTCATCTTACGGAAGGGATTCCAGACACTGATATCATTGTCTATCTCAGTCTGGGATTTACCTCGCAACGCAACCAGACAAGGATGATAGATTCTTCTCTACGCAACAGTTCCGAAACAGGCGGCTTGGAAAGAGAGGTGCCTTTGGAACAGACTAATGAACCACCGAAAAGAAAGCTGGAACAACAAGGAGAAGAACAGGATGAAATTCTCGAGTTGTTACTCTCCAACAACAACCAAAGCAACTCGTCATCATCATCATCCTTTTCTTGCAATGGTGATTACTTGGCGGCAGCTTCTTACTGTTCTACGGACCAGTACGATCGACCCACTGCCGCATTGTTGCACATTTGCATTGATGATGATTTCTTTTCGGCTTCCAAGCAAAAACGGAATGCCCGCACCATTATGCACGAGCTCGGACACGCCCTTGGATTCAACGCGTTGAGCATGGCGCATTTTCGAAGACCGGATGGGACACCCATTACGCCTCGTGGTCCGAATGGAGACGTTCCCGATACCGAGATTGAATGCACCGGTCCAGGCAGGAACAGAACCTTTGCCAATGTGGCACTTCCTTCGGAAGAAATTCTCAAGTTTCGAGAGGTGCGTGGGGGTGTCCGGGTGGCCCAAGTAGTCACTCCATCGGTATTGCAGGTGGTTCGCAATCACTTTGATTGCCAAGAACTACAAGGTGCCGAACTGGAAAGTGGAGAAGGCTTGCCTCTGGAAATGTTATCCGAAGGATACGGATGTATTGGGGATCACTGGGAACGAAGACTCTACTCTACGGATCTTATGAATCCTGTAGTAGATGAGTATGACTTGTCACCAAGAATCTCTACCTTGACACTGGCCTATTTTGCGGATTCGGGGTGGTATCAAGTCGATTTGAACTATGCTAGGGTAGCTGCAGGATGGGGCAGAGGTTCTGGATGCAGCTTTGTCAACGATACTTGCATTGGAGAGCATGGACAAATCCCTCCCAGGAATGCTCCCTTCTTTTGCAATGAGATTCCATCGCCACAAAAAAGTCGAACAGCGGCCCAGGACATTCACGGGTGCACACCGGATCTTTCCCGCAAAGCGACTTGTTCAATTGGTCAATATGAGCACGAACTGCCTCCACAATTCCAATACTTTAATGACACGTATGGTGCCAATGTGGGTGGTAGCGATCCATTCTTGGATTACTGTCCAGTGTACAATGGATATGCCAATGGATTGTGCTCGGATATTTCCAACGAACGCATCATGAAGTCGAGTAGCCTGGAAACCTTTGGCATTCGAAATTCTCGGTGTTTGATTGGGGATATTGGAGGCAACCAAGACGACAAGCTGGCCTTGTGTTTGCCCATTGCGTGTGTGGTGGAAGATCAAACCTTGAGGATTCAAATTGAAGATCAATGGCAAGAATGTCGCGAAGAAGGTCAAATCATTCGAGCAGGCTTGACCACGATCTTTTGTCCCAACCCGCAACGAATCTGTCCTACCTTTTACTGTCCGTTTGATTGTTTGGGCACTGGCGGAGTTTGCGACTACGACAGTGGCGAGTGCTTGTGCGAATACCCTGGCAAGATCAAGGACAATGAAACCACCACTTATCTGGCCGAGTGTGGAACCGTGAACGAAACGGTTGTGGAAGACAATCCACGTCCCGCACTGCACTTTCCGATTATTCGACCAGGAATCACCATTGATCCACCGCTGGATTCACCTTACATTGATTACTATGTTCCAGACAAGAGTGCTTTGGAAAAGAAACGTCCAAAATCTCGCTGGGCCATTTATGTCAGTGTTGGTATCGGAGGTGTGGCTGTTTTGCTTGTGGGTTTCCTCCTTGCCTCTATTAGAAGTGCGGGCGATGAAGGAGATGACATTCCATCACCTGTAAATCGGAACAAGGACAAGATGGTTGCCACTGTTTTGGTGGATCTACGTATGCGCGGAGAACAAGTCAGCAATGAGAGCCTGGCCGACACGGATGAACAGTTGACCGATTCGGTTGCTTCTGGAATCCCCAGCGATGCCTTGTCGGATATCAGTCGGTACAGTCAAGCCTTGTCGGATTTGGATAGCAGCGGCGAAATGATTCCACCGACACCACCGCGTGGTACTTCTGTTGGACGACAAAAAGAGCAACAACAAGACGAAGAACGTCAGGATGCTCACGTCATTCGAAGACGCAGAATTGCCTATGCCTAGAAGAAGAACCATGGGCTTGTTATACACAAGTTAAAAGCGCTGAACAAATTAGAATTGTATATTAAAATAAATACTGTTGCATAGTAATTCAACGTCACCCCTCCCTCTACTGTACCTCGAGCACCTTTTCTGGATGGATGCCACGTCACAGCACGGTACGACTTCTACGAGCGGCCAGCTGCCCATCAATCCTTCTTCTTTTCTGATCGATGAGCCATCATCACCAATCCTTTCATATTTTGCGGTTCTAGAGCAAATAAACGCATTCAGGAACGAAACAAGCCACCCCAAACATTTTCAACAGAGTTTACGAGAAACACGCGTCAACAAAAAAATGGTTTCGAGAAGTATAACCATCAGCCTATCAGTGGCAGCTGTTATGATGTTTGCCATCATGATCACAATAGCAGATGGCTTTGCACCACAATCGACAAAAGGTTACTGCCGGAACATTATGCAACAACAAACAGAGCATACCTCAAGGATATCTCCCCTGTTCGCCATCAAATCAGGTGGCAAGATCATGAAGGATGCCGAAATGTACCGCAAGACGGTTCTGGAGAATACCAGCAGCACCAGGCCGACTCTTGTTTTCTTTACTGCGCCATGGTGTGGACCTTGTCGTCTGACTACTCCTTCCGTAAAGGAGGTAATGCAGCAATTCTCGAATGAAATTGATGTGGTTGAAGTGTGTACGGACGACTTGGCGGAAGTTAGCGAAGAGGCTGGAGTCGTGAGCATTCCATCCATTCTATTTTATTATCAAGGCAAGAAGATGGACACCATTGTGGGGTGCGTCGCCAAGAGTGTATTGGCCAATACAGTCTCCAAAGTTCTAGAGGACGTGGCCAAGGTGACGACATCCTGATAGAGATGTTTTTTAAGTTCAGGATTCATCTTTGGTTCTTCATAGATCCAAAACTATAGTTCCAATGTAATGATAGGACTAACTAGGACTAAAGTGTAAATATGTATATGGTAGTAGAGCAACAAAACTAATGGGAGATACTACATATTTGATATTATCATTGTCCTTGTTGGTACCTTGTACAGTAGTACACTGCCGCGCCGGATTGCGTCAGAACTGATGGCTCATGTTTGGATCTCAGTCACGAGTTCTTTGAGCTGCCGACACAATCAATCTCAAAGCAAAATCTTTTGTTGACCATGGAAGACAACACAAACGAAGTCTCCCAACAAGATGATCCAATGGAAGAAGGGTACGACGAATCCCCATCCTGCAACTTTTGCACTTTTGCGGTGACGGGCAACCAAGTGACTTGGCAGGCAATCTATATTTGCCATGATTGCAACAACGAAAACGAGGATTCGCAATCACCGTTGTGTATCTGTCAAGCTTGTGCAGACAACTGTCACCACGGGGATAATCACGAAGTGGAGTACATTGGTATGGGTCCATCCTATTGCGACTGTGATTGTATCGGCGAATGCAGCATATTTCAAAAATCCTTAAAGGAGGCCGAACGGTTGGGGATGATCGAATCACGAGATTCGCAAATCGCTTCGACTGCAAGCAAAGAAGGATTGCCCAAAGATCCCTTGCAACACGATGCCTATGAAATTTCTATCCTGAGTGATCCGAAAATGGCATCTTTACTAGTCCAACATGCACAAGAATTGGTCCAATACACAAAAGAGACACATTGGATTGACGAAAAGACTACCAATCTAGATGACTTGTGCCCACTGGAGTCGCTGGCATGGAGCATTTATCAACATCATGTGAGCAAGTACAATTTATCCGCTTCAAAAGGCAACGTGGATAGTAATGGGGGTGCCGAATGGTGGGTTCAAGTCAAGGATACTTCCGGGAGTGCCACCGCAATCGATTTGCATTATGACAAGGATGAAGCTTTGGCGGAGTCTTTCTGTAAGGATACAGCCGTTTGCTCCTTTTATTGCAGGGTCGCTTTTCATTTGCGTTTGACTCATAGTACCCTTTTTTTTCCGTAGCCATCGGATCATTTCCAATCTTGTCGACCGTCACCTACTTGACACCATCCAGCGAAACAGCGGCACCAACGGTGGTCTTTGACCATACCTACTCGCAAGGAGAAGACGAGGTCATGAATTTGATGCTAGTAAGCCGACCCAAGTTGGGAAAGCATTTGGTCTTTGACGGTTCTTTGTTGCACGGTGCACCAGCCCATTCCATGCTCAAGCCAACTAGTGAGACGCCGGCCAATGAGGAAGGATCAACAACACCGTCGATTCGAGTCACTTTCCTGGTGAATGTATGGAAGGATGGTCGACCTGCAAGCGTCCATCCATTGTCACCACAAATTCGACAAAAATTACAACTCTTGCAATCACCAGGCGTCGCTATGAATGAAACCTTTGAAATGTTTCCTCATACTGTACCAACCATTGCCTACGAAAAAGAAGAAGACATTCCACAGTCGATAAGGGATCGAATAGAGCTACCGTTTGTGACCAAGGGCATTACATGGGAGGACACTATAGAAGAGGGTGATGATGAAGGCGGACTAGTAGTCATTACCTTCCCACCACCTTCGACGGTGCCCGATAGTACCTTTTTGGTTCGATTTGGCCCATCCTTACAGGCATACCTGGACTATACAGGTGGTGAAGCTCGCGTTGCCTCAAATCGAGAGGAACAAGAGCAAGAACAGAAACAAGAGGTAGAAAGCGGCTATGTCTAAATAAATACTGGAATAGATTTGAAAAATGTCATATAATGTGCTACTAGTCTAGCCTACTCTTCGTCTTCTGCAACGGCAGCATCGCGCCAGGGCCCCTCAGGAAAGACATCGTCTGGAATCTGAATGTAGTGACGGAAGCCTTCGGGGGTGAATTGGTCTGATGTATGCGGTTTGTCAACAAAGATAATAGCCTTTTGGGGCACATGCTTGACAATGGTTTGCTTGCTTGGGTCGGCGACCGATCGCCAAGAAACAGAATATTCATAAGTGTCATCTACATCCTGTCTGTCAATGAGTGTGCAGTCAAAGAGGTTGGAGCTATCGAATGTCTCCTTTGTCTTGTGCTTTGTCCATATGCGGACCTTGTCGCCATTAGCATTCATTGGCTCTTCATCCACAGGCTTGGAAATGACTAGGAAGCACTTCATTTGCACATTTTCAGGGTAGTTTGCCCCAACTTTGTATGGTTTGGTCGCGAACTCGGCGTTCAAATCAGCAGCACGAGTTGGCCATCTCTTTGGAACAACGCCTCTCTTCTTTAGGGTTTCCCACTCCTTGACGTGCTCATCCCATGCCTCTTGCCATAGATCGCCGTAGTCAATAAAGATTTCGTCACCTTCAGCGATATCCTTAGTGGCTACAACTTCCATCAGGAGTCCCAAATAACGGTTTCCCTCCTCCAGGAGCTCCTCTGGTTCGAGTTGGAACCAATGACTGTGATGGTTCGGGTGCTTCGACCATACCAACTGTGCATTAGGCTTCTTAGAGTGGTTGATAAAGGAAACGCCAGCGCCAGCAGGGTAGAATAGCATGTGCGATTCGGGATGTCCGTAGCAATAGTTTAGCAAAAGTTGAGATCCGAATACTTCATTTCCATTTCGGACATGGAATTCAGTTCCATCATTTTCATCATACTCGACCTTGACGTCATACATATTCAGGACTTCCTCGTCCGGAATTTGGATGAGGGGAGTTGGGGCGACCACTGCGCCAGCGGCAATCTTACGAGAAGCAAACGCACCACGGCCAGCATGAGGAATGGTAGAAGGACCAGGACGAATGTTGTCCATGCACCGTCCATGCTGTTCGAGCCATTCCGTAGATCGTACTAAGCTTGGCTGAGAATAATCCAAGACTCCGCCGGATGCAATCACTGCTCTGAGTTCATCAGGAGTATCAGGAAGAACTTCTGAAATGATCTTTCCCTTTCCTTCTCCAGCAGCTGCTTGCATAACATCGCGAATGAGGAATTGATAAATCTCATTCTTGGATTCCTCATCGAGTTCATCTTGATGCTTTTCAAAGAATTCGACAATCTTATTGACTGTCATGTCGACCTTTTTCATATCTTCCTTTGACAATTCTTCGTTATCATCTGAATTTTCATTGACGTAGTTTTCGCCATAACTGATAAAGATTTCCATTCCCTCTTCAATATCATCCGTCGCATGAATTGATGCCTCATAAAAGGTACTATAGGACCCACGTCCTGGATGAGATACTCCCTTTTCTTCGTTCCACGGTTCACGAAAGAATGCTGATGAATGATTCCAATCCGCATTGGTCATTTTTGGGTTGAAACAACTCAAGGTACCGCCTCCTGGAATGGCTGTCACCACCTTGCCTTCATCCAATTCAAACTGACCACCAACTGGATGCGGACTGTAGAGAATGAATAGAAAACACGCGGTGTCAGATGATTCCTGTTCTTGGATACACACAACACGTAATCATATGAACCAAAGACAATGATGTTCAGGTTTTATTTTTGCAGGACTTACACCCAAATAAAGTTCTCAAAAAAATCGACAATGTTCGTCAACAAGTCTTCATCGTCTTCACCACTCAAAGCATTGGCTTCCATTTGATGCGTGTGAATTGCAATGTCCCCAAATCCAATGCGGCTTTGTTTGCTATAGGATTTCCCAGCAAAAATGCCCCACTTGGGTTCAGCCGCCGTGGACGTCGATGATGTTGCTAGATAAAGACCACATTGATTCTCTTCTTCAGCCCTCGAACATTTAGAAGAAAGAGCTGCTACCAAGAGCAAGCATAAGGATCGTTTAGCCACCATGGTCGATTGACTACTATGGTAGGTATGTCTTACAATGCTATGTACAGTACCGGTATTTGTTTTGCCCGTTAGAAATCGATTCAAATCGTTTGACTCAACAGAACAGACACGATCGGCGCACGTGCGGGACAAAACGGGTATCGCCCGGATATTACTTTTACCAGTCGAGGGAATCGATGAGGAGGCGCTCATCGAAGACCACTAATTTTAAAAAACCGTCTGATCCACAAGCGCTCTGCTAGCAGGGATCCCACCCGAGATTCGCATCTTCTTCCTGCTCAGCGTTCTGTGAAACTGCAGCTCGGAGTACCGCTGAAGGTGACGACAGCCAACGAATGAACAACCGCCACAAACCAAACGAACCAAGTATGACAGTGGAACATCCAGAGCCCCAGCAGTCAGATGACGATGAATATGGAACCTTCGCGGTGACCTCAGTCGCCATCAGCAAGGATGGTAGCATGAACGGGACGAATGATGATGATGATGATATGAGCATCCATGGAGATAGCGTCCGAAGCGACGCGAGCAGTAGCTTTGGTCGGTACAACTGGCGACTGTTCCTACCGGAAACCAAGAACTTTACGAATCTCTGCCGTTGGTTTGTTGTTGGAGGAGCTTCAAAGGTTAGTACTGTTATCAGAAAGATATATCTTTTTCTGATTTAGATACGATTGAAGGATCTCATTTTTTTTTCGCTTTTGACCGCAGGCCAAGTTGCCAGACGAGGATGTGCTGGCCAATCTTAAATCCCTGGCCCAGTGTATCAAAATTTTGCGGGAGTACACAGAGATTTTTGGAATCCCTGAAGAGGGTGGACCAAAAGACCAGCAGTTTGTTCTGCGAGAGGTGTTTCGCGACTTGTATTTGGGCGGTGCGCCAGTCTGGGCCTTGGAATCCGTAATGCAAAAAGCAGCGGAAGGACTCACTGGAGATCCAAACGTCAATTGGTTTCTCATGCCACGAAGGGCATACATGTCCGGAGTATCTTTAGGTGGAACACACATGTTCAAATGTGAACGAGGGTTTGCAATGCAGCGCATGGATCGAATGGAAAAGGTCGCTACTCGGTTGGCTAGTTTCGCCAGTAATACCAAAGGGTTTAATAACGTCCCTGCAAGACTCCCCAGATCAAATGAATTGCTACGGGCCCAGCAGCGCGCCTCCATGTCCGACTTGGTGCCTCCAGAAAGAGCGAACAAGAAAAAGCTTGCCCGACAAGTCCTAGGACTGGCTTCCAAAGCCGAAGGTTTGTTCTTCTTTATCAACAAAGAGCGTGACATCAATGCTGAAACTAGGCGTAACGAAGACGACTTTTGGATTGTTAGCGAAAAAGAAAAGGAGGTCTTCTCCCGACTTGCATGCTTGGAAGCAATGGCAAAAATTGATATCTTGGATAAAAAACCAATGGACAACTACAAGAATTGGATCGTCGCCGTTTGCAGAATCTTTGCATCTGCTGGTGCTGCAGGCTTCTGGTTTGGTGGCTCCTGGCATGGTAAGTTTCGAAACCAACCCCAATTGCTGACTTTTGACAAATCGCACGCCGCTGACTATCTATCTTTCTTCAAATTGCATTGTGTTGTATCGTATGTCAAAAAAGATATGTGGATTGCTGGATTTCTAGCATTTGTTGTGGCCTCCATTGGAGTGCTTCCAGTCTTGACGAACAGTGAACGAATCCTCATCGAAACGGTTGCTAGTTTTCTGGTTGGTCTGACTGCTGGACTCGTCTCCTTGCAATGGCCAAATGACACATGCTACACAGCCATTGCGCTTGCGGGAGTCTTGGATATTCTTCAAGGTTTTCGCGTGGTGTATGCAGTGATTGAAATCATGTCGAGAAATGCAGTATGCGGTGGTGCGAATCTTTTGGAAGGAATGCTGTTCACTGGACTCATTGCGTATTTCTTGCAGTTTGGCCAATACGTTGCCAATTCAATCATGGAGGTGGAAGCAAGTACAACGTTTTCTACTTGCACGAATGGCATTAATGAATACTGGTTCCTTCTTCTTGTTCCTCTAGCTGCAGTTTCGTGGTCGATTCTATTCACTCCAAAATACAAGAGCCTTGGCGGAATGATATTTCATGGACTTTTGGGATTTGGTTTCAATTTTGGATTGACCAAGGCTGGTGTGCAAGGAGATGTCAACAGTTTCGCGTCGGCTGCCATCGTAACTTTTTCTGCTGGTATGATTTCCAGATTCACTGGTCGCCAGGCAGTAGGGAATTCGGTAGCTGGTTTGTATGTACTTCTTCCTGGTGCATACCTTGTGCAGTCTATGTCTATTGGATCCGGTTCAGTTGATGGGTCTTTCTTTGTGGATATCATAAAGAAATCTATTGTGATTGGCATGGGCAGTTGGTCTGGAACCATCTTGTGTTCTCCAGCCCTTCTTGGAACGACCGTTGGTATTTTGCATCAACAAGTTAGCAGCCCGCTCAACACGCTTACCAGAGGGGCGTCGATAGCGATGAAACGGAAGGGCAAGAAACCGAGACACACTCGAGTCCGAAGTGAAATGTCAGATGTCAACAATACTCTCCTCTATTTCTAGACGATGGATGGTATGGTTTACCCGTTCGTATTGATCTACTATGTGTAACTCTAGACGTAAAAACTAATTCGAGGTCAATTAAATGGTGTAACATGTCTTTGATCGTGACATCACATGTACTGCTGTATCAGCTGTACCTGTTACTGTGCATTGTAATAAGCTTTGAACGCTCCCGTCAACCTCCTCAAATCAAAAACGTCATCAGTGAATGAATGACGAGACCCAAAATTCAAACGAACGCAAGCCGACCGCGCGGGCAAGCCCTACATTTAAAACGTACTAGACTCTCGGAAGCTCCTCGACCTTTCGACATTTCAGGTCATTTGTTGTGTTGCTGTTGTGGCACTTGCACATTGGGAGGTTGTTCGTTGACACCACCGTTTCGAAGAAACAAGACATAGATTAGAGAGCTCTTTCCACAGGCGACTTTTGTATTTAAAAAATATGGTTTTGACGGATCGCCAAAGGCAAGATTTGCACGCTGGCATTTACGAATATCTCCTCTCCAAAGAGGAATTCAAGGAGTGCGCTGAGGCCTTTGCCAAAGCAGACCCAAAATGTGGAGAAAAGAAAACCAACAATGTCGGGAAGACCCCACTTTTGGAAAAGAAATGGACAGCTATTCCTCGATTGCAGAAGAAAGTATTGGAATTGGAACGTACAGTTGCACAAAGTGCCAAGATCCACGCCCATCGCACTGGAGAAGCCGATGCAAATGGCGTACAAAGACGTATGCTTCCTCGGCTACCGTGTACCGAGACACTTCAAGGTCACCAGGGTCCAGTGTTTTGCGTTCAAGTTCACCCTATTTTCACCGTTGCTGTCAGTGGATCTGAAGATGGAACCATCAAGGTCAGTTTTTGGTTGTTTTAGTTTGGTTGTTTTAGTCTTGGCACTGTCAGGTCCCTGTAGCAGTGATTCTGGAGCGATGAAAAGCCGCCAATTCGATTCAACCTGTACTATGGACACGTCTCTCACACATACGTTGTTTGATGCTGTTGCTGCTGCTGATTTCTTTCTATCACTTTGTTTCCAGATTTGGGATCACGAAAGTGGTGACTATATGAAAACTTTGAAAGGGCACACCAATGCTGTCACCTCTTTGTGTTTCACTCCCCAAGGTAGCTATTTGGCGTCGTCGTCCCAAGATCTTTCGATCAAGATTTGGGAATTCGAGACCTACAACTGCGTTCGAACACTTCGTGGACACGACCACACCATTTCGTCCGTCGTATTCATCCCAGCACAAAATGTTATCCCCACAACTGGAGATGACAATGCTGCTATTGATGTCACTTTGGCTGAGAGTCGACAGCTTATTTCAGCAAGTAGAGATCAAACTGTCAAAATGTGGGATTTGGAAACAGGATTTTGCGACCATACCTTTACCGATCACAGCGACTGGGTTCGTACTCTTGCCATTCGCCAGCATGATGGAAATGTTTGGGCATCTGCCGGTCACGATCAAGTGATTTTTGTGTACGATAATGCAAAGAAGAAGATTGCAGAACTTCGAGGACACGAGCAGATCATTGAGAGCATTGCTTTCCTTTCTGAAGACAATTTCCCAAAGAATGTCAACCCATCCCGAGTAGAGACGCAACGCGACTATCTCGTCAGTGGAAGTCGTGACAGAACGGTCCGCTTGTGGTCCATTGCCAACGCTTCTTGCTTGCAAGTCTTTTCGGCTCACGAGAACTGGGTCAAGAGTGTTCTGATCCATCCATCTGGAAACTACATCATTAGTGCTGGAGATGACAGAACCATTCGAGTATTTGACATCAAAGCCAATCGTTGTCTCAGGACTTTGGAAGATGCTCACAGCCACTTTGTATCATCACTCGATATGCACCACACACTTCCAATTCTGGTGTCTGGTGGCGTTGATAATGTTGTCAAGACATGGGTCTTGGATTAAGCTTGTACTGTAGAAGAAAAAAGTATCTTCTGGTTGTTGTGATGTTGCTGGCGACTTACGAATTGTATACATTTGTGCGCCGTCTAGTGTGAATCAGGCCCCAATCGGGAGCCATCTGTTTTCCCACTTTCATGCATGCACAAATACCAACGGAAGACAGCATCACCTTTGTGGGAACGTGAATGGGGGAAATATTCCTTTCACAAAAATTAGTTGCACTGTAATTATGTGTAAATGATTATGTTGCTTTCGAAGTGAGCTCGTTAAACATGACATAAATCAGAATTGTCTTTCGGGCTGCTTTCCTTAGCTTGGTCTCCCTTTTGATAGCCACGTGGTACATGAGTGCTATTGATTGATTCGTTCTAGTGCATATATGTAGGGCAATGTTGTGTCTGAAGTCGTCCTGAGAGGTAGACAAAGCTTTTGCTGGCACCAAATATGAGCTATGGTAAAGCACAGTTGGTGATACAAGAAAACACTAGGTTTTGCCCAAGGGACATGTATTATAGGTGTTATTAGCATTGAAAGCGGATGCGTACTGACTTAGTTCGACGGTTGTCCAAATCTGTGCAATGATGTTGGAAGCATTGCATGTAACCTTTTGTGGTAGGTTGAAGCACTTCTTTCGGCGGAACCTTATTCGATCGATTCTCTGCTTCAGTTCTCCAACATAATGCGTTGTCGCAGCATGTAGTATGTCATATCGGCTCGTCGTGCTGCCTTGCTTGGAGGATTACGTTTACATCCATCAGGTAGGGCTACTTTGTTGACCCGTTCCAGCACGTGGGACCATACTGCTGATGGATTTTGAAGTGTCGGTGATGTCTTGCACATCCCATCGCTCAAAAGTATCCGTCGTCCTGCAAGATTCCTATCCAACAACTGGTCCATCTCAGCTCGGTAAAAATCAAATGCCGGCGGCAAATAAAGGGCCTCCAAAAGTAGATTCCTTGTACTCAGTGCTTCGGTTGCTAGCTCCGTCCATTGCTGTCTGCCATAAAGGCCGAGGTTGTGTCGCCCGTCCATGTATAATCTTCGCATCCCAGCAAAATTGGCAAGATTCTCAAGGATCAACGTCATGGAAACTTGCGAGAGACCACAGTCAGTCAGCACCATTGATTCCAACGTAACGTTATTATGCAGACAAGTGACCAGGCATTCTGCTGATTTATCGTTCAGTGGTAGGGATGTGATGTCAAGGTGCTTCACCGTGGAATTTTGTGTCAGTCCTCGAAAAAGTGCTGTCAGATCTGTACCCGACGGAGTGGAAGTCCCAAGATGGCGATGGCAATTGATATCAAGAGACGTCAGTTTACAATTAGAACTTTTTCGAGAAGAATCCAAGAGAAAGCCGAGTCGAGAAATGGTCTTGGGTCCACAATCCGTATGTCCCAAGTCGATGGAAGTCAAATTATAGCATGAATCAACGACCGATGCGAGATCATAGTCGTCAATTTTAGACCCATACAAACTCAAGTCTTGAACATGTGGTGAATATTTTAGGCCTCGCGACAGTATTGCTGCGGCTGAAGGTATAAACTCACATGCAATGAAGAGTAGATTTCGAATGCCAGTGTGAGTGCAGATACCGGTCATTAGGTCCTCCATTATCCATGCCGATAGGCGAGAGTTTGTAAGCGCTATTTCTTTCACTTTACACAAATCTCTGTTCTTAGACAGTCCCCTGCGAATTGCGCCTGAGACACCGAGTTTCCCAACGGTGTTGTCTAGTTGCAGCACGTCGACAGATGCTTTGGACTCTTCCAGAATCAATGTCAATAAACCATGAATAGGACCGATGCATTTTCGAACCACAATTTCCGCCCATGGATGAATTCTGTGTTTGAAGAGTACCAGCAAAGAGGAGGCAATCTCGCATTCAAGGTCGATTCCAGAGACAATCAGTCGATCAATATGAGGATCTTCTATGGCGGCCTGAATGCTTTCCGCAACCAAACGGCAGTTGGAGGATCCGTCCAGAACAAGTGGCTTTCCCATTATATCAGGATCAAATTACGAGTAGAGAAATTTTTCTTATGTATCGCAGGTGCTACTGTGGGATTGTCGTTCTTTTGATCTTGAAGTTTGGATTGTCGGTGCCGAACAGGATACAAGCATTTGTACTTCATGATTCTGAAAAGAAATTCCGTGTCGAAAAATGTTCGCTTCCAAGACGAATCATGCGAATAAAATGTCCGAACCCGTCCGATAAATCGTCCGAGTAGACCTCTGCTACAAGACTGACGCAGATGGAAAAACCAACGATGACATGGAAGGTTGGAATCAAAAGTTGAAGTTTCTCTCCCGATCCGAAAATCTAACGAATTGAAAATGAAGATCGCTGTCGTTACCTCGTTCCTTTGCTTGATGGCCTCATCCGTCACGGCATTTGCTCCTAGTGCTGCCTTCTCCCGTGGCATCTCCACTCAAATTTTCGCCGAGGACCCTGAGGAAGAAGAAGGACTTGACTTGAACTTGGAGGAAATGTTTGACATGTACGTACATTGAAACCTCATTAGGTTGGCGCAAGCCCTGAACAAAATTCCAATCCATAACGTTGTTTTTCTCACATTCTGTTCTACCCTCCCTGCAAATCTCCTTTGTTGATTAGGTTCGATGCTGCTGATAAGGACGAATCGTTCGATGATGCTATCAAGAAGGTCAAGACTGAGGAATAATCATGCAGAAGATAACATGAATAGAGATCGAAAATACTGTAATCATCTTTCTCCATACGTAGAAGGGTCTCGCGTCATACTGTAATGCACAGATTTTCTTATGTTCTGGGTTTTGAATGAAGGACGTACGATCTGCTTCAGGCTTTTAGAAGCAGCTTAAACGTATTCTTTCCCTGATAGAAAGACGAATTTGACTATATGGTCAGGAAGCAGGGAAGAAAAAGGAATATTTATCTAATCTGTTGCTACTGTATTTCTGTTTTTTCTCCGCGTCGCGTCGTGGAGTTTGGAGACACGACAACAGCACGGGGACAAAACGGATTGACTTTGCCGAAACATAGAGATCCCGCCGTTTGAAGTAAAAAAGGGTCGCATGGGTTTGCCCAGGCTTGAATTTTCATACTATCCCATGCGAATCCCCTTTCCCCTACTTTGTCGGGCTAGATGGTGGGTCGTAGCTTTGCTTCATGATTTCACCCTCCAATGTCAAACCCACCTCGAATATTTATTGCGTTTATTGCAATTCCACTGGAGGCAAAATCTCTTGAGGAATCAGGTCTCTGGATCCAAGCATCAATGGAATCAAGAATAAGACTGGAATGAGTGATAGGATAATGTAGAACATTACACGAGCCTGCTTGGGGTCGGAAAGATCGACGGGCTCTTCCGAGATTTCGCCTTGTGATAAGAAGGGTGCTACAGCTTTCTCTGTTTCCTTGGATTCGGTAGCGGCAGCTGCTTCTGGGGTAGTCTCGTCGTCATCTGCCAGCTCAACGACTCCATCATCCGATGCCATCAACACAACGGCGGGAGAGAATCGTGCAAAATTTGGTTGAGCAGGAGCCACGACACGTGCTTGAGAAACAACAGGGGAAGTGAAGGCTGATGTTGAAACAAGTGCCCATACCAAAGCTAAGAGAAAGCTGAATCTTTTCATAATTTGACTTGACAGTGTATTGACTTTGTGCCTTCCTTGTTGATTGATTTTGACGCAGAAACGAACAATGAATTTCTGACGCATCTGTTGACCGACGGACAGGCTGCCAATAGAAATTTCAAACTACACTTGTATGATACCGGTACGGTAATAGTAAACTTGACAATCAAATACAAGCGCAAGTATGGTAGTCGTTTGTGTGGCAAGGTAACAGGAACTAGAGTTAGTTTATCCGTCTCCCATTTAGATGCACAGCTCGATTCGGGCCTGCCTTCAAGAAAGGTCCTGAGCAATTTCTCAGCCGCTGGTACATTTGCCTTGTGCATGAAATCTGAATGTATCTTCCCCAGAGTTGGCACACGATTGCCACTTATTTTGATACATCAAAGCTTCTGGATATGTATGCCCGCATCTACTATTATTCGTTGTTAGGAGCAGATTGTCGAAATGTGTCGCATTGATTGTGGCGACAACTACTCACAGAATCCAGTGTTCTGCTAAAGTGGTCGTTCTCCATGATTTCTTCTTGTCATTCAATGACACGAAGTCGAAGATTGCACGATCTCGCTCCCAAAATTGGAGTCGTCTTGGCGTCCTCGATGGTCAGGTTTGTTTCTTGGTAAACCCTTTCAGTCACTCAAAAACTTGAATCGCCGACTTGCAAAACAAAAGTTATAGTCTTCAATCCAAATTTCATCCCTATCCTCGTAAAAGTGAATAATCCCCTTGGCCGATGCCATCCCAAAGACATCCTTGTACTGCAACGAAGCGGTCTTTTCCGCCGCAAACCGAGCGTATCCCGCTTCTTTGGGCGACAGAGGAGGCTTTCCAAAACTATTGTTGTTGTTATCGAACACTGGAGCTGTGATTCGTTTTGTTGCCGGTGGGCTGAGAATGTCGGCATCTTCCTCAGGCACCGGAGGTGCCGGTTCGTCGGAACCTGTAGTTTCAGTGGTGGTCTCACTCGTTGTGGTTGTGTTCAACTCTTTCGCCTTATCCGTTTCTTTCTCAGTTTCTTCTAGTCGTAACAAGGTTGCATTTGCAATGTCCCATTCTTTTAGTCCGTGCAATGGCTCCTTCTTGATATCATAATCAAATAGAGCATTGATCAGGGCACTTGCAAAGTCTTCGTGCTCCACAAAGCCATTCTCCAGTCCTTCCAGTATCCGTCCGATTTGCAAATCATCTGGATTAAGCTTGACAACCTTGTCCATCACCCTCCCTTTGTATTTGCAGGTGCACGAAATCTGTGTTCGATAGACTCGTCCACTACCGGCCGTGCTATAAGTCAAATTGGTCCAATTGGTGGCCACACTTCGATCAGGACTGTTCGCTACGCTGCTGGTAATGACACTGTTGTTGCTGGATGGATCGTCAAACTTGAATTTGTTGCCTTCACCAAAGCTTCTCTTGGCAGCAGTGGGTGCCAATGGTCCATTTGACTTGTCTTCTGTGCTGGCACTTGCACTGGAAGAATCGGTGCTGGTGAAAAGAGCTGTTTCTTTGGGTGTAACTTTCCAAAGTTTGCTTTCCATGGACATCGGCTTGGAAGCTTCTGGGATATTGCCACCACCACCAAACGATACATTTTTTGGATCTACTTTCAAGTTACTGATGCTGGTTGGTTGGACCTCGTTGATGGAAGTTTTGGCGCGAAGTGGCTTCTTTGACTTTTCGAGAACGTCCTTCTCCTTCCTTCTCAGCAATCGTTCGGCGTGGATCTGACTAATGCGGTTTCGTCGTCGCATACTCCCCATAGCACTGCTACTAATGTCCGAGGCATTGTCATCGTCCAGTTCGCTGTGCGAATACGTGCTCCTGTTATCGTCCATGTCCTCTCGTCTTTTCAGGCTTCGGTATGAAGCTGTATGGGTATGTTCTGGTCGCTTCTCGTAGGATCGCAGGAACCGAGAAGACTCATTTTCTATGAATCGATAATGACAATGGTGAGATTCATTCCTAAAGACAAGAAGATACTTCTTCGGCTCTCTCATTATCCTAGAGTGCTTCATTAAACTTACCCTTTTCAATACCACTCGGCGGTGCGTCCCAAACTGCACTGACCGCGCCCTTGTTATCGACGTTTGTATCATTCTTATTAGTGTTATTATTGTCCCCCACCATGTCTCCGCTGTCTAACCCACCAAAACTCATCAAACGTTTGACAGGTATCGCGGTAGGCATGTTTCCATCGTAACTCCGGCGAGGCTGATGCATGGTGTCATTACGACGGGCCGCAGCACCATTGTCACCACCACGGTATTCAAAGTCTTGTGGCATCGTGCGAGAGACAATGGGACCATTGTGACTGGTCAATTCCACCTGAAACATTAGAAACAATAAAGATACAAGGTATCAATTGAGATTCAGATGATTCATTCATTCAACAAATAGAATAGGAATAAACGCAAAGCAAATGAAGCCAGACAAGAAGCATGTAGGTGCGAGACTGCATGTTCCTGCTGCGCTACAAAATACGAGTGTTCCAAAAGAATATTCCTCATGGCTGTGGCTCTAAACGCACCTCTATTCCGCCTTGATAATATTCGATCGACATGGCAAGTGTTGTTTTTGTCAATTCCCCCTTGAAACAACTAAAACCTCTGAATGGATCAGACAAAGGAAGTTGCTGCGTGTGTTTGAGCGTGTGGCGAAAGCAAATGAATCAGTCTACGAGTTGAAATAGACTGTTGTTAGGCTCACTGTCAAAACGGATTGCTCTGCTGCAGTTTTGGTTGCGGACTCGTGGGATGATTCCCGCCGCTGCGTATGGCGATAAATATCTCAAAACGAAGCTTTTTTGTGTCGGCGGGCGGTAATTCCCGCCATTACTTCTCTTGACGTGCGCAACATATCGATTCAAACATGCTTCAAATGTTCTAAGTAAAACTACGCGCGGAAAGAAACTTCTAAGTATTTTTGTGGATACCATAGTCCTACTGTGGCTACACGAGTACCTACGCAAGTTTGGAGAGAAAATTATTAAGCACCGATACTGGTACTGCACGGTGAGATCGTGAGAAGTGTGGAGAACCCGCTAATTTTTCAAAACAGAAACCGCTGTCCTCTGTTCTTTGAACCATACCGGTACCGCACTTTCTAATAGATTGATAGATTTTAGTCATGAATAAAATTATATTGGTGATCGAACAGTACCGTAGCATAGCTAAGTACTCTTATTGTCATAGTACTAATAATAATTCATTACTATATCAATAGATGATTCCTAATACTCCTCTACTAGTTTCTTATCTGGAAGAGCACTGCGTGGTGCACTGTAGCTATTAGTACCTCGTAGGCTCGTATGCGAACTATTCTGCTCCTTTCTTATTTGTTGCCATTCTTTCTTATTTTCCTTGTTGTTGTTGTTGTTTTTCCAGGGCCCTCCATTTATTGACGTCCAGTGGTTGTCCCACTGCATTGTCCACCAAGATGCGTCCATTCTTGCCACTCAAAACCACCAATCTTGGAATCCCTTGGACCCGTATCGCAGCCATGATTTGATCTCGCGCATCATCATCATAGTCCACGGCCATCCATGGATGGGATTGTTGAAAATATCCCTGGAATCCATCTTCGTCGTGATCGCAGGACAAGAACACAACTTCTGCTGCACGACCACCCCCAGCAATTCGATTGCTGGCAGACTTGTACCAATTGGCCAACATGGGCGTGAACTGACGACAAGGAGGACACCAATGTGCCGAAGCATATAATAACACAAATTCCTTGCCTCCCAAGGCATCGGCCAAGGGAACGGGTTCCTTTTGACCACTTCTCAGCAAGGTTCCATTCTCCAGTGACCCAAAGAATCGTCGAATACCAGCTGACAAGCCTCTTGCTACCATGGATTCCGAGGGAGGAGAAAATGGAGTTTCAATTTCACCACCAATAGTCCGAACTCGAAATTGGTATCCCAAGGTCGACGTCAAATTCTTCTTCTTGACTTCCAATCCCGACAAGGATGGAGCAATCGTCTTCCATTCCGCCCCTCCTTGGTTTTCCCTCATTTGCAATTCATATTTTGCGTCAGTGTTTTCAGCAGAAGCCTTCCAGGATACGTGCAAGGTTTGATTCAGTCCGGGATGACTGACTTTGGGAACTTCCAGTGCTTGTGATTCTTGGTCGGCATTTAGACAGGAAAAGGGCTCGGAATGGGTCATCCAGCAACCAGCGTCATTATTGTCGTTTACCACTTTGACACGAAAGAAATAGTCCGTTCCTGGAGTCAAATTGCGTTTGCGAGCTTGGGGTTGAGAAAGCTTGTCGGATAACAAGGCAAATCCATCATTGTCGGCGTTTTCCGAGTCGTCGTTGGATTTGTATTCGAGTTGGTACTTGACATTCTCTTGTTCCGCAGCAGCAGCAGGCCACGAGACGGTGAGAGAGTCGGATCTGGTATCCACCAATATGACTGACATGCTTGTGTATGTTATAAATGTTGGTCGACTTTGATTTTGGTTGTTGTTTATTGTTTATTGTTTGTTGTTTGTTGTTTGTTGTTTGTTTGTTTCAGGTTTGAAATTTGTGATTGTGCGTCGTTTGTTTTGGTGTTCTGATTGTCGATTGTCGGCGGCTTCCTTCGAAGCCTTTGGAATTCATGCGGTTGACTGACTGACGGGACATGTTAGTCCGAACTTTTATGAAGAACTCCAGGATGAAGAATTTCAATGTCATTCAATCGTTCGTTAAAAAACAGAACCATCTTGTTGTGTCAAGCTGGCCAGCGCCACCGACGCTCCGAAATAACGTATCCAGATTTTTCAAGGCTCCGTGGAGCTGCATAAAAGGTCTACGCGAACGTACCCCGATATCGCACGCCCATGATTTGAAGCTGACGTCGTCATTCGTTGTGTCAATTGAGAAACGGTTTCATTTTGGTTCCAGAACAGCCTGTTTTTCCAGACCTCGCTCTCATAAAAACAAAAATCCCGAACAACCACGTCAAGCAACCAGAACTTCCACTTAATCATATAATGACCCAGCAACCCATCGCAACCAGTACTACTACCAACCCTTCCTCCTTCTTGTCCAATGCAGCACCTTCCGTCAGGACCAACCGCTTGTCTTCTAGCCCAGTGGTTCGTGCAATGATCTCCAACAATCGCATGTCCAACTGCCAGGACGTGGCTTCCATGCTCAAAGAATGCAACGCGTCTAAAAGCAATGACAGAGTCTGTCAAGTAGCCATGCAATACATGGACATGTGCAAGTAAATAACCAAAAACCAAGCCAAATGTCAATGCAACAATAACAACAACCACAACACTTTTGATACTTGGCACGACTGTGAATCGATTCGCTTTCTGGTCGTGCCGTTTTCGATTTTGATGAATTCCTGACTACTCCTTGCGGTACCCCAGGCTTTCATGGTCCTTGTGACACGAAATCACTTTCTAACTACCCCACAATACACATCTGATACTACCGAAAGACGACTCACCTCCTCTTTTCAATGTTGACTTGGCGTTTGCTTGGTTTTTGCTTCCGGGAGATTTTAATCATCCACCCAACAATAAAACTTACAAACACACATACTGGGTTTCTGACTCACCTCTGAACTCTTTATAACAATAACATAATAGAATACAACAATTATGAAAACCAAACTACACGACGCTCTTTTTACACTACAGTATTATTGTTAACTTTTTGCGACTCTTTCACTCTCATGGTCAATTGGTGGTGGAAACGCCCGTCTGTACTGTACGTGTAGGTAGATGAGAACGTGTCGATTCATCAAGTATTTTCATTTGAAAGGGACTATTACACCAATGAAGCGCTCAAACATATTATAGTAATGTGTATGCAACAAATAAACAGAATAGCAACACATTTTCCTAGAAGCCAAGCTGGGGCGCCTCATTGGCAAAATCTCCTCTCTCAAGAGTTATGCGATGCTAGCATCGTAATTTCAGATTTTTAAAATTAAACTTCATGATGCTTCACGGAGAAAAAGTCGTTTCAAGCAGTCTCTGTAGGTAGCTGTACCGCCGTTGTCGTTCTGTCTCGGTCGTATCATTATCATTTGTCCCCGACCAACCAGAGGAAGGCATGAAACATGTGCATCTGCCGCAGTAGCACAGGCCCTGTTGTTTTCGTTTTCATGGTGAGGATTTGATTGCGTCGTGCTGTCTTTCAATGCAATTTGGATGCGAGCAACGAGCCAAACAGTTGAGCAGAGCACTAACTGAGCCTTGTTGACGCGTAATTGCTGCATATGCCGTATGTTCACAACTGGCTCTAGTTTTAAGGAGGAGAGAGCTCAGTTCCGGCTTTCTCTTTTCTTTAAATGACGACACGATTGATTTCAAATTGTATCCCGAGGCCAGTTTGTTTCTGATGCGGCAAGTATGAATATGCCTTTAGCATAAAAGAGCAATTCTTCCTCAAACAGGTGCCATCACCATCAACAGCCATGCCTTGCGCTACTAGGTAGATGATCCTCCACGGTGTGTGAAGAACGAAAGAAGAGATCACAAAAGGGGCTCCGCCAACGTAAAGTATCTAGCCGGCCAGTGATGTTTCATTGCCCATCCTGTTCCTCCAACATATTTATATATAATCATCATAGTCGGTTTTTACACTGCGGTTCAAGCTTTTAACCCAACTCATGATGCAATCAGTCATTTCGTATCTTTGGTGTGATGCATATGCTCAGTCATAATCTCGTATCTTTGATTCCAGTACAGATTCTACGAGAATGTCTACGGCAACTGAGAAAATCTCCCAAAACCGCACAGAAATAAAACCTACCGTTTTTCAGAACGCACATCCAAACAGAAAAGCAACCAACCTCCCCGACATTATCATCTACAATTCTGGACAACGATTTAAAATCTGAACACTACAGCAATGAAACTACTGTCGGCGCCTCTCTGCCTGTTATTCACAGCTACTGATGTTTCTGCCCAGAGCCTCGGTAGTGTCTCGGACTCTTTGAAGGACTCTTTTTCGGAATCCATTTCCAACATTAAGAATGCGCTATGGAGGAGTCCAAACATAACTAGCTCCATTGACGGCAGTCATGAAATCAAAGTGACTGTCAGTCCTCTTGTGGATAGTATCACCATTGAATACGGTTATGATGCAAGCCCACTATACGCATCGGATAACAATAATCATCGTCGATTGGAAGCTCTGCTTTCTTCGAATCAAGTGCTGCTGCAAGAACAAGAATTCCAAAGCAGAAGCACCAGCAGCAAGATAAATAACAGAGCACATGCCGGTAGAAATAGACGACGACTTCAGCAAGACTATGATCCATTCTTTGTATTCGGTGGTACTGTCCAAGGAGAATACGTCCATGGATCGCACTACAAAGCGAATTGGAACGAAACCTTTTCGGTGCTGGTGGAACCGGCAGCGAATAAGAAATCAGAGCTCTATGTGCTTATGGACGAAGCCTCAAAAACAACCTTTCCTTGCATCTATTTTCCATATGGCAATTTGACGACCGCGGATGTCATTGCTATGGTTTCTCTGGACGATGCCATTGCTTCGGGTGGCGAAGTAGGACATGTCTCATTCAATACGTCCACCGGTGCCTTTACTCTCTACTCGAACGAAACGGCTGTCCCAAATTCGGCTGGAGGACAGTTTGTTCCTGACGTCTATGTATCTGGAAGCATCCCTGGGTCGAATACATCTCTTTCAAACTTATTTGGAGGAATCGATGGGACGGTCTTTGATTGGACACCAACTTCCAAATTCACAGTGACAACTCTTTCGGCGAAAGACTACCTTATCAACCGGGGAGTGGAAAAGCTTACTATTGATGTATATGCCGAGAACGAAAACCTCGGTCTTTTTGCGTTTGCTCTTTTTGACGTTGATACTCAAGGCAATGTGGAACTCGCAGATCTAGGGTTGGAAGGAGGCAACCAGCGCAGTCAGCGACCTTCTTCCGCTGTAGAACTTGTCACTGGTACAAGTGTTTTTCTTGCAATGACGACAAGCTTGTTGAGCTCCTGGTAGATTAGAGGAGGTGGGATGGATGACCACGTGGTTGCCAAGCTGCCTTCTTGCTATGCCTATTTCTATGATATGCTAGATAATTTGAACGGGTACATTTCAATCGTCACATTTTTCAGTTAATCTTGTAAAGCTATGGTCTCAGATTGCAATTGGTTGGGATTCTCTGTTACAGCCGATGTTTACCTCTCTAGTATCTAGTTTTCGGATGATAGGGAGGTCAGGACAAAAGCTCGCATATATCGGAGGAATTGAGAATGAAAAAAGTGGAGGTGGTCGAGTTAATCGACCTTCGACATCAACAATGAAACAACGAAACGCATTCGTCATCGCACCACACATCCACAATAGCTACAGCCTACAGCACGATCATCTATCCTGAACCCCAACCCAGTCCCAAGAATCAAATGGCAGTCAATAATGCAAGAAGGCTACGGCAGAGACGTGACTTCCAAGATTTGGCAACCTGTTGGAAGCTATCGACACTCATTGCCATGATGCTCTTGGCGGGAACCAATTCGTTCACAATATCTGCCGGTACATTATGCCACGTTCCGCACCCTTCAAGAATAACGGGTTCAGGGAGACAACAATCCCATTCCCGAATGACCATGTCGTTGCCTGCATCAACCGTAGAAGCTCAGCACACGGACCTGAAAGCTGACATGGAAACTATTAGGCACATGACCGAAACCGCTATATTTGAGACGTCTTCGATCAATGGATTGGAAGCCCTGCGAACGCTATCTTTTTTGTGCCAGCGGCGGCTGCCCTACGTCTTTCACACCCAGGAATCACAATCCATTCCTGGCATTACTAGAAACAACCGCAACGATAATGGAGATGGAATATCACTAATTCGAAAATGGAGCCAATTGTTCCCTTCCGATGTAATTGCCTCTATCAAGGATCAGATTCAAAGCATGGAAGAAAAAGGATGGTGGAGTACGAATCCAGACTCGGTCGATGGCCTTCCGTCCTTCCATTTGAACTTGGTCAGTGATGGAAAGCCATTGTTTCCAATAAGAGATGGTACGGAAGACAGCGTTGAAGAAGATAGCGCTAGAGACTTTGAAAGAGGGGTACAACAGTTGTTACAATTGGTGCATCCTGTGATATATCAAGATTTACTTCCAACACTTCAAAAGGAATGGCTTGCATCATCAAACAAGTCCACAAGCATTCAAGTCTCGGACATCTTTGTTCGAAGATACGGACGAGACCTTGAGGATGCTTGCATCCAAGCCAGACAAGGCATCTCCGCCCACTACGACGTCTACTCCAAAGTCACAGCCGTTGTAGCCTTGGATGATATAGCAGCGGAAGGAACCAACGGTCTCTATACCACCTACTCGTCGCCAGAGGTGCCGCACCAAAGCGAAGAACGTAATGCCATTATTTCGACAAATCACGCTGCTCTCCGTCGCTTTGTCCCGTTGCAAGAAGGGGACTCAGTCATCCATACTTGGGACATTTTGCATGGAGTCGACGTCGAGCCAGGACTGGATCGAACCAGTCTCATCGTATGGTTTACGGAAGCAGAGGTTCTGGATCAAGCAACGGAAGGAGGTGACAGCAATGCCGATCAGAGCCAAGACAAGAAAGCGGCCCCGTCAGCTGTATCGCCCTGGCTTCTTCGACACCCAAACCTGGAGCGTGATGATGTGGCGCAATTCGTCCTTGCAAGTGCCCTATCAAGTAGCAATATCGACAACGATGTCCATGGAAGTGCAGATCTCAGTGATGATCGAGAGCAAACTGGAAAGGACTATCAACGTCAGCTCTACTTGCAAAGCGCGGCTGCTGGTAATTCGTTTGCGTTAACCCGTGTAGGAAGCTTGATTGAGGAAGGCGCACTAAGGAGTGATCTTCTGGAGAAGGCCAAAGGAATTGCAGATCAACTACGGCAATTTGAGGCGCTGCCTGTCCCAATCCAAAAGTGGGAACAAGATGGAGACGAATCTTCTTTATTGGCGATGAGATTCTGGCTGGAAGGTGCCGTTCGAGGGAACCCGTTGGCACAGAAGGCATTGGCCGATGAGCTAATGTTTCTCCAGAGTTCGCAACCTGATAACGATGATTCAGAGGTGAACACGCTAGCTGCTACTCTTTTTGCTCTGGCCGCGCAACAAGGGGACGAAGAGGCATCCGATTCTCTGAAAAGGGTAATTGATTTTGCGGCTCGAAATGGAAACGTACAGTCACAAGAAGAGTTCTTGGCATTGGACGCTGTGCAAATAGCAAAGGCAGCCACTTCATGATAAAACGAGTGCCCTACGGTAGTCCTCGTATGTACAAAAAAAAACGAAAGAATAAAATTCAAGTAACGACTAATGTAGTACTTTCTCAATGACAGTAGCTATCCAAATACCGGAAGAGAACATAGCCATCACCATCATATTTGCGATAAGAACCAAGTTCAAAGCAACTGTTTGCAGCACGACAATGGAATTTCCTATCGTCTGAATCTCTTCTTCAGTAGTCCTGATTTCATTTCAAAAGTGACTGCGCTGCACTTGCATTCGTGTCCCATTTCATTTATCAATCAAGTTGACACATTGAATAGCAGTCATGGCATTTCCATTTTCTACAAACCCTTTCGATTCCCCCGAGGAAGACTTTCCGGATCCTTTGAATTCGCAGGATTCAGATGAAAGCGAGAGTAGATTCTTTGATTGTCAAGGGAGTGACAACGTCTTCGACTTTGTTTCGACGAACAGTGAAGCATCAAACAAGCCAATTGGGAGAGCTGCCAACATCAATTTTGACAAGCCATTTGATGATGGAGGTGAGTGGAGCTTTCGGATATAGGAAAATGATTCAATTCACTCACACAACTACTCTAGAAACCCCTGCTTTGAGTTTCAACCGGAACGTTGCATCCTCGGCCGAATTCTTCTCTCCTCTAGAGAGTGCAATGATGAGGTTGGGAAATCCAGCAACTGGGGATATGATGACCAGCTTCGACTCGGAGGGCGAACTACTGTCGCAAGAGCATACACCCCTTTTGGATGACAGGAGCCGGACATCAAATTGCAGCGATATTACTGTCTCGACCGTTGGCGACGATCGAAAGCGTGACGTCCCTTCGGAAGTTACTTCAGATGGCAGAAGAAGGTCCGGAAAAGGAAAGCGGAGGTCTTCACAGTCTCTGGCAATCCAAGCACAACCAGATCGTATAATGAAAGACCTAGCTGAAGGAGACAACGAGTTCAGCATGGACTACAAGTACATTTTGCTCGAGGAAATGGGGACGAGATCTTCTTGGTTCATCCTTCTTCTTCCATACATTGCCTTCTGCATTTGCCTGCTTCTGGAGTCATCGTTTCTGTTTCATTCTAGATTCACACAAATGATTGATGCATCCGATATATGTAGTGGATACCCTGCAACTCCGCCTGAAACGCCATGTCATTTTCTCTTTCACAAAGGCGAGGAAACAACAAGAAGCTTTATGGAAAACAATATTACCGAGGGTGTGGGATTTGAATCAGGGATAATTGCTACCATTCCTGTGATTGCAACGTATCTGTACGCCGATGCACTATATGAGGGTCTATCAACGGAGGCAGTCTCACTTGTTGCACACGGACAGCTGGAAGCCTCTGTTGAACTATATCAAGAGATGCCTCTTTCTTCAGACAACGGGAAACATCACTGGGCTCTCTTGTCTGTCTCAGAGAAGAAATCAGTTTCTATGGTATGCGAGCGAGCCACAGATAATAGATGGGATTGCAGAACTCCAAGACTGGCGAATGTAGTCTTTTCAATGCCAGATACTGGTAAGTATTCTGCTTGAGCTTGCTTGCCCCGGTGCTGCAATATTTAATCTAACCAAGACGACTTTTTCAGCGGTTTTTGGTGGTGGGAACGTTCGCTTGAAAATTCTATATTCAGCAAAAACTGAAAACGAGCTACTAGAGACCACGGGCGACAAGACAGCTGATCCGTTGTACGTGTATACAAATGACAAATCTGCCTTTCGATCAGTGTCAAAGATTGGCATAGACAAGCTGCATCTCATCGAAGAGATAGCAGCCTCATCCGGATACAGTATAGAGCACGTGAGTGATCTAGCGGTGAACGTTGACACAGGAGTTCGCCTCATCACGTTTGCGGTAACTCTGGCTTTCTTCTTATATTGGCTATACAACATGGGAGTTAAAAGTCTGTTTGGGGGGATCCGAGAAAACTTTCACTTCTGCTTCCCATCATCCAAGACTTGTAAGTTCCTATCATATTTTTCGAGTGCAACCAACCCATCGATTCTGACATTCCTTTAGCTACAGAATGGTGGGAGTCGCATTGGATTTTGTTCCCCGAGCGATACTACATTATTTTGTTACTTGTCTCTCTTCTGCTTGTACAGGAGCCTCTGTTGGCCGCCATGGTTCTTTCTCCTACATTAGGTGCAAGTGCCAAGCTTCATATTGCAGCTGATGCAACTATTGGAATCGGAGTGCATGGTGTCCTCTTCGTTTATCTATGTCTTTTTCACGGCTTTCGATATCACACTGCTGCTGTCTCGAAGAAACGCTCCGATCATCAGAGACAGATACTTCAACTGTAAGTACCTTGATACACTCTTATGCAGAATCTAAAACGGCTTGCTCACTCTGCATTATTGCTAGTCGTCGCGCAGCGAAGTACATCGAAAGTGTAGAGAATAATCCGAGATCGCCGTCTGAAGGAGCCATGACAAAATATGCTGATGATTTCTACGATGTCTACGGCGACATTGATGGCAGTGTCTCAAATAACCATCGGCTTCAGAACGACCCTTTTGGCGATGGATGGGCTGATTTCTTGCTGCTGAAGCTTGGATTGTTCATTGTGGGCGCAGCTTCAGTTTTGGCGACAGCATACTGCAGATTTCCGCCAGAGTCAGATGGTTCGTTTTCACTTGACCTTGAAAGCATCAACGCATATCGAAAGCTTTTTTTAGTGAGCTCTTGTTTGAACTTTGTGGTGCTCTTGATATGGATATACAGCTTGATCATCACAGTCATTGAAACCGGGCGACATCTGAGAGCTGAAAGATTTCTGGCAACTCGTCCAGTTCAGCTGGCTATGCGAATCATCTTAGCCCATTTGACTCTTGGATTCATGGTTCTTGTCGTGACATTTTATTTGAACGTACATAGACTTGCAACAAAGTGGGTGCTGACAGGCCTTGGATCTGTCGATCAAGGAGAGGATCTATCGGGGCTGGAAATTGCAATACGAGTTGTTGGCGATATTTCATTGACCTTTCCTTACTCTGGCACAGCAGCAAGCGTGGGTGGAGGCCGGGTACTTTTCGCGACTGTTTCAATTTTGATTACTGCATTCATTTTTCTTCCAGCGCGCACTCTGCAACAAGATTTCATCGACATCCAAGACGAAGAGAAGGACAAACGATATGAGCAGTGGAGACTGAAACGAGACAAACGCCTCGTTATTAATCTCGCAAAGGAGGCAAAATCTTGGCGCGTGTTCCCGTTGCCGATTGACCAAAGTATTCAAACTACTGTTTTCGAAGATCGTGTTTACCAGCTGTACAAGAATCTGCACATTGATAGCAACGCAAAGGACAGGGGCATTGTATCGTTGGGCCCATACACTCCTATATTCTGTTTGGAACTGGCATGTTGGTTGAACGAGGCATCCTGGCAGGCTTACTTTTCCCCAAAAGGAATTTCCAGCAAGTACTTTGATGAAGCACCAGGGATAATGAACCTCGAAACTGTTGGCCTCCGCATGGAAGGAGTTGTGTATGACGAAACTACGGACACACAGGTATTCGTCGCAACAAATACAGCTTCACGGGTCGATGGAGAGGAGGACAGTGTCATTGTGGTTTCATTCCGAGGAACAGCAAGCAAATCAAATCTTCAGACTGACTTGAGATCAAAGCAGGTATGATCGAATCCTGAATCCGCTTCCCCTCTCTCGATATCTCACCGCAATCTTCTATCACTTGACATAGGTACCCCTATTCGAACAATTGGCTGGGGTTGGATCTTCTTCATTTAGAATTCATCCCGATCGCTGTGAAATATTCGACGAAGACGGGTGGATCTGGAACACACCCCAATTACATGGCAAAAATGTGCAGTGTGTGACTGCATGGTCTTCTCCGCTATGCATGCCTTCGCATTGCTCAAAAACGAACAATCACCGTCTAGTGAATCCAGTATCACGGGGTGCAAAAGCTCTACTTCAGTTGGCACCTGTTGCCCGTGATTCGTTCCCCCTCATCCACGAAGGATTCCAAGAGGTGTATACGCATATTCGAAGGAAATTGCTCAATATTCTCTTTCCAGTTCTGCAGAGGCAATTGGCAAAGTCATTGAAAGCATCCAAGAAAGACTCTTCCGAACCGCTCGCCCTGCCAAAATTGTACCTGACTGGTCATAGCTTAGGTGGCTCGCTTGCACAGCTGTTGGCACTGGATCTGGCCAACAACTGTGAGATTGTCTTGCCCGTTACGACTGACGAATCGATGGATTTTCGAGATGCAACACCCGAGAATGAGCTCTTTCACTTGCCAGATTCTTATCAAAACCCGAAAACAGGAACCTCTGGGGGCAAGAAAGAGGTGCGATTACAGCCTCCAGTGGCCGTTTACTCTTTTGGACAGCCCCGCGTTGGGAACAAACAATTCTCTCGATTTTACAAGCAACGTGTTCCACATACTTTCCGAGTGGTGAATGAAGGCGACCCCATCACATCTATGCCTAACAGATACTTTTGCGGCGGTGTTTACAAACATTCTGGATTGGAAGTTCTGTTGGACGAAGGAATGACTGGAAACATCTTGGTAGGACCAACGGTGGTCGAGACTATGTTTCGTTTCTCTCCAGTGCGTACCAACATGCTTGCTCATACAATGACACAATACCGTAATTGCTTGGAGTGTGCTTTCGAAGAACACGAACTGCTCGAATACTATCAAAGTCAGAACGTCGCAGGCGAAGAGGGAAAAGGAGGAGCACAACGTCAATCAGCGGTTTCAAAGGCCAAGATTCCCGATTGGATGACTCAAGTAGGGCAAAAACGAATATGACCCCAACTTCGCAATATAGTGGTGACGGGTACAGTCCCAGCGCAATAGTCGTTTCTTTAGAATTGTTAATGAATATGCCTCCTAGTGGTTGTCCGAGTCTTCACCCTTCGCTGTTATGAAATTATCATTTTACCAAAACAAAGAAGATTCCTTCTTGCGCTGTCGCTCCATAGCTTTTCTCAGAGACTCTTCTTGTACTGCAAGAAGATGATCCGCCTGTGGCTGTTGCACAAACTCTTTTGTTTCTTCTTTTTCTGGTCCGGGCACATCAATATTCACAACTTCGTCCACTAGATCACAATCTGAAAGACCATCACCAAATTTGTAGCTCACGGATGGTTGGGTTGTAGCAAGTTGAATGCGGCTCAAGACAGTTGCCAATTCTTCGTCATATTGGCTGGATTCAGCAGTCGAAGAAGTTCCAATTGAACTACTGGTGTCAATGCTCTCATTGTCCGAGGAATCTTCTGCGGCTGGGTTCTTTATTGGAACGTTCTTTCGGCTGTGCTTTTCCACAATAGGAGTAATGTCACCAAAAGTAACGGAAACTCCCTTGTCAGGGCTGTTTCCCCTCAACTTTCCAAGAGTCGATATGAGTTGGACCTCTTTGAGCTTCAACTCGGACAACGGCATACTCATCTTCTTCTTGCTGGACTTTTTCTTGTTGTTATTGGCCACGACGGCGGAATATTGACCAAACTTGGAAAGCTTCGTCTTTCCTTTCCCCTTCTTTTTATTGCTTTGTAGATGACTGCGCTTGGATGACGAAAATGATGATAGTGATGGTTGGGTCTCGTATCGCTGTCCCCAGATGGGATCCACTGTTTCTTCCGAAGGAATGTCTAAAGAAGGTGCTGCTGATGACGATGAAAGAATATTGGAACTTAGCCGCGTGGGCGAAGCCTGCTTGACTTCTTTCTCCATACCCTTCATGGAATATTCAAAATCTTTGTCCATACGGAAACTCTTGATGGTGGTGGTAGATGGACGCGAACGAAGGTCCTTGTACATGTCGTCACAAGATGATGCAAATGTCGAGATGGCTTGAAGAGAATCGAGAGAAACGGCTTCCATGGTGAATATGTTGATGGTTCAAAGGGATACGGAAAGTGTAGTTTGTTCAAGTGAATTATACACGACTTGTAAGAGTGTATGAGACTGAGAATTCGACGAATTGTAATTCGGTGATTGCATGATGGTGATGATACCGTGCTGGTTGCCAATTTCAGCCAAAATCTGCGTTTTGGAATCATCAAATTTTGGTCCAAACTGACTTTTGCGACCAACTCGGCGTGCGCTGCGCGAAAAAGAGATCTTTGAAAATGACAAGCTGCGATGACGGCTCTCGATCGTCGCAACAACAACAAAAACGAGCCATCGTGGTGTTCTTCACCTATTCCTTGCAACAGACGACCGAGCTCTGACGAACCAACTTCCTTTCGCCCCCCTAGCAATTTTTCTACACCTATCATATTCATTGTGCACAAACTACATCAAAACATCGCACACATTATTCAACATGCCGAATCAGATGGAATTTTACGACGAAGAGCTTTCCAGAAGTTTCCGTCAACTGCAAGAGTTGCTGCAAGAAGACGCCAGTAGTCCTCGTTTGGATCAATTATTCAAGTCTTGTGGCGCCTACATTCAACAAATGAATCGAGAAGTGCAAGGCATGAAGGGGGAAGAGAAGAAACAATGGAAAGAAATTCTTGGATTTCGGGCACAAACTTTTAAGCAACTGCAAGCAGCGGTACATGAGGTGGAGTTTTAATTTCCAGAGATTGACAATTGAAACCATGGGGCAAGGAATGACTCGAATATCGTATGATGGTGTTGTAGGAGCATATCATGAATGAAGAAGAAGGCAAAATCCCTATTTTTTAAAAGAATTTACGTTGCAAAAGTTTGGTGCCAACATACGTCTGGCGCACACTTTACAAATCATAAAAGTAGATAATAGATTGCTCTGGAAGTCGTGCACCCCTTGTTATTGCGGATCATACATCTGTGTGGGTTGAGAAGGCAAGATAATGTAGGTCACAAAGTGGGGACAGATTGACTCCCTCTTAAAATTCTCATGAAGTTCCCCGCCCTTTTTATTTTTGGATGACGTATGCAACGGGATTCGTTCGATTGCTTCTTGCATCCACCTGGAAACGAGGACACAAGATTTTGATATCTCACATTGAACAAGGTCCATTGATTGAAAGCGACGACTCTTGATGGTAGCAATGATGAAACTTATTTTAGGGATAACAGCATCGCTCTGCATAAATTCATCACTGGCATTTACAGGATGGTCCAATACACAATCAGCATCTAGAAGATCCACATCGATTCTTCGCGAAGCTCCAACAACTTCTATTGCGGATTTGGAATCTGCCCTTGACGGCTGTCGGTCGGATATCACCAAGACTTGCAACGTGGCAGTTGGTGTCAGCTCCACAACGGGTCGGTTGGGACTGATGGCTACTTCCAATATCCGTAAGGGTGACATTATTCTGAACATGCCCTATGATGATCGCTACCAACTGTCGGCCACCACTTCACGAAATGAGGTTTTCAAAGGGATTCTGGCAGACAAATATGACGGCTGGACAGGAGATGCTGGACTTATTGCATTAATGTTACTGAATGAAGTGGCACGAGTCGATGGGACTGGTGTAGCTCGCCCTGAGCGACCATCAAATATGCAGTCCTTCATGAAAGCTTGGGTCCAATCCTTGCCCTCACCTGATGAATTGAAAGAAGGGCATCCTCTGATGTGGTCCGAAGTGGATCAAGAAGTTTTGCAATCATCGTCCAACACTAAGATTTATCAAAAACTAGATGACTTGGAAGAAGATGCTACTTGGCTGGTCGAAAACGTCTTCTCCAAAGATCGAAAAACATTCCCTGAAACTGTACAATTTAATGGTCAAGAGATTCCGTGCTTCACGGTCAAGGGATACGCTTGGGCCATGGCACTGACACAATCCCGTACTGTCTTCGTGGATGGAAAGCTGAGATTGCTACCCATGTTTGACTTTTGCAATCACAAAGATGGCGCAGTAGAAATCTCAGGAGGGTACATGGGTACTTTCAAGACGACGCAAGGAGCCCAGCTGAAAGCGAACCAAGCCTACAAGGAAGGAGAGGAAGTATTCTGCAGTTATGGTCCAAAGAGTGCAGCTGACTACTTGCTGGAACATGGATTTTGTCCGCCGCTCTGCTGGAAGACTGCTGTTAGTGAAATCACACTGGAGTTGACTTCCGAAGATCGATTCTACGATGACAAGTTGGATATTTTGGAATTTGAAACCTATGACCAAGCACCCATGGATCCATCTCAATCTTTTGATGTAGTGAGCGCTCCTGGAAGAGACGGAGAGCCAGATCCTGCCATGATTCAATTTGCCCGACTTCGGGCCTTGGGTGGCCAGGATGCCTTTTTGTTGGAAAGTATCTTTCGAAAGGAAGTCTGGGGCTTCATGTCCCTTCCAGTGAGCGAGCCCAATGAACTGGCAGTTGTGACTTCAATCTGTGGTGTTGTTGAGAAAGCACTTGAAGAACTACAACAGTCCCCCGAGGGAGGCCCTGAAGTATGTACCCAATTGCGAGAGTCCGAAACAAAGGCTCTGAAACGAACGCTGGAGTATCTGGAGCGCGAAAAGCAAGCATTGGACCTGAAGGAATATTACCAGGAGCGACGATTGAAAGACTTGGGATTGGACTCCGAATGGTCTCCAGAAGACGACATTGGCATGGACGAGGACATGGGATTCGGAGCAACGCGTGCTCCTGGTGGGGCTGATTACGACTTCTAACTACAACTTAGGCAAAGGTAGATAAAAATTCACAAAAATACTTCCATTAGAGTGACCCTGACCATACACTCAGTACCTACTGTACCTAAATAAGGATATTCGTCACCCCACAAAACATTTGAGGTTTTTGGTAGAAGGCCAGACGAATACCCACGATTGCCAGAGATTGCGAATATGTAGAAAATAGTAGAAACTGTACAGACATCGATTTATTTTGTCCTCCTACCTCGCAACCCGACGGCAGACGTTTTCTATCGTCGTGCCAGGCAGAAGGAATAGGATGGCACAACTATGTTCTGTTTTGGAGGTTGATCACATCTTTGGACCATAGAATCATCAGTGTTAGAGTTGCCACCACTAGTCTCCGACGCCAGAAATTTCTTTTAAGCCTTTCATTGAAGCTCATCAGATTGATTCGATCTCTGACATCATCCACGTCCAAATCACATCATACACATGAATTATTTGCCATCAGAAGGAGGATCCCCAGGTCATGGGGACCAACTACAGCAACAGGGACAGATAGAGTTTCACTACGATCCAGCCTATGGAATCAAGACTCCCAAACCCAACGATATTGTTTGTGGAAGAGGGAAAATGACAGTGGCACATCCAGGGAACCGAAGATTTCGCCGGCTGGTGAATAATCGCAAAGAAGACTATCAGAAAGCAAGACGACGAGACCACAAGACAAGAATTACATTGGAGCTAGTTCAAGAACTTCGAGCGGGTCCTGATGGAGGAAGGTAAGTGGTGATTACTAGATTGATCAATCCTGAGGTTGAAATGTATCTCGCAGGACGCTCACACTATCATCGTTTAGGTTCTTGCTCTACGACGCTCGCACCAGGCTTTGGTACGAGGTGGGAGATGGGTATGCTAGGGAAAAGATATCCCACTCGTTGCGTTCCCGTCCTAGTGAACAACGACGGGTCAAACCAAAGCCACGCAAGAGAGCTGTCCGAAAGCCGGCACAATCTCCTTATTTGGAAGGTCTCGTTCAACGATTGATCGCGGACCAGCAAGCGTTACTCAAATCAATGATTGCTAAGGAAACTCAAAGCGAATTGTCAGCTGCTGCTGGATTAGAGAAAATGGGGCAAGATGGTGCTGTGGTGGCTGAAGCTGAGGAAGAAGCCGAGCCATCACATCAAAAACAGGCAGCAATATGAGAGAATGTAGAAGAAAACGGCTCATAGTCTTCGTAATTGCATCTGCTGCCAAATCTTTTAAATATATTTGATAACTTCCTACTACATGATTTCAAACATGTAAAACTATGGCAAATTCATTCCTCGCTGTCTCATAAGTGCTTCGAATATTTTGCGTTGGTCGCTGAGAATATTCTGGAACCTTGACTCATCGTCTACATCCGAACTTGTATTTTCTTCGGATACCATTCGAACCAACATGGTAGGAGGGGTTCGTTTGGGTATTTTTGGTAGAATCTTTGGTACACATTGAATGGCTTTCTGAATGAGTTCTCTTGCCAATCCATCCTCCATTTGTTCCAATTTTCCACTTTTGCCATTTCGTCTCAAGAAACGACCGCCATATTCGCCTACCGTTGTCATTATTTCATCAGTGACTGATAACCGTGCCTCATGTGATGTGGCTTTCTGATATGCCTCTCGTTTCTGCATGATCATTTGTCGGAATCGTTTGTTTCCTGGATGGGTCATTGGCGCTCTGTCACGGCCACACAGCACATCTGCCGCGAACAGTTTGCAACAGTCTTCGTCATCCGGAATAATAACAGGCATATTAGATGATTTGTTAGATCTCGCTTCTCTGGATGGTTTAGGGTGGCCCTGAATTTTTTTCGATAGCGACATTGTTCAATAATCTTTCAGGTTCCGAGTGGTACTGTAGTATTCTTGCTTACTGGCGTTGCAAGTGATATGTTTTGCTGACAGACAAATGATCTGATCCTACTGAGACTGATATCTTTTGAAGAATGCAGGACTTTCGTGTGTTATGACTGCAAAGTATTGCGTTTGTGGTCGTTTTTCATATCGTATGAGCATGTACCGCGTAGTTCTGTCACTTCCCAAAAGTGATACTGGTTTTTCGGAATGTGTTTCAGTCCTGAAGTGTCCGGGACTGACTTAATCACGAAATGTGCACCATGACGGACTGCATCTAATCGAAGCGGTCGATTCAACTGATGATGATAATATGAATGGATGCGTGTAAGCACAGCATGCATGCGATGCGATCGTTTGATTAGTTCCATTAGCTCCATACGATGCTATATGTAACGCTACAGTATCTGAAAAAGTAGCAACTCTACCGTAGTTAGGACACGGTTACTAGAAAATTGAAATGTGTATTAATTAGAGTTCAAAGAAGTTAGCAGGAAAGTTAGCAACTTCTTGGCTTTCGGTTCCTTGGTTTTGTTTGCGCAGTAGTTGCTCAAAGATCTTGCGCTGATCACCGAGGACAGTTGCAAATTGAGCATCTTCATCTGGGGTTGGAACGTGCTTGGTTACCTTTCGGGGCTTCTTGGGACGAGGGCGATTGGGATCCTTGGCACTTCGCAAGGCGTGGCTCACTTTTTCTCTAGCGTAGCCATCCCCAACATCTTCCCATTGATTTGTGGTTTCGTTCTGTTTCAGGAAGCGCCCCCCAGACTCCCGAATCATTGCCACAATCCGGCAAGTAATATTTGTCTTGGCATCTCGCGAAGCCGCGGTTTGATATTCCTCCCGATTCTTCTCGATGATTTGTCGGAAACGTTTGTTTCCAATGTGTGCATGTGAGATTTTGTCCCGCCCACAGAGCACATCAGCCGCTGACAGTCCCGGAATATTTGAACTATCTCGAGTGGTTCGAAGAGATTCAACGGCACTCGTCCTGAACGCAGGACTGCTCGTTGCAACTCGTTCTTCTTCCCTTTTCACCTGTCTATCCGATAGAGCCAGCACATTACGCTGATGGTTCACCATCAATCCTGATGGCGTTCGCATCATGGTCATCATTTTGTTTTGGTTGCTTGAAATGTTGGATATCTTTTGGCGGTTGCTTCTGCAATTAGTTTGTGACGGAGAGATCTCCCTGTTAGCCGGTTTTCAAAGATTGAATCATGGCATCAATAATGGTCTTCAAAGTACCACAAGTACGTGGAGACCCGTAGGGCTAAATTAGTCAATCCGATCGAATGGGTCAAGGATATTATTTCTGCCCTCCTGTTTCTGGATTTGTAAATCCCGCCAACATCAAAATTGTTCCTACATGCTCCACCATTTTTTTAAAATCACGTCCAAATAAGGGTCCCGAACCGGCAAATGTGTTCAATAAATCTGTAACAATTAACAATGGTACGTTGCTCTCGCGCGATAAATAGTTTCGACGGTCAAAATTTTCACGCAATTTTTGAATTTCGATGGTCCACAGTCAAGCTAAACAAGTACCTGAATGGTGTCAGCTGGATCGGAAGGAAGATGTCAGGGGAAAGAGAACAGGGAATGAATGAAGAATGAAACCGAACAGTGAACATGATTGACTTCATCCATTATTTGATTGCAAGATGTAGAAGGGAGGTGTCATCAATTTTGAAAGAGCTAATCGTACTATGATGTGATGTCACAATATCAATCTCAAAGAAACATACAAAAACAAACAAAGCACTCAACAATCACATGATGAAGTTTGAATATTCTTTTCTCCTCCTCCTTCTTTTCGTGATATCTGCGGTGGCACAACACTCCGAGACTGGTGGCGACCCCCACTTTGTTACTTGGAGAAACGAGCACTACGAGTATCATGGACAGTGCGACCTCGTGTTGGCCAGTGATCCGCTGTTTGCGGGTGACATGGGATTGGAAATCCACATTCGCACCAAGATTGTTCGATACTGGTCTCACATCAAGACGGTTGCCATTCGCATCGGACACGACATTCTTGAAATTGAAGGGTCCGAAAATAGCCAAGCTAACTACTGGCTTAATTTTGAATACCAACGAGAATTGAAATCCCTTTCCGGGTACCCAGTCACCCAAGAGGTTCAATCAGATCATGAACGCTCTTATAATATTGACCTGGGTTCTGGTGAACACATTACTATCCAGATCTACAAGGAGTTTGTCCGCGTTCAGTTCTCTGGAGGGAAAGATACCTTTGGCAACACGGTCGGTTTGATGGGGGATTTCAACTCGGGCAAGACCTTTGGCCGTGATGGAGTCACTGTCCTCAATGATTTTATGGAACTTGGAAACGAGTGGCAAGTCCAACCAAATGAACCCGAGTTGTTCCATGAGCTGACCCATCCTCAGTTCCCAGAGGCTTGCCTTCAGCCGGAAGATCCCCGTGGTATCACAGGCCGTCGCCGCCGATTGTCAGAATCTGATGTTTCTATTGAAGAAGCGGATAAAGTCTGTGCTACTTTGAAAGACCCGCTTTCCATTAAGGATTGTATCTATGATGTCATGGCCACTCAAGATTTGGATATGGTCGGTGCCTTCTAAAAAATCAACGAGGACACATGTAGGACTGTTGAAATTGAAATTGAAATAGAACGAACAGGAATATAAAGTATAATAAAAAATACAATCTGATGATAAAAGTTGCACCCACTGCTGCCCATACATATCTATCTCTGGTAGTAGTTTCGTTGTTTTGCAGCCACTGTCAAGGTACTTCTAGCAAAGCTAGCCCCATCTCCCCTCGTCGCTTGTTGATTGATCCGTTGATGATCGGCTCGAGACACTATCGATTCAATAATCTCACCCGTACCTTTGACCAATCGCACCCTCCCAGTTTCGGGATCGTAGACTTGTCGAACTTGTGATTGTTGCTTGTCGTATTCTGCCTTGGACATTGGTACCATCATGGCTTTTCGCTTTGGAGTGTCATCCTTTTGGGGTGCTTGCTGGTCCACTACTGGAGGAGGAACTTCTGCTGCGACCTTTGACGGCGCATGCATTGGCTCCAGATTGCCTTCCTTCCATTCTTTGACTTTGCTATCGGATACTACGGATCTGTCTTTGGAATCGCCCTCTCTATCACGCCTCCTTCGTTTGGAGGAGGACGACGACCGTTTCCGTCGTTTCTTGTGGCGGTCTTTCTTTCGATTGCGGTCTCGACGATGATAGGAGGATGAATCATCATCGCTGCTGCTACATGGGGAGGACGAATCATCATCGCTGCTGCTAGATGAATAGTGTTTTCGTCGTTTTCGCTTTCTCGTTTCCTTGGAGTGCCGTCGTCGTTTCTTATTGTGTTTCCTTTCTTTATTGTCATCACGCCGATGAGAGGAAGACGATTTCCTACTGCGAGATCGAGCGTCTCGTTCAAAACTGGTATCATCATCGTCCCTCTTTACAGCAGGCTTCTGAGAAACATCCTCATTGTTGTCAGGATGTGATGGAGAGGGCATCTGCTTCCTACCGTATACACCCAACACTTGTAGTATATGATGTTTTATTGTCTACGACCGTATGGGCGACGACGAGCATCCGTCGCCCGTGTCGCGCGTACCCCCATAATCTCAAAACCTTTCAGTAGAATATTATTGCGATGATGAGGACGAGTTATATAGTGCGATGGCATGACTCAGGGTGGGTCTGGGCTAAAGAGCACAGTGACAGGCACAAGCTCCAACAGCAGAATGAAACACAAACTACACACAACATCAGCAACATAATCGTGGCGACATCTCCTGCTACAGTACAACAAGTAAAATAATAAACCACAAGACAATGAAAACCTGGAACAGAGAGGTGATTCGATTGGAGCATACCAAGGCCTACACCACTATCGATGATCAAATGTACCTTTCCCACTGCACGCCCGCCCAAAACGAGAGTCTTTTGCAGAGGGACGGCATCACGCATGTTCTCAACACGGCGATTGAACTTGAAACCCAACGATTTGTGAATGTCCACGTCTTGCATTTGAAACTCTACGACAGTCCCGACCAGCAATTGCCGTTTCAAGAGGCGGGATAATTCATTCAATCAGCCTTGTCGTCAATTAAAGGAGGGGACAAATGCCTGGTCCATTGCAATGTGGGACAGAGTCGCTCTGCCAGTATTGTGATCAATTATCTCATGTTTTTGGGACATAGCTTGAAGGATTCTTATTCACATGTCAAGGCACGCAAACCCAACATTGGACCCAACTTTGGCTTTCTCAGCCAACTGCAAGAGGCAGAAATTAGACTCTTTCACAATCCCATTTGTTCCACGGGAATGGCGGAATACAAGGCCGATAATTTGTTAGAAATATTGGATGGGTCTGGAAAAACCAAGGAACAAGTCATGGCAGTACTGAAACAAACAGGTGGAAATGCACATGTTGCGTTGGACATGCTTCTGGATTGAAAAGAGTTATAAAATCAAACGTGGCTCAAGGGAAAAAGGAGACCAATGATAGCCAAAGCCATGGGCAAGATGATAAACGTTTCAAGATGATCTCGAATAACTGGAACAAGCACAATTCTCATAACAAAAGCTGGAAGTGGTTTAGTAATCATTTTGTTACATTACAAAATAGTAGATCTGTTCTACTTCAATATGGGCAGTAAGGCGTGCTTCTGCAAGACCAACGATTCTTGCGTTTTGATGTATTGGTGCAATTCCTTGCATCATTGGCTGCGGGGCTTGACGACTTGCTTCGCCGCGCCATTATTTTACGGCATATCTTGAACACGAAAGTTAGTTCCAATAATACGGATAGGCATTTACATGCTCATGGAGCCGAAGACCATGTCTTCAAAGTCATCAATGACATGGGTCTTCTTGCTTCCCTTGCCTCCCTTGCCACCCTTGCCCATCTTCTTGCTTCCTTTGCCTCCTTTTCCACCCTTGCCCGAAGAGTCCGTTGAGCCCTTGGAGCCTCCTTTTCCACCCTTTCCACCCTTGCCTGAGGAGTCCATTGAAGTGGAGCCTCCTTTTCCACCCTTTCCACCCTTGCCTGAGGAGTCCATTGAAGTGGAGCCTCCTTTTCCACCCTTGCCACCCTTTCCACCCTTGCCAGAAGATTCCATGGAAGTGGAGTCTCCTTTTCCACCCTTTCCGCCCTTGCCTGAGGAGTCCATTGAAGTAGAGCCTCCTTTTCCACCCTTGCCACCCTTTCCACCCTTGCCAGAAGATTCCATGGAAGTGGAGTCTCCTTTTCCACCCTTGCCACCCTTGCCAGATGATTCCATTGAAGTAGAGCCTCCTTTTCCACCCTTTCCACCCTTGCCAGATGATTCCATTGAAGTGGAGCCTCCTTTTCCACCCTTTCCACCCTTGCCAGATGATTCCATTGAAGTGGAGCCTCCTTTTCCACCCTTTCCAC